TGGGGGCTATCGGCAGTGGGTCTACTTTTGTATGAGGGCGTGGAGTTCTTTGGGATGGCATTTGGTTCTTGGGTTGTTTACACGTGCAGGGTGTCATTGGCGGGCCTTAATTGTCGGGGTTTCCGTATTCCCGTAACGTTACATCTCCTTTACATCTCGCTTCTTCTGCTACCTTTGTCTGGGCATTTTGTTTTACTATGGCTCTTGTGCTTACGGAAATGCTTTTCGTTTTGTCTCTTACTTTTTCATTCCTTTCCTTTCCTTATATCCTTGAGCGGTGTCTTCATTGTCTCGTTGTCTGTTGTCTTTTTTTTGGGAGGCGTTTACTCTGTTCAAGTTTCCTACTTCTCTAGTTGAAAGGCTTTTTATACACCTCTTCCGTTCCTTTCCTTTCTCTTTTGTCTTCTCTTTTCACCTTACCTCTCCGTTCGAATATGTGCATTACTTACGAAATTCCGGGAAGGGGTTGTCTTTTTTTTCTTCCTCTTCATACTTGTTATTTTTGTTTTCTGATGGCTTGCTGCTGCGGGGCTGGGTATGGGTCAGGTGCTTGCTTCTTGATGTGACAGATAGGGCTCGCTAAGCTAGGAATCCCTCGTCCATAATCGTCCGATACTTGTTTGTGATTGTGTCCAATGTGAATGTCACTACATCCGCTCGAGTGATGGAACGAAGCTGACCGGTTAAAACATGAAATTGTGGCGCTCCTTATGCAGGGACGGAATATCCTCTCAAAGATCGTGGGCATGTACCTCTGCCGCAGCCCGCTGTGATCCCGGTTGGTCGTGTTTGATATGTTATGCCTCTGCTGTGCATGCTGCGGAAGACATATGTATTGTAATCGTATGATGTATGTATCTATGACTCCAAGAAGTATGCAGGGCCCGAGGCCAGTCCGGAGAGCCCCAAGCCTAAGCATAAGAATCTGGGGAGGGCTGTTGCAATTGCAGCGCCGCGTTCGTCTGCAGACTGCAGGCAGGCAAGTTCGTGGAGTTGTATCCCGCGTGGGGGTCACACCGTGACGCCCTTTCTCGATGTGAATGGCCGGGTAACGCCAAGCCGCCGGGTAGCTCCAAACGTCATCCCATCCTACATACAATAGCTTTCATGGGTGTTAACTTGAGCTTTGGAGCCGCACTCGCCACCACTAACTAGAGCCGCACTCGCCACCACCGAACGTCGAAGCCTACATAGAATACCGTACCTGGTCGCAGAAGAAGCAGAAGAAGATCAAGAAGAAGAAGCAGAAAAAAAGAAGCAATGCCTACGCGTGACGTCAGCACCGAGATCGGCACTCCTACCGCGCCGTCGGAGCCCGTTGTCGGCGAGAAGTCGATTGCTACTTTGGCGCAGCTAAGGTTTGTCCCCCTGTGCTCCCCGCGCGCGTGAGAGGAGGAGGAGGGGGAGGAGGGGGAGGTGATGGCGATGGTAGCTGATGTGCAATGTGCGGGGTGCAGAGTAGGAGTGAAACTATTCGTTTTCCACGTCAACTCAGGCGAGCACCGGCTGGCCGAGATCCTCTCCATTTCGACGCGTAAGGAGCCGCGATACTACGTTCACTACAATGAGTTCAACAAGCGCTTGGACGAGTGGGTTACGCCCGACCGGCTAGACTTATCGCGCGAGGTGGAGTGGCCGCGCCCCGAGAAGGCGGCGAAGAAAACCGAGAAGGCGGGGAAGGCGGCGGGAACTCCGAGTGCTGGCGGGAGGGCGCAGAAGAGGCCGAATAAGGACTCGAGGAATAGGAGGAGGAGTACCATCGGTCTCGACGATCCGATCGTGGTGCAGACGGAGAATATTGGAGATGGCGATGTCGGCAGTGTGGTGGGCGATGACATGGACGAGGACGAGCAGCCCGAGACCCCTCTGATCAAGACTGCGAAGGAGAGGGAGAAGAAGGATGCCGAGATCGGCGAGTTTCGGCAGCCCGAGGGGTTTTCGAAGGAGAACGAGATTGAGAAACTCCGGACGAGTGGATCGATGACACAGAGCGCTCACGAGATCTCGCGGGTGCGCAACCTGTCAAAGATCCAAATGGGCAAGTTCGAGCTCGAGCCGTGGTACTTCTCCCCGTACCCGGTGGAATACACCGAGGAAGACGTCGTCTTCATTTGCGAATTCTGCCTCAGTTACTACGGCTCGGCGCGGCGATTTGAGCGACACCGCGGGAAATGCACACTGCTCCACCCTCCCGGCAACGAAATCTACCGCGACGCAAACGTCAGCTTCTTTGAAATTGACGGCCGGCGCCAGCGCGTGTGGTGTCGCAATCTCTGCCTGCTCAGCAAATGCTTCCTCGACCATAAAACGCTGTACTACGACGTCGACCCCTTCCTCTTCTATTGCATGGTTACCCGCGACGACTACGGCTGTCATCTGATCGGCTACTTCAGCAAAGAGAAGGAGTCAGCCGAGGGCTACAACGTAGCATGCATCCTGACCCTCCCGCAGTACCAACGCCACGGCTACGGAAAGCTCCTCATCGCCTTTTCCTACGAGCTGTCCAAGCGCGAGGGGAAACTTGGCTCCCCCGAGAAACCACTTTCGGACCTGGGGTTGCTCTCGTATCGTGCGTACTGGCAAGACACGGTCGTCGACCTTCTGCTCGAGGTTAAGGGCGAGATCACGATCGATGAGCTGGCGAGTATGAGTGCCATGACCACGACGGATGTTATACACACGCTGCAGAATCTGAACATGCTCAGATACTACGTATGTCCCTTCCTTCCCTCACTCTACCATCCCAGATATATATCCTGCGGTTACTGACACCCGAGTAGAAAGGTCAACACGTCATAGTCCTCACCGACGCAATCCTGTCACAGAAGGAACGGCAGAAGGAACGGCAGAAGGTCAAGGGGTACCGTACGCTGGACCCGAACAACCTGCAGTGGAAACCGCCGGTGTTCTCGGCTGCAAGCAGGACTTGGAATTGGTAGTGGCATGGCATATGCGTTTCATTGCTTCATGATTTCTTTAACGATAGGTTTGATTGGTATATGTGTTTACTGCCTGCATTGCGTGGTTCTGGTTTGGGGGTTTGGAGTATGGGATGGTATGGGAATTTGCCACTTTGATTAGGGATGGATGCACTGCAGGAGTGTGGTAGAGTACCAGTACTTCACTGCTAATGGAATGGTTTTTGAGATTACTTTTCCAGTGTCCGAGAAAAAACCCACAATGCTTTTGAGACCCAACACCCAACCGGCCCACCGGCCCACCATCTATGAATACATTCCAGCAAACCAGCCAACCATAACTTACAATCGAACCATCATACCTATATCATCGTACTCTTACATCGCACCTGCCACATTTACACACGGTCCTCATGACCCTTCGGCGCCTCCTGCTCCTGCTCCAGCAAGTCCACCCTCTTCGACTCAGGACACTCCGCGGCAGCATGCCCCTTCCTTCCGCAGTTGAGACACATCCCGGTAACAGCGTAGAAATCGCGATCATCCTCCTCGACGCGCAGCTCCTCGAGCGCGGGGAGGTCTTCATGCTTGACCTGGACGTTCTCGGCGAGTTTCTCGTCGGGCTCGTTCTTCTCCTCCGCAAGGTTGACCATTGCGTCGGGGTCCAGCGACTCGGCAATGTTGTTGGCCATGCGGCTGCCGCGAGTCGCCTTCTTCCGTGTAAAGCGCACCGCCTTCAGACACTTCTCGATTTGTGTCTCGCACAGGAACTTGAGCTCTTGTGCGGTTTCGCGCGGCGTGAAGGTGGCGGGGAAACGGTAGCTGGGGTTTTCGTTAGATCTGGATTGCGGAGAGGAGGAGGGAAGGCGGGGGGAGGGGGGCTTACGAGAGCCAGAGGTAGACGATCAGCGCCTTGTGGAGAGCCTCCAGTCGCTGCAGGTCGAAGATGGTCGTTGGGATCATATCGAGCGCTTCGAGGTCGATGGCGCTGATGCGGAGGATACTGCCGTCCGTGTTGTGGGCTACGCAGTTGGCCATGTTCCTGACGGCCAGCTTCGTCTTTGCGTCGTTTCCGATGGGCGCCATGATGAAGGTCATGCGATCGGCAACGGTGAGTCCCTCGATGTCGTCGAACAGCACGGCGATCTCAATGTTCTCCCGCAAGCTGCAGGGATGGAAGAGCTCGGAGGTCCGCAGGTACTCGTTCATCTGCTTGAGCACTTCGCTGAACGGCTTCTTTGACGGGAACTGTGCGGCAAAGAGTTCGATGTGTTCGGAGCGAGGCAAGATTCCGGCGGATTTGATGGGCTTGACTTCGGTGGAGAGGGCTTTACGGACCGCCTTCAGGTCGGACCGGTCAATCGTCGTTACATACCCGACCTGTGAAACGGGTGGTAGGGGGATCGAGGTTTCGTCGGGCTTGACGTGAGCGTCGACCTTGGGCGCTTTGTAGCGGCCGGCTCGGCCGGCGATCTGTTTGATTGATGGAACCGGGATGGCGACGGTTGCTGTGCCGTTCCACTTCTCGACTGCCTCGAAGATCACACGCTTGATGCTCCTGTTAAATGGTTAGATCAGGAGGGGGAAAAGGGGAGAAGGCGAGTGTACGCACAGATTCAATCCCATTCCGACGGCATCGGATGCCACGAGGACGTCGTAGTCATTGTTCTCGTCATTGAAGAGCTTCGCCTGAGTGCTTCGTGTCTCCGGAGGTAACGATCCATACACCACAGCGCAGTGCTTTCCCGTCTGCTCCTCGATACTCCTCTTCAGTGCGAAGATGTTTCGACGGGAGAATGTGACAACACAGTCTCCCCTCTGGATCTTCTTCAGATCGCCGTCCAGACTGGTAGCTTCCACCTCTAATGGTCCAAGACGCTTGTATCGGTGGATGGTCAGTTTGTCGCCGACACTTGCCGCCAGCCTCTTGATGATTTCCACCGTTCGCTCCTCACCGCACATGTGGACTTCCTTCGCTCTCACACCCAGTACCGCCTCGGTCCACGCCCATCCTCGCTCCAAATCACCGATCATCTGGATCTCGTCAATGACACAGACGTCGACTTCCTTGTTCAGGTCCACCATCTCCATGGTGCTGCTCTGCACAGTGGCGTTCTCGTCCACAGTCCTGACATCGTCTCCCATGACCAAGTTGCACGGGATCCCTTTGGCATTCATCCTCTCGAAAATCTCCTGTGCGAGTAACCGCAAGGGGCCCGCATAGATGCCGTTCCCGACCTCCTCCAGCCGCTTAAGCGCATGGTACGTCTTTCCCGAGTTCGTCGGTCCAACGTGGAGATGCCAGGTCCTATGCATTTGGCGGGTGACCGCAAACCACTCCTGAGGGAACCTCACATCCGCAGCCATCTCCATATTTCCCTGGCGCAGCACCATAGCGGGGGCCTGGGCGTATCCCATATGCTGCACGAAAGCCTGCTGGAGCACGAACTTGATCCCGCCGATCCCGCCGACTCTATACTTGGCCTCGAGCGCCCTCCTCGACGGCATCCCCTTGGTGCCGGAGGCACTCAGATCCGTCGACCGGAACGCATCCCAGAACTCACTCTTGAACTCGACCCACTTCGCGTCGACCTCCTCCAGCTCGACCCGGCTCGGCAGGAACTTCGCCAGGTACCCGCCCTCGTCCAGCGCGCTCTGCCGCGGCGTCAGCGCCAGCATCGCCCGCTTCACGTTCTGCTCAAGCTCGTATTGCGTGATCGGGTTGGATTCCGCCTGGGGGGGTCGGCTGCTGCTGCTGCTGCCCCCGCTGCCGCCACGGGATCCGCTGCCGCCTTCGTACCGTGGAAGGCGGTCGCGCACGTTTTCGCGGCCTTGCGCGAGGTCGCGTGTCGACTGCCCTGGGCGAGAGGGGGCCCGCCGGTATAGGTTGCTGCGGAGGTCGGGGACGCCGGAGGATTTCGATTTCGATGACGGTCCTGAGCGCTGTGCGGGAGGATCATTAGTTTTCTGGTGAAACCCCGAGGAATTGCAACAGGCAGGCAGGTGAAGAGTGCGCATACCAAAGTGGGCAGCGTCGTGGAGAACAGACGAGCCGTGCCTGCGCCGCCACCGCCGCCGCCGCCGCTGCTCAGTCGTGCGCGGTTTCCTGGCGCCGTGACATTGATCCGGCAGAACAGGCAGACGTTGGGGGGGAGGCGGAGCGCATTTCTCGTGATCATGCTGGCGGGCGGGCGGGGGGTGAGCAGAGTGCTGCTACTGCTCTTCAGTGGACAAATCGGAGAATTTGTCGAAAGTTGTTTCCTTCAGAAGGGGAATTGCAGAGCTTTTGTTAAATTGTTTCTACGCCGCCGTCGGTCGCCGTTGGTTCTAACTTTTTTTCTAGAGCCGCATCCTGCAGGTAGCTTATATGGAGCTAGAGAGTAGTGGGGTGGGATGAGGTTATCTTATCGGTCACGTGACCAACGTCGTTATATAATGTAGATATCCATGCATGTGAAGCTTCATGCAGTCGGCACAGGTTGATATTTGAACACCACAGTTATCCGTAAAGAAACCCAGATCTATGCCCTTGATGCTGATTACCGGCTCTCTGTCCATTATTGGGGTCTTTCCAATCCTCCCCAGGGACAATGGGGGAAGCAGCCACTTCGAACGGATTACATACTTTCCCACTGCTTTCTGCACTGCGGATTGTGAGGAGGGTGACTAGAGTAGCTTGCTCGAGGGCACCGGCAACGACATATCATACCTATGACGGCAAGGAAAGGAAAGGAAAGACAGGGACGAGTGACTCGATGTGAGTGGTTGTGGTAGCTTCAATAATGGAGGAGGACTGACCACAAAGTATGCCTTTTCTTGAATGGCCTTATCAGTTGTTACTCTGCTTCTGTACGACGAAATGTGGTGTTTGTACGATGCTGTTTTGAGTTCGCCAAGCCCGCGGTTTAGCGAGGCCAGCAGCGGAGGTTAAATCGATCTCCATGTAGAACCCACAACCCACGAGTCACGAGCCTTGCTATGCGTACGCTGCTTACCAGGGCAGACTTTCATCACGCCCATGATCCGTACGACGGCCTTGACTCGCTCGACATTCCCAGCTGCAACATCCAACTTATCTTAAACATGTCTGCCTTGCCAGAAATGCCCCACATCGATTCACGGTATCACCTCCGTCCGCATACAGCTAGGGTAGTTACCTGCTTCGAGATGCGATGGAGCAGATATGTACATACATAATTGCACAGCCTCCACCTGTACTCTCCACACCCCGCCCCCTTGTGCGAAACATCATCACGTAGACTGCTCCGGCTGCTGGCCTGGGTGTCTGTCCTACGATAAATATGGGTTCGAGGTGTACATAAAGGGACCCATCACCTCCCCCACTGGCTATCACAATCACAAACGCCATCCCCCCCTCCCGCAACCATGGCGTCCACCTCGGACATACCACCGCCCTCCTACCCCTCAGAAGCCGTGCCTGCATACACCCCACCCTCGAGCAGCACCCTCCCCTCCTCCAGCGGGCCACCCGCCGCCGGCGACAGCAAGCACCCAAAGTTCTACCTACAGCGCGAAGAGATCTACCCTTACCGGCACGGTCTAATCCTCAGCTACCACAGCAGCGACCCGGCCCAGTGCCGGGCACAATACGCATACCGGCACCAGCGGCCGTCTACGGTATCACTGCCGGGCTCGTCGAGCCCGCCGGACGTGACACTATACCGGGGCGGGGACACGAACGGGCAAGTGCTCGGGACGGGGACACTCAAGTCCTTGATCCTGGGGAAGGCACTCGCCGAGGTGCGGATGTTTGCTGGCAGCGGCGCCGGCGCCGCGGTGGCAGTACAGAAGATTGTGGTCGCGAAGCACAAGGATAAGGCGGTGTTTGAGCTTTGCGGGCGGCGGCTGGCGTGGCAGGTCAGCGTGAGCCAGCGGCCGCCCGCAAACGCCGAGGAGCACACGGCGAAAAATACCGTTGTCCCGGGGTCGGTGGAGGATGAGGCACGGAAGGCGGGGTTGTCGGCTATGGGTAGGTTTAAGGCCGCCATGACCGAGAAGCCGTCGCTGCTGTTTAATTCGTACCGCGCGGTGCTGGTCGAGGCGGAGCAGCCGGGGACCGAGCTGGCTGTCTATGATGATATTGTTCCCACGAATCCGCCGTTCACGAGGGAGCTGAGGTGGAAGGATGGACATGCCGGCACGCTGGAGTTTTTGGATCCGGCGGCAGCGCTGGATGCCGCGTGGAGGGATACGGCGCTCTTGGTGTTGCTGCTGATGAAGGAACGCGCGAAGAGGGGGCTCAGCGCTGGGAAGGAGGGCGCTGGTTGGGGGTTTACGCCGTTTGGGAGCGGGCTTAGTGGTGGTGGATGCGGCGGCGGCGGCGGCGGCGGCACCTGATGAGTGTAGTGTTTTGCTTCCATTGCTTTCGTATGTGCTATCTTGTCCGCGTAGTTTAGCAATGATACCTCTCTTTCTCTCTCATGTTTATGACTACTAGCGGACTCGTGAACACTCATCTCTGGAGGTCCGAATCCCCAGCATGAGCGTCCACCAGCAGCCCTCATGCAGTTCGATGGAACATGGGCTAGACCCCTCCATTTAGAGAATACGAACATACAATCGCCAAGCCTCTACTCATAGTTAGACTTTACCACGAACCAGGGAACCACAGGAAAGCTTGAAACCGATCAACACGAGCCTATGCTGACTTTAACCCGCCCCGCCGATCGATCCCGAGCCCTTTGTAGTTTGCACAGCCTTTTTCACGGTCATGCAGAGTAGGCTACGGACCTACGGTGCAGTGCAGTGCAGTGAACGGAAGGCCCCCGAGCGCACGTTACTATGTAGGTGGTACAGGTGGTGTGGATGGCGGAAAGACCTCTGTTGATAGAGTAGGTACTGTACATGGTACTAACACGTCCGGTCACTCACACGACAGTTAGACAAGCATACCAGAAACAAAAAACTAATAATTCAAAGATACATGGAAAGAAGTAGACAGGCTGGAGAGTACAGACAGACAGACAGACAGACAGACAGACGATAGACAGGCAAGCAAGCAATCAAGCAAGGTAGTTAGGAAAGTGATACGCCAACCATTGTCTATTCCCCCTATTCCCGAATTCTCCATCCATATACATTCGCACATCACATCACATTACCGTTCCTCCTTGTCAAGACCCTGCCCATACTTCTTCTCGGCAGCCGTCCACTTGCTGCGTTCCAGCACCCTCCGTTCTCTCCACGCATTGACAAACTTCCACACCTCTGTATCACCGGTATTCCAGCCCTCGACGAAGCCGATGATCTTATTCTTGCCACGGACATTCGCCATTTTGGCATTGTAGAGTTTTTTCTTCTGATTTCCCTGGGCGCCGGGGAGCTGCAGCTTCAGCTCCTTGAGGGTAGGCGGGACGAAGCCGAGGGTCCATTCCGTGTCTTTGAAGCCTTCCTTGTCCGTGCTCCAGATGGAGAGGAACTTTGAGCCCAGCTTGGGGACCACGAGCTCTTTGATCTTGGATGCGCGTGGAGGACTGCCGAGCCCCGATTTCATGTACGGACTCTTGGTCACCTCTTTGATCCATGGGTCGCGCACGGACTTGCGCCGGATGTACCGCAGCAGCGTCTTCTCCGGGTCGTTCATGAGCGAGACGTCGTCGTTGGCGAGCTCGATCGTTGTAAAGGGGTGCGGGATGGTGCCCAGTGTGAACGACTTCGTGGTCTCTTCCAGGTGGTCGGGGCTGCTAATTGCGGCGGGTTTCTTACATGGCGTGCATTTGCGCAGGTTTGGTGGGCAGGATTCCGGGAGCGGGTTGTTGACCGGGCAGGAAGCGATACGATTGGCCAGCTCCAGCGCGGGATGGTGCAGTGCGCCGAACTTGTCCGGGAATGGCGAGAGGAGGAGCATTCCGTCCGGGTAGTGCGAGAGAAAGGTGCTGTGCAGGTGTGCGTTGACCAGGCCCGGGAGCTGGGCGGGCTCGAGGTCTTTGTATTTATCGGCTACGACCTCTGGAGTGTAGTCTGCCAATGCAGCCGGGTAGGAGCCTTCTCGCATCCATTCCTCGGGCTTGGGGAGGTTGGCGATGACTTCCTCGACGGACGTGACGTTCTGGTCTGCCGCCGGAGGATTTTCGGTGACGTACATCAGCACCTTGTTGAGTGATACTTTGTCGGAGCTGTACAGCTTCTGGTCGAAGTTCTTGTAGCGGTTCATGTAGACGAACTTGCAGCGGCGGAGAGAAGAAATGGTATCGTCGTCGTGGGGGCCCATCGGGAGTACCTAATTCAAGGACGAAGGCATTAGAACAACTCCGTTTTGCCAGAATCGGTAATCCTCACCCTGTAATTGACCAAGATACCCGCATCCACATAATTCCACGCCAACAGCCTCATCAATTCCTTCTTCATCGCCGGCACATACGGCGCTCTGTTGACCATCTCATAGAATCCACTGGTCTTCGCCTCTGCCGGACCCAAGATCATGGGCTTGAACCCATACGCCCACCACACTCGTCTCCACGCAAGCAGCATCTTGTCTTCCACGACCGCCTGCACCTTATCCTCCGGGGGCTCATAGTAAGTGTAGATCGAGCACCTCTCGATTGGCGGGAGCGCAATTCTATCCCCCTGACCGGAGGAGAATGGGTTCATCCAGCTCCAGCTGGCAAACCAACCCTCGGTGGAAGCGGTCGAGTTTTTAGCCGGCGGCGGGGGCGTGTGTGTAGCGGGCTTGAACACGGTGGGAACATGGAGTTTCCCCTTGATACTGTCGGGAATCTCGAGACTGACGGTTCTCAGCGACTCGGTGGAGAGGTTCACGGACGTGAAGAGTAGCAGTGTTGTCGAGAGCACGAGGATCCCGCCGAGGAAGAGGATTAATCGTCGCGTCGAGATCGATTGCGCGCCGGCGACCAGGGCCGAGAGGCTTCCGTTCGGTCTCATCGTTGCGGAGGGGGGGGGTGGCGAGCTGTGGGACGTTGTTGAGTTGATGGCGTGCAGTCGGGGGAGAGCGATGCTCACTCTCACTCCACTCAGGGGACTTGACTGACTGCACCAGCACCACCGCGGCTACGCAACCTAGTCGTCCTCGTAATCTAAGTACCTCTTAGATCGAGTTTTGGACCGCCGGTGAGCTATGGCGGAAAAAACAGGTACCTTCGAGACGCAGGGAAAGTGATCGGGATATTGGGACACGCGTACAAAAGTCACGAACCGGAATGATTCTGCTCTAAGTTGCCTGGAGATCACGGTGCGGCCCGCCCGTAAAATCCCCGTGAGCCAACTGGCATGTGTAACCATGGAGAGTTCTTTAGCGCAAAGCTTGTTATCTGCAAAAGAAGGCTGAGTTCAGCCTTGGGGCAGCCTTAGGCCAGCCGAGCAGCTTCATCTGTCACTCGAATCAACTCCGTTCCCGTGCCTCAAAAACAGTTTTATAATAGAGAAGTAGCTAAGTGAGCGTCAATAGGACTCTATGAGACGGCCCACTTCGGTCCAATCCTCGTGTTGCAATATATATTGTTCACTGCTATGCGGTGGGCGATGGAATCACGAATTATTCGAGGATGCTCATCACAACTGGCACCCGTATTTCCCAAGTATCCTACTTCCCTAACATCCTACTTCCTAAGCCTCCTACTTTCGAAGCATCCTATTTCCTGATCATCCTACCTACTTCCACCGAGCATCTAGCGGATCTCCGCCACGAGCAGAACCAGAGAGCGACCAGCGAGGGGGGCCCGTGCCGATGCTACCCGCAATGATCCCTACGGCATCTGCTGTAACATTACTTGAGCGCTCTTGTTTTTAGCTGCAAAAGTGGTAGCTGGGGTCATTCAGTGGCAGTTGTACGATATGTCACTCGAAGCACTGTCAGTTGTCCAGCGGAATGTGCATTCTGCGTCTCTCACGAGTGCGCTATCTCTAAGTTGACCGGCTGCTGACATTCTACATATCGGTATCCGTGGTAAACTGGTAACTGGTAAGCCCCCCGGCTTCTATTTCGCACCGTGGGTCCGGACGGGACGGACAGACGTGGTTCAGTCTAGTCCGCTACTTTGAAGGACTGTGGCCTTCCAGTCCTGGTAAACTGGAGGACTGGACGGACGACGGTCAATTGACTTTGTGTCGAGTGGAATCGGTACCAACTAGAGACATCTTACCGTGGCCGTTATGCCACAAGAGTTGATACTCAAGCCCAACCTAGATTCAATGGTGAAGGATTGACTCGACTCGTTAGAACAGGAAGCGCTGGGCTCTGGCACTGAGAGAGGCTGAACATCCACCATCACATGATATCTCTGATGCCATACAGTATTGGGCAGCACGGAGGTTTGATCTGTTAGTCCTTGGAAGGACCCGTGGTGGTATTCACTAGAACGGTCGGAGATGGAGAGAAGTGAAGTAGTATGTCCGGGTCTAGGAGCTACAGGTACAAGAGAGAGAGAGAGAAAAGAAACTCAAAATTGGACCCGCTACAGCACTAAATAGGTATTCCAAGCACCCACCACCGGTCCTCCAAACGGCTAGTAGACTACTCACCGGAAACACACTCGTTCCCCCACTCCCCCAGAGGCCAGTAGCCGTCCAAATCTCATCATCTCAAGTGGCGAGGCTAGATCCCAAGTGTGCAATGGAGTGAGGCCCAAGGCGTAGCTGTGCGACTCCCCCGTTTGTCTGTGCAGTAGTTTTAAGAGCTGAAAGAGTTGAAGATCCAGATCTCGCAACATCTCTGCCAGTCCAAACCAGGTCAAACGGGTACATCCAGGCAACCTGCGGAGCACAGGCAAGCAAGCGGGTATTGTTGCGGTTGTAGATTTTGACACCGTAGCCATTGACTGGAACGATGCGTAGGCCAAGTTCCATGAGCATACCTTGAGAGATCAAATTGGCACTTCCTGGTACGTAGAGTACATTCCGGATTGTCACGTCTTGACTGGTATTGTTTGGCAGTCGCATCCTGAGTTTGATGTTGCCTGGACCACGGGCGAAGAGGACTGAACCCTCGGATCCTTTTACTGGCCGCTTCCCTTCCGGAATTTCAGTGTATTCAACAAACACATCCCGGCGGCTGGTAACGTGGGTGCTGCAGGCACTGTCGAGGTAGAAATCCCAGCCTCTGTTAGTGGCATTGGGGTCACTCGCCATCCACACCGCTTCGGGAACCACCGAAGTTGTATGTGCCTTCGCTGTTGACTGTGTACCAGCCTTGTTGGCAGGCTTCCCATTCTTGTGCTTCCGGTTGTCGGTGATCGGCTCGCCTCGCTGCTTCCGAAAGCAGTCCGAAACGATGTGGCCTGCTCGCTCGCAGTAGGCGCACTTCAAGAGCTTCTTTGGATTGTTGTCAGGTTGCTTCCTTGATCGATTCGACCCCTTGGCATACAATAGCGTATCAGGTGTGATGCCTTTGTTCTTCCGTATTGCAACTTCTCATGCAAGCAGCTTTCGCAGGATTTCATCCGGCTTCTTGTCCAGAGATTCGAATCCGATACGGTCTTCGATAAGCTGTACCGTGGTATCCCAGCCTGCACTGGAAGAGTCAATACCCTTGAGCAGATGGAAGGAATGCTCCTCTTTGGACATCCTGTCAGAATCCTCTTTTGCGGCAAGATTGAACTGGTTAACCGCGTGCTGGATACTTCGAGCGTAGGCTTTAACGCTGCCCAGATCTTCAAGACGAATGCTAGCAAGCTCTGTCTGAATGGTTAAGTAACTCTTCTTAATCGTAACATAGTCTTCCTTGATCTTTTCCCAAAGCGCCTGAGGTTCCTCATAGTCCATGTACTCCTCCTGCCTTTCTTCGTCCATGGACAAGAGAATTGTAGACGTAGCATGATGCTTACGCTGGGACCAGGAATTCCATTCAGCGGTTGATTTGGCTGTTGCCGGGGACTTCTCTGGTTCGTCCTCTTCACCTGTAAGGATTCTCCAGCACATCTTCTCTCGAAAAACCAGGCCAATTTCGGATGCCCATCTTTTGTAGTTGGTGCCATTTAACTTGGCGATGCCAAATGTTGTCTACAGATGGTCGTTCATCGCTGTAGAGGGTTGGAACGACACGGCTCTTTGTGGAGTTGGTCGTCTGCTCGTCTGCTCGTCTGCTCGGAGGTAGAGGCCGAGTCTAGAATCCGAAGCGAAGGTCAGGTGCGCGAGTAGAGCGCCGGGCTCGTAACCTGCTGGAAGGACTCGTGGAGGTGATTTACCGGAACGATCGAGATGGAGAGATGTGGAGTGGTATGTTCGGGTGTAGAGGAGAGAGAAAGAAACCCAAACTTAGACCCGCTACCGCACCGGATACCTATTCCAAGCACCCACCACCGGTCCTCCGAACGGCTAGTGGGCTACTCACCAGAAACACGCTCGTTTCCACATTCTAGATGTCAATCATCCCGTGATGTATCCGAGATCTGCGTACATATTTAGCCATCCATGCCCTGGCATGTGTCGCCACCGGACATGCTTGCAATCGAGGCTTTGATCCTCCGCAGACTCAGTTGTCTCCACCACTGGAGCCTGAAGCCTAGAAGATTCCAAACTTAGGGGCCGACATGGCGAGCGAATTCTCGTGCGTACGCAAGAACGCATCATCGTACCGATTCATCCACGCATCCGATACGCAGCGCTGGGGTCGGCTTCTTGATCTTCCAGGGTGGAGGTGGTGAGAATATACCGTGAGAGCTGCGGGTCTGCAGGAATACGTGGGTAGACTTCTGGACATGCTGGAGGTCATGAGACTGCTGAGGTGATTATGCTGCACGTTAATTGCGGAAACCGTGGTCCGGGAGTGGGTACTGGACATCCAAAAACGAGTGCGAGACTATGAGAAAGGCATGAACAACCGAACCAAACCGGGTATTGAGCAGATAATTCCTCCGATCTGCTTCGACGGAGGATACCGAGTTCCGAATTGCGTGATATATAGGAGTCTGGAACGGCGGTGTCACCAGACTCTAGCAGATCCGTCTCGTCGTATTGTAGCTATCGGACCACTTAAGCCTCCGAGCGATAGGGACTCGGATCTTGCAAACTCCACTGATCGAAGACCTGCAGTGTCGTTTGTTAGAAGCTTCATGTAGCACAACAGCAAGGCAGGGTTTAAATAAGGAATATTAGAAGCATTACCAGTAAGCGGACGCGACGTCGATTTGCAATCACCGTGCCGAGATTCACGGTTCCAGAACAGTGTATGGGTGGGTATCTAGAATGTCGTCCGGAGCGGGGGACTCGGTCGCAGTGCACCGGCGATCCGGGTGGGACCAAGGTTTCCTACCGGTGTGAAGTCTATAATTTAAAGATGTGAAGACATTTAGACATCCATCGTGGCACTTGGGCTTAAATGTACGTTATTTTGGCGACGTTCGGTTGATTCAACACAGTGTCCCACCCCCCGTCGGCTTACAACCTGGTAGACCAGTACGCTGTCATGTAGAGTATCTTGGGATGGTATATAGTGCATAGTAAGCTGGTAACTATTGATAGGTGAGACTCCAGCCCATCTGCTTGCACCGTTACAAGTTGCACGTTGCACGTCCATCTCGTGGCATTGCATCTCGGCCCGGACAAGCCACGATCGATACCGTATCAACAGATCGAAGCTCATCCGCCGGCAAGACTCCGGAGTTGCACAGAAATAAAGCACAGACTACCGCTAACCAAAGCGGGAGCTAACTTAGCGCCAGCATTCAAGCACTGCAGGCTGCCTCTCGCGCTTGGCGCTTGTTGTTGTGCGCGAGGGTGGTGGTGGAGTCCGAGAGGATGATGACTTTGGCTCGTGGATGTAGAGTTTACGATCTCTCCGGATCAGTTGGCCACTGAGAAGGTTTGTACGGTACGGGTTAGTTACGCCATAGTTATAGTTTTCCGGATGCTTCGGTGTGGTTGGCTTGTGGACGTCAACGAGAACCTAGAGTACAGTACATACCGGTACTTCCTACACCGGAGCATGCAACGACGACCTACCTCCTACATCATTGTCGTCACCTCTTCCCGCCCGCTCCAGAGTTTAGACAGCATCCACCACTTCGATTTCACTACCGTCACAGCCACTCCGAGCCATCCGCCTTCGGGTTTGAGCTCGGTGTTCTTGGCCGATTATTGCTGTGCTCCGAAACATCGCAACGCCAAACATCTCACATCAGTCCCGGCGTAACTCGAAGCAGCTTGGGCTAAAACATAGGACGAAGTACGATTACCTACACACGATCAGTGCAGGCAACAGCCCAGCCCAAACAAAGCCAGCCCGCAGCCCGGCGCGTGTAGCCCAGCCCGGGCTGGTGGGCTGGGGCGAGTGAGTTCCAATGATACGTCTGCTAGTATCGTCGTCGAGGGTAATCCGGCACGGCCACATCCTGTATCCCAACAACAACCGCAACAGGATTATCGTCCGCAATAAAGTCACCACCCTCAACAAATCGCCTCCTGCAACAATCGCCTCCCGCAAAAGAATCACCCCCCACAAAACCCTCAATCAGATGTCAGACGCAACTGAGAGCATAAATCTCACACCACGTAGCAGCCCAAGTAGTAAGCAGAAGTTAATTTCTTTCGTTTACAAGCATGGAAATTCTCTATTCTTTCTTCTGTCATTTTCTGTCTTTCTTGAGGGCGCTGCCGGCGCGGGCCTGTTTCCTATGAACACTCAATATAGTACTCTTTCTTCAGTCCTTCGGGAGAGAGAGATCTTCAGTTTATTTCGCATGCAGCCTATCTAGACTATGGTGAACCGTCGCACTCCTTTCCTGCCCACTCTGACCGGCCGGGGGTTAGGACCCCACTATCGGCCAGCACGTTGTGGCGACGCTGCCTACCAAACAACTTCGTCTCGCCGGCGTGAGCCTGTGTCCTATCTATTGTCGTGGTGTTACCCTATCAACTCTAGGATCCAGCCCGCCCAGCCCAACTGATAGCCCGGGCTGGGCTGCCAGCCCATCGGCGCCAGCCCGGGCTATCAGATCAGCCCACCAGCCCCAGCCCAGCCCATGGGCTTTTCGGGCTGTTGCCTGCACTACACACGATGGCGGTTCTATCTGGACGATTTTATATATATAGCACGCCGTGTGATACATACCCCCACTACTGCCGAGAAGATACATGCCGTATGTAGTTGGAACTGGGTATGCAGGGCCTCCATTTAACCCGCCAACCCGGTGATGTTCCGGAGGTGGACTCTATGACTGCCCGCCCCCATCCCCATCTCCGTCCCCGCCGCGGACGAACAGCATGCGGTGATGTCTGGTATGCCACAAGTAGGTATTTAGGGCAACTCACTGGACGGTGATGCTGACTTTGGTGCTCTAGTGTCTAGGTAGATTGTGAAACTTCCGGAACTCTCCAGAGATACCTACCTATCGGCACCGCCGCCGAAGGACCAAACGAACATAGTGCCGATTTTCGATAGGTGGTCATTCTAGGAGTACTCTACATACCCCATACTACCGAGTGAGATGTCTCGGTGCGGAGTGACCCAATGCGACGCCGTCTAACGCCAAGTAGACGAGTTAAGATGCTACCTACTCTGGATGGAATCCAAGACCTCACGTGTTCCTTTACTTGTTCCCTCCGCCCGGCGCGGCAGCTACCTGGGTAAGTGGGTACTACTGGTAGGTACACACCGGCTCAAGCGATCCTATGAATGTGACGTTCATACATATCACAGACTCCAGCTTCCGTGCAGGGCGGAAGCTCTCCCGCCCCTTTTGTTTTCTGTCAGAGTATGTAGCCAAGACCGCAACTTTGAAAGCCCCCCGGAGAAGGCAGGTGTCCACTGTCCAGATTCCAGAAACAATCATGCTCCGCTGAAATGACAGGTGAGAAATTAGGAAGCATGTAGCTGCTCCGAAAGGCGAAGAGATAGATACCTAGATACTTCCTAGCCGGCCGCTGTTCGATGTCCAGGGACCGGGAAATCTAAAACATACATACCAATGTCTTCTCTCGCTGCCTTCGGATAGGCATGTACGTGCGTACGTACGCGAAGCAGCGGGTGCGTCGGTCGGTTGGGGACTCGCGGCGCTGTGGTTATTCTACTCTAACTACGTTACGGCTGAATGGTGCCTTGCAGACTCAGTCGCTTGCAAAGGGATGGGATGCAAAACAGTTGCCGAGGTTGGCGCGAGACATGAGTGATACCCACTGCTGTTGAATGATCCCTCTCGCGGCTTCAAGCTCTCTCACCGATGTTGCCGGTAAGTTACCGAGCTAACTAACTGGATATCTATCGGACTCGTTTACGGTCAAGGCTGAGGTATGCGAATATATACCGCTTCCCAGAGGAAATACATATCAATGCTATAGGTAGGAGGCCTTCCTTCATCAATCACCGAGCCAGAAAACAGCCTTCACCCCCACCTGGCCACCCGAAGAGAAGAAAAACGGGAAGAAGCAACCTGCCACTCTCTTGGCCAAACGGCGTGCGATTCCATCCAAGAGGATATCAAAGGAAAATATGTAGTATGTACATACCGGTACTCTACTATAGACAGTGGTACAGCTGGAAGAAAGGAACGTCCCGTACCGGTACTTTACTCCGAGAGCGGCACAGCTAGCTGACACTTAACGGCAGACCACCTACATAGTTACCCAAGTACATGTGTACATGTGTACAATACATGTGTACATACTTGACAACCGATCACACCCAGGGGTGGGAGGGTAGTGGAAGGATCCTAGCATAGGTATCCGCGTATGAGGATCGTTACATACTCTACAGCATCCGTCCCCTTCCCTTCCCTTCTCTTTCCCTTCCCTTCCCTTCCCTTCACCTAGGATTCTAGGTACATACTCTATGCGCGCTGGTGGCGGCGACATCCCTGGGAGATTCCGTTTCGCACAGAGGCACTGTGCAGGAAAATCGGACCATGGATTGCGTATGATACGTGCATCTTTTTTCTTTTCACTGGACGGTGCTCACTGGACAGTTAACAGAATGGCAACGCATCCCTTCCCTTCCCTTCCCTTCCGGGGGCCGTATGGGGCCGGATGTGGCCGATTTCAAGGTTGGAAGTTGGAACGACTGGGTAGGTAGGTATAGAGGCGGAAGTACTCTAGTTACATGTGGTGGTTTGCGGTGGATGGATGGATGGGACTGGGATTGGGACTGGGGTTCCAACTCTCCGAGGACTCGGGCACCGGATTAGAAGGAGTTGAGTTGAGTGGGTTGGTATTTACCTACCTCCACTGTCCACCAGTGCCCTACCTACACATCGATTTCGCCGCGGACCGAAACAGTTGCATTTGCACTTGTTATTCGTGCGGTGCGCCACCCTTCCAAGTTCCAACACTTCTTTCCGGTGCCGAGGAAGCTTTCCGATTCGCACGATGCAGAAACGAGGGCGGGCGATTGATGATGGGTGATGGGTGAACCAACGGCCGATAGCCCGAGCGCCCACTGGTTTTTACTGGGAGGAAAGAAATGCGTGGACACTGGATCCGAGTGGTGGCTTGTTTGGATACCTGCCGGTATCGTCGTGGACTAGGTGGACTGGCGGTGGACTGGCGGTGGATCTCTCACCGGATCACTGGGCGGCGGCAACCAAGAATCTTCGAGTAGGTAGGTGCTAAGAGTACAGGCTCGATCCGACGGTATTCTACCTGGATATCAAAGAGCTTCCCGCGCCTCACGAACTACAACAACAGCCTGCCCTGCGCTTCATTCCAGCCTGCACTGTGCAAGAGCAGGCAGCTCTTGCAGATTCCAAAAACAAACGTCCTTCGATTTATACCTACTCTAGAGTCTGCTATTGCTCGTTCGATAGTACAAAGCAACACTGCAACAAATCTGCAGGCTACGTACAATACATTCCTACCAGCCTGTAGGTAACCATGCTGCATGCTGAGAACTCCCAGCCCTGGCGGCGCGGCTGAAGTGCACGCTGCAGCATCGCCAAATTTCCTACACACACACACACATACAGACACGCATGTAATACTCCTCTGTCTGCAAGGCGCGCGAGCTATCGGGCGAGAGCACTGCAATATGTAGAAGATGAAGATGAGGCGGAAGATGAAGAAGCGAAAGAAGGGAAGAAGCAAGGTACCTATCGAGACGAAACAAACAAAAAGAAAGGATATGGACTTTCGTCCTCGAGTGGATGCAAGTCTTCGAGACCAGGTCTGTACCGTAGCAGCAAAGCAACCAGGCTGGGGACCGGGAGACCATCCCATGCCATCCATACCATACTATCATACTAGTGCTAGTAGTAACTAGCGTGCCGAACCAATTATCCCTTATCTCTGGGACACCCGGGTCGACTGACAGGCGATAAAGAAAGAACGCCAGACCAGACTCCAGAGGATCCGAGAGATGTTGCACCCCCCCCCAGCCACCAACCACCAAACACCAACAAGATAGAGTGTCCAGGTAGAGTAACTACCAAGCCAGGCGCAAAAGGTCACGGCAAAAAACGAAAGAATATAAAACACCCCCGGCCACGATCCTCCATTGGCACGCGGTGGCTAATTTCCGCTCCGCAATTTGATATACTACTATACCACTATCACAGGAGTCGGTCCGAGTCGTCGAGGAGCGAGGAGGTTTCAGTCTTTTAGAGTAGAGTAAACGACGCTGTTGTGCATCATAAATACTTCCTACCAATAGTTAACCAGTAGGCAGTGGGGCACAGCACAGCACAGCACAGCACAGCACAGCACAGCACAGCACACGGTGTGTAGAGTAGAGTACGTATCTATAGTTACCTGGTAGATGAATCCCAGGCGGCGTTGACGGCGGCAAATCGAAGGGCACGGGCGAGAATGGCGTATGTATGAATGGTACATATGGTACATACATGGGCACGGTGATCTGACAGTCACAGGGGGCCTGTACATACGCCGTGCGTGGAGCAAGTGTATCGGTCGAATATGTCTGATGGATACGAGCCGGTAAAGTCTTGCCTTGACGGACGTGTTGTAGTGTACAGTGTACATAACTTGTGTGTGCCGAAGGTATCATAGTTATGTCGAAGATCCTCACTCGTCACTCACTCATCACTCACTCACGGCAATACCGATGCTGCATATCGGGCCGGTCAAGGTCCTGTGGGGCCTGGGCTAGGCCTCTCTCTCTTGAGTCTTTGTTCGAGAAAGATGATACCTTTGTACCTGCCTAAGTATCTACCGGTACTTGCTTGGATTTTGTTATTCCGTGGCCTCCCGTAGCCGTGGACCCTGCCCTGTCCGTCCCAGACTTCCAGTGTCCCACAGTCCCACAACCGGCGCCAAATACTGCAGGTAGGTTGGGTATGTAAGGTGGGTTCTCGTGCATGTGTTTGGCATGTACGGTATCCATCCTTCCCCGGAAATCTTTGTGGTTGTGTGGTTGCTTCTTCTCGTTCTTCTCATGGGTCTTCTTTGCTACTGCTGCTGTGCTGCTGTGCTTCTAAGAAGACTACCGGTACGAAGACGATCGTGTCGACTAGATACATACCGTAGATGGCGCTTCCGAATATGTACCTACATAACCACTAACTATGGTTACTAGTATATATCTCCCTAGAGCGCACCGCTTCGTCTCGGTATCGCTTCTCTCGGTCCGGGCAGGCAGGGTCCTAATCTCGCTGCTCATCGGCGACGTGGGGAGACCGCACCAAGCGACCCAACTCCATCCCACGCCCAGACAAAAAGGAACCGTGGGGCTAGTTAGTGTGAGCCGAGTGAGCACCGAGTATCAACTAGTACCTAGAGTTGTGGAGGCGAAGAAGGTGAAGCTGAAGCGAAAAAGGAACCCTCCGTCGCTCATTCGGAGCCGTCAATGGAGTCGTGTGGGCACTGGAAACGTGCCTCCTTCGGCTCGTGAGTCTGTGCCGTACTCTTCATCATCCTACTATCTACACACCTAGCACAATCCGTCGAAACTACTATATCCTAACAAAGTACTTGCTTCTTGCCTACTCTACTCTACATACAAGCCTGAGCCTCCCTGATTCCGACTCTGCATCGCCTCACCCCTCACCTTCCCCCATTGGGTTGCTGACCTTGCACCCCAACTCATCCCCACCCCAGGCAACTATCGGTGTCGGTATGTGCTATCACTAGTACTTACAACTTCCCATCCCATGCGAGAAGTATCCATCTACTATTTATCTCACCTTCCGAGCCTTGGGGGGAGGGGGGGCACCCAAAGTGCGCAGTGTGTATGCTTCCATGTACTCCGAACCACTCCTTCGCTCAGCATCCTTTAATAGCGCATGAGCTCCCTCTCCCCCCCCCCGGCTGCCTGCATGCCTCAACCCCTCCACACATTCCTCTTACCTCTTACTCAACTCCCGCGTGCCATTTGCCATTTGTGCCTGCCGTTCCTTAAACTCAACTGAACCCTCCCACTACCACCACCAACACCACCACCCTCCTCCTTCGGATTTCTATTACCCCATCGCATCATCCCACGCTTCAACGTCTATTTGCCGCACCGACGACGACAGCAACGAAGAAAAAAATTAATTCCGTCCGTCCGTTGCTTTCGATCCGCCAGCCAGATACAACACACACACATTCACACACACACTCCGAGAGGAAACACCGAGAGACGGACCGACAGACCACTGAGAGAGACAAAGAGAGAAAGAGAGAGAGACTGAGAGACTGAGACTGTGACTGTGACTGTGACTGTGTGAGAGAGAGAGAGAGAGAGAGAGAGAGACCGACGGGCGAAAATCATTCACCATGGCCGCCGAATACACCGGACTGCCCTATGTTCCGCTCGTGCACGCATTCGATGGCTCAAACACCGAAACTGGCGGCGACTCTTTGACCGAGGACTTAAATGTCTGGTACCAGGTATGTATTCCCGATGCCACGGCTCTTCCCCTCCCCCCTCCTCTCTGCATTGCGCTCTTTTAGAGAGAGAGAGAGGTCGGCGCGAGACACGGAACGTTGACAGCGCGTTTTGTGCGGTGGTGCGATAGACTGGCGATATGGCCTGGATCGTGGTGTCGACAGCGCTGGTGCTGTTGATGATTCCCGGCGTAGGCTTCTTCTACTCGGGCCTCGCAAGGAGAAAGTCGGCCCTGTCGCTTATATGGCTGTCAATGATGTCGACTGCCGTCGTTAGTTTTCAGGTAGGTTGGGAAGGAGCCGCACCTAATTTGAATTATTCTCTCGTAATGGGAAAGAAAGAAAGGAAAAAGAAAAAGAAAAGAAAAAAGACTGTCGCCGGTTGAGATGGAATTTCAATTGCTGATTGCTTGGCGCTCCTGCCATCCTCGTGGCCCGATAGTGGTTCTTCTGGGGATACTCTCTCGCTTTCAGTCACTCCGCTGGCAAGTTCCTTGGGAACCTCGACAACTTCGGATTCCGAAATGTCCTCGGTGCGCCGTCGGTCGGGAGTTCCAAGGTCCCCGACCTTTTGTTCGCCGCCTACCAAGGCATGTTTTCGGCCATCACGTACGTACTATACCTAGACCGAGTAGCCCCCTCCCCCCTCCCCCAATGAATCATTGCGGTTGCGGTCGCTGACCATGGGGGAAACCGCATTATAGTGTGGCCCTTGCCATCGGTGCCGCAGCTGAGCGCGGTCGGATGTTGCCTTGCGTCGTCTTCATGTTCGTTTGGGCCACCCTGATCTACGATCCGATCGCCTGTTGGACATGGAACCCTGCCGGATGGTCCTTCAAGATGGGAGGCCTCGACTTCGCCGGTGGAACGCCCGTGCACATCTCGTCCGGATGTGCGGCCCTAGCCTACTCGTTGATGCTCGGCAAGCGCCGTGGCCACGGAACCCACGAACTGAACTACCGCCCGCACAATGTCACCCACATCGTTCTCGGTACCGTTTTCCTCTGGGTCGGATGGTTCGGGTTCAACGGAGGAAGCGCACTGGCCATGAACCTGCGTGCCGTCATGGCCATTTTCGTGACCAACTTGTCGGCGTCCGTCGGTGGTATTACTTGGTGCCTTTTGGATTACCGTCTCGAGCACAAGTGGTCGACCGTTGGATTCTGCTCCGGTGTCATTGCCGGACTCGTCGCCATCACTCCCGGATCCGGATACGTGAGTACCTAGCTACCCCCGCGGCAGCTAAGAGACTACGGGATTACGGCTAACGGGATTCCTAGGTTCCCCCGTGGGCTGCTGTCATCTACGGTGTTGTCGGTGGAGCCGCATGTAACTATGCCACCAAGCTCAAGTTCGTCATTGGAGTCGACGATGCCCTTGACATCTTTGCGGAGCACGGTGTCGGCGGAATCGTTGGCAACATTCTCACGGCCTTCTTTGCCGCGTAAGTCCATCCTCCGAATGTCATGGGATCCTCACTGATTGCTTTTTCGCAGTGATTACATTGCGCACCTCGATGGCTACTCCTCGATTCCCGGTGGATGGGTCAACCACCACTGGGTCCAGCTCGGCTACCAGATTGCCGACTCGGTTGCTGGTTTCGCCTATGCTTTCGGTGGAACTTGCATCATCCTCTTCATCATGAACCTGATTCCGGGCCTGAGTCTGCGTGCTAGCGAGGAGGCCGAAGTTCTTGGAATCGACGACGCTGAGCTTGGAGAGTTTGCCGTAAGTAATTCCGAGCCGAATGGCATCTACTGTTTTTTTCCCCTCGGACATTCTTACTGACCGGGTGTTTTTTTGATTTAGTACGATTATGTTGAGCTTACCAGAGAGGTGATCTCCGAGGATGAGTCGGTACCAAAATTCTCGACTGACAACGGAACCGGATCGGTGGCCCGGGGTCAACCCATCGAGAAATAGATGCAGGTACAAACACCAACATGTTTCTCCTCTCTCGGATTATGTGGGGTGTAATTTAAAGATGATGTTCAATTTTTCGAGGCGCGATACTTGTTCCCTTTTCCTTTGGCTTCCTTTCGTCCTCTCTTTCAAGGTTTCTTAGGGCTTTCTCTCTTGTCTGTAATATCTGCTGGGGGCTTTTCGAAGTTATGTATTTTTTTGTCCGTAGGGGATTTATCTGTTTCTTTAGCACGATACCTTTTGCTCGTATTTTCTGTTTACATATCATGTCGTTCGCTTTTCATGTCCATCTCTTTTTTTTTTACATACCTAGTGGATGGTTTTGGGCTGCAGATTTTGGGGCTGCGGTTTTTGGCAGTATCGCCCTGGAGTAGTTGGTTAGTGGTGGTGTTCGCCTCGTGGGGTGTCGATGCCTCCCTACCAAGGTACAGGATCCATGGGGGTGGGGATGGGGGGTGGGGGTGGGGGTGGGGGTGGATGGTGGTTTCGAGTGCGATCTTATGAGTGCGTGTGAGTGAGGGAGAGAGGAATATTACATGGACGTGTGTTTTCATGAAAACTGGACGTGTTTTCTTTTATTTTTCGTCTTGTAATGCTGTGATGGTACCGTGTTTCAACTTTCAAGGTCGGTCTGGAACGAGAAAGCAAAAGTATGGGGGTACTTCTCGGTATCTACATGCTAACCTACCCAGGAATGTACGCTTCCCAGACATTGGAGTCGTGGGGGTCACTCAGGTCATGAGTTGGAACGTGGAGGACGTGGTTGCCGGGTAAAACCCACTTAGCACATCTAGTATAGCGCTCCTTTCCACGTCTCGTAAGCTACCGTACCTATTAGCTCCGGAACCGCGTCGCGCAGCACCGTCAACGTCAACGGGTTGGTCTCAACACCACCATTCACGCTCTCACACGCACCCACAGCGCCCCTCACCCCTCCATCCCCCGCACGCACGCACCAAGATCACGATGCCGCACAGCCCCGCCTCACCTACACCACCGCCAGTAGGAGCAGCGGTAGACGCGGCGGGCTTCCCAACAGCAGTCTCGGACTTTGCGCAGGACCCGCGCGTGTCCTGGTCGCGACAAGACTCCAAATGGGTCCTGGAGACGGACGGCGGGCTCGAGTACACGTTTGACGAGGCGCTGCGGCGGTGGGTGGTTTTAGTACGTTCTTCCCCCCCCCCCCCCCCCCCCCCACATCGCAAGAGTTCACGGTCCCAACCAGATGTGCGCGCGCATAGCTCGACGAGTCGCTAGCGGAGCAGCAGTCTGCGATCTACGCAGTCGCGGGGGTAGACGAGAGCGAGCCCGCGGTAGCGCCACGGAAGCGGAAGAAGGAGAAGGTGTACACGTCGAATGCGGACGAGCAGCCTGCGGAGGAGGACGATGCGGATCTGCCAAAAAAGAAGAAGCCGCGGGCGGGCGCGGAGAAGAAGGAGCCAAGGAAGAATACCGCGGTTTATGTTACGAATCTCCCGCTCGATACGGGCGAGGACGAGATTAAAGAGGTCTTCTCGAAGTATGGAGTCATCTCCGAGGAAATCGATACCGGGAAGCCCAGGATAAAACTCTACAGGAATGAGGATGGGACCCTGAAGGGCGATGCCCTGGTTATCTACTTCCGCCCTGAGAGTGTCAATCTCGCCATTCAGATGCTCGATGATAGTCCGCTCAGGATTGGCGGCGCCCCAGCGGAGACTATCAAGGTGCAGGCGGCGGATTTCAGCTACAAGGCCCAGCAGGAGGCGCCGGTCAAGACGTCGAAGAAGGAGAAGAGGAAGATTATTGCAAAGACGCAGAAGCTGAATAACAAGCTGGCCGATTGGGACGACGATGATCCGTCGGCGATCGTCGAGACCACCACGAAATGGGATAAGCTTGTGATTTTGAAACATATGTTTACTCTGAAGGAGTTGGAGGTAACGTTTTTTCTTTTTTGCCGAGCGTGCTAGCTATAACGGCAATGCTGACGGTAGTACTGCAGGATGATCCATCACTCGTTCTGGATTTGAAGGAAGATGTCCGAGAGGAGTGCGAGCGGTTGGGCGACGTTACAAACGTTGTGCTCTACGACATGGAAGAGGATGGTGTGGTTACCGTCAAGTTCAAGGATACCCAGGGAGCACAGGCATGCGTTAAGGTACGTCCCCATAGAAATGACATGACAGTGAAATCGGGGACGGCAATGTACTGACTATGCATACAGCTTATGGATGGTCGCTTCTTTGCAGGACAGCAGGTGAAGGCATATATTGCAGACGGCAACGAGAAATTCAAAAAACACACCACAAAGAATGCCGAAACCGCGGACGCGGAGGAGGCTGAGCGCCTGGAGAAGTTTGGAAAATTTCTGGAAGAAGGTGCGGGGGAGGAGTAGTAGTAGTGGAAGGCAATTTCTTGGATGGCTTGTGTTGTTGTGTAGATAGATGGCGTTGCTTCGTATAGCATGTAACATTACTCATGCCATTGCGCCTTGGATCATGGTATGGTATTCCGTTCAATCGCTCAGCGCGCCGTCATCCAAAGCATCATCCACATCCTCCCCTCCTACTGTATCGCGATCGTCGAGCTCCTCCTTGTCCGTATCGCCATGTGCCTCAATTTCGTCTTCAGGTTCGTCGTCAGAGACAACCGCATCGTCGTCAGACGCTTCGACATCGACATCATCGTCATCGTCGTCGTCCTCCGACTCTGAATCCGGCTTGTCCTGTGTTCTCGATCCCTCAAGATCGCCGGATCCATCAACCCTCGCTTTCTTTGTTGCCGGCGTAGCCTCTCCCTCCTCCGTCTCATCCAGCTCCTGCGTCGCTTCTCCTATCGTCTCGTCTTTCTCTTTCTCATTCTCCTTCTCCTTGGGTACCTTTTTTGCCGCCTCCGCCTGCAGAAACACTACACTCCGTCAGCCCTTCATCAGCACACGCGGGAGAGCCGTGGGGAGCTAATACATTCCAGCTCCGCCTCCATCCTCGGCGAGAAGTCGTCAAACTCCAGCAGCTTCATTGCCGTGAGTATATCCGCAGCGTTGAGACCCTTGCGACCCTCTCGATGCGCAAGATCGTTCGCGCTGTCTCTCTCGCAGTATCAGTTGTCGTTTTGTTCTGGCGGGGGCGAGACAGTGGTGGGCGGGGCGACTCACGTCGCGCAGAGGAAGTTGACAAAGACGGTCGAGGACTGCGAGATGGCTCCTACCGCTTGCTTCTGGATCGCGGCATTGGCGGGGAGCACGGATTTGGCGAGGCGCGTTATGATGGAGCGCGGGAGGGCTAGGTCCTATTGCGGCGCATCGTATGGGTTCAGCATTTGGAAAAGGAGGGGGAGAGTGGGGGGACGGACGGACGCGGTATCTATCTAAGTGCAGGTACGTACGTCGATGGAGGTTACTTCGGGCTTCTTTTTGACGGGGGCTTTCTTTTTAGGCAGTTTGGAGGGGGCTGATGATGATGATGGTGCTGTCGCCGCTGCTGCTGCCGCTGCTGTTGGCGAGCCGCCTGTGGTGGTGGGTGCTTTTCGTGGCATTGTGAATGGTGGTGTCGTGAGTGTTGCTGGAGCGTCTGTAGAGCTGTGGGGAGGACGGGTGGGTTCAAAACGGAACCCTGTCGCGGTGGCGAGCTCAGGCGCGGGGAGCTAGCTCCCAGTTAGTTGGTGTAACCTCATGAACGCGCACTCGTGCCGTGGTTGGAAGAACTTGGCTTCCAAGTATAATTTTTTGAAAAGAGCCGGTAAGACTGTATGACATTCGGTACGTGATCGTGCCATTGAGTGCTAGTCTTTCAGTTGGGCTAAGGGTCTGGATAGAGCTTCCCGATCAATACCGTCGAGAGCACGGGAATGCCAGCATTTCATGTACAATTCCCGCAACGACTATAGTAATGCCGGGGCCGGTAGGATTTGAGATGTAGGCTGTTCGCACATACCGCATAGCGATAGATACATCTTGTAGCAAAAAATGGGGTCTTATCGCAACAGTAGCGCTATGATGATGTTACCGCATTGACGTTAATGCAAATGATAATTGAGTATTCCGGGCAATGACGGCGGTCTTTAGATTACGTTGGTAAATAAAATGCGTATTGACATTTCGGTACGCAGTGAAATGGTTTTTTTGATCTCAGTTACGCCATAGTAAGACGATAGGGCTACCATTTTTGCCGTACCACGTAATCTTTTAACTGCCGGAGCGCCATAGCCGCACTTTGGTGGAGTTGAGCCAGCAGCACTCAATAGACAACTCGTTTTCAGCCTCAAAAGTAGTCGAAGGACGACGTTTTCCATCAACTCCGACACTGCTACTAGACCTTGGCGGTTTTCTGAACAAGTGGGAGTTAAACAACAACAGCACCATTCCCATAACGCGATCACATTATCTGCTTTTTGTAGCAGCCAAACAACGAGATCTAAACAGCTACAGCAACCTGAGGACGTAATGTAGCGGATGCGGCATCACTGTGAACATTATCGGATTACGTTTTCAGGAGATTGAAATTTTTGAGTGATTGCACTGGTCTTTTTATAACGGTAGCGCCACACTAGCCATCAAATAACCGTCTCATCACCGTAGCGATAAACCTCCACTTTTTGCTACAGTATATGAGTGCAGGTCTGCCAAGGTGAATGATATATTATGACGAGTTGTAAAACTTTCAGCTGAACCGAATAAGTGATAACTACCGGTAGCTGACAGGATGAGAAATTCCCGATACATCTTCTGCCGAGTGGGTACAAGCTGGGCCTGGGGTGCCTGGCCTAGCATTGTATTTAACTAGGTTAATTGTCTTGTCTTAGGTATTGGGCCGTCTCGCATGATTCCGCCCACTTTGCTTGGCTTCTTCATGCGGCACTCAGCAGACCCTAGGATACAGGGAATGGGACGAGGCCCCTTTAGTTGAATGCGAGTCTGCATGTAAACTGGCTATTAGCACAAAGTGCGGCTCATTTGCACTGGTAATTCAGGCTTCTGCCAGTAAATTGGCCGTTTTTCCTCATAGAGTACAAGTCGCCATGTTTATTTGGGCGGAGCCGAGTCAATGGGCGGTTAGTAGTAATTGCGGCCAGTTTACAATACTCAAATTGGGCTCTTTCACCTAATTCGGCTGTCAATACTCAATGTGAAGAATAGACAGAGGCCAGATTTGGCGTTGAGGTGTAAATTGGCCATTGGCAGTAAATGCAATGTCTTTCCACCACTCTCTTCGGGCATCCGTTGGTAAAAAGATAACTTTCCGCTCATTAGGCTTCCGGCATGAGTGAAAATGGGCTTCGATTTATAAATGGAGCATTTTCTCCTTATTCGGCCGCCCCCGCCATGCCCCCCGCCCCCGCCATGCCCCCCGCCATGCCCCCCGCCATGCCCGCCAACGTTGATGCCCACTACTAACCACATTCGCTTCCTCCCGCCGACAGCTCTTCCATCACTTCCTCATCTCGCCAACAGCTCCTCCTTCCCTTCCTCCCCTCGCCCACAACTCCTCCATCACTTCCTCATCTCGCTAACAGCTCCTCTTCTTGCATACAGCTCATCCTTCCCTTCCTTCTCCCACCGCAACTCCTTCTCCCGCGAACATCTCTTCCTTCAAGTCCTTTTATCTATCTCTCACTCTCTCTTGCTGACAGCTATTCCATCACATCCCCCTGCTCACACCCACAGCTCCTGCATCACTTCCGCTCGCCAACAGCTCTTGCATCACTTCCTCTTCTCACTGACAGGCTACAGCTCCCCCATCAGTCCGCCCCACAGTATTTCCCCTCGCCGCCGCTCGCTCTTTGGCAGTCTCTGGTCTTCTTACAGCAGGTACGCATCATGCTCCTATGCTATCCTACAGACCTGCTTCGCTGCGGATACCCCACTGTCATCGCCGCTAATAGCACTCTATCCTCGTCCTCCTTTGCTGTCTAACAGCACCTGGCCCTCTTGCAACCGGTACGTCTACTCCTCCTATGCCGTCCTACAGTATCAGGCCTGACTCGCTGCGGATACTAGCAGACAGTCTATTGAGCACCCCGGTCATGTTGAATGTGTGCTAAGATGATGGGGTGGAAGCCGGCGAGCGGGGGAGAGCGGGGGAGAGCTGGGACAAGCAGGGTTCGGTTTGCTTGGGCGCGGAGGGGAGCATATATATTGGGCGAGCAGCAGTAGCTAGAATCACAGCAATTTCAAGCAGCAGATTGCACTCGTATAATTGCTCAATGTCAGCCATATGAACTCCTAAAAGCCATTTATTATCAACGCCAGTTGAGCAACTGTGCCCTTTTATAGCCGTATGTACTAGGTATCGCCCTTTAAACCTTAGAGCCCTCTGAATCTTTTAAGCCTGGATACAGCCTTTTCACAGCCTTTTCACAGCCAAATAGAGGCTAATTACAGCCAGAAAACATATCGGAAGCCGATTTAAATGCGTGCCCATTCAACAAAACGGGCCCTGTCCCATTACCTGTACCATAGGGAGAAGGCTGAGCATCAGAAGACGGACTGCAGAGCAGGATGTCTCAATGAGCGGATACTGTTCACCATGAATGCTGGAGCTCGAGGGGATCAGTCAAGCCATCCTGGCTTTCAACTTTGAGTCATGGGGATGCGGTGGTGTGAGTAGAAGCGGGTGATTAGTCATGAACGATAATCATACATTCCCATCACTCTATCTAGTCTGTGAGCTATCACTCAATCAGTTGACGCAGAGGTTTATGTATCTCGCAAAGAAAAAATTGCGGTGCGTAGACTGCATAATAGAAGGCCAGAGGTGTGTACACGGCTTTCACTCTTCGTTTGACCGCTCTAGTTATCCGTGTTTATTTGTCGACCACTCCTTACGTCCACTACCAGCAATAACACATAATATCATTCTGAGCTTACTTTACGAGAGAAAAAAAGCCCCACACCATTCCAAGCTCGCACTCCTTGTTGCGAGCACCCATTGTTGTTGCAAGCACTCGATCTTCCAAGTTCGTTCTTTCTAGACCCAGAACGTTCCAAGCTCAACTCGGCTCTTCCAAGCCCACATTTCAAAATACACTCCACAAAACCCTGTTATATGTGGGAACTGTATTGATTGAATTGAGGCAACTAGGGAATGGGAAAGGAACCGAACGGGAAGGGATCGGTACATAGTATCTTGAAAAGGAAGATGCCCGCTTCAGCGATTTTGAAGCCCCTGGGTAGTCCGAATGGTAAAGATCGCACTCCGGTATCGACATATGGTGTCACTCGACTACCTAGCTCCACCCGGGCGACGAAAAATCGGTAGCTTCCCGCGCGGACGAAAATTCCCCAGTATCTAGATTCCGATGTAGTGCACACAGGAAGTTGACATCATACCTATGCCGTGCCGGTGTGTCTGCGGGATCTCCCCCTCCCCCCCGGGAACCACGCTATCATTTTCCGTTCTGGGCGTTGCTTGGAGGGAGATCATTTGTCGTCACCTCGCCGCTTTCCTCGCCACCATCCGTGGCTGCTCGCGCCCACACTCGGAAAAGACTGCCTTTGGTTTTTTTTGGAGTAATCAGTGACTGCATGCGAGCTATCTAAATCATGACAATATACTTACACCCACCCACTCCGTTTCCATGATAGCCTACCTACGCGGCCGGGAGCGAGGGGGGGTATCACAATTCCGCCCCGCGAGTGCGTTTCCATGATTCTAGTCCCTGCATACTCTTACGCGCACCTTGGAGAAACTCCCCGCCTCATCTGGAAAGGGTCCACTCGGAAGTTGATCTGCAGAATCGGTCGATCACTGCGGTTCCTTGCCTAACTATGGGTCACATCCATCCCCGGGAAGTGGCGCAGCGCAGCTGATTGTGGCGATTTTTGCGCAGAGTACTTGGGTACATTTTTTCTTGCTTTCTCGGACGTCTAGACCGGAACGTGTGGCGGTGGTGGGGTCACAGATGTCTGCCACTATGGATCCACCCACAAAAAAGTGGTGCAGAGGGAACTGTGGCGGGTTAGACACAAGTAACCGCACCAAGCGGTAGGGCATCATTCAATTCATTCGTGTTCGTATTGAGGGCTCTGTTCTAGGTATCTATACGCACATTTTTCGACCGGCAAAGCGGCACCGCCACAGTAAATGCCCACGGACGTCAAGACGCCACCTTCCAGACCGACTTTGCTGGGCTCGGTTGCTAGAGCCGTAGGATACCCGTAGATTATCATCTTGACCTATGTACATGATATCGGTGGCGTTCGATAGGCGCAACACTTCCCTGGAATATTAAGATCCAGCCACAGAAGCCTCTGCAGTACGGTAGCTACACGGTGCATGAGATGAAATGGTCTCCACATCCTGCGGCAAACCCGGCGACGACGGCGGAAATGCGGAGATGCTTGTTGTGATGAGGATGCCAGCCTCCTTGCATTTTGATGCCGATTGGTGCGAAACCGGTTGGGAACCCCCAAGGAGCTAATCATGGCGAGTTATCTGGATGCAACAATCGCATAACTCGTATGGTGGCTACACCATGGATGATTGCGCTGGCCCCTTCACGATGAATCCCTGGAAATTGCTTTGGAGATGTGCCACCTCTCATGGTCCCGGTTCCTCCCATCGGCCGACCAACCCGCAGCCTGCGGTTCCACCGCAGAATTCCTATGGCATGTGACGTGGAGCGTCCATCAAAACTTGCCGGTGGCCGCCATCCCAACTTCGCGGGGCGTAACTGATGATGGTGATATGTCCGTCCGAGCGAATCCGAAGTGCATGCTGTGGGTTATTGCACTAAGCTGCGGGCCTGTCGTGTGTATGTACCGTATGTCGGGCTCCGTCATACCGCATTTCCGCCATGCAAACGCCTCCACCCCATCTCGGCTTGATGTTGCGGTATCGACGAGATACGCCTACCGGCCGTGACAGGTGTGCTCGCGGATCTTCCCGGGTGTGGGGCTAAGGCTGAGAGGATGCGTGGATAATTGGTGCCCTGGCAAGAAGATGACAGTTGTTCTTCATCGACACTGGGTATGCCCTGGCAATAGGATGACAGTACAAAACGTCAACACCACTTGGGAGGAAAGATTGGCCGGGGGGTAGAAAGGTATGTATGAATACACCGTCCTCCACCAACCCTGAGGATTCGACGGGCTGTTGGACGATATCCTGATCGGGAAAAGCAAAAAGATGCTTGAGCACGCCCCACTGTCCCCAAATGGAACCTTCTCGGACCATATTTCCGACGGCTGTGCTCTTCCCGCCCACAAACCCGAAGCAAGCCAACTGCATACCCATGTTGCAGTAGGTAGTTTATTCAAGACCGACCCCGCATGCCGCGTTGATGGTGGGAGTGGCGTTGGAGCAGGAGTAACTTTCCGGGGGCTTCCTGGGAGCTGATCCGTCACATCTGGAGGCGTCCGTGATCTCCCAGCCGAGTCGTATCACGTACCAGCCACTTTGACGATGGTCCCATTCACCGCTTGCCATGGTGTCTTCTGCCGGTCTGTCGTCGGTTATCAATCAATAATTCACGCCAATCAAAACCGGCGCATCCAGCCGGCTCATGGTAGAGTATGGTAAAGCCCTCCCCAATCAATGTTATCTCATGCTCATGTTGCGCGGTATCCAGGAGGCCAATCGATATGTTTCTCAAGGTTGCCGAGTCGTGGCGTCCAGCCGTCGGCAAGTACGAAGCGAGCTGGATGTTCGAAGTCCGAGGGGCTGGGCCGTAGGGCTAGACAGTGACCTTTCGGTGCTGGCTGGCATGTACTTGTGTGGCGCAATTGGACCCGAATCTCGTGACCCCATTCGGCAGCACTGGTCACGGCTGGCGCGTCTCCATTTTGCCGTGGTTAACCCCAAGCCACAACCTCGCCGCGTACATTTCTCTTCATGACTTCGCTTCCTCCCGCCCAATAGCTCTTGAAATTAGACGCTCAGGCTCGCCCCGCTATCTGCTGTAGCCCAGCCCCATTACCTGCTAGGCGACACATTCCGCCTAGCCCCCCCCAGCAGCACCACATCTTTTATCGTAGATTCGACGTCCCGGTAACTACAACATAAGTCCCGATCGCCATCATCCCCCCCTCTCTCACTCTTTCACCACCGTTCCCCGCCCGTCCGCCTCCATAGTCGGAACAGACATATACCGGAGCCTCCCCGGAAGCCCCCGAGATTATCGAAGTTCCAAACGTCGTCCGTCAACGCCGTCCCTATCCAGTCCTGCCGAGCCGTAGTGTGAGACTGCAATCGTTATCTTGACGACAGCCCATAAGAATGGCCGCCCCAAATGGCCTCGAGGAGACACCTCCCAACCTCCGGGAATGGCGAGAACGGCTGTTTCATGCTGCGGAGACATTCGTCATGACCGAAGACGAGTATGATAGCATAAACCCCCCCCCCACCTCCCCTCTCGGTGAGAGCCCTCGCTTATTATATCGCAGGTGGAAGACGTACTGGCCACACATCGACAACGTCTGGTCGCACCGGAGCACCCAGACATCCAAGAATGGTCCTTTCAAGACGCATTATTACGACTGTCGGCTCAAGGGGAGACCGCCGGGCGTGGCTCCCTCCCTTCAGAATCCGGACCGTAAAAAGCGCAAGCGAGTCGCACGAGACCGGGATCTGTGTGACATGAAGATCAAGGTGACCGAATCCGTGGAGCACCGACGCGGCGGCGGCGGCGGCGGCGGAGGAGGAGGAGGAGGAGGAGGAGGCGAATTGGTCCCGGTCAAGATGTATACGATCGAACGCGTGAAGCGGGAGGTCCTGCATAGGCCGACGCCCGGTGGCGGCTATATCGTCGAAAAGCTGAATCGTGAGGAGCTGATCGCCCAGCATCAACTGCAAACGCTGCTATCCGGGGCGCAGCCTGGATACAATCAGCAGCAGCTCGAAGACGGGGTCAACGGCCTATCGATGGGAGTCAACAACCTGTTGGGAAATGAAACCGACGCCCTCTCCGGCCACGACAGCACCTCCGGCGTAGCACATCTCCTCGCGGAACTGGATTCATACGGTGTCCCGGGATTCCTAGGAGAGGTTCACCGACACAGTCTGGAGCACAGCGATGCGATTAAGAGGAGTTCGATTGAGAGGGACCGACTGAAGCGAAGCAAGGAATTGAAAAAACAGCAGGTACGCTTTTTTTCTCACCCACTCCTATGTCGTCGGTCTCGCGGTTCTTCCCTTCCGTTTGCCGGACGCCATCCATATTGCAATTGGCTGCCTCGCATCATCACAATCAGTGCACCCGACGGTGCCTTTGTAGCCATGTCATGATTTCGTCTGTCTGTCTCTGCTTGCTTGCGCGTTGGCGTGCGTGCGTGCGTGCGTGCGGGCTCGCCCGGAGTAGAGGAGAGGGGGTAGATACATATACTGGGCGTACCCAACCGAGCGCCGCCGCCAGAGCGATCTGCGGCCACTCAGCCGGTGTGGAGGTGGTGATGTTCGTAGCAAGTTTTTCGGCAAGCGTATAAGCCACGTCATATCGCTTTACCTTTCCCTCCTCTCGGGAAAGATTGACGCCTAGTTTTCTCGAAACGAGGAAGACGGACAGAAACTTCCGAATACCGTGGGGACCAAGATATCCATGTGCGGAAAACGGGGAAATCGGATTGATTGATACGGCTTCTGCACTGTAAACCAACAAATAGATATCTGTCCCTCTTCCCTCCTCCTCCTCTTCCTCCTCCTTCTCCTCCTTCTCTTCTTCTTCTTCCCCTGCTTCTTCTCCTTCTTCTTACGCGCTCTGTCGCGACCGCAGCCAGAACGAGCCTTGATTGCTGGCAGTGAAGATACGAGCATACAAGTTGTCTCACCACTTCTCCATCCCTATCTTTCTATTAAACCTCCATTTCTCTATCTACGTCTTACCCCCGCGCACCTGCAACCACCACCACCTCCCTCAGCTGCGACTTGACTCCTCAATTTCTTTGATCGACTATCTCACTTCACCTCTGAGACCGTATCTGTGCTTCTGGCCATGTCTGACGGTTCCCCATCAAATCCGGCTAATTCTGCCGGTGGGAAGGAACAACAGAAAACATACCACAAGAAGGCCACAGGACAGGCCTTACAGACCGTGAAGGATCACTCGAAGGAATGCGATCTGAAGTTGTTTGGCGGGTGCTTCTGGTTCGCCCTCCTTGCCTCGACGATGTTCGAGGGCCCCCTCGAGCAAGGATGCCTACTGAGACGAGTGTGTTCGAACAGTCCATTCGTGCAACGGGTCTGGATAGCATTGGAGCTGAAGGGAATGGATTATCAGTATATCGAAGTTAACCTGCCCTCCAGCTCTGTTGTTTGGTCTCGTCTTTTGACGCCCCTCACCAGGTTGATCCGTATGCAAAACCCAAGCTCCTCACCGACATCAACCCCCGAGGTCTGGTCCCCGCATTGAAGCACGGAGAGTAAGTATTCGGAATGCCGGAAACCCTCGAAGGACCATCCTTATTGACGAAAAATAAAAACAAGCTGGGGCTGCTACGAGAGCACAGTATTGTTGGAGTACTTGGAAGACCTCGGTATCGGCATGCCCCTCCTCCCCAAGGACCCGCGAGACCGAGCACGCACCCGACTATGGGTGGACCATGTAAGAGCCAGCACCCTGATTCCCTTCTCAAAAACTGCCATGCTGTAGAATATACGGAGCCGGTTAGATAACGTCAGCGAAGATCAACCGTAACATAGTCCCCGGATTCTACCGCCTCCTTCAGGCCCAAGAGACGCAGACGCAAGTCCAGTACGCCGAGGAGCTCAAGAGTGAAGTTCGTAACATCCAATCGGCCCTCCTTTTCGGCTCGATGTGGTGATGCTAGGACGTCTGCAGACGCGAGATCATCCACCGAGCGAGTGCGCAGCCATGGCTGGCTAGCTGATTCGGAATCTCACTCCTCCAACAACGAGATTTCGACTGCTGTGGAGGGACATTGATCAGTACTGACGGCAGCCATACATACAGGTCTCCAAACTCGTCGATGTCGCTCATCCAGATGGCCCGTTTTTTCTCGTGAGTTGGAAAAGTCGGCGTCAGTGACGGGATTGTTCGTAACGGATAGGAGTACAGGGCCTAACCATGACATATGTCGACATATCGGTTGCACCTTGGTTGCTGCGCTTCTCTCGGGTTCTCCAGCCGTACAGGGGGTGGCCTCCTTCCGAGAAGAGCAGTAGATTGGGACGGTGGATCGAGGCATTGGAAGCGAACGAGGCAGTCAGGAACACGACGAGTGACGATATCCTGTACCTCGACAGCTACGAACGATACGCCGGTGGGTTCGAATGTTTTCTTTCTTCCGCAGACGTGTGTACGTGCGTGTGGGTGTGTGGGTGTGTTGTTTACTGACAGACGCGTGTCGGCGACAGAGAACCGGCCCAACACGAGTCAAGTGGCGACTGCTGTGAATTCCGGTCGCGGGCTGCCCTGATTGTGTGTGGTTCGGACGTTTGTCGATGTACTTTTTTTTTCTTCCGAAAAGTCCGATTGGTTGTTGGTGATATTGCCGGAAGATCGTCCGGCACGAAGATGGTTGGTGTCACGATAATTCTTGAGTTCCCGAATACCTGCTCTCTCTCTCTCCTTCTCTCTCTCCTTCTCTCTCTCCCTCACCCTCTCTCTCTCTCTCGTCGTCGCGAAGTCCGGTGATGTCCTGGCGATCATGTTTCGCGGTCCAATGTTGCCTAAACGTCATCCCACGCCGTTAGTGGCATGCACTTTATTATCGTACCTGGACAGTGTTCGCAGCGACAAGGTTTTGCTCGAGTGATCGGCATAGTATTTTTCTGCAACGTTGGTGGGGGGGCGTGATGACGACTCACTCACGTCCTGTTAACTGCATACCTAACTTACCAGGTAGTTCCTTCGGAAATGCTCTCCAGCGCTCGATAGCATCAGAGGCCATCATCATCATACTATTTTTTCCCCATCTCTTTCTTTCTTCCGAGGCAAGCAGGCAAGCAGGCAAGCAGGCAGGTAGGCAAGCAAACTATCAAACGATCAAGGACCAGGACTAGGATTCTTCAGCGTTTTTTTTTTTTGGTTGCCGGCCGTTTGGCCTGCGATGTACCTACCGTACTCTAGTGACGAAATTTAGGTGGAGCGGAAAGCGCACCAAGTTACCTTACTTACCGACGTAGGGAGTCTGTATGTACCTGTACCTATGATACTTACCTGGGTAGATACTCGTGCCTAGGTATTCCTTCCTTCCAAGTTCCCTAAACTTCTGCTCCCGAGTCCCTTGTCTCTTCTTGTCTTGTCTATTTTCCGTTTCTCCCTCCCCCCCCCCCCGAAGAGCTCCCACCACTCACCAGCTCGCCAGCTCACACACACTCTCTGTCCCTCTCACACACACATCCAACTCAACTCAGCCGACAGCACGCGATGGAGGGAGGGACGGAGGGAGGGACGGAGGAAGGAAGGAAGGGTGCTCCGTTTCCTCCCAGGATGCTTCCTCCATCCGCGCTTCACCAGTTAACCGGGAACGGGTGAGACACGACGGCAGTACTCTCGATATACATGTGGATATGTATGTCGAGTATAGATTTCGTGTGTGCTTGCGGCAGCTACGGTATGTAGGTAGTTAGCGGTGCTGTGGCTTGTTAGCGGCTACTGAGAGCCTGAGAGCTTGAGTGAACGGTTGCAAGCAAGTATCGTCGTGTGGGCACCGTCCGGTCGTCCAGCGGCACGTCGCAAGTCGCAAGTCGCAAGCGGAAGTGGACGCGGACGCGGATGGGCGGGTGGGCGGGCGGGCGGGCTGGCGGCTGGCAGGTTGGTTAGCAGGTAGGTTGGCAGGTTGGCAGGCTAGCACCCAATCCCGTCCCCTCCCCTCCCCTCCAATCCTGCAATCCAATCCAATCGATCCGTCCGTGCAACGGCTGGCGACGCATCCCGCACTCCTACCGCCCGCAGTCCGCAGCCGGCGTCGGGTACCGTACGTCACTGCTGTGCTCCGCGAGCGAGCGAGCGAGTCTATGAGGCTGCGACATGGGGTGGGAGGGGGACGGGGGGGGGGGGGACATGGGAAATGGGATCGACATCGAAGTTGCGAGGGTGTGGATGTACCGGTATCTGGATTCTGGCCATGGCGTTTCCTCACATTTCCCCCACACGTCGAATCGGGCTTACAGTGGAGTAGAGTAGACGCATGGCCCCATGGGCGGCTCGTGGAGGGGAGGGGGGGGAGGGAGGGGAGCGAAGGGAAGGGAAGGGAGCTGCTGCAGCTTGCAGCCTGCGGCGAGAGGGGGGGGAGGGGGGGTATCCTTGTTCCTGCACACACACACACACCCACACACACACACCCACACCCACACATACTCACACACACACACCCACACTCACACACACACACCCACACTCACACACACACTCCCATACTCACACACACACTCCCACACACACTCACACACACACACCCACACTCACACACTCACACACACACACTCACACTCACACACTCACACACTCACACTCACACTCACACACACACACTCACACTCACACACACACACACATGCTTGTGATCGGAGCTATCGACACGACACGGACGGATAATCGAAACCCCAAAAACTGGACGGATCTGTCTTCCGTGTGGCCAATCAGTGCGCGTCCCAGGCTCCCAGGGCTCCCAGCAAGAAGGAAGGGGAAGAAAAAAAAGCGTTGAGCCGGGTTATGTATGACGAAGCAGCAGCGGCGGAAAATTAAACTTAAAATGAAAAATGAGAAAACGGAAAAAAGGAAATGCGTTGATACGGGTAAGCGTGTTTGGTTGGTTTCTTTTGTGTGAGATATAGAAATGTATGAGGATTAACTATCAGAATAGGTATTCACAGAGCATGTATCTTGTCCACAGTCCACAGTCCAGTACTGTCCAGTGCCTTCCCAGCCAGCAGCACGACGACAACGCCTCCGTCCACCAGTTCCCGCACGTACATACATCACACATACACACATGTTCCCCTCCATGTGCTCCATGTACTCCATGTCTGTATAAAGGAACAGCACTTTTCAATCAGGCCAAGCTCTTACGGTCTTACGATTCTACCCCGCTGTGGCGCCGCCACCGTAACCAGGTGGGAGGGGTGGTCAGTGGTCGTTGGTGTCCGGCCAACGGCCAACCTAATGTGATGTATGCATGCAACGCCAGGCCCTCCGAAGGCGAAGGCGAGTGCCGCAGGCCGAATGCCGAAGCCTGAAAGGAAGCGAAGCAAATGCAGCCTGTCGTTTGTTTTTGTCTCACAACGACAATTATGTAGGTATCAAACGAAACCTGAAGCGCACGACTACACACATCACATACACCACATACCTCATACCAATGCTTAGAGTAGCGTAGAGGACTTGCACTCCCTTGCATCGTCGTTTCTCCACAAGTGCAAAAAAGAAGGAAAGTGCAAAACATCTGGCCATGTGGAGTCGAAGCCCAAGGGAAGGGGGGAGGGGGGGACGCGGACTCGAGCCTTCCTTCAACCTCGATTGAGGGGAGGGGGCATCGTTTCCGCCCAATTTCTGCCTACCTACCTGTCTACCCACACGCCTACCTACCTACTTGTCCGCCTCCCCCGCCCGCCCGCATCCCCGCCCGGGTCTGTACGATGTATGTACCAATTGTGCGTCCGAAAGAGGCGTCCCGGACTCCCGGACCCACGGACTCCCGGCGCTGCCGCTTCTGGAATCTGGAATCTGGAATCTGGATACCTACGCCGCACGCCGCATGCCGACGCACGCCGCAGCTGCGCAGGTTCTCCGTGCGAGGCCCGGCCGAGAGTTCACTTTTGCTTTGGCTTCTGCTTCTGCCGAGGACGCCTATTCGGACGCTCCAGGAAGCCAAGGGTGGGTACGGTAGAGGTATGTAGAAGTAGAGGTATACCGGTGCTGTATGTACCTACTCGGCCTCAGATTTCTAGGTACTCCACGAGCACATACGGTACCTATCGTGATTCGTGAGCCGTCCACAGCTGCACAGCTTTACATCTAGCCACAAGGTACCTACCATACCCTATTCTATGTGCTCCACTCTATCCTCTACCGCAGGTACTCCACTCTAGAGCAGAGTAGCGAGCAAGCGCCCTCCGCCATTCAACCAACCAACCAACCGCCTCGAAGTCCACAGTCCAAACCGTGAAATTTGTATTTGTGATATCGGAATCGAGCAACCACGCATCACCACGCACCATCACGCACCACGCACCATCACGCACCACGCACCATCACGCACCACGCACCACACTCCATGTACCGAGCACCGAGCAGAGAGCAGAGAGCAGAAGCGAAGCGAATTATCCGACTCGCTGGTAGGCCGTGCGCCGAGCGGGAGTCCTCCGGAGTAACCGATAGAACTCTACTCTGCTTTCTCTGCCTAGGTACGAATCGGCGGTAGTTGGTAGCGCTTACTTATGTATTGTACAGTTTGCCCCCCTCCCCTTCATTCCTTTCCTCTGGTCGACCATGAGAAGTCCTGGGTAGGGATCGGGAGAAAGCACCGTGATTACCATTTCTGTGATTGCCATTTCCGGGGGGTGGTAGTGGGGGTTTGAGTTTTTGCGCTTGACGAGTCGACGAGTCGAAGAGATTGCCGACTGCGGAATGGCTTCGCGCTAGGTACAGGTACAGGTGCATACAAGGTATGTAGAGGGCATATGTAGGCGGTTGCTTCCGCATTCGCGATTTGATCGCGATGAAGAAGAAATCTGAAAAACTACTAGAGTACTAGAGTACCTAGATATGATGGGTATGATGGGGATGGAGATTCGCTTAGTGGGGAGTAGGGGAGGTTAGAGGAAGTTAGCCTTGGGTTTCGCGGTTTGCGTTTGCGGGGGAGGGGGGGGAGGAGGATGGTTGTAGATGCTTATGCGTATGTGATGTGCATACTGCGAGTCTTCGTGTCTTCAGACTTCAACACATATCTCAAATATCTACATGAAGTAAGAGTACCAGGCACCTACTCTACATATTGTGCTCAGGTACTCGAGTACATGCCGACAAGAAACACTGAGACATCTGGCGTATGAACATGAACGTGAACATTGACCTCCATTGACCGCCATTTTACTGGCCGGACATACCCGCAACCCACCTCCAACTTACTCACCTCCTAAAAACTCGGGTTTCTCCTCAACTACTACTAGGTAGTACTGGTGCTTCACTTACACCGAAAAGGAAAAGCCGGATGTGGACGAAGTCGAAGTCGAAAGTCGCAAGCCATCTCACGATCTTTTTTCTCACGATCTTTCGCGATCACCTGCGTAGGTACTTATGCAGTTATGCATGGTAGGTACAACACCTACATACGTGCTGGCCGCCAGCGAGCGAGCGAGTGGCACAGACTTCGGGTGTAAGGGTAAGTGGTGCCTCACCTTGCACCTATAATTCGTGATGGTGGTGAGGCACGATTTATCGGCCACACGCCTAGCCTGTATGACAAAAGACAAGGTAGAGCACCTACGTTAGATCTGCGGGAAGTTCTGTGAAGTGCGGTGCTGCGCTGTGCTATGATGTGCTGCTGTGCTGTGACATAACATGATGTGCTATGCTCTGCGGCGGCGGTACGGCCGCGGTGATTGAATTCCATCGGCCCCGTTCCGTTCGTTCGATAGTCATATCCCTTCACATCCCTTCATGCCCCCTCAAAGTTCGCATCCCGCCATGTCACATCACATCATATCCATACTCTACATAGCCCGGGGAGGGACCACTGACCAGGGGACCCTGCCAAGAAGATCCGATATGATCGATCGGGAAATCATCGGGAAATCAGCGGAATGGCATAGGTACTCTACGTAAATCTACGTAGATATGATACACCGCCTACATGAACACCGCCTAGGTATGTACCGCCTACCGGCAGCGCGGGGAAGGGAAGGAAGGGAGGGAAGAAAAGGAAGAAAAGGAAGAAAAGGAAGGGATGGATGCGAAGGGAAGGGATGCGAAGGAGCGGGACGATTGGCTGCCAGGAGCCAGGACTCAGGGGTCGGGCTCTGGCTGCTGGCTCTGGCTGTGAGGGACGGACCAGGGACCGGGGAAAAGGGAAGGGAAGGGAAAGTCCTCGTCTTCGTCCCCGGTGGGGAGGATGGGGGGAGCAGGAGGAGGAGGGGAGGAGGAGGAGGGGAGGAGGAGGAGGAGAGCCTTTTTTCGGGGGAGGGGGATGACGTTACGTAGAGTACGGCAGGCCGAAGTCGAAGCCTTCAGGCTTCAACCGAGATTCTATAAAGTACTGTTCGAACTCGATCCGGCCTTTCCTTTTTTTGTTTTGGAAGCTCGACTCTCTGTGCCACAGTTCTAGTCCGAATGCGACAATAAATCGATTCTCTCTCTGTCCATCTCCATCCCTCCCTCCTCTGGCTAGGGTACTTCTGCAAGGCCGAGAGGTCTTGGGTCGCACAGGCACAGGGCCGAGTCGGGAGGGGAGGGGGGAGGGGACGCGCACAGGAAAACGGCCGACGGGAGGGAGGCAGGAGGGAGCGAAAAACTGGCAGCCTTGTAGATAAGAAGTTAGCACGCACGCATCCCAAGCATCCCAAGCACCCCGAAGTAGAGTAAGTAAGGGAAGGTAAGGGAAGGTAAGGTAAGGTAAGGGTGAGGTGCGTGGGAAGGAGGAGCTTCGAACCTGCAAGTACTGTATATGCATACATCCTCTACATACACACATACGGACGGATGAGACGGCGGGTCGGAGATGGGTGCCGAGTGGAGGAGAAAGAGATCCAGATGTACTTGTAACTTGCCTGGGTACTCTATTCACACAGGCACCCGTCGGATGGCACAGGGAAGCAACTACTTTATACATACTCGCAACTCTTGGTCACTGCTCGTAAGGTTGCAACGGGTTCTTTGGCCGTTGCGGACCTTCGCGGGCGCCGGGACACGCCCTTGGCCATAGCCCGCGGCGCCACACGCTTTGCTTGCACGGCGAGGGGGAGAGAGAAGCGAGAGAGAAGAGAGATAGAGATAGAGATAGAAAGAGGGAGAGTGTGTGTGTGCGTGTGCGTGTGCGGGGCCTCGCGGAGAGTGATGCTGATAATGTCATGGCTCTTTCTTCTCCGTGGGGTGGGCTCCGTTTCGAGGGTGCATGAGATGGTACCTACGAAGCACGATTTTTTTTCTTTCTTCGTGGGTGAAAAGTGAAAAGCATACGGCAGCTAGAGTACATGCCTGGTACTTGCTTACCTACTAGGGGGCGGGGAGCTGAAAGGGCACGAGGATTCCTCGGATCGTATCGACATATATCAGTGCAGACACGGGCCATGAGTCCGGGTCGGTAGTAGAGTATCGACGTATGTACGTGTGATACCGATGAGCGTGCTATACGCAAGTTCGTACGGTATTGGCTCGGCTCGAGTGAATTGCCTGCCTCCGTGCTGGTCCGTTCGCCTGACATGACATGCCTGTGTTTTGCTGGGTCTGTGGTTCCTTGTACATATGTAGAACGGAGATGTAGGGTCCGTTAGGAAAGAAGATGAAGAAACTTTCTTTGTGGGGTGTCGGAGCAGATGCAAAACAGCCGCTTCCTTTTGGGCCTGTATGTACTCTATGTATGTCCGGAATGATGGCCATGGGGTTTGCGTGCTTTGCTGCTCTGCCAGCCTGTACTTTGCGTGCGGGCTGCTCCTCCTCGGCTAGTGGACGGGGGGTGGGGCGTCCTTAGAGGCCGCAGGGAATGTCAGACATACTGGCGCTCGAGGTTGAGTGATATCGATGATGCGAACCGCCGTCGGATAGATAGATGCCCAGGCATGTACATACCCAACTTCCTTACCAAGGACTTACCAAGTGCATTAGGTGGGAGGGTGAGTAGGTGGTAGGTGAGTAGGTGGTAGGTGGTAGGTGTGTAGGTGTGTAGGTGGTAGGTGGTAGGTGTATAGGTGGTAGGTGGGTAGGTGGTAGGTGGGCAGATAGGCATGTATGTGGTGGAGAGCTGCTTCACCCGTCCAGCCGAACGGAAGCACTGGTGTGTACATACGTAAAAGCTGTGGCCATGAAGGAGCTTGATGGAACCATGTCGCCAGATGTCGTACTGAGGTGCTGTGATGCTGTGGCGCTGCGGTGTTGTGGAGCGGAGCACTCTGTGGCCGGAGAGCCGATCCCGTCGGCATTGTCGGCGGCAGTGACAGTCTGTGCTTCACTGGTCAGTCCTCAGTCCTCTCCGGAGCCGCCGGGACGAGGCCGTTCTGGTACGTTCTCTCCAGACTTACATAAGTTGCCCACCACTGCAATCACCGTCCTGTCTTTGCGGGGGGTTCTCGGAGTGGCCTTTTCGCAAAATAACTTTTTTTTCTCTTCAGCGGCGGCGTGGTGAGGGTAGCCCGTTGAAGCTAGTTAGCAATTAGGATGGCCATAGCAGCATAGCAGTGATTTGATACAAATTGTGAGTATGCAGGTGGCAGGTGGGTGATGCAGCGCGGAAGTTGTGTCCCAGACGAACTGCGAGGCCTCTTCAGGGTGAGGGTGATTTTGGGCTTGGACATGCACCCCTACACCCTGGTCTCACCACCACCACCGCCGCCTCTGTCTTTCGCACCTCAATAACTTACAGCGTTGCCCTCACACACTCTTTTCTCATTCACCTCCACCACCCCCCTCCATCCACCACCCCCCCCCCTCCCCCTCCCCCCTCCCCTTCCGCCCCGCCATCCACTACCAAGCACTGACCACCACCACCTCCTCCGCTAGGAGTACGGACTACGCCTCTCCCTAGCAACTACTACCGCCTATGTGCGTCAGGGTTGTGTCTCCTCCCGTGGAGGTGCATAAAGGCTGTCCGCCACCACCACCATCACTACCACCACTACCACCACCACTTCCTCCACCACATCCTCCTCTACCTCGCACTTACCCACTACGTACTCCAACAGGCGTCATCAATTGGATTCTCACACCCCCCAACCCATCTGCTTTAATTACTGCTCAGGGCCCCCTCCGCCGCCCATCTATATCCTGTCCCCATTTCCCGGCCTCGATATCATCCTCCTCCGCCCCCCCTTCACCACTACCCCTTCGAACTTCGAAGCCGTCCTGTTATATATTCACCCTCTCCCTCGTCCGTCGTTCTTCTTCGGCCCCAAGAATCTGGTTCACTTTCCATTCCCGATACTTGATCTCCGTCTGCGCAGCTGCACATCATCCGTTAAAACACTCGCTGCTCACCCCTCCATTCAGAACACCACTCAAGCACTCGCGCACCTTCACTACCATACGTAATGGACCCCCATTGGGCTGTTACCACTTCGTCTGGCCGACGAGTGTCTTTGCTTTGCGGCGAGCCCGACGAGAAGCTTGCCGACGGACTCGACTACCCTTCCCCTTCGTACGCCTCCAGTTCTCCCACGCCTCCTCCGTCGCCCGATTATCGCCGGCCGTACGCTCCCCTCCGAGCTGATTCGATCGGTTCCACCTGCTCCTCCACTTCGTCGCTCGCCACCGTATCCTCCCAGGGTCTCTATTCTCCGAAGACGCCTCCGGACATGCACCTCCCGCCGCTCGACAAGCTACTGCCCGTTCCCGAGACTGTGATCTTCAACACCAGATACGGCTCCGACATGGGCTCCCCAGTACTTGCTTCTGCCGTGATGGGCGCCGCCGCTTCGGTGGACGGTAGCTTGTCGCCAACCAGCACGCACGCCACCACCATCTCGACACCGCCTTCGCCAAAGACCACCGTCGCCACCCCCGCGATGAAGCGGTCATCCCGCCGCTACACTTGCCATTGCGGTAAGTCCTTCACCACGTCCGGCCATCTTGCGCGCCACACCCGCATCCACACCGGCGAGAAGAACTACGTCTGCCCCGATGCCGGTTGCGCGGCACGGTTCAGCAGGCAGGACAACTGCATGCAACACTATCGCACCCACCAGAGCGGCTCCGGAAACAAGCGTGCTGCCAGGAAGCGAAGGATGTCGACCGAAACGCTATCTTCGCAGCGAAGGATGTCGACGGACACGGTATCCTCACAGCGGACCAACGATCTCACCCTATCCGAGACATCGCCGGCGCCCCAGATGACGATCGGAACACCGGCCGAAACTCCCATCCAGACGACACATTCCACACCACTGCAGCCCACTCACTGCTACAACGTCCCTTCGCCGTACATGTACGCGAATTACTTTGAACCGTTCGGCTCCGATGGCGGACTGACAGCGCTGGCAAACGTTGCGTGTTCCGGATATTCATGAATGCCGTCATTCCACACTATGGCGATCTGAGTCGGGCTCAACAACCTTGCGTCCGCACCAAGATGCGCTACGGTTTTTGTTGCTTCCGGTGCTGTGCACGACAGCCTCTCTCCTTTGTCGACAAACCTTGCATTCGTCTGTCCATATTTGCGCCCGATACTTTTTTCTTTTTCTTTCGTCATCTCTTTCGTCTTTAACGCAGTAATGTCGTTCTCTTCTATCTATATATTTTTGGAGGGTCTGGCTACGATGGTACTCTGCGGTTTACTTGGGGGCTTTTGGCGTTATGTACTGGGGGTTTTTTATTTTATTTATTATTCATTTCCTGTGATGTCTGGGGGTATTTCTTTCTTTCAAAAAAGGTTTCGGCTTGTATCCTTTCTTATGTTGTGTGTGTGGTTACAACATATGGTGGTTACGCCAATCTAAATGCGACTTTGCCGTATCTGCGTCAAAATAACTTTAATGTATCTGACGATCTTTCCTTATGTATCGTGGGCTCGGGTTCGGTTTGGGTTGGGTTGGGTTGGGTTGGTTGGGTTGGGTTGGGTTGGGTTTTGGGGGTGGGCGTCATATTTTTTTTGTTTCCGTTTTCTTCGCAGTCGCAGTCTTGGTATGTATGGGGGACGCATGTGGATGTAGGACAGACGGGTGATCCCAGGCTGGGCGGGATCAGCCATGTAGTATGTATCATAGCGTATGTACGTATTATGTATATGTGTATGTAGGTCGTTGGGTTGGGAAGCCGTGGGGCATATCATGCACGAGGAGTTTTTTGGAGAAAAGAAAAGCTCGGAGTTCAACACGATCACAATTGCGATCATGATCACGGATTTTCCATCGTGCACACGCTGTATGTATTGTATACTACATGGGGAAGGAACGTCTCGAATACTGGTGTGCAAGGCAGTGTGCAACCCAGCTGCCAGCTACGGTATCTACATAAGCCATTGGACAGTGGGCACGATTCGAGGTGCTTTGGGTTTGCTTTTTCTGCTTCTTGTGAGTGAGTGAGTGAGGGCTCTCGTCAGGCACACACTATGCACTATTTACACCGGCCGGAAAGACAGATAGACAGGCAGCTAGAAAGCTAGACAGTCAATCAGTCAGACAGTTGGACAGCCAGACAGACATGTAGACATCCAGGCATCCAGCCATAGCTCGGGTTTTATGGATGGAGGTGAGGGAGGAAGGCCCAAGGCTGTCCTATGTGTAGGTGAGTAGGTTGCCAAGTAAGTCTATAGGTATGAAGGTATGTCGATATGAAGATGAAGGAAGGTATGTAGATCTGAAGGTACAAAGGCATGTACCTAGATACTCCAGATATGCTCCCCTTCCCTTCCCCCAGACGGGAACGAGCAGCAAGCCGGCCGACAGGCAGTTAAGCGGGCAGTGTGGAGATGCAGATACTCCATCATCCATCATGTATGTCATGTATGGTATGTAGGTCGTCTTTCCATCCGCATTGCATACATACCTACCCAAACACATACCGCACACATATTCATACACACCTACCCAAACACATACCACACACATATTCATACACACGCACTCACGCACTCACACTCACGCTCACGCTCACCCCCAAACGCACAAACGCACAAACGCACACGCGCATAGTCTACAAGCATAGTCTACATATTCTACTCTACTCTACAGTCCACACACTCGACAGTCCACACACTCTACAGTCTACATACTCTACGCACCCTACACACTCTACTCTACACATAATTTGAATCATACACGGCCATTGACCGGTGCACGATGGCCGGTAGTCGGGACGAGGTATCATAAGTTCCAAAGATCGAACGAACGAACGCCGGACGGGGAATAAACGAAGGATTGGTTGGTCCTCCTCAACGAGAGGAGACGAGACGAGACGAGACTCGATACAGACAGGAAGCGTATGTACAGTACTCTACGGATAGTGTATGGATTGTGGATGGTGTACGGCTGGTGAAGCTGCGTCCTGTGTCGCACATACTCTACGTACGTTCGGTATGTAGATCTGGGAAAGGTCAGGAATGCACCTGACGCTGACGATGGAGGGGATCGATCCGGCAGTGTGCGTGTGTGCGTGTGTCTCTCTGTGTGTCTGTCTCCATCTGTGTGTGTGTGGTAGGCCACAGGCCACGATAATATCTACCAGCCTACCAGCCAGCGGCCAGCAAGCCATCCAGCAAGCAAGCAAGCCACAGGGTCTTTCTGTGCTTGTCCCCCCGTCCCCTCCCATCAGCGAGCGAGCGAGCGAGCGAGCCGGCCTGCCGACCGGTACACGGCCGCAGCACCGCGAGCCAACAACCCACCAGATACGCATTACCCTACCCACTACCCACAATCCACTACTGCTAGCTAACTAACTAGACGCGAAATCGAGATACATCCTATGTGGCTGTTTCTGATAACCGGTCGCCGGTTGGTTCGTTCGCTGGTTCGTTCGCCGGTTCGTTCGTTGGTTGGTTCGGTCGTTGGTTCGTTCGCTGGTTCGGTCGTGGGCTGGCTACCCTTCTGCTGGTTTGCTTTGCCTGCCCCCGGGGATCCATCTAAGGGAAAGGTATTCTATGGTGAAGGTGAAAGGTGAAGGCGAAGGTAAAGGGCATGGCATGGCATGCAGGAGCAGCATAGCACAGTTAGCTAGGGAGGTAGGTACGCATGCTTGCTTCTTACCTGCCTGCTTGCCTGCCTCTGCCTGCTTGTTGTTTTGCAGGGGTTTATCTGGTTGTGGGGGGGGGAGGGGGGGTGCTCCCACTCCTCTGATGGACGGTGGGGAATTTGCGATTTAGGGTGCGCAGGGAGACAAGCGCGCAAGAGACTTCCGGACCAATTAGCGGTGGCTGGGAGTGCGATCAGCGAAAGGAAGGGTTCGTTCCTTCCTTTGTTCTTTCACAGGGTGTACTCTAGAGTAGGTACTCTGGTAAAGGGAGGGATGATACACATATCACATCTCAATTGCGGGAATAAACTAGGTAGCTAGCTATCTAGCGAGGGAGAGGAGCCTGAGAGGCGCTCAAAGGGGACTTTGCGGCGACAGATCGATTGAGAAGGGTGGAGGGTGGAGTGGAGGGGGGGCCATATTCGTGATCACGTTCACCATAGATATCTATACATCCGTCCGTGGGGCCACTGCGGATATGTCAATATGTAGAGTATGTGGATGTAGGTAATTGAACGTGTGGCTGAAGGGTTTCGCGGACGCTGACATCATCCTGCCGCCCGCCGCCGGACGTCGTGGCTGCTGAGTCCCGACACCCTTTTTTTTTTGGGCGCACCCTTGTTGAAACATGCCAATGTCAACCTGGATGGACAGACAATATGCGAAAGGCTTCGCCGCCACACGGGGACGCCGCGTAGATGTAGGTACATACGTACGTAGGGAAGTATGTGAGTTACTGTAGATAGATACTTTTGTATGTAGTCCCACCGCCAAACATAGGTAGTCCTGTATGCGAGTAGAGTAGAGCAGTCGCCCTGCCCCCACCGGGCCCACCCCCTTGTATCGAATCAAGGCAGCGAGTGGGAGGGTTTCAAATGTTAGTTAACCTTAACTACTCCGACTCCGACTAGCTGGTTGCTGTGGTTGTGGTGGTTGACTAGGGCCTCGGGTATCCCGAGCCACACGACAGGACGTCGCTAGAGCAATAGACTTATCTGGAGTTGGTGCTTCGTTCCTGCTCCCTCCTGCTCCTTCTTCCCCGACTCGCGATGTGCTGGCCAAGGCATCGTGGTTGTGCTAGTTAGCAGTGTGGCGTGTGTAGTGTAGTGTACAATGTGTACTCATGCCCACCGAGTCGCCGGATATCAATAGACCTCTGGTTGTAGCAGCGCTCATCTCGTTTTGCATCTCTTGCTGGCGCGGTTAGCAGGATGCAATGATACATGCCTATATCTATGCAGCGCGAGACCAGAGGGACAAGGTACATAGGGTAAACAAATACCGCGACGACGGGGGATTATTTAGAGGGGGGGGTTGCGCAAGCAAGGGTAGGGAGAGGAGGTAGAGCAGTTAGAGCAGGCAGTAGTTAGAGTAGATTCAGTAGAGTAGATACGCTGGTACTTGGAATTCCTATCATACCCAGCTACTGCCGCGAAGGGGGGGGGGGGGGGGGGCTCAGAACGCAGTGCTGACCCGGACCACAAGTCCGTTGCCGGGGCGCTACCTAGTACCTGCCCACAAGCCTGAGCAACCATCAACCATGCATCCATCAAAGAACCGACATGCAAGGGAAAGGTTGAAGGGTTCAGCGTGAACTAAGCTCCGCTCGGCGGAGCTCGTGGTGGTGGTGGTGGTGGCAGGTGCTGGTACACATGTATGTGGTACTCCATGTATGTAACCCAGTAGATAGTTGACAACCCGTACCGGTATGTAATATAGAGTATGTCGTATGTAGTAGCACGGGCAGTCGGACAGTGGGAGAGTTTCCTGCTGCTGCTGCTGTGCTGCTGTGCTGCTGCTAAGACCTGGGGACCCTGCACCAGTATGTACCGTAGAGCAACGGATGTTGTTTTGTTTGTTCGGTGCGCGGATGCATCGTGATGTCATGCTGTGGGTTGGGTTTATTCCTTTGTTGCGTCGAGACGGACGGAGAGACGCAGACGACGACGACGACAACGATACCAAGACGGCATTCTCCGTGATCGGCATTCGCAACCAACTAACTAGCGGGGAAGGGGGGTTATGTACTTGCACCGGCACGAGGGGAGTGGCAGGTGGCGATCCTTTGCCGGACCTGTCTCGTCTTGCTGGGCTGTGTCTCAAGTTCGGGATCCTGGATCTCGCTGGTGCTGCTGCTGCTGCTGAGGAGGAGGTATGTATGATATGTAAGTAGCATATGTAACTAAAGCTTCCCATCTCCACTCTGCTGCCTTCTCTCCGTCCGTCGACCCGTCACATTTTTAATTTTTTTTCTTCCTTTCTGCTGCTGCGGTCCGGTCTTGGATGTTCCTGCCCCCATGCCCACTTTCCCGGTATCGAAGCCATCGTCATTCAATTCAGGGAGCGCCTGCGTCGCGCGCCCTCCAGTCACCAGTGCCCCTCACATCCAATCTTCCGGCAGCGGCAGGTATCTGCTGGGTACCGTAGGTAGAGTACTATAGGTGCTATAGGTAGAGTACTCGCAGTGAACAGTGCCGCGAGGGACGGTCGCCATTGTGGACGCGGCGTAAATCCGTGTGCAGTTCATCATTATCAACATCATCATAATCGTCATCATCGACGGATGCACCGAGTCGATCCGCCATACCCACGGTTGAGGATTCGAGGTATGTACATACCTATAGCACCTCCACATGCCCTCCACATGCCGCCCACCTCGAGATGCTGCAGGGCGGGGATGCGACGGAAACCAAACCTGCCAATGTTGGTGGGCGCCATACATGCTATGATAGTGGCTTTTCCCCGGCGTCATGGGCCATGGCTAGGACATTTCGGCATTGTCCGAGGGGACGCGGGCGGGCGTGCGTGCGAGGTATGTATGAACGATATGAGGTATGTATGAACGATATGAGGTATGTATGAACGATATGAGGTATGTATGAACGATATGAGGTATGTATGAACGATATGAGGTATGTATGTAGGCTCCACTGGTGGACTTCTTGGTCTGCAGGAAGTCGTTTGGACATGCTGTGGGATGTGGATGTGGATGTGGATGTGGAGGCTGGCTGGCTGGCTGCGCGCTGTGTCAGTGTGAATGAGTGTGTGAGACTTGAGTGTCTGAGTATGTGGGTGCCGTGTTCTTGTGTGTGTGTTCTTGTGTGTGTGGCGGACGGTCGAATGGGGGGGAAGCATCGTCGAATGGCATCGTCGAATGGGGACATCGTCGTTCCCTCTGGGAGGTGCTAAAGCAAGTAAGAAGTCCTTAGTGACTTTAGTTAGTTAGCGAGTTCTGCTATCGTGATAGGCTGGCGTAAACCCCATCGCGGATGGATATGTTTTTTTTCTTTCAGTTCTCTCACATTCTGGCTAGGGGGGCGCGGGGCAGGGATCGGAGTGACCCCAACGTTTCTATATCGGTTCACAGCAAAGGCCACAACCCACGATTTGGGGGGGATGGATGGATGGGTTCGAGCGAGCGGGCGAACGAGCGAAAGGAACTACATGGCTAACTAGCGGCGGATGCTAGGTCGCACACACACAGACACAACTCTTCACACCCACACTCTCACACACACCTCTCTCTCTCTCTCACACACGCCCGCCAACCCGACCAACCACCCACGCAACACGCAACAGCGGCTCTAGCTCCGCGATCGACACAATTCGTTGTCATATGTAAAGTTGGCGACTCGAGTGGTGATGATCGGGACTTTTCGCGGAAGGTCAGCTGGCGGGGCGCCGAGGGATGATCGTCGACCGTCGACCGTCGTCCGTCGACCGCACGGAACGAACGTCCTCACGATTCGTGATCGGGACGGCGTCATCCATCACTCACTCAATCACTCATCACACATTCACTCAATCGCTGTCCAACGGAACGCAGAGGCGTGGCTAACACGAGGACAAGGCAAGGCAAGGCAAGGTAAGGAGAATCGACAGCGAACACGCGGGCGGACGAGCTCTCCCGTGCGCACCGCACGATGGCTATTAGAGTAGGGACCGGTATGTAGGTGCGAGACAGCGAGACGGAACGCTGGATCATGATGGGATGGAGCGCCCCTCTCCCCCCTCCACCAGAGTGCCGGTGGCATGCGCATCGCTCAATCGCCAATCCAAGTGCCATAGTTGAGTACTCGCATATCCCCCCCTCGCCGCAAACCGTTTCGGACTCGCGAGTTAATCAAAAAAAGAAAAGCAAGCAAGCAATTGATTTTCCCCCACCGTTTTACGCCCAGAGCGAGTTTTGAGTTTCGCTATCTTTTTTCTTTCTTCTTTTTTTCTTCTGCGGTAGATATACCACGGTAACTATGACTATGATCAAGGGGGCCAATGGCAGTTGGACCGCAACCCGTGGGAGGAGGATGCCTGCATATCATACCTATGCCCGTAGAGTGGTGATGTACTTGGTGCTCTACCCCGTGCAGCTGACCGAACCTTGGCAGTGTCTCGCCTTTCGCCTTTCGTAGCTGTGGCTGTAGCTATAGTTAGCTGTGGCTGGTGGTGGACGAAAAGTGAAGTCCCGCGTCGGATCTGGGGACTCGGGAGGGAGCAGCAGTAAGGCGTTCGGCGTCTTGCCGCTAGCTGCCTAGTTAACGACGATGCGGATGGATAGCGATTCGGTCGTATCTACCAAGATGCAGCAAATGCGCTGCTGCAAGCGCACACACGCAGGATGGAAGGAGTGGAGTGGAGGGAGAGGGAGAGGGAGGGGGAGGGGGAGGGAAGGACGGCCGATGTCGATGAGGTCTGTATGTAGGTAGGCTGGCTGGATGGCTGGATGGATGCCTCGGACCTCTTGCATGCACCACCGAGTCACCCCCCTTCACTTTGTCTTTTGCCCTTTGCATTTGCCTTTTGCCCTTTTGCCCCACCACCACAACCACCACAACCACCACAACCACCACCGTAAAAAAAACAGTCGGATAATCTTCTGCCGCATCGGGATGCCAATCCATCCCGAGAGTATCGATTCGCTGGAGCCGTCCCGATGGGAATGTTCGTCGCTCGTCGCTCACTGGGCCACTGGCCACTGGGCCCTGAGCACTGGGCACTGCAGGCGGAGCCAAGTTCCAACAGGAAAAACTTAGGCATGCATATACATACCCGACGGAGAGGAGAGACCGTTTGATCGGCTCCGAGCGTACTCTCTCGAGTTATAAGGTATGTGTGTGGAGTACATGCATAAGTCATGCATAAGTACCTCTGTAGGTATTCCTTCGACTCCATCGGCCGCCGTGCTGCTCGATCTACGGTATCTGAACTCTGGGGCATCATAGGGAGGCACTAGCTAGTACAATGTCACCGATGAATGACCATTGACCGCCCCCTTCCCCCCCTTCCCTCGAACGAGCGTCATGGACATTGGAAATTTAGGAAGTGGTACCTATTACAAAAGCACCGTACTCTACTCTACACGGCGGTGCCGTCACGCATCGCCGTGTACGGTAATGATCGGGAGGGAGGATGCCCATTGCCGATCACCCCCTTGAGCCAGCCTTCCGGGGTTCTCCGTTCGGCACACCCTCCCGCACACGGACAGACACGGACACGGACAACTCCGTCGAGTACTCTACTACCTATACTAAGGCAGGGAGCCCCACGTAACTAACACAACCCAACCAAAGCAGGCCCGAATGATGAGTGATCGATCGAGCAACACACATGGTATCGGTATTCCAATCCGGAACCTCCCTCCCCCTCCACATCCTTCCCCCCTTCCTGCCCCTCCCCTTGAGGGATAAATAGTGGCTGCATTGCATGACGCCAAAGGGGGAAACCGGCGTTTCAGAATCTTCGGGTGTGGGGAGGGGGGGAGGGGCGCACGGAGTTGCGTGTCAGTCAGCTAGCCTTCAGACTGAGCAGCTCTTTCGCAACATCACCAGGCACTCATCGGCTGTCACTCGGTCATTGGGCCGGCCAGCGAGGCTGGCTATGTGGAGTAGGTACAACTACTACCCTCCCATCGGTTCTGCGGTAATTATCTATGGGGTAGACCCGGTGGGGTTGCTCTGGTCTGGCTACCTAGGCAGGTCATATGCTATGGCGGCTTGATGCTCTCTCGGTCTCAGTCTCAGTCTTACTCTTGCTCTTGCTCTTGCTCTGAGAGCCCTCGCACCAGTTATCTCCTCCATACCTACCTAGAACGTCCCAGCAGCAGCATTCGTGGCCGTAGAGTAAAAGAGTAGTTACGCGCGTACTTGCATCAACATTTGGTCATGTACCGGTTTCAGCCTTCGTGTCGTTCGTTAGCATGTAAGTACCCACCTAGCCAAGTTGATAATCTAGACACTCTAGTGACTAGTTGTGGCTTGCTTAGGTACGTACATTTTCCTCTCCAAGCCTCAAGCCTCCTCTAAGGTGTAGATATATAACAGAAGGAAAAAAAAGCCAAACGACCTTGCACTGTGCAGGGTATGTATGTAGGAATTCCATCCGCCGTCCGGATGCAAACAGAAACGGAAACAGAAACAGCATTGGAATTGGGATGGGGGCTAAACATTTTTTGGGCCTGTGGCTTGCTGGCTGGCTGGCTGACTGGCTGGCTGGAGGGCTGACAGGCCGGCCGACAACAGAGGCTGGCAACCGAGCAGATTCCGTTTCCGGCCGGACACGACTGAGCGATTGGGCGATTTGGCGATTCCCATTCTCATTCTTATTCTCCGAGCTCATCCGGGAACCCGGACATACCAAAGGTGCGAAGTGCGGAAATGAAGGGCAAAGTGTCGAAAAGCAGGTAAAGTGCGGAAAAGAACCCCTCTTTTTCGTCAGGTGGAGTCAGATGGACTGGGAAAGTGCGGATTTGGGGTTTAAGGGTCAGCCAGTCAGCAAGCAGCAGGCAGTGTTGGGCTTGAACTTGGACTTGAAGCGAGTGAGCGAGAGCTGTGCCACCACCACCTCCACCACCTCGACCACCAACACCACCACCTCCACGGTACTACCTTATGGAAGGAGGAGGAGGAGTGCCCATTGTCCAGCGGACGCGCGGCGATAAATCTTCAACTACCTAGGCTCTAAGTCCAGCCCGAACACAGCAGTCGCCACAGGCCCCCAGCAGTAGGCTCTCTCTCTCCCGCCCTCTCGATGACTGTTTTTCGCCATGCGGTTGGATATCTCTCCAGTGGCCAGCCGCCGATTGCAGGCAGGCAATCAGGCAGGCAGCCAGGCTTCGGTTCCTGAGTGCAATTTCATGACAGCCGTTCATTCAGTATGCACAACGATCCTTGCGGCAGGCAGCCAGGCAGGCAGGCATCTACATCCATATCCATGATATCCATGTCCACATCCATACGGTATCCATATCTACATCCATATCCACATCCACATCCACATCCACATCTTCAATCTACCTACTTATGTATGGATGGGTGGATGTACGTATGCATGTATGTACACCAGCCAGCCATCCAGACCAGCCAGGCCAGCCAAGAAACCCAAGGTGCCGACTTGACTTTGTTGGCTGATTAGCTGGTTGGCTGTTTTCGTATCGACTCGCAAAAACAGATCCACTTTTTGCACACACCAAACTCTCACCTACCTTGCAGCGGCTGGACGTGACTGCCGTACATACGCGACCGAGTTTCCTCCAGGCTCCAGGAGCGCAGACTGGAGAGCGAGAGAGAGAGAGAGAGAGGTAATTACCCGGGTGGCAACGAGTGCGTAATCTACTATACAGTCAAGATATTCCACCTCGCCGGTGCGATGGTAAGTTGGTAACCTCTTTCCGCTCCGCTCCGCCCCCCTCCGCCCCATCGGGCTCGACTCGAGCAGGTGGAAAGGGGAGGGCCGGTTGGAGCCGGAGCGAGGGGAGGTACCTACCGGCGCACGCCACGGCACGGTACGAATCCAATTTGCCCTTGCCTTTGCCTTTATGTACGACGATGGGATCAAATATCATGTGAGGCTTGAACCCGCGGGTTCTATGCACTACCAACTTACATACCTACTCTACCTCTCTAGTATGTATAAGTGGTGGCTTGCGCGGGAATGCGCTCGCTCTCTCTCGGTCGGTCGGTCGGTCGGGCGGGCGGCGGTGGTGGCGATGGCAAAACGTGCTATGTATAGTATAGTATAACGGCCGGGAGTCTCGGCAATGCGCCCGAGGCCTGCTGACTCAGCGATAGAGTACGCAGTAGTTAAGTAAGAGTAGATACATGAGTTATCAATCAGCCGCGAAGTGGGGAGAGGTGAGAGGGGAGAGGGAAGAGGGATAGTGCAGCGGACAGGCGGCATTCGCCGCGAAGTGGTGGTGGAGCACGTGGTGGAGGGATGCAGTGGTGGAGTCATAGAGTGATAGTGATGGAGTGATGGAGTGATAGAGTAAGCTGGCTGGCGAGCAAGGCGAGCAAAGGCTCTACCCCGCGCACTCCAGACCCTAGAGAGCACGTAAGGAAAGACATCTAGGTTCTTTAATCATGTACAGAGAGCACTTGTTTCGAACCCAGTAAAGGAAAGGAAAGCAATGGGTGTTTGTTCAATGTTCAACGTTGTATCGCCGTGGACCGTGGGCCGTAGAATGTAGTTAGGTGACAGGTGTGTGTATAAATAAACAACCACCGTGACTTGGTAGTCTTTGCCTATCATGGGTAGCTTGATCCATGAGCACTGAGCAGAGCGAGTGATTTTCGCCCGGTCAAGACTGGACAGTCCACCACACAAGACACAAGACACAAGCGGCGGCGGCAGTTTCTGACACACTTTACCGAGTGCACCCGTGGCCTACCTACATACATACATACCCATACAGTAGTATGTATGAAGGATGCAAGACTCGCGGGGCTGCTGTGCGGTAGGTAGAAGCTCCTGGTGTGGCGGGATAGTTTGGGGAAACCAAGGGATATCTACCTATCATCACTGATATCCCCCCGCACAAGCCGGGAAAGTTGAAACCACCACTACCCCGCCGTCACGCCCCCTCGCGCGTCAGCAGAGCAGGCCAGACAACGGATCCTGATGTCCGAAGGAAGGAACGCTTCCTCGTATGTATGTACATACATAGATACCGGTATCGGTATCGGTATCTTGGACTCAGCTTGTCATGACCTTGCCCAAGTAGGTACATTTGCGCTGCAAGCAATCTATATACCGTAGTTAGTACTCGTACCGCAAGCTCCGCAGGACAATGGACATACCTACCTCTGGGTAAGTAACCATGGGATACAAAACCAGCGCAGGCTAACTACCAGGTAGTTACTCTGGAGGGGAGGGGAGGAGGTATGTAACCATCTACCTATCTGGGTACCTAGTAGGTATGGAGATAGCGGTATGTGGTATGTAAGGCAGTGCAGTGCAGTGCAGGGCACTTCGGTGGGGGAGGTGGAGGTGGTGGTCGTGGTGGTGGTGAAGGCTTGGCTCGTGATCGGGGGTGGCGTTGACGACGACGGAGCGCAACACTTTTTCCCATCCCCGTCGGCGGCGACGGCGGATCCCCGCAAGCCACGATATGCGATATGTATGCACCGTCCGGACTCCGCAGTTGATGATAAGCGGGGTAGTTAGAGGGTGGTTATGTAGGGTAGATTGCTTGCGTTGCGTTGCGTTGCGGCTGGCCAGCGCCCACACTCACTCGCCTTGCTAGAGGGAAGGGAAGGGAGAGTAGACCTCGGCTTCGTCGCCGATAGGAAGGCAGGAGGGAGTGGCCTCCAACAATACTGCGTATGCGTGTGGATCCATGCGGCGCAGCAAAATAAATGAATGAATGAAGCGAAGCGGTGATGGATGGATGCTTGGATGGACGGACGGAGGTGGAGGTGGAGGTGGATGGGCTGATGGGCTGGGCGGCGGGGGGCTGGATTCGAACCAGGAAGATTGCCACATCCGGCTACCCTGGAGGTTTTCTCCATGCGCCCTCCTCCTCCCTCCTCCAGACCACCACCACTTGGGCTCTTGGAGTATCTACATACATACACGCCTCTATGCAACCAGCCAAGGCTGCGCTGGGGGGTAAGATTGCGAGTGAGTAGAGTTGGATAAAGAAATGGCGAAAATGAAAACAAAACGAAAGAAAGGAAGGAAGAAAGAAAGAAAGAAAGAAAGAAAGAAAGAAAGAGAAACTGTTATCGAAATATGCACTTGGACTCTGGACAGATGGTACCTCCGAGGCTCCGTGGGGAATTTTGCTTATTCCCACTGCACACTCAGTGACTCCACACTTATCACCGCAGGTGGCTCGTACATACATGTCCAGAATCCTACCTAGATGCCATTCGAACAGCTCTTGCCCATTATTCCGGCGCCATCCAGCCAGACAAGCGATTGCGGCCGTTTGCTCCGCAGGCTGCCAGCCGCAGCACCGATTAGGTTCGGTATTGCTGCAGATAACTATCTAGCACAATCGCAATTGCGATCGAGTATCGCGTTATCGACAGAATGGACGGAGTGGAAGCGCGAGTGAGTGTTTGTGAGCGTTCCTATGCACCACGGAGAGGGCACGGATGCCGTGTGTAGGTACAGTACTCTACAGCCATGGCTTGAGTGGGGATGTGATTGGGGACTGGCTACCTACATAGCTCCAAGGAGGACGCCAGCTTCACCCGCCCCCTCGCTCGCTACGGCGGCGGGGCTGGAGTGCGTGATGGCATGACGACTCGCTGCTCGACGGATGCCGGTACTTAGGTAGGCATCAACAGCCCAGCAGCCTGGTGATTATTTTTCATAGATACGGCAACAGCCAACTGTCCGCCTCTTGTGATCAATGATGATTATAACACTATATCATCCTCTACATAAGTAAATACTTAGATACTTGGTAGACAGGACGTAGGTACTCAAGTAGGCATGTAGACCGCCATAGCCAGCGGTCGTCCTGACTCCTCAATGAGGCGCCAGGCTCCCTCGCCTCTCCCGTGCGTACTCGCTATCTTCATACCGGTATCTTGCGTGGGGGGCATGGGATGGAAAGTTGCCTACATACATGTCCTTGGGAACAAATCGGCCGTTCCGTACCGTCCATGAACAGTGATTCTGCATGAGGAGGACGATGCGCAATCACCAATATTTTCCCTTGGGAATTTCCCTTCTCTTCCCTTCCGGTCACTTCCCTCCCTCTTAATCTTGTAATTTACATACCCCACTGCACTGCATCCGGACGGATTGACGCCGCAGCAGCTGCTGCTTCTGCTGCTGTCTCTCGATCTTTCGTTCAAATTTCAATTCAATGCGGTAGCAACTCTAAAGAATCTTCCATGGATCATTCATTCATTCATTCATTCATTCATTGGGGGTCTGGGAGATTTTCGTGGATAGATCTCCCTCCATCCCTCCCCTACTTTGGCCCAGATTGACGGAAGATCATCGGAAATCTACATGCTTATATGTAGTAGCCAGAGTGGTTGCAACTTGCAACGAGGGGATTGTGGGGGATTGACATGGTGGGGTTCCGGAAGTTGTCACTGGGCTGTGGGCTCAAAATACCTAATTCCAGGAGAGTTGTGTAGTATGTAAGGAGATCTGCTATAGTTATACCGAAGTAGGTAGTGGTTTATGTAGTTACAGTGGAATAACCACATACATTTCTAAGCAGGTATGATACCAGGAAGCATCTCGCAACGACTCCCACCCTCTCCCCCGAGGAACTCAAGAATCAAGACACCCATTCCAACGAGCCATCACCACAACAAAAAAGACATGCAACCATCCCGCATCCCATCCCATGATATGATACGATGCATGGTACCGTATGTACTTACTTGGTATAATGTATGTAAGTAGGCGGGCCGCGGTGGCGGGGAGGAGGGTGGGACCCTGCGGCTCCCCAAACCTTAATCCGACCTTAATCCACCTTAATCCGACCATTGCCTGCCTTTACCTGCCTTTACCTGCTTTTACCTACCTTTACCTGCCTCTACCCACCTCTGCCTGTCTCTACCTGCCTTTACCTTTCATGCCTGCCTCTACCTGCCTTTACCTGCCTCTGCCTGCCTTTACCTGCCTCTGCCTGCTCAGCCGTGTACTCTACGCTAGGTCGCCAGGTGTGCGAGCCTGTTTCGATCCACCCGCGGATTCGCCGATTCCGCCGCCCCTTGGTCATCTGCGAGTCTGCGAGTCTGCGGCAGCGACTGTGAGTCTGTGACAGCGGCAGCGGCAGAGGCTGTCAAACACGTTGACGGTTGGCGAGCCACCACCCCGGGCCCCCGAGGAGCGCGCCGGACCCGGGCCCGGACCCGAAGAAGGCCGAGGAGTGGGAGATCACCCGTTCCCGTGCTCGTGCCCGTGCCAGTGGGTTCGGGGTACTCTATGTATTCCAGTATATATACTAGCGGTCCGCGACAAACTGAGAAGTCGATAAGCTATGAGGTACGAAGTATGAAGCCACACATCGTATAAAACATTTGTTTGGAAATGGGTAGAATGCGAGTGGCGAGCGCCGACATGGATGGATGGCCATGGATGGAAACTTGTCGTACCTACTGTGTGTATGTATGGAGTATGTATGGTTCCAATCTTCAAGAAGCCCTCGCGTATGTGTTGTACTCCATTGATGATTGCTATGATACGGTAACTACCGGATTGGATAAACATGTAGCCTAGGCTGGAGCTGTGGACACTGGACAGTGGGCTGCGGACAGTACTGTGGATACCTACTGAAGATTATCACGGTAACCATCGAGGCATGTAGCACAGCTACCTCCCCACCGCTTTCAGACAACCATTCATTTCGTCCAGCTCAGGATAAATCCCCAGCACATCCCCAGCACGCACGCACGCAGTGCGCACAGCGAGAAACTGGGGGGAAGTATGCACAAGTACAAGACACAGAGTAGGTATTTTGGCGACTACACTTGATCTCTGCTTTGCACCGGTTCCGTTCGCTGCTATGCTATGGCATATGCTTCCTGCCTCCGCATTGCTTCGGCATCGTTCATGCACATTGCAAACCACATATTCGAGATATTTGAGATGGTGATCGGCACTTGTGCGTCCGGCCGTCGGTTTGGCCAGAGCTCGAGGGTATACATGCTCTATGTCGAGGCCTTTACTCGCACACATACATACTTCATACTATACATCTTAGGTGCTCAGGTACCTATATCATCCCCCTTATGTTTCTCGTGCTTGCTTGCTTGTTTGCTTTCTTTCTTTCTTTCTTTCTTTCTTTCTTTCTTTCTTTCTTTCTTTCTTTCTTTCTTTCATTCTCGCCATACCTTTCTTTCTATCTCATATCACGTACATATCGAGCAGAACGAACGAACCGGACCCTTCAGGCATCTGCGAGCCGAACCAAGTCCCTAAACCGTGCATGCATGGCGCAGGATGGAGAAAAGCCGCATTCGTCCGAATGCTGCATGCCAGGCCAGGCGTCTGATTGCGAATATTCCCACTAGTTAGGTATGTAGTTAGACAGCACTTGATCATCACGAATGGCTGGCTGGCTGGAGAGAGAGAGAAAAAAAACCTAGTCGTGTCGTGTCATGTGGAAACATGAATATATCCCTCAGGAGACGAACGGAAGGATGGAGGGAGGGAGGGGAGGTGCGAGGGAGGGGAGGTGCGAGGGAGGGGAGGTGCGAGGGAGGAAGGATCGGGGTTCGTAGCCAGCCCTGGACGGTCGTGGGAGACAGCACTTACAGCCAGAGATATCTGCTCTAACTAGCGGCTGTTACCCCTCATCCACCGTCAATGGATCCAGCGTTCGTACGTATCAAGCGAAACGATGCACGAGCATAGCTAGCCAGCCAGCACTGAGCAGCAGCAGCACCTACCTGTGGGCGAAGTATATATGTGTGTATGTAGAGGAGAATCAGCTGCCGAAGTATCGAGAACCTCCCGGCTTGGTCGAAGGTACACACTGCCTCGCGGCCTTTTGCATTCGACTCGACTCAACTCGACTCGATCTGTGTTATGGATGTCGGGGTATATTCGATCGCCGCCCTTCGATGTTCGCATCCGGGCTGCATCGCGAGCGAGAGGAGAGTACATACCCCCTCCTTTCAGTAGTCTCGTCCACAAAACCGCGCAAAACGCCGGCGGACGTGGTGGTGGTGGTGGTGGTGGTGGTGGTGGTGGTGGTGGTGGTGGTGGTGGAGCCGGCGGAAACATTCGGCAGTGCCCAGGCCAGGCCGTGGGCAACGGTCGAAGCTGCGAGCTAGAGTGGTTTCCTGACCTGCCCCATGCAAGTGAAGCAATCGAAGCAAGTGAAACAAGTGAAAGGGAAGAGAACCGGAGCTGTATGTGTGTGGGGTGCAAATGGTCGTCAACATCACAGGATCCTTCAATGACCTTTACCCCGCGTCTGGTCCGCCAGCTATAGTATGGGTGGTAAGGTTATCGGTATGCCGTACTGTGGGCCATGAGTGATGCGATCCGCTCGCCAGTGGATTGGGCCCATAGTCTAATAGTAGATGGGAACGGGGCGATGAAACAAAAGTCGGGAAGCCAGAGCTGTTTGAGAGTGACATGTCACATCGGTAGAGTTGACAGCTGCTTTCCCGCAGTGCGCATGCAGGGTTTCACCTGGGGTCGCGTAGCTACTTGGCATGTAGATAGCTAGAGTGCAGTTGGTGGAGGTCGCAGATAGTGGGCTAGCTATCAACGCTCGCAAAGGCCGGTGTTTCCCTCCGTCGACCTGGGGCATCCCGTAGACCCTCGATATCCAGAGCGGTCCTCGAACCGGCTGCAAGTCGAAAGCTCGGCGGTTTAGCTTTTCCTCTGTCTCTCTTTCCCTCTCTCTTCGGCAGCCTTCGTTCAATCGGCCGGCGCCAGCGAAGGGTCCCGTTTTCGGCCAGCAAGAAGTGTGCTCGTTTACGTTTCGCCTTCGAGCCGATGCTTGCTTGCTTGATTGCCTGCTGGCCTGCAGGATCTGTTTGGTTACCTTCCGTCCTCTCGGTGCGTTGGTTGCTTTCTGAGCCGCAGGATCGGTTCGAGCTCGTCGCGCCGCCGCATCGGCTGGTGGGGATGAACAGTTCCGCGTTCTTTTTTTCCCTTTCCTTTCCTTGCTTGTGTTTTCTTTTTTCCTCTTTCTCTTCTTTCGTTCGTTTTTGCGCCCCAAGGGATTTCCTGGGCCATGGTTCATGGCAGGTGCAGACCCTTCCTTTTCGTGCGATGCAGGAAGAGCGCCGCATTCGTTTCGTGACTGCAGACTGCAGAATGCAGGGTGCAGACTGCAGTTGGTGATTTTTTGATTGCGGACTACACACACTCCCGTTGGCGGTGGTGGTGGTGCAGGCGGTGGTGGAGATGCTGGTGGGGTTGTGGCCTGTTGACCGTACATGCATGCTCCGCCTAGATCGCCGGCCCATGTGGATGTGGGTATGGCAGACGTTTCTTCCAAGATGGTGATAGCTAGTCAACGCAAGTGGTCTGCAAGAGACCCAATCGACGACATTTAGCTAAACGCCGACGATCCTCCAGTCGACTACACTACTCTACTATCCATACACGCATGCGCAGCCCCTGAAGATTGCGCTGGCGCTGGCCCGAGATTGAGATTGTCTGCTCCGCATCGAAGACGGGCAGCAAAGTAGCGGAGCGGAGTGAAGTAGGCGAGCGGAGTGAAGTAGGCGAGCGGAGTGAAGTAGGCGAGCGGATTGCCGTGCGGGAGCAGCATAGGCGAGCAAAGTACTATGATATGTACTCATCATAGTAGTAGGCAAAAGTAGGTAGGCGGCCGTGGACATCAACCGCCCAGAGTACTCTACTCTAGCTGCACTGGCTGCAAGCATCCTCCATTCCTGCTCCATTCCTCCTTTCCTCCTCCTCCTCCCCTCCTCTCTATCTCCATCCCTCCCACCCTCCCACCCCTCTCGCTTCACCCCCCCCCCCCCCCCCCCCCCTCCCTCCCGCCTAGCCCAAATCAACCTATTTCCAAAATACATACGCAGACACATGCCCCGTCTGATGCCCTATCGACCCTCTCAGCCCGCGCTGCATATTCGTCGGCGTTGACGGCCGGCCAGGCAGGACGCTTCTCTTTTCGGCGAGGCACATCGACGTGTCGAACGGCATTGCATTGCTCCCTCGCTCCCCTCGTCCAACTCCAGCGCGAAGAATGCTGGTGCTGGTTGCTGGTGCTGGTGCTGGTGCAGTCTGTCTGTCTGTCCGTATGCACGCTAAGCTGCCTAGGTAGGTGCTCTATGTATGTAGGTAAGCTAACGTTCGTTACCACGGACCATGGCATTGTTGGGCCCGGCAAAACTCTCCGACGCTTCGGGGGCCGCTATAGCATGGAGCAATCATGGGAAAAGAAACGTTGTCGGTGTCGGTGTTGTTGCTGTTGTCGTCGTCGTCGTCCTCGTCGATCGATGTGCCGCATGCCATGCCCCCCCTCCCCCGCGGTCGGGCCCAGCAGATGCATCCGTCCCTTCCTCGATCAGCGGTTCGATCTGTCGACTGGGCCACCCGCTCGAGTGAGTGCACGGCCAATGGGCAGTGCCGTGTGTCGCATTGCTTCGTTGCGACTGTCGACATCGACATTCTACGACAAATGGGTATCGAGTGGAGTGGATGCGGTGAAGCCTTGACCGGATGGGTCACGAGCGATCCCCTCGTCAATGCCCAGCAGCTGGACGTGAGGGCGAGGGTGAGTGGGCGGGCGTGCGTGCCTGCGCTCAGCGTTCCGCGTTCCGCGCGGAGCAAATGGAATGGCGAACAGGCGCTTCCTTCCTTCCTTCCTTCCGAGTGACAACCCGCCATCGCTCCGGTCGGCGGTTGCTGGGCCCCGACGTCCTGTAGATAGAGATCCCGCATGAGAGAGTTGAAACTTGTTGCTGCGTCTCGGAGCCTTGCCATCTAACCACCTTTTGCACGTGAGTTAATTGTGATTTATCATTTCCGAGCTGTACCGTACGATCGTACCCCATGACCACGCGTAGAATTTCAACTGCCCGTCTGCCTGCCCGCCTGCATTTACTATACGCTGCTGGGGCCAAGAGGCATGTGACGATCATCGTACGGTATCGTATACTCCGTATAGTCCGCATTTATGCTGTGGGGTCAAGAGAAGTGCGTTGTCGTCAAAATTGTCGCCGATCAAAGAGTCAAAGCATGGAATCGAGTGACCCATAGTGCATCACTCACTCCCAAGGTGCACACTCAAGTTTCAAGTACCTAGCTCGAGATCGGACAATGCGTTGACGTATGTAGATCCGCCCAGCAGGGCCAGCGCCACGGGAGATTCAACTCAGGCCTACGCCGCTGAACCGGCGCTCAACGAATGGCTACCCACCGGCTCGCACGTAACGTGGTGATTGGCGATTGGCAACTTGGTGGCGGCCAGAGCTGCATATATTTCATGCTTCTTGAACTATCACTCACCATGAGTTGGGCTTCACAACGCAGGCAGGGTCCGAGTGCTCGTGCTCTGAGGCTATCGGCAAGCAACAAGCACCAAGGGGATGGCGGATGGCGTAGACTCCCTCCGAGCCGTGTTGTGTTCCAACTTCCAAGCGTTTGGAATCTGGAGTCCAAAGACGTCAACAGTCGACCACAAACCAGCCCAGTGTTTGCCGTGGCTCATTGATAGTTGCCAGCAAGCAGCCAGCGGGGTTTCGTCCAGTCCAGCCCAGCACCAAATATAATGGCAACGACAACGACAACGACAACGACAACGACAACGACAACGACAACGACAACGACAACGACAACGACAACGACAACGACAACGACAACGACAACGACAACGACAACGACAACGACAACGTTTCCGGCTGGCTGGTGTAGTGGGAGGTATCATGTTACCATGTATGTACGTTTCAATTCCAAAGGCCAACCAAACCAACGGCCATATGCTTGACCAACACCTCTCTTCCCAGGTCCTCCTGCGCGGAGCTGACTCGACTCGACTGCACCGTACGTACGTACCGGCTACGTACCCATAGATCGCCTCACCTACTTGTTTACTTATTCAACCTCTCGCCTACCTTTGCGCGCCAAGATCAACGATCAAAGATCAACGGTCAACCGCGGCCAACCGCTTCTTCCAAGTTCCGGACACCTTTGGGCTTTCTCGGTGGGCTTTCTCGGTCTTTAAACTTTTGACACCACTACGGTACTGCTGCCACTGACTGCCACTGCCACTTTCGAGCATCCACCACGGATCCGTCGGCCCGCCCGCTCGCCCGCCTGGCGCTGTTGCATACCTAGGTACTTTGGTAGCCTCCGGGCATCCAGATTCCAAGCCGAACAGTCGGATCGACAGGTACCGTACTGTATTTCCTGCACCATCACCACCGCCCTGTAAGGCTGTAACCAGCATCCGGGGTCGGAGCGAGGTTTTGGAACGCGGGTTGTCGCGGAATAGGTGGGCGGATTGGAAGGGCCGGATCCGAGGAAGAGCTTGAGAAGCCGAGACACACAAATCCACCCAGGAAACAAGCGTACCAATAATTCACTGGGGATATGTATGTTTTTGCGGAGGGTAAGTGGAGTACTATACATGGGTAGTAAACCAAAAAAGAAGAAACCACAACCACGAATCGAACCCCAGTCGCCGAGTGCAAAAAGCCAAGACACCTGGCCGGGAGAGGTGCTGCCAGAAGAATTTTAATTCAGTTGAGCTACTTTGGCTGAAAGACAGTTTTTATAAAATCAATATGACGGACATGGTTGACAGCCAGGAAACACGTGGGCGCACCGGCTGCAGGTACTTGTTCGTTTATTTTTCTTCAGTACCTATTGCACGTAGAGAGCTGATCTAGATTATAAAAAATTTACGCACCTTTTTCCCCGACCGCATGGTGTTTCGGCAATGGGCTCGACGGCGCTGCACTCCCCTATGTCGCGGCCTCGCACCGCACCCGTCGCTGAGATCGTGGCTTTTGCTAGTTCCGCTTGTATAGGTACATGACGACTGCATGTACTGGTATTGGCTCGCAATGAGCGATGCGCGCATCCCGATCGTCCGTGGTGAATCTCGAACTGTGCACACGGAGATATCCCAGTAGGTATATATGTGCACAGTAACACTTGAGATATCACTCGCAGTGCAGGCAACAGCCCAGCCCAATCAAAGTCAGCCCGCAGCCCGGCGCGTGGAGCCCAGCCCGGGCTGGGCTGGTCTTGGCAGCCCGGCTGCAGCGAGTGAGTTGTTATGATGCCTCACACTGCTACTCTTCGTTGACCAACGTTTTTCCTATCTATTGTCGTAGAGTTACCCTATCAACTCTACGATCCAGCCCGCCCAGCCCAACTGATAGCCCGGGCTATCAGATCAGCCCACCAGCCCCAGCCCAGCCCATGGGCTTTTCGGGCTGTTGCCTGCACTGATCACTCGATGCGTGACATGAAGGACGCATCCTACACTTTTAGAGGAGCGCCTCCGCCAATATAATGAGTACTACAGCGATGCGATCCTGGAGTTCCTGGTAATGACGGACGTGGCAAGGAAAGTTCTGCCAGACTTAGATGCCGATATTCAAGCAATACAGTTCCCACCATGTAACAGAGGGTTTTGTGGAGTGTATTTTGAAATGCGGGCTTGGAACGACAACATGTGCGGGCTTGGAAGAGCCCAGTTGAGCTTGGAAGAATCGAGTGCTGGCAACAACAATGATTGCTCGCAACAACAAGGAGTACAAGCTTGGAATGATGTGGGACATTTATTTTTATTTTTTGCAAAGGCTCGGAATGATGGCAGCATGTGTTATTGCCGGTAGTGGACGTCCGGAGTGAACGAGAAATAAACACGGATAACTAGAGCGGTCAAATGAGGAGTGAAAGCCGTGTTCACCCCCGCCGACCGTCTATTATGCAGTCTACACACCGCAATTTTTTCTTTGCGGGATACATGAACCTCTCGGTCAACTGATTGAGTGATAACTCACAGATTGGATAGAGTGACAGGAATGTATGATTATCGTTCATGACTCATCACCCGCTTCTACTCACACCACCGTATCCCCATAACTCGAAGTTGAAAACCAGGCTGTCTAGGTAGCTTGATTGATCCCCTCGAGCTCCAGCATTCATCGTAAACAGTATGTCAGTATCCGCTCATTGAGGCATCCTGCTCTGCGGTCCGTCTTCTGATACTCAGCCTTCATTGAACATCACGTTAGGCTGGCGGTGGTGACTAAAGGCTGGGGTGTTACTGTTTGCTCAAGTGCGGTGACCGGTAGTATGGAATGATCACTTGCTGAGTGCCGCATGTTAAACACCGTGATGCTCAAGTTCCAAGACCATATGCGCCGCATTGTTGTCCGAGTGATACGAAAGAAAACCGAACTTTGACCCGCTACCGCACCGAATGTTGCAAGCACCGACCACCTGTCCTCCGAACGGCTAGTGGAATGCTCACAAGAACACACTCGTTCCCACAGTCTGCCATTCAAGCTGTTGAATCCACCGAGCTGCACACATTACACATCACATGTCCTCATGAGGATGTTCGCGGCTTGCGGGAAATAACGAAGAAAACCAAAGTCCCAAAAACCAGCATAGTCGAGTGAATTTTTATGCATCCCCAGCATTTCTGTCCTCGAACTGCTACACACTCGAGTTATGTACGAGGTTTTACGTGTGAGACGCTTGGATACGTGTGAGACGCTTGGATACGTGTGAGACGCTTGGATGAGTCGGCTTGGAAGAAAACCGCCAAGCGGCTTGGAATAATAGCTCCTCAAGCACAGTTATTCGAGCCCAAAATCCGGGCATCTAAGACTAACCTCGTCTGTAGACCGGGGTTCGATTTGCATAACGGATAAGCTCCCGCTCTCCCGCCCATCTGCCCGTCTTTGGATACTCTTTCAGGGCCGACTGAGATTGTCGGATGCCGAGTTGATGCATTTCCGAGTGCGGAGAGATAGGATGTCATTTAGCGAGATGAAGAACAGCTCTGACGAGAGGAATATCATATAGTTCAAGGTTCGAACCTCAATCCCATGCAGGCTCTACATACGGTTCCCCAAGACTACCTAAGAGACAAGCAGATCGGTAATGGATGTGTTTTTTTCCCGCAACTACTGAGCTGACGGGCACCACAACGAGAGATCGCAACGGGCCGTTCAATCATTCTTCCGTCTATGTATCGGTCGTGTGGGAGGCGTATTCGGGTAGATGAGGTGGTCTCCAGGACTGAGACCCGGGTTGTGATACTCTAGAATCATGCCTCGTTCCGGGAATGTGGGCGCAGTCTCTTCGGCCCTCCGAAATCGTGCGGGTTGTCCGGGAGATGTCAGAGAAAGACAGACGGACGGGACGGGGCGGGGCGGTACGGGTGGCATCCCTATGGTAGAGCGAATGGTGCGGTTGGCACTTCTGAGACAGGCTCCTCACATGGCAGCCCCAGGAATGGTAAAATCTAGCATACTGAAAGCGTGTTAATTGTCAAGAATCATTTGCTTCGTATAGACATATCTCAAACAGCATAACTTCTAGACATAACACGCTAATCTTCATCCATATCATCTAAAGGGAAGGAATACTAGAGAGCTCGAGCAATGAACTAAATCTTTGACTGCAGTCGTCGAATAGTGGATGGAGAAGATCGCGACAGAGACCCTTTGGGCCACGAGCTTCATCTAACCTACCGATGGACCGAGTCAAAGCGTGTGCTTTACTGAATCTCGTCGCTACAAGAGCTTGGGTCATCCGTATCTATGCATGCTTCCCTTGTTACATATCGTGACAGGCATTTGCTACATATACACTAGTTAGGGGAGTGTTGGTGGACATCGAATCGAGAACAGAAACTCGTTTTGCGGATACTTTGCGCCTGCCACGAGTTGTGGAACGGGTAGATCTGCTTATCTCGGCTCGTCGATCGTCACTTCCCGGGGGAAGCACATGCTCTCCGAGGGGTGGCGTGGCGGTGGTGGCGCTAACCCCAGCTCGAGAACATTCCGCCCCTCTTTATTGCCTTGCCCCACACATTACCGTCCCTCGTTCGCTCGCTCGATTCGAAGGATTTCATCAACGCCTTCAACTATTACTACAGAACCACGAACGCAAAGATGGTAATATCACTGACTCCCCTATTCTCTGTTTGCCGGCAAGTTTCTGATGAAATGGGGTTATTATAGAGCACCGAATCAAAGAAGAAACTCGCGCTCGCGGTCATCGACTTTCTTACCACCTCTACCACCGACGGCACCCTGAGCCCCGACGAGAAGGAGTCCATAGAGGTCGCTACCCAATGCATCGCGGATGCGTTCAAAGTCGATCCCGAGGATAAAGCCGCTGTTGCCGATGCCCTCGGCGGCCAGTCACTCGTGGCCATCTACAGCGTATTCGAGAAGATGAAGGGCAAGACAACACCGAAGCCTGCGGCCTCCACCACCCCCGCTGCCGGTGCCGGTACCAAGCAGCCAACCGATGCTGAGAAGGCAGAGGCCGAAGCTTTGAAGAGCCAAGGAAATGCTGCCATGTCGAAGAAAGACTACACTGGCGCTATCGATTTCTACTCCCAAGCTCTCAACATCCACCCCAACAACCCCATTTACCTTTCGAACCGTGCTGCGGCGTTCTCGAATACCGGAAACTATGATGCTGCGATCAGGGACGCCGAGACCGCCGTTGATACCGATCCTTCATACAGCAAGGCCTGGTCGCGCCTGGGACACGCGAGATACTCCAAGGGCGACAACCGTGGAGCGATGGAGGCGTACAAGGCCGGCATCGACGCGGAGGGCAACGGCGGAACTCCATTAATGAAGGTCGGATACGAAACAGCCAAGAAGAGGGTCGATGCCGAGGAGGCCGTCACGAGCCGGGGAGGACCTAGCAGTGGCGGGCCTGGTGCGGGAGGTCCAGGCGGTTTCGACATGGCGAGCATGCTCAACAACCCCATGCTCGCAAATCTTGCGAAGGAGAAGCTCGGTAACCCGGCTGAGATGCAGAACATGCTCAAGGGACTCCTCGGTGGTCAGGGTATGCCAGACATGAGCGAGATCGCGGGCCTTATGCAGAACCCCCAGTTTGCTGCGATGTATGGCTTCTACCCCGCCCTGGACTAAGAACGAGGGACCGTGCTGACTTTTTACGACTAGGGCTCAGAACATCCTTGGTAGCCTTGGTGGAGCTGGCGGAGCAGGTGGTTTCCCCGGCGGACCCGGCGGACCCGGTGGATTCGGTGGAGCTGGCCCCAATAATTAAACGGCATTTGGGAAGAGGATTCGTTTTTAATGTTTTTTTTCATGGCTTTCCGGGCCCCGGTTGACAAATCTGTTCGTGCATTGTTATCTACCTACTTGTTCATTTATCACCTTCCGCTGGGTGTTGTTTTCGATACGAACGATGGTGTTCACTACGTACCGAATCGCAAACCACCGGCGTGAGCCGGGCATTCGATTCCAAACATGGGCGGTGGCCGCCAGTGACCGCACTGCTGCTGTCTGACAGGAGTACGTAGTACGTCCAAGCCTACGGCACGGCACATAACCTGGACATGCAAGGCACCTGACCCCAACCCAACAGCCAGGGCGAACGAACCTGCATTAACGCATCCCGACCGACGTTCAACATGTCGCTCAGCTGGCCATGCTGAGTGCATCGATCCGGAGGGAAGCTGCATCACACAGCTCGAAGCTACCTTACCTCTCTACGCGACTGATAAGGCGGCCACGTGTATATAAAGCCCCCGACCACCCCGAAGCTCCTGACAGCCTTCGGGAACAGTCTGCACTCCCTTCGATCCTGCCAAGACCATCCCTGATAACAAGCGGCAACCTCCGTCGCTCGAACACTCACTTCAATCAGCCTTATCAACCCGCAGCACTCAATCGATGGCAACGAGCAGAGTCGATATAGAAGCTATCAAGACGACTGTATCATACGCCTCCCACGAGCTCCAAACCCTCGATGTCTACCACCTCACCAAGTCGCCGTCCGCATTATGGGTGATGTACTTTCCCCCTCCCCCCCTCCGTAGACGATCCCGCTGACTCGGTGTCACAGCTTCATACACGGCGGCGCCTGGCGCGACCCCCGCATCACCTGCTCAGCCGGCAACCCGCTGATCAACCACCTCCTCAGCGCCTCGCTGCCCATGCCCATCAACGCCGCATCCCTCAACTACCGCCTATCCAGCTCCCACCCCTCCCCAATCCGGCACCCGGACCACATAGACGACGTACAGGCCGCACTTCAGCACCTGCGCACGCACTACGGCATGCGCGAGTACGCTCTAGTTGGGCACTCCGCCGGTGCGACGCTGGCGTTCCAGGCGCTCGCCAGTGCGCAGCACCCCCCGCGGGCAATCTACGGCCTTGAGGGGATCTACGATCTCCGGGCGCTGGTGGCGGAGTACCCGGACTACCGGGGGTTCGTGGAGGGGGCGTTTGGCGCGGAGCAGGCGGGGTGGCCGGCGCCGCTGGCGCTGGGCGGGTATACGGGCCTCGTGGTGCTCGCGCAGAGCGATAGCGATGAGCTACTGAGCTGGCGGCAGACCGAGGAGATGAAAGGAAGGTGTGAGGATACGATCGGCGTGGGCGGCGGGTTGAGGGTCGTTAAGGTCGTGGGACGACATGATGAGGTGCTGGGCTGTGAGCGCGTGGCGGGCGTCGTCGAGAGGTACTTGAGGGAGTTGGTGTAGTGGTTTCATTGTGCTTTAGTTATGGCTGGATGACTTGGTTGGGCGGGCTGGAGTTTGGATCATTTGGGTTGGGTTGGATTGACTACTCTACATATGGGGATGTCGAGGAATGTTTGTGATTCGTCGGGGAATTCCTCGGTTGAACATTTTTATTGTATTTAATGATTCCCTCGTATGGTGGAGTAATACCAGTTGATGTACCTAGTGCGGCTCACCGAATGCAACTGGGCGGGCCGAGTGGCCGATGAGAGGGGTCACCTGTCAAGCGAGTCATTAAGATTGTGATGGAAGTTAAAAGGCACAGTTCAAGATTTGCTCAGTCAATTCAATTCAATTATATTCTGTCTATGAAATGGAAAGTGTCGTGGTGATTAAGACCCTCAATATCATATCAGTGTCCAACGAAACGCCAAACTCTTCAGAAAAAGGATCCCAAACCCCAGCACAAAAATATGTATCGGACCTTAGGTACGCCATCCTCCAATTATTAGGAGGTGGTGTTCGTAGGGTACGAGTGTATTCATCTTGGCACGATAGAATAAATTCCTTCAGCACGCGTAGGTAGGTTTCCTTCGGTGCTGTACACACAAATGCCAGACTGATAGGAGAGTCACTCCGTTCTTCACCTCTCTCCATGCGTCACTTGCAATGGGGCGGTGCGACCAATTGGTCAGGCAATCGATGTCTCATAAGTGGTGATCACACAATGCAGGTAAACGAGTGACAAACGAATTTAATTGTTAATCGTAGTTAACTGTGTTTCCACACAGCTCTTGGTGAGTAATTGCCCTGTCTTTAATCTAGTTAGCTAAGTGCTAATAAAGTTGACATGGGAAGATAAGGATATGTAAAGGAAGCAGTCAAATTCAGGCTCATTAAATCAGATTTTGGAAGGCTCTTCTCCCGAAGGATCACCCAAAAAAGATATTTTCATCATTTGACTGGGGGCTGCAATGGTGGGGGAGGATAAGAACTAACCATGCAACTCTAGCGGCATTTGGGGGCCGCTTCCCCGCTGTAATACAACGTGGGCTATTGGTTGAGGGTACTTGAGGAGAATTGTCAGCACTTGAACTCTTACGTTGTGCTGATTCATGATAACAAAGGATGCAGGGTAGGATCAGTAGTTGAGGTATAATCAAGACTCCCATCCCGGCGCCTCGGTGTGAATGAGACGCGGTTACCGCAAGCGGTGGGAAAGAAGGTAAGACAGTGTGAATACATATTTGTAAAGTATCATCATAAAGGGCTTGAGTATGGAAAAAAGGGGGTGGGAGTATGAACACGTACCACATGTGATGCTCGCACACGGCAAGTAGTGTGTGTTCCAGTGTTCTATGGCGAGCGGAAAGTTAGCACCTCGTACGTGCCAATAGTCGATTTGCCAGTGATGCAAAATAGCAACAGTATCAATCGGATCAGGTGACGATCGAAATCATCAAATGCCCCCTCCCGGCAACCCGGTTGTACATTGGGCGCTGCTACCGCAAGCGGTGAGAGGAAGTGATATGTCCGCCCGTTCGTTCAAAATTCGTCATGTGATTGATAGTTGCAGTAATTGAGGAGATGAGGATAATGTATGTACCTAGAGAGTAGACTCGGGTTAGCCATCATCGAAGTAACGATTGAGGAAGCGTCAAGTAATAATGCGAGTAGCAAAGACGTTGGTCAGACAAGGCTGAAACTTATAAAATAGACAAGGTTCGACAAAATATATTCCGAAAGAGCAAAGCATGTCAAGGTATCATCAACCCAACGGGAGGGGGTGATATTCGGGCACAATTGCGGGGCGATTGATGCGGGGTTACCAACCTGTCAAGATCAAACCATGTAGTTCAAATGCCGGAAAAGTGGGCCATCTGAAGCCACATGGCTCAATGGTGTGAAACTGCCGGCCTCACAAACGTTAACATTTTCATGTCTCTTCTGTCCTCCTGTTGTAACATTAGCGAATGTTCCCAACTGGTACTGCAGCAAAACCGTAAATGATCAAGATCAGAGAAAGCCCTGAGGCATCGTCCTCACAGAAAAATAGGAGTTGGATTGTTCAATGTTTTGTGTATCATCACTTAATGAAGCATGGCTGGCGAGACAAATGGTTGGAGAAGACATACTCAGTCAAACAATTGCTGTAGGTTTAGCTATTCATTAGACCAATGGTAGCTGGAATGGTAGTGACAACGGCAGAGAATGTGTGCGGTTGCGGTGATTCGTTGTTGTTGCTGCGGATGGTGGAGAGGATGGCAGTGAAGACGGAGGAAAAGTTCTCTTTAAAAAATCGAACTTTGATGTTTCGATCTCATTGGCGTGTCTTGGCGCCGTCGGCTAAATTCTCAGCAGCCACCTAAGCCACCTAAGCCACCTAAGCCGCATTCCGGAGACCCTTGGCAGGCTGTGTTTCTTGCTCAGCGCGCAGTTGCCACATCCTGTTACAAGCAAGCTCGGCCATATCTATCCCCCGAACCCCTCTCCTTCTCCACAACTATCTCGTCCCAAACCTCTCTACTCACCTAAACAACCACCTTTCTCCAAACTCGACCAAAAATCATGGGGCCCGGGGTACACGTACCCCTCCGCATGCTACGGTATGTAGCTATGCTCCTCTAAGTGGCGTTTATTAGCTCTAGGGAGCTTCCGCTGACCATCATGCAGTGCCGTAGTGCAACGCGGCATCACGGTGCTAAAGTCTCGTCTCGCAGCACCTCAAACAGCTGCCAAAGTCCTCGAACCAATCTATGCAACGGTCCCGCGTAATGCCCACCTCCACCCAGCTATCCGTCAGAGGATTGGTGGTCGCTGGTACTCGACTTCGGTAAAGAACATCCTTCGCCTCGCTGGCGAGGTCGCACCGCGTGCCACTCGTCAGCCGGCTGTTCGAATCTCAGTCGCTGGGAGGTTGACTACTCCATTCGCTTCCACTCTTCGACCGACGCTCACTGGTGGTGCCATCCCGCGATCGACGATGGGCTACTCTCTCGGTGGCGGTGCTCGCTTCTTCTCACATGGCCCCGCGGCTCCAGCCCAGGTCTTCGGCCAAGTCTCATGCGCCATGCGAGCCTTCGTGAACTCTGGCAAGGACAACTACCTTCGCCAAAACAGCAAGATGGGACCCATTAGTGTGCGAGCCCAGCTTGCTGCTTCTTTAGCCCAATCAAACGCACCGGGCGCATACGTCGACTTCGACTTGTCGCCGACCATGACTTGCATCAGCCCACTTAGCGCCGTCCACCGGTCTCTCGACAATGAGGATTTCCTCAAAGACCTTACTGCCGACTTCGGTGCTATGATGGGAACTCTTGTTGCCGTCAACGCCGACATCCGGAGTTTGAGCACCTTGGGAGATCTCCCAGTCTCGCTTGCCGGACCTTCCGGTAACATCCTGAGAGTTCACTTCCGTGGATGTGAAAAAGATTTTGTCGAGAAGCTTTGTGATGAAGTAGGTGTTAAGCGTGGCGTCGTTCATGAGGAGGAGCGCTTCATGTTTGGCATGCTAGCTCCGGGATCAGTCACCTGGCAAGAGATGATGAGTGACTCGCCGCCCTTATCATCAACTTACTCGGAAGACGGCTTCGAAGACGAAATCAAATCGCGAATCACTGGGTCCGAGTCGCTGGGCGAAGAGGATTACTACTTCGATCCTGCCGATAGGCCGGTCATGCTAGCGAGTCCTGGACTAATCTCGTCAAGCAGCTCCGGAGACTACGGTGGGTTGCAAGGAATCCACCGTTTCCTCGAGGAATGCGATGAGTATCGGTCGGGACTAAGCACCAATCGATACTAGGTAGTGATGAGGGAGTCGGAGTTTGAGTATTTGCTTTTATCGGGATTTGTATTTTTGACCACGAATTTGTCATTCTTTGGAGGGTGTTTAGCATATGAATTTGAACTTGAAGGATCCGCAGTCTTTCCTTACTAATATGAATATTATCTCTTTGCTTGATGGTTGTGTACCTATGTTACTTGGGTGCCAATGAGGAACATGGCGTCCTTGACGAAAGTGCATGTTAAAGTGAGCCGACAGGTGTCTAAACTGTAGTCTGTAAAGAAGTGCAAGCTCTGACGAGAGTGGCTGTTTATATCGGGTTTCTGAATGTGGGGAGACGTAGGGTGATTTCTGGTGAGCTGTCCGTCCGGTCACGTGACATAGTATCGTACGGTAACCGAGTTAAGGTCGCCTGAATATCGCTATTATAGTTCAATTGATATGCTAGATACACCTGAAAAAGGAACTTTTTATGTTATTGAGCTTTGACAGTAATGCCTTGGAACTTGACAGCCATGAGCTCAAGCTTGACCGCCGACGGAGTCAAATGGTGGCCTAGGATCAGCCACTTACCCGGTTTTTAGGTGGGTCTCAGCCCCACTCATTGAGCACCACCCCACAATTTCATCCACGTTCTTCAATTCATCCCCTCCACCGAGACCTGTGCCGCCGAGTCAGCAACTTTCATCCAGTGTCTCAACCTGTGAACCGTGAGATCCTCATTATCACGGTAAGGGAAATTCCCCCCTCTTTACTCAGCGCAGGTTATTTAATGAATCCACAGGGATCACCAAAAGCTTCCTCCACGTACAATAATTTGAACCGGCACGCTCATCCTCCTCCACCTCCTCCACCGTCGCCATGCCGACCCTTTTAGCATCGAAAGATGCCGCCCTATTCCGCACTGTGGTCAAGTGCTATGAACAGAAGCAATACAAAAAGGGCCTGAAGGCGTGCGATGTCAGCTACCAACTCCAACTCCGCTTGTCGAGAAGAAGTCAGGCGCACTAACTGTCACTCGCAGCAAATCCTACGAAAGAACCCGAAGCACGGCGAGACCCTAGCAATGAAGGGATTGATAACCAACTCGTTGGGTAAAACGGAGGAAGCCTTTGCGATCGCCAAGGAAGCGCTGAAGTACGACATGAAGTCTCACGTCTGCTGGCATGTTTACGGTCTTCTCTACAAGTCAGAGAAGAACTATGAGGAGTCGATCAAAGCTTACAAGATGGCGTTGCGGTTCGAGCCAGACTCGCAGCAGATCCTGCGGGATCTTGCCCTGCTGCAGATCCAGATGAGGAACTACGATGGTTTGGTGGAGACGCGCAAGACGATTCTGCAGACTCGTCCGCAGCTGAGACAGAACTGGACGGCCGTCGCGATCGCTTACCACCTGGGCGGCCAGTACGACGAAGCGGAGAAGGTCCTGGTTAAATACGAGTCGACAGTCGAGGGGAAGGTGCCGAAGTGGGACACCGAGCACTGGGAGGCATGCTTGTACAGGAACAGGATCATTGCGGAGTCTGGAGACACTGAAAGGGCGCTGGAGCATCTGGAGACTATCGCCAAGAACTGTCTGGACAAGGTTGCGTTGCTGGAGAGCAGGGCGGAGTACCTGCTGAAGCTGGGCCGGAATGAGGATGCTCAGAAAGCCTACAGGGCACTGCTCGACAGGAACCCCGAGCAACGAGCATACTACACAGGGCTGGAGAAGGCTATGGGAATTGAGGCCGATAACCGGAAGGAAGCCAAGGCGCTTTACGACGAATATGCCAGCAAATTCGAGAGAAGCGACGCACCGAGACGAATTCCCCTGGATTTCCTCGACGGTGACGAGTTCCGGCAAGCGGCAGACACCTACCTGCAGGCTAAGTTGAAGAAGGGAGTCCCGTCGACATTCGCCAACATCAGGGCCCTCTACGCCGATACTGCCAAGCGGGAAACAATATTCGATCTCGTCAACTCGTATTATGAATCGCAGAAAACGGAGGTAGCATCTGGTGAATCTAACGGTTCATCGAAACCTTCGCTCTTCAGACTGTGGACGCTGTATTTCCTTACTCAGCACTACGATCACTACCGCACACGGAACATGGACAAGGCACTCGAGTACCTCAACGAAGCACTTGAACTTGCGCCGGAAACCGTGGAGCTGCATATGACCGTCGCTAGGGTATACAAGCACGCCGGGGACCTTCAAAAAGCCGCACAAAAGATGGACGAGGCGCGTAACCTGGATAAGAGCGACCGATACATCAATACCAAGACTGCGAAGTACCAGCTCCGCAACGACCAAAACGACGAGGCACTGAAGACGATGAGCCTGTTCACTAGGAGCGAAGCCGTTGGCGGGCCGCTTGGCGACCTCTTGGAAATGCAGTGCGTCTGGTACATCGCCGAAGACGCGGAATCCTACCTCCGACAGAACCAGCTCGGTCTCGCATTGAAGCGATACCAGTCCCTCTGGACGATCTTCGAAGTTTGGACAGAGGACCAAATCGACTTCCACCCCTTCTCCCTCAGGAAGGGCCAGATCAGGGCTTACATCGACATGTTGAAGTGGGAAGACACTCTCCGCTCTCACCCGATGTTTTCACGCGCGGCGTTGGGCGCCATCCAAGCTTACCTTAAGCTCATCGACATTCCAGTCCTTGCCCAAGGCGCTATGGCAGACGGCGAAGCAGCGAAGTACGAGTCCATGCCGGATGCGGACCGCAAACGCGCGATGAAGAAGGCGAAGAAGGAGGCACAGAAGGCACAGGAGAGGGCTGCTGCTCATGCGGTGGCAAAGAAGGAGGAAAAGAATAAAAACGCACAGGTGGCGGATCCCGAGGTTAAGAAAGTGGATGCGGATCCCCACGGAATCCAGTTGGCCCGCACGGACAAGCCACTGGAGGAAGCCGCCAAATGGCTCAAGCCTCTGTTGGAGAATGCTCCGGAGCATTTAGAAACCCAGTTGGCCGGATTCGAGGTTCAGCTGCGCAGGCGTAAATGGACGCTGGCGCTCCAATGCCTGAATAAGGCGATCGAGTTGGCACCAGAAGATCCTAGAGTACATGAGTGCAAGATCAGAATGCGTCACGCTGTCAACCTCCTGTCCGAGGACGAAGAGTTCAAGGCTCCCGAGTCGAGAGATGCGCTGCTTGAGGGGGTTGAGAAGGTTCTATCCAAGGACACAGATCTGTCCAAGTGCAACGAGGACTTCTTGGAGAGCAACAAGAACAGTTTTGCGCATGTTCGTTCTGGTAACCAACCCTACTATATCCATCCATATTAACTTGAGCTAACGGGATCATAGCCCTGCGGATACGTCATCTTTTCAGACCAGAAGAGAAGGATGTGTCTATCCTCCTGTCGACACTGGACGATGAAAACATCACCCTGACCGACGCGGTGGAGGGACTGAAGCTCTTGCATGCGCTTCGGGTGGACGAGAAGGAGTACAAGGAGAAGGCTGCTAGCAAATTCCCCGTTGCCAAGGTGTTCAAGAAGACTCAGTAAGGGATTAGAATTGGATAGGGCAAAAAAGCGAGCATTGGATCTTTGGGCTGGGGGAGCGAGAATGGACATGGGCATGAAAATTGAATCGCCAGACCTTTAGGTTTGGGAACATCTCTTGCGAGCCGTTTTCTCGTGCGTTGGGGAGCTATACTAGACTTGCTAAATTCTGCAAGACTTTCCTTTTCCTTTTCCTTTTCCTTTTCCTCTTCCTTTTCCTTTCCTTTTCCTTTTCCTTTTCCTTTTTTCTTTTTTCCTTTTTTTTCTTTCTTTTCCGTTTTCCTTTTTCATTTTCCTTTTTCTCTTTCCTTTTTCAATTTTCTTTTTTTCCTTTTCCTTTTTCGTTTTCTTGTTTCATTAAATAAGCTCGAGCATAAGGGCTGGTTATTTGAACAAAAGTTTGTTGTCTGGTTCGGACGGGGACGGGGTAGAGTTACTGTATCTACGGAACTGATGATTCGTTTCATCGGGATTCGTGAAGGGGATCACTGGACGAAATAACGGCTCGCTCGGAGTCGTCATGGATGAAACTCGGAGTGATGAGACACATGTGCAGCCCAAAGATGTTTGAATCCCGTTGTGATGCACATTGCAGCGGGGTTTCCACGCATAGGTACGAGTGAGAGTGGGTGAGCGAGCTGCAGAAAATCAGCACCATCGGCATCGTCAGCATAGCTAGGTACAGCGTGAGGAACATTGGGCCCACCAGAGGAGCGCATATACCAACCATCCGTCTACACATGGCACGGATCGAGTTCTGTTACTCAATGCAGGTCATGGGAGCACCTTGAACCCGTAGGCCGTGGCGGGGCCGCTGTAGTGGGGGTCGAATCCCAGCATCGCGCACCTCTGTGGACTCTTGGAGCCATCGCTCGCGTACATACTTTCGCGAGTTCGAATAGCGGTAGCCTCAGCCTGTAGGTACGGTACCTTTGTTAGCGGTGTTCCAACTTTCCTCGGTGCTCTCTATACATGTGCCGCCAACCGGTATGATCCAGTAAGCGAGTGAGTGAGACGGCACGGGACGATACCACCGGTAGCATGCAGACTTGTTACCATGGATTCATAGAAGACGGCCAGCCACAGCCACACCCGAGACCGAAGCCGTGTCCTCGTCTCCAAAATCCAGAATCGTGCAGGATCCGAGACGGCGGCGGTATCACCAAGACTCAACCAGCCGTCTTGGTTTCTTGGTTCGATCGGATTCGAGAACGACCTATATCGTCCAGGTAGGTGAGTGGTACGAACGGATCCCGGACACTTGAGTCTACCAGTCGGGTTAGGGACCGTGGCCTCGGCATTCGCTATGGGGTATGGGGGTTGATGGTGGTTGTCACGGTGTATGAGAAGAAGAAATATAGCCAGCCACAGTCAACGCTTTTGAAGTTTTGATTACACCGGCCGCCAGTACGGTAAGAAACTTGAGGGAACATCATCCTCATCTGTCGATATGGTAGATAAAAAATTAAATGAGCATAGGTGAGTGCTTCTCAAAGAAAAGAAAAGAAAAGAAAAGAATACTGAAGCAAGCAAGGAAGCAAGCAAGTAGACCATGCAGAGAAGCTTGAAAAACCAGAAACAAAACGCCCGCCGGCAAAAACAACAAACAAACATGAAAAAGAATTGTAGGTATCCAAAGAAAACGCCAACGAAAAGTAAAAACACTACCCTCAATATGTACAGCACTACAAAAAAAATTAATACCTGGAATTAATCACTCCTACTCCAGCAGTCGCAGCTGGACATTACTAAACAGACACTCGGTCCGTAACCTAACCTCCATCCGCATCTCCTCGACGTCCATCGCGCGGCTGCCGCGGCCGAGGTCGATGCGTTTGCCGGCCGCCTCGAAGCCCATGCGCATCGTCTCCAGCATTGGAGTCTTCTCCCGGTCTTCGATGAGACTCAGTAGGAACCCGAAGCTCTCGCGCAGCGGCTTCATATCGACCGTGATCCGTTTCAATGCGGGTAGCCGTGGCAGGGTAGGCGTGAAGCCGGTGGGTAGGTCGGGGCCCGAGAACGGCGGCACCGGGGGTGCATTCGATATCGAGAAGCGCACGATCGACGGCGTGCTCGCGAGCAGTCGGTAGAGGGTGTGCATGGGCATCGCCGAATTGCGCAGCTCGAGGTGCGTCATCTTGTGGCCCTTCTGCTGCAGGTATGCGAATATCCGCTCCTCGCTGATGAAGAGGCACATTTCGATCTTCAGCCGTCGCAATGCCGGCAGGCGCTCGAGAAACCCTGCTTCCGGGTTTCGGTCCATGATGCAGAGGTTGCATAAGGTGACTGATTCGAGGCTGCTGAGCGCGCAGAAGTCGAACTCGTCCGGGATGTCCTCACGTCGTAGGTTGTTGAGCTCCAGATGCCGGAGTTTCGTCCAGAGGGGGAAGACGGTGATGGCGATCGCAAGGGGCGGCCCCGGCATGTTCTTTTGCATGTCGACCATCGCGGTCATTCGCTTTTGTCGTACCTTGCACTGCTCGTATTTCACCCCCGTTTCGCGCTTCCAGGTCCAGCGTCTCATCTGGACTAAGTTCGACAGTGTCGATACGAGGTCCTCCGGACTTCCCGAGGCTATCGCGTGGTCGACAAATTCTAGATTCGGGCATTTCTGCAGGATCGCCGAGAGTGGGTATTTGGTAATTGAGAACAACCTGCGCGGGAGCTTGATTCCTCTGATGCGCTCGCCGATATCGCCCTGCGAATCCCAGATCGTTCGGTAGAGGAGCTGTAGTTTCGCTTGGATGTCGATCTTTGTGTGTAGTGCTGCACCGGCATGGCCACGGCAAGTGGTATACGGTACGAATTCCGGAGCTACCCCCTTGCCATCCTCGTCGCGCGTAGGCTCGGAATAGTATCCAAAGTCCAATGACACCGTTCGATAGAGTGTTTGAGTCGCGGCTCTGTTCCACGAACGTGATACCAGGGCAAGGGCCCACAGCGTGTGGATGTCACAGTTGGGACAGCGCTCATGCCGTTCGTCTTGGCCCAGATCTTCTTGATGCGTCTCGGTAACGAAGAAATCGCAAATCCGCATGGCAATCTCTACTGGAAGCTCGGGAGCAGGTGTAGTTGTTCTTTTGCCTACAAACATATCCGTCGACTCTAACAGATCCCCTTGTTCTTGTTCTTCTTCTTCTTTTTCTTCTTCTTCTTCTTCTTCTGAGTCCGAGTCATCCAGATTCAACATGCTAATCTCCTGCGCCTTTACCGTAGAACCCGAGCTGAACGTCCCATACTCCTCCGGGTCCCCAAGCGAAGGCGAGGTAGCCGTCATCGACGTCACCGTCGTCGCTATCGTTCCTGTCGATGTCGCGGAAAACGAGGAGCATAGAGATTGCGGACGGAAATAGAGGCGCTCCGGAGCAGGGGGCACTTCGATCGGCGTGTAGGTCAGCTCGCTGAAGCAAGGCAGTCGTCGATTGCTACTTTGGAGTTCGTTGTCCTCGAAGTCGTTCAGATGGTCGCATGGTTTTGGCGACGCGGGCATACGGAAGCCAGCAGACGTCTCCCTGATGCCCAGCAACGCGAGTGCCTTATGCGGAAGTGCAACAGGCGATGGCGCATTTGGGTCGTCGGCCCAGCTAATCGGTCCAGAAGCCGCGTCGGCGTCACTGCCACTATTCGGGTCGGTACCAAAACCAAACAGTCGGTAGAAAGTTTTCGGTCGCTCGAGCGGTTTGTTTCGTCGCACCGGCGTGGTGTTGTGCGCATGTGGGGCCTCGGGATCGAAGCGCGAATTGAGCGGCGGAAATCGGTGCGTAGGCAGCGTCGTCGTGGGAGATACCGGCTCCCCGTATGTCTTGTTCGAATGCGCGGAGTGGCTGCGACGGCCGTACAGTGTTGGCAGCGATACCGTCGAGCCTGCACCTCCTCCTCCTGCTCCTACTCCTGCTCCTGCTCCTGCTCCTCCTCCCGTGTATACTCCTACACCCAGTCGTTCTCCTCCGCGGCCGACTTCACGGTCCTTATCGACCCCTGAACCGCCCCTCTTGCTCCGACTGAATTTCTTCGAGAAGCTGAACATGGCGGCCTGACTGAATGCGATAGGTGTTGTCGGACGGCGGAGGGGGGAGGGGGCCGAAGATCAGAACGCAGAGCAGAGCACAGGTGTTCGAGGGCGGCAGCGTTATGCTTGGGGTTATAGCGATGCATGCAAACGTCTCCCCTCGAGTGGATCGTAGATTGCTGCCGAGGAGGGTGGGCTACATTATAGAGAGATGGGGGTGAAGGTGACGGAAGAAGCAACGTTTTTGGTGGCACGGGACAAAGCCAACCCTGGTAGGCAAAGCTCAAGCCCCTCCAGTCCCTGAACCACACACGCAGGTACATGTGTTTCCCTTCCCCAGGCTCCAGGCTTCCAGGCTCCAGGCTCTACTATAGCTTCAACGTCATGCCCGCAAACACCCAGAGCCTACATAGATGAGATATTCGACAGTTCGAGCACGCAGGTGGGTGCGGCCGTAGTGGATCGTGGATAGTCAGTATGTACAATCCATAGTGACCTCAGTCTTTTTTTCCCGTGGGGACGATCAAACGCGACCAAAAACCGTGAAGAGAAGCAGATCCCCAGCAGATTCGAAACTCTGCAGTAACACGGTTTCCGATTTCGCCCAAAAATAACGGGGCCTAACCGGACCCAACGTCGAACGGTCCCCCCCTACCTACCGTAGTTAACGGCCGGTCCAAGGAGTTGAAACAGGCAGTTCGATTGGGTGGGCTCGGCTAGTTCCCCGAATGGTCGCGGAGCCCGGTCCTGGGAAAAAAGCATCTCTTCAACTGCTATGTATTTTCTAGAGTAGAGTACTCAGAGACACTCTAGAAAACCAATTGCTTCTCCAGCTTCCTTGCGCTATTCAGGTACGTGCTTGATATCCTGCAGACCGACCAGCATGCTGATGCAGATAGAGTGGGTACAGGCTACTCACTGGAAATTGTAGGCAGATGTGCATACGGGTAGTATCGACGCGGAAGCAAGTGGATGGCTTTTACTGTACAGGCCTGGTATTTATGTACCTAGGTACCACACGGACGCTGGAGTCAGGACGGAAGGCTGAAGCAGTAAGTACAATACATATCGGTATTCGAGTTTGTTCCTTCTGGAGCCGGGTCATACTAACTGGAGTAGTAGAACAATAAGGCAGAGTACCTCTGTGCTTACGACAGCTTTGGCGCTGAATCCAAAGTGCCCCTTAATATTCCCCCAGCGCCATCTTGGAGAGGCGAGGAGTATCGATCGTTCACCGTATGCATACAAGCAGGCCGTGACGATAGATACACGATGTTTCCTTCAAGGTGCTGATACTTTCCAGACCCAGGTAGGCCGCGCATAAACGACAAAATCCAGACCGCACGCATGAATCGACCACGATCCATCCCCTTAGATACTATCCCCCAACGAACCCTGCCTTGCCCTGGCCGACGGATTCGCTTCACGTAACTTCAAACTTGGCTGTAGAGACGCGCATGAGGCAAGGAAAAAAATCAAAACCAAAATCGAGATCCGGATGCAGAGTGGATATTGATCGACATCAACTTGCAGGCTCCAGGAAGCCGGCGGCCGTGAGAAGAAGTCTCACTACTCTAACTGGGTGTAGATCACTCTGTCCCGCTGGATACTCCGAGATGGTGGAATCTATCCAAGGGTGTTGCGTAGGTAGGTAGGTAGTCCATCAGTAATATTTACATGCATACATACCACCGTGTTGACGGTGGGGATTTTGTTTCCTCAGTCGGAGGTACACATAATGGGTGATACATACGGCGTGGGTCGCGGCAGTATACTCCACGATCCATGTACCTCGATAACTTTCCGAATCCGCTCACTTCCGTTGCAAGCTTGTCCTCGAGGACAGGACAGGACGGACATGGCATCACCCTGAAACCCCGCCTCGCAATCCCTTCATATCCCACAGTGAGCCCTGGCCAAATATCTACATAGTAGAGTAGTAGCTCCAGCGCTGCGCCAGTGACAATAGCCTAGGTATGTATGTAGGAGGACTCCTTGCTTGATTGCTTGCCTGTGGGGTAGGTACATAGTTATTCCGCTACATACATACGCAGCTCGTATGTATGTAGACAGTAGGCTGGCCAATTCGCAAAAGCTTTTATCCGCTCCCATTCACAGCTCCGGTTTACCGTGAAGAACTTCCTCCACTACGGAGAGTCGATAATTCCCCCCACTACGGAAACTTCCTTCTACAACGGAGGCCTACCTATCGTGACGAATCCAATTCCTCGCTTCGAGTATAGTATTAAAGCAGCTAGATAACTAATCCCTTGATTCCTCCCCTCTCCCGATCGTACATATGGAACAGACCCCATTTGGCCTGCAGGTTGTAACTAATACCTAATACGGTAATCCATCGTCCTGCATAAGCATTGACAGCGAGCATGAGTAGGTGGTATACATAGCAAAATACCTACTCACCTACTCTATTGATGAGCGAGTTAGAGGACACCCCCACAAGCCCCACAATATCCAATATCGCCATGCCCCCCCAGTGAATATCCATCCCCATACATACGTGAGCTTTGTTTACCTACTACCCAATGCACTATCGAAGTCGTGCAGTGTGCACTCGATTGATTCGGCCGGGGGAGAGCATTTCTTCCAGTTATTCCGGTTTCATGCTTCCTCGAGCTCCTACGGTCCTACCTGAGCTTTTTTGTCATCCCTTTTGACGATGATATGTAATTGGATAGGTAGTAGATATAGGTAGTAGAGTTCTCTTCCGCCCGGCGCCGGGACTCGGATCTATTTTACCAGTAGTGCATACGGTTAGTGGCAATTTCACTGTTCAGGGCCTGGGAGCTAGCTAGCCTTTCCCCTACGGGATCATATGAGCTGGGGTTTATTAATACTGATTGACGAGGTGGATCTGATAGTTATTGATGGTATCTACTCTATGCAGCCAGTAGGTGCTCTAGAGGGACGCCGATAGACCATTGCTACAACGAGAAAACATTTTCACGATGTGTGTTGTGGAGACATACGGTATTATTCATTCTTGTAGTGAACGGAAAGTATGTACTCCAGCGTCGTGCCCTGGGTGTCATCGTCCCGTAGGCACTAATGTTTCTCGCGGGGAAGGGGGTGATGACTGTAGGAGTTTCCAGAAGGAATTATTTTCCATGTCATCCCAGGGCATTCCTAGGTATGAGATGGCAGCTGTGGCAGGACCGGTTCCCTCAAGCTTACTGTGTTGCACGCACGCAGGCGGGCCGATATGACTCCGGATATGCACCTACACAGCTCTACGTGCGCTGCATACAACGAGGGCTTGAGTCTGCTCGCACTGCTTCCGAGATCGCACGGCTGTCGGCGTGGTTCGACAGTGTTCGACATAGTCCATCCGTCCTCCTGAGCCTCAGATCGGACTGGACTGTATGTCGGCAGTCCGTCCGGGAGCGTTGTTCGGACGGACTAGTCCAAGAAACTTGGAGGGTAGGACGGACTGTAGTCCAATGGGCACCAAGAGATGAAGAAAATCTTACTTTCGACTCCTACATCCCGATGGGCTTCCTGAAGACGGCAGAGGTGAAGATGCAAACATTCAAAGCTGACGAACGGCAGTGCATAGTGTAAGACTCAGTCTGATCATTGTTTAAGTAAAGTATATGAATGTAACCACACGAACTACTCAAGGATGGAAGTTTCAGCACCCAAAGGTGTTTTTTTTCTTCGGTCATACATAAGTGCAACCAAGTGCACATCATCGGACTGCAGTCCGCACCCAATCCACCAAATCTATGGACTGGACGGACTGCATTTACGCAGTCCGTCCAGTTCAGACTCCAGACTGCAGTCCGGACCAGACTATGTCAAACACTGGGATGGTTGGCTACATACGCAGGCTATCCTGTCATTTTCTGCTCAGGATGCTTCCCCATAGCGGCAGCTGGTTGGATCGATGGTTGACTGCGGTACTTATCTAGGATATCATATGAACTGGTACTGTAACGGCTCTCTTCATTTGCGTGATTTTCTGTGAATCTATCTAAGTGTGGGGTACATCATATCAAGAGTCCAATGCGTCACTTGTCAATCTAACTGGCTGATCCTCCCAGGAAGTGCCTTCGCCTTATACATCCAAGTTCAAGTAGGTATTCCCCTTCCAGCCCACCAATCCAAGCTTTTGGCGGAGTGTTCTCAGAAATTTCCTTGCCGACATATGTACGAGTATTGGTGACACTGACAAGGACGGTTCCCACTCTATACACTGGCGTTTAAATCCGAAACAGTGGAGTTCATGGAAAATCGCTCGTCCGACTTGGGCTGGAGAAAGTACATACATACGTGCGAAACCGTTCCACAAAAAACGCCGTAGCTAATGCTACATAACGCGAGCATCTATCTTCCCCTCCTTCCCCTCCCTCCCCTCCTCAACCCTTGAGGACTTCAAGGCAATACATGAGCATATCCCTGATCTCATCCAGCGGGCGCACGTATGCATTGTACATCGGATCCAAAGCCGCAGCAAACTTATTCACGCTGGTATGATCTGTATTCAGCACGACAACCTTCTCCTCAGCGCTCGATGCAGGAGCCGCCGATTACTGCCGCCTCCTCCTTGTCGACCATAATCGTTTTTGGAAGTAACCTGCCAACCGTTTCGCCCAAGCCTCTGGGCGGCGTCCATTGCCCCTCGTACAACTTGATGACAACTTGATGACGCGCCATTTCCGCCACAGAATGTCGAAATCACCGTGCTCCTTCGCCGAAAGCGGTGAGCCGTGAGTCAGCCGCGCCAGCAGGTCGTTGCGATAAGATTGCGGCATATAAGGTACGGCAATTGTGGGATGCCATTCGGCAGGTCGAATACTCCTCCTCCTCCTCCTCCTCCTCCTCCTCCACGCTTACCATGCCCCCACATCAGGGCTTCCACCATCCTGATGGCGCGGTTGGCGTGCTTGAAGTGATTACCGTAGTAATGCGGGGTGCCGAAGAAGATGAGGCCATGCGTTGACCGGTCTATATCGCCGAATTCTCTAGTGCCGTGTTTCACTATCAACAAACCCTTTGACACGGTTAGTTTCGGCTTGGATGATGGTATGTAGAGTACATTAGGTAGGTAGAATTATGTCCCAACCTGTTTGGTGACGATGCCTCCCAAGCTATGGGCTACAAATATGCGTGATCGTCTATTGCTATGGTCCTGTGACAGTCATAGATCGTGTGTTGAGTCGTCAAATTCGGCCCTGTAGGCTGTAGCTCGCCTCGGTTGGCCGGCGAAGATTCAGCCACTACAGGAGATCTACTTCGTCCGTGATTGTTTATGCCACACATGGACTTGGCGAATGCGACGTTGGAGTTGTATCCGAACAGCATAATCCGGGCCGTGGGAACGCCGTGGGGCAGAAGATCTTTCGGCTAGCATACTCCGTTCGGAGCTGTCCACGCTGCTACTGGTGGAGCCGACCATTTGTTTCCGGTGATGAGTGGACAGAAGTACATACCAAGGTTATGCCAAGAACAGAGAAGAAAATCGGCACTGTTGGAAAGATGGCAAGTTACTGAAGACTAGCAATTGGATAGTTATGGAGGGCATGTTTGAGCCAGGCCATGGTTAGCTTTATACCCTAAAGCTGATCGACACGCCTGGTGATTCCGCTGCGGAAAGAGGCGTGCTTTTCTCCACGGTTACCGTCGTGCATTCACCTGCCGCATCCCAGAAGCTGCCGTGCGGGAGGGACCGCTTCACACGCATTAGGGTGCGGGCGCCGGTGAGTTTAGTTTTGACTATTTTGGCGGCCAGGTTAGATACTTGGAAGTTTGAAGTTGGTGTCCGTCGCACCCAGTTGTCTTGGCCGAGGACTCAAGCGTGCCGATGTTCGCACCTTCGTGTTGTGTGGTCATGTGAGAGAGGCTTGGAAAACGGCTTGGAAGAGGATTCGTGAGAAGGCCAAGATGTAAGCAGAGTACAAATAAGGCTAGGCATTCCTTTGGTTGTTATCACGGCCTCGAGCTACGGCACCAGCGGTGGGGGAATAAGTGGGTGGAGGTAACTAGTGTGTAGGTTATGATGTCGGGCTGATGTCAAGTGGTATGGTGAGGCGACTGTGCGGCCGACTAAGAGCTCCCTCGCCGCCGCCGCACCACCTATGCCCGCACCACAAGCTAGCCTTCTTCAGCCGGCTGGTGGGCGGATCCTTGCTAGTACCCCAATTATGACTACCCCCCTGTGTCCCCCACTCGCTCCCCCGTTGCCGTGAAATATTTTTGACGAGGGAAGGGATGAGCATCCGCCATTAGATCAGCATGCCTTGGCGAAAGGGATGAATTGGGTTACTCACTCCTGGTTGAATGAGGCGTCGGAGACGATCATCTGTTTCCCACACATGTTTCCGAGTGCACCTCACGGCGTACATCACTACGCTAACCGGTCGCTGTTTCCCATAGCCGCGGTGCATGGCTGCCTCCTCACGAGTCCATGCGCAGAACTGCAGGTGAGCCAGGTTTTCCACCTCCTTCTCCTTCGGAGGGGCCTTTTTATGATATACCGGAGTCTTATGACCCGGTGCGTAATGGATTTTAGTTATGGCCCAGAGGAAGTTTTATAGAACGAAGGGAAGTAAGATTCGAGAGGTAGTAAACTGATCCAGATGCTGATGGGGCTCACAATCGAATATGGTGGGCGTCTTTGAGGCCGGGGTATGGATGGGTTAGCTTCATATCCCGGGATTTGTCCAGCGCACAAACCGTGGAGATTCTGCTGCGGAAAAGGGCATTGCACCCGTAGCATGCATGCTCCTGCTCCGTCCAGCCCTCCCTATCTCCAGTAGCATATAGCTGCCTAGAAGCTTCTTATAATACTACCATTGAGTACGTTACGGGAGTTTGCGATTTACCCGTGCCATATCTTCAATTCCGCAGCCAGATCACTTCCGTCTGCCGATACGCGCACTCGACCAGACGCCGTTTCCCGTAGCCGCCTAACGACATACCTATCACCTACCCACCCGCCGAACCGTAGGTCCGTAGTAAGTCGCCGCTTTCAACGACTTCACTACGGTACCCCACGAATGCCGAAGCCGAAACACTATACGCAGTGTTGTAAAGATACGCTTTACTACAACACCGGAAGGACTACCACAGTTCTTCCGAATGCAACATATTGCGCGCTGTCCAGAATACCAGAGAACTACCAGAGAACTACCGTATTCACACAACAACGTCGTGCAGAGAAAACGTTGTTCTGCTAATCACATAGTTCCTAGACTGTAGTAAAACTATAAAAACAAGAGTCCTACGGACGAAATGCCGTGCTGGGCAGAATGTTCCGGTCACTGAATCCGGTATGCATACGGTAGAAACCCTCTAGTTGCACGGATACGTGCTGTGAGTAAGACGTGCTGTACGCAAGCAATATTTCCGAAATTCCTGTAGTGCAGGAAGTGTCGTAGGCCCACGGAATAAATACTGTAGAGGAAACTATACGGATTGGGCTGATGGAGCCGTCTGCAAATCCGTTGTGCTACTGCGACTACCCAGCCCCGTGATACTCCAAAAGATCGCATTGTACGGACCTAATTATTTCGTGAAATGCTAGGTCACAGTATTTTTTTCAGAAGTAAATCCGTGATGCTACTGCATCCTTCAAACCCCGTAATACTCCACAAGATCGCATTGTACGGACCCTGGGGTACTGATGAGCACCTATTTCTGCAAGCACGGAAGTATTTCAGTAGTGATACCGTAGTCATCCGGTCATAGTAATTTGAAACTTACGTAGGTATTACTACTGAAGTTGACCAAACACACAGTCTTGTCAATAGGACGAACCTGCAACTACATGCGTGATACAATTACGCAGTGCATTGCAACACTGTAGAACTCTCGTTGTCAGTTGTCTGTAGATGACGTATTATGTTTTGATACGTGATGCGAGAAAGACGGTATGGCTCCTGACGTTATGGAATAAAGTGTTCTTTGGACGTTTCCAAAAGTGGGCTTACGTATTGAATGAAAATCTGGTAGTCCGTTGGTATTCAAATGACCGCGGTATTCGCCCCGTATCAATCGCACCCCACGTTTTGCTACTGTATGTGCGGTGCAAACGCTGCGCACGAGTCTGGGTTTTCTTCGGTGGAAGCTCCGCCACCTAACGGTCCGTTCTAGTGTTGCTGCATTTCAAGAAGATGGATTGTTAGCTGTATGGCAGCTGTTTACATACCGGTATAGCTATTGGTGGGTGATGTCTTGTGAATGTAAACAGTTTCACGGTCTTAGACGTTCCAAGTTCCAAGTTCCAAGCTCCAACACCGTTTCCACCATACAAATGAGTTTTTACTAGCTGTTTAACACATTCCTTACGATTCCTATTCAGCCTCTGCCTGTAGTGACTTAAAGCCTGCAGCATGTCTGAGTGTGAGCCGCGATGAGTCGACGATGCATCATATTGCATGAGTGATAGGTTGCAGATGTTTCACTCATGCATCTGATTCTCACATTTAATCCCACAAACCCACCACCACGACCACCAGCACCACGACTCGGACTGCCAGCTTCAATCAAATCTCCACTGACCCATTCACCCAAACTACCAGCTTTAATCAGCTCTTCATTTGCCATTCACCTAATCACCCAATCACCCAATCACCCATTCACTCCCAATCCCCAAGCATGGCCTCCTCGACTCCCGACTACACATCCCCCTCGCAGCTACGCACGCACCTCTCCCGCGTCTTCCGCCCACTGTCCGCACTCACCCCACTCCACGGCGGCTTCGCAAACTACACCTACCGGGCAACCCTCTCCTCCCTCTCCTCTCCCTCCTCCACCTCCCCCATCTCCCCCGGCATCCCAACAACGCCAACAACGGTAATAATCAAGCACGGCGAGCCCTTTGTCGCGCTAGCGCAGAACATCGCGCTCGACACATCGCGGGTCTACATCGAGTTCGCATCACTATCGTGTCCGCCGCCAGCGGTGACGACAGCTTTGGGGTGGACGGTGGGCACGCCGATAGCGCACCACTACGATAGTGAATCGCACAGCGTCGTGGTCGCGGATGCGGGCTCGGGTAGTAGGGACCTCAAGGCGATCCTATGTTCCGCCGCCGGGCTAGACGCGGACGCGGAAGCGCTGGGCGAGGCGCTGGGCGTGTGGTTGCGCCGTCTGCACTCCTGGGGCCGCACGGAGGCGGCGGAGGAGCTGCGCGAGGCCCTGGGTGGGAATACGCAGGCGGCCGGGATATGGACGTGGGCGACGTATGGGCGGCTGCTGGAGACGGTTGCGCTGCTGCCCGCAGCGGAGCTGGGGGGGGCCGCGGCGTTGTTTGCGGAAATTGTTGCGGCCACACCCGCAGTGCAGTTGCCGGATACGGTGCTTCATGGGGACTTTTGGTGCGGGAATGTGCTACTTGATAAGAGCACGGTGACTATTATTGATTGGGAGATGGCACGCGTCGGAGAGGTCTGGGGCGATTTGGCGCAGATGTGTGCTGAGCTTTATCTGCCTTTTCGGTTCTTTGGGGTCGAGACGGGGATTGCGATCATGAGGGCGTTTTTGGGAGCTTATGGACGGGTTAGCGAAGATATAGCAAGTAGGGTTGTGGTGCACTTTGGTGTGCATCTTGCGGTGTGGCCGGCTAGGAGTGGGTGGGAACCGCAAACGGAGGCGGTGAGGTGTGCGGTTGTGGGGAAGGAGTTCATTGAGAAGGGGTGGAGGAGGGATTGGAAGTGGGTGAAGGATAGTGTGCTTGGGGAGCTGGTGGATGACAGTTGGATCGTGTGATGCCTTCTTTCTAGTGTCATTACTGTGTTTCTTATGATACATACACAAACGCCTTTGCTTTGCTAGCCAAATGGATCATGCCCCCCCTAGAGAACATGGTAGAAGGAAGAGATAGACATAGCTAATATACAACCGTAACCGGTAAAAACATCCCCACCATTTCACATCTCTTTTGTAGCAGCACCAGGGCTCTTGGGTTCTCTGTCAGTGGGGATGAAGAACCTCCTCAGCCTCTCCCTGATCCTGCCATCGACGGACACTCCCTCGGTCCACTCCCCCTTGTACCTCTCCTCGTCCCAGACCTTGCTCGGCCAATCGGCCTCTTCGTGTTCCAAAGCATTGATCTCCCCCGTCTCCTTCGTGGCCTTCAGTCCATCCTCGACCTCCTCTGGCTCCATCAATGTTCCAGCCGGTTCCGGTGCCGTGATGAAAGGCCTATGGAAACCCAGTGCCACCGCGGCCGCCTCCCGACACACCTCGTCCGCCATATGTCTCCTCGTAACGTACCGGTACATCCTGATTGGGGTATTCAAGAAGCCCAGGATATGCGGAAATGGGACTACCGCAGCCGCCTCGAGGCGACCCGGGATCTGCTCCGACATCGTAGCGGCGCCATACTGACTCGGTAGTAGGAACGGAGCAGGAATCGCCTTCTTCTTCTTCTCCTCCTCCTTCTTTTTCTTCTCCTCCTCTTTAGGGTCCAGCACAGGTACCGCCGCCGCAGTCTTCTCAGCTATAGCATCCTCGAGTGATTCCACCACGGGTGATGCGGCTTCCATCACCATTTCCGACGACGGAGGCGGCGGTGTGGGAAGCGGCGCCTCAAGCGGTCCCAACCACCCCTCGTGCACACCTCTCAAATACTCCTTCCACGCATGTCTCCCCACGACGATCACTCCGCCCTCATCGACCCTCTCGATGCCCGCGCGCTTCCTCGCCTCCTCGACAGGACCGTCCTCATCGCCCCTCCTGCGCCCCCGGATCTCCTCTGCGACTTTATACCTCAACTCGCCCATCTTACGTCCCTCGACGACATCAAAGTCGACTGCAGCAGCATTCAGCAGGGGCTTGACGTAATCCCTGAAGTGTTCCCTAGCGGCCTGGATGCCGTCGCCGGGCGGGGCCGCGAGGTAGACGGTGACTTTTCGCGGCAGCGCCATGGGCTCCAAGGGCTCCGTCGATAGGTGCGACACAGTGTCGATCCACTTCTGCTTCACCAGTTTCGTGTGGTACCGATCGTAGCCGACGGTGCTGCCGATTACGCTGCAGACGCCCAGGAAGATGCTCCAGTTGCGCGAGGGGAGCTTGGCGCGCAGGCGGGGGAGACCTGTTGGAAACGGTCAGCGCACGGAGAAGGATGGGGAGGGTGAGGGGTGTTACCCATCGCCGCGAAGGCGGGGTTGGGCTTGGGGGGAGGCTTTGCATTGGGCGGTGGAGGCGGCGGCGGCATGGCCGTTGCGTTGGGGGGTGGTGTCGCCATTGGGTTTGTGGGTGGGTATGTGGTCGTGGTGGGGTGCTGTTAGAGGTATGGTTGTTCCGGCCAGGATTTTTTTTACCGGGGAGCAAGAGCCTCATGCTTTTTCGAGTGACCTGCGGTGAGTTGCCGAGCACGGGTAGAGCCTATATACCGAACGGCGAGCATCTGCTGCAAAGACTATATGTATGGTGATCTGGATCATAGGTAGCAGGTGATTGTGATTATCGTTAACCCGTCCATTCGCCAATGCCAAGCACAGGCCAATGCATAGCAAAGCACTCGAGCAAATACTGTCACAAAATCCTACACATGGGAACACAGGCGAAACAGACTGTACGTGCGTATCCCATCTCCAGCACTTCTTAATGTCATATGTACCTCTCTTGGGAGTTGGATTTCGAAGCATTTTATGAGTATTATCATTGGGACAGTGGCTCAATGGTGAAGGTCACATAAAACACACAACTTTTACAATTGCACGGCATCATGAATTTTCCCTTCCCCAACTCCAGCACAAAAAAACAACCCCCGCATATTACGCACCGGACTTTCTATTCCTCGGTTCTCGGCAGTCCCTGGTTAACGGCAAACATCTTGGCCGAGACACTCGCAGTGAATGCGTCGATCTGCTTCGAGTACTGCTCGATCTGCTTGCTGTTGAGAAGGGTCTCGAGTCTCGACGGCTCCTGGGGGAGCTTGAACAGCCGCTGCCATTCGTCCTCTGGGAGAAGCGGCTGCTTGGCGCTGGCTCGCAGCTGGTTCTCGGATTTCCGCTTCGTCTGCCATGCCGTGATCTTGGTCTGCTCACGCGCCAACTGGCGGTTGTAGTACTGCTGGTTGTTCACCTCCGAGTAGTGGGTCTCGATGGACTCGAGGAGGAGATCGCTGTTCTTCTCCAGGAAGGGGTCGATGGAGAGGTCCAGGGCATCGAAGTTGGGCGCCAGCGGCATAGGGGCGGAAAGAGAGAGCTCGGAAAGGGGCGCGGGCGCGGGGTTGTCAAGCTGGTGGAGGAGACTGGTGAGGAGGTGGCTGTTGTGGATGGTAAGAGGGAGCTCGACGAGGATGTCGCGGTACGTCAGGTTGTGCTTCTGAAGGGACTCGACGGTGAATTTTCCTTCCTTCTGGGCAGCCATGAACTGGGGGGTCAGGCGGAAGGCGCGCAGGGAGAGAGCGCCGGAGATGGACCGCGCGGTGTCGTGCACGAGCGCAACGGTTCGCTCGTTCAATGAGGACTGGTAAAAGAACTGGTTCTCGACGAAGTTGGTGTTGAGCTGTTTTTGGCTGTCAGCTTACCATCCAATATCTCCTACTGCCGGAGAACACGCACGAAGTTGCCCAGGCTAGCCGACTGGTACCATCCAACACTGTTGGCATCTACGTTCATTTCCCGCAGACACCGCACCATCTCAGTCTGGTAGTATGTGTTGGCCTTTGCCCTTGGGGCGGCGGCGGCACCGTCACCGGATGAACCCTTCTCGTCGGATGCGGGAGCCTCAACCGAGGGGAACGGGAAAGAGTTGGTGATCTGGAGCTCGCCATCGACGTCCATTCCTACACCACAGCACCATGAGCGAGCCGAAACAAAAACAGCATCGTCCCGAGCGGAAAGACATTTCGCGCATACCAAGAAGCTGGCCGGTCACGACCTGAGGGTGTGCTGAAGATGCATGCTTGCAGATCTTGAGGACCACAAGAGCATCGACTCGTACGGACTTTAGGGGACTGGCGGGGTTTCTGGAGACGAAAAACAGAGTTATTAGCAAACGCGGAGATCGAGACACAGCAAGTGACGTACGTCTTATCGGCGGCCATGATGGTATATATTCGTTGCTCGTTATTGGGGAGGTTCGTTGTTGGCGGCGGGGAGATGTGGGGTTCGTTTTTCGTTATTGAGGTGTCCCGCTATCGATGGTCTGGGTTTCTGGGCGGCGGCAGCCAGTAAACTTTTCCACACTCACTATATGCCAAGACTTCACCTTAGGGCACAACCCAGCAGCGCATTGTATTCACAGACAAAAGAACAAATTGAAGTTTAATGTTTGGATCCGATTAAAACAGAGAGAGAATGCGGTGATCCTATACATTCAAGATTGCGGGATAGTTGGAGAAGATATCGCAATAACAGATTCACTGGGCCGCGAACTACTATGTACCTAACGAACTTGTGGGGTTGGAATAGGTAATAGTTAGGGTAGAGATCGCGAAGGTCTCATCGCCATGGCATTAGCAACTATGGTATGGCCTGAACGATCAAGCGGTAATTTCTCAAGGGAGAGTAGGGAACAGGAGCAGACATGGCCTGTGCTCCTCATTGATGGCCACCGGATAAACGTGCAATCGGCCATGCCAGTTTCGGAGTTCGGGAAGCTGAATCACCTGCCATACCTTGCTCGGCGGGAGAGTAGAGTATCACCAGAGTGAACCATGAACCGTTTGGTATTGCAGCTCTGGCAGCAATAAGAAGCAAGTTATCGACGCTGGCATGACAGCCTGCAGGAAGTGAGCCACCGCATGTGCGAAGTTAAATCTACAACGGCCCGAGTGTCTTTCTCGATTCTTCGGTTCTTCCACGTCCGCGCCTAACGCGTTTGCCCGGAAGTGCGTAGAGCAAAGTACATACTTAGGTAAGCAAGTAGACACATTAGGTGCCTGTACACGATATGCCATCTCCAAGCATACCCTGGACTGATGCCCTGCTTCTTCAGACTCCGTTGCAACCCTGAGCGAAGGTATGGGGAGTGCATCGTCGATGAGAGATGTGGCCGCCGTTTTTGTCGGGGCTAAGAGAGGGTGCGATTGATATGCCGCTACGTATTACCTATACTAGAGTACCTCTACAGTTCTTCGGCCACCGTTTCTGCACAGTGCTCTGTTGTCTCGACAGGCCTGGCGACGTGACGGAGGCTGTCAACATCTTCCCAGCACTCTAATTGAGACCTTTGGTGTATATCACTCAATCCGAAGCTCCGTCTTTCGCTGCCTTTGCCTCGCACTGGCATTCGCTGCCTCTCTCTCGCTCCTGACCATAAACCCGGCTGTCTTGACCCGAACTAGACTGAACCTTGCCGGCCGGTCAACGCCCCCCCTCGCTCCAAGTGTCAGGACTCAGGAAATCTATCCACCACTTCGACACATCTCATACCAACCAACCCCCGTCTCCCGGAACTCCTCGATACACCAGCGGTAGCGGCAGCGACAAAGCAGCAGCCAACAACCAATTGCTCACTCACCATTCAACCTACCTACTCCATTCCTCCTCTTCTTTCAACAACCCGATCTTCCCCTACCATATTCCTCGCCATCTTCATCTTCAACTTCTCCCACAGTCACCTTTTACTCCCTAGCGCTGTGCAACTGTTCCCTTAAGTAAGTCACTATAGCAACTGTTCTGCTGCTTGTTCCACTCTGCTCCAAGTATCGTCTATACTCTCTTTGGTCTCTGCGGACTTCAGATCTGCACTCCACTGGGTTGTCTGTTGATGCCCGGTTGCCTTTCATCGCGGTTCAATACCGATCCCCGCACACATTCAAGCTCAACGCCCCTTATTTTGGAATAATGTTCTGACCTTCAACAGAAGGCAGAAGCTGTGTCATCTACCGTCACAGTTAGGATAGTACGCATCTCGATACCTACTTCGCATTCGGTGCTGTAAGCAGTTGCTGCCCAAAACTTCGATCGGTCGTAGTCCGCACTCCGCCCTCCAACGGCAATAATCAAGGAGCTATTCCTTAAAGGAATCCGACTTTCACGATGAACAACAACGGCGGGAGAGATCCCAACTACACCCCGACACCAAACTCTATGTATCAGCAGTTTTACGGTCAACAGCCACCGAACCAGCAACCTGGCTATCCCCAGCAGCAGCAACAGCAACAACAGTTCCCGCCACAGGGATTCCCTAGCCAGCAGCAGCAGTTTCAGCAACAGCAACAGTTTCAACAACAGCAGCAGTTCCAACAGCAACAGCAGCAACAGTATGGCAGTGGATATGATGCTAATGGGTTGGCGAACCAGCTTCAAAACCAGCATCTGTCGGCCAGACAGTCAGGTCGTCCGGGATCTCCCCAGCGGCCGCGCACATCCGGTTCTACGCAGGCGTCGGGTAGCTTGAACAACGACTACGTGATTTTCAACCGTGATGATAGCTTGTTCTCGCCCTCTACCAAGGAGCGGGCGAAGGCCTTGAAGCTGAAGGTCGAGCTCCACTACAACCAGAGCGTCAACCACGCGGTGGAGAGGAACCAAAGGTCAGGATGTCCGGTTGATGCTGCAACTCCCCCTTGCTGATATGCTTTTAGGCGTGTCGAGCTAGAACAGGAACTTGCGGGCGAGGCTCGCATGTCGGAAGAGCGCAAGAACCGGCGACGAAAGCAACTCGGAAACCAGGAATCATCGTTCCTGCGATTGCGGCGACTACGCCTTACTGCCGACGACTTCATGACCGTGAAGGTTATCGGAAAGGGAGCTTTCGGAGAAGTCAGGCTGGTGCAGAAGAAGGATACCGGAAAGATCTACGCCATGAAGACACTGCTCAAGTCCGAGATGTTCAAGAAAGACCAGCTTGCACACGTCAAGGCGGAACGAGATGTTTTGGCAGATTCGGACTCCCCATGGGTTGTCAACCTTTTCTACTCCTTTCAGGATGCAGTCTATCTGTACCTGATCATGGAGTTCTTGCCCGGTGGTGACCTGATGACCATGCTCATCAAGTATGAGATCTTCACCGAGGATGTCACGAGATTCTACATGGCACAGTGCGTGTTGGCTATCGAGGCTGTTCATAGACTCGGTTTCATCCATCGGTAGGCCAATCGACTCCTCTTCTCCACCTAACCGTTGTTAACGGTTCCGCAGTGATATCAAGCCCGACAACATCCTGATCGACAAAGATGGACATATCAAGCTGTCCGACTTCGGATTGTCGACCGGTTTCCACAAGACTCACGACCAGGCATACTACCAACGCCTTCTAGAAAACAGCTCAAGTCCTCCCGCCGCCGATCAGGGAACGCGCCCTAGAAACTCGGTGATGGTCGACGCAATCCACCTGACCGTGTCCAACCGCAACCAGATCAACACCTGGAGGAAATCTCGCCGGTTGATGGCCTATTCAACAGTCGGTACCCCTGACTACATTGCGCCAGAAATCTTTTTGCACTCTGGATACGGGCAGGAGTGTGACTGGTGGAGTTTGGGAACGATCATGTTCGAGTGCCTTGTTGGATGGCCCCCATTCTGTGCCGAGGATGCCCACGAGACCTACAGGAAGATTGTGAACTGGCAGACTCAGCTGTACTTCCCGGAGGAGATCCTGTTGAGCCCAGAAGCCGAGGACCTCATCAGGAACCTCATCACTTCTGCCGACAAGCGACTGGGAAGGCACGGCGCCGACGAGATCAAGGCACATCCGTTCTTTGCCGGTGTCAACTGGGACAGCCTCCGCGGAATCGATGCCCCATTTAAGCCCCAGTTGACCTCCATCACCGATACTTCGTAAGTTCTGTAGTACTGCATGGTCGCAACGTACATGCTGACGATAATACAGATACTTCCCCACGGAAGAGCTGGAGAACGTACCCGAAAGGCCAGAAGTGGCAGCTGCACGCGCCAACGCCGGGTCGACATCACAGCCCGTCCAGATCGGCGAGGAGACTGGATTGCCGTTCATCGGATACACTTACACCAGATTGTATGCGCTTCCTACTTTGTGTCGTCTGTTCGAATCTATACTGACTTTTCTATGTAGCAACCGTCTCAGCCGTCAAGGTGGATTGTAACGTGAGGGAACGCGGCGAATACCCGACTGAATGGGGGATGAGGGAAGAGGTCGATTGTTACACTTCACATTTTTTTTCTGCATCCAGCGTCACATTATCTTGTAGGGCGAAATTTGCAAGCATGGTTTTGACGATGTGGTTGAAGATATGCCCCCTCCATGCAGCAGTTTTTCTTGTTATAGCTTGTCTTATACTTTCTACCGTTCTTTCTTTCGTTTTTTTTCCGGCTCTTGTTGGTGCGTTATTGGTGAGCTCGGGGGTTCCAGACTTCCAGTAACTTTGTAGTAGGTAGTGTAGGTAGTGTAGACTTCGGAGTGAGTGGGACGCCGAGGCGAGGTTTAAGCGTGGATATCTAGATGTTTTACCCGTCATTTGTGCCGTGTGCATCTGTTGAAAGCACGAGAGCGAAAGCGATAGATACCAAGTGAATTCCAAACACTTAAGGCCAGAGCATCGGGTATCACCCAGGCAAATTAGAGTACCAGGCACTGATCCGGACTGTCTGCCAATAACAGCTGCAAGACCGGGAAACTACTATGAGGTAGGAATCAGGATCTATGCCGTGGCAGAAGCCCAAAAGCGAGTGATACATTGCGGGATCACCAGGTGCCGGCTTCACATCACTCCCAGCCAGTCGAATTCGTGGATTGTTGTTCGAACTATCAATGGCTTGGACTTGAGGTTATCGGTGGGCGATCATAGAGGTCAATACGGTATTTACCGAGGAAGCGTAATCACTATTCCTATTCCACTTCTTGCGCCTTGACTCGACTTTGGTGACTACTTACTCCGTCATCCGTCATCCGTCCCCGCAACTGATCGAAAGCTCGTAGCTGAAGGAAAGGAGCGCGAGTGGCGAGAAACTCCACCAGTGTCTGGACTGGACCGTCTATTGTCTTTGGTTATTGTTTATCTACAGTGGTGTCTCTTGCTTTGTGTTTAGACCTGCTACTGTCATTGACTCTCAACATCCCTCATTCATTTCTTGCGTTATCTTCGTGACGCAGGCTCACTTCGGGAATTCCATTCCTCTTCATCTTCCTCTTCCGCTTTTCAATCTTTTCAATCTTCTCAATCTTCCCCTTCCACTTCTCAATCTTCTCAATCTTCTCTTTCACATATATTTTACATTGACAGTGGTGGTGGTAATGGTGCTGAAAACGCACTTTTTTCATTGAAGGCTGCCCCACTACCATACCATACACGAGATTCCGCCTAATGCTGTTGCTATTTGGTGGTGCCTATTTGCTCTCACTCAATACTCGACTAAGAATTTGGGGTGTATTTCATCTGCGGGGGCACACCCCCAGCGGCCAGCCTTTTACACCTGAGGGGTGTATCACCAATAGCCGTTATCAAACCCCATTCTGACCTAAGAGGTTGGCGATGGTGTGAACTTGACTTGCTGATACCCAATACCAAATTCAATACTCTCCTTCCGTCTAAACCTCTCTCGCTGTCATCTCATGATATCATCGTCACCTAGGTACATACACAAATCCAGCTCTATCGCCGAACGACTGGTGGATGGATGGATGGCGCACAGCAGTCTTGCGCAGGTACATAGCATAGCACAGCGGTAATCATAAACCCCATCACATCTCATATCCATATCCGTTCCGATCTAAAACCTTATCACCCATCACCCACCCCAGCCCCTCCCTCCAATGGTATCCTCCCACCCCCTCACCCCCCATCAACAACTTCCAACCCTACAACCTACAAGTACGTCAACGCGCCCTCTCCGACACTCCTAACCCACTCCCTCGCCGCATCGACCTCCAGTCCCGCGCGCTCCGCCACCTCGCGCTTCTTCCCAGTCTGCATACCGACCCACCTCTCCAGCAGCCCCCTATCGAGGACTCCGCGCAGAAACTCTCCCGTGCCCGTAGGGACGTGACGGAACGCCTTCGGATTCAGCCCCGCAACGTGCTCCTCGCCCACTACGACTTGGTTCTGTAGCTGGTTCAGCCGCCGGTAGGAGTTCTCCGGGACTGTGGTGATGAGCGCGAGCGCGCCGGTGCGGGTGGCTGCAAGCAGCAGGTACTGCTCCTCCGATGCGGCGGAGGGCGTGGTCGGCGTCCGCGGGAGGAGGGTGAGGGAGAGGATCTCGTGCGGGGAGTGGAAGGCGCAGCGGTGGATTAGGCGTTGGCCCGCGAGGGATTTCGGATCTGTTTATGGATTGTTAGCATCGCGCACACACAGAGAAGGAGGGTGGTTGGTGGAATTCACGTTCAGGATCGTACTGCAGCACGTGGACGTCTCCGTTCGCGTCCGCGACGACAAAAAACAGCTGGCGGCCATCCGGCAAGAAGTCCGCGGCAACGACGCGGATCTCCTGCGTGTCCTTCCCAAACAGCGTCATCTTGTACGGCTCTTCGGAGAACCCAGTGAACCAGACACTCTTGGCAAAGTCTCCAAAGAGCACGAGTCCGCCAAAGTTCTTCGCGACTGTGACGTAGCAGTTCATGTCCATGAACGCCACCGGCAGCAGTGATTGATCTTCCTTGAGTCCGCGGACCATGATTTTCTGGCCTTGCGCGGCTAGGAGATAGCCGTTCACGCCGCAGAGCGCAGAGACGGTGCCCTTAACCTCCTCTCTGGTGACAAGCTTGAGTTTTCTGTTGGTCTCTGGTTTTCCAGGCTCCGGAACGACCTCGATCACCTCAAAGACATAGATCCCGCCGCGCGCAGAGTGGTCTTCTCCTCTAAAGATTCCTGTTCCTACAGTGACGAGCTGGCGGCGCTCCTTGGTGTGCTCCGATACCTCGAGGGAGATGGTCTGCACTATCAGCGCCACCTCATTGTGTGCGAAGGGATACCGATCCACTACTGTCCATGTCAGCGGCGAGATAATTACGACTGCGCCCGAGTCGATAGTGGGTTTTAGTTGTGAGTCGTCGGGCGTGGCTGCCCCGTCGTCCTCTTCTATGCTGAAGGGGACCCGCTTCGTGGTCGCTGCTATGCACACGCTCATCGGATCGTACCAGGCTACGGCACGCAGAGACTCGCCAAGATAGATCTTCTTTGCATGGAAGGGGTTGTCGAAGTTCCAGTCCTGTGGGAGTAAGGCGACTCTGACGCCGCCTGCCACATCGACGTAGACGAATCCGCGGTCTGCACTCGCCGTGTGGAACGATGATATCGCACGGACTGCAGTGCCCGCGAGACGATGCAGACGCGGTATGCTTTTTGCCGTCTTCATGATGAATGCTGGGTCCACGCCGGGAAGGAAGACACAAGCGTAGCCGCCGACATTTTCCATAGCCACCATCGGGCGGAAAAGCGGTGTTTCTGCCAGGTTTAGCCTGGGTGTGGAAATGATGGGATTGGCGGTTTTGGTGAATGCAAGGGAGGTCGGAGTGAGGAAGGCTTTGTAGAATGTGATGTCGTCTTGCGAACTGCGGACGATGAGATATGGTTCCCGGGATGCATGGTCACCCAGATCGGCGAGCAGGGCCTCGGCGATGTCTTCTGTTGCCGACGCGGCGGCAGAGGCGGTGGTTGTCTTTGGTGAGGTGGGTGCTGATTGTGTTTGCTGCTTCAGCAGTGGAGGTAGTGTACTGAAGTGCCCTGCTGTGAATATAGGCGTGTTTAAATCCAGGAGGTTGAAGATCTAGACTATAAATCAGTCCCCGTAGCCATGACGCGGTCCGTTGGGGGTAGAATCACCTGTAATGTCTGATCTTCGGTCAAAAGGGTGAGAATATAATCTGTATCTCTCGCTTCCGTTGCTGGGAGCAGCTCTCCCGCCCGAGCCTTGTAGAGACATCCAGACTTGTATTTGGTGCCCTGATGGATCAATCAGCCACATCCTAATAAAGACTCGAGCTGGCGTACCTTGATGCCTTCCCTCTCCTCCTCGGCGAGCTCCATGCTCTTATCCAGCTTGTACACCAGCACACTACCGTCGACTCTCAGCAATATCACATACGGGTCCAGGATCTTGGCACTGGTAATTGCAGGGCCCTCTTCACCAGTCTCCTCTTCATCCATCGGCACAATCTGGGAGAGCTGCATATCTTCACACGTTCACCATCAGCAAAACCGTCACAAGTGGAAGAGACGCAAAGCACACTCTAAAAAAAACACCCATCACGTCCAGGGGAATAACAGATCTTTATTCCTATAGCACACAGGAGGGAATCACACGCACCGCAATCATAAACAATAACCTGCTGACTGACAACGCGCACGATCCGCGCCCCCTCTCCAAGCACTCCCACTTCCAGCGTAGCCCCGTCTGAATCAAAATCTGATCCGTGAAGCTCCTCAAACGCATCTCCGACCTTGAATACTTGACTATCACTTGCCTTGGAGACGAAGAGGTACCGGTCGTACTCTTCGTCCACGTTTGGCGTTAGACCTTCCTGTCCTGTTGCTGCTTCCGTGGGGCTTGGTGCCTTCAGGCTCTTAGCTCTGACGGTCCATAAGCCCCTGCACGCCGGAAAAGCAAAGTGTCCGATGATGGTGGGAGCAACGGAGCGACGTATCAGTGATAATCCAGCGTCTTCGGGAGTATTTGTAGGTCCCGATGTGGCGATGATTTCCAATTCCGGTACCACGCCCCTCTGCTTCTCCAAGGAATCAAGCGGGAATGTTGGGCGTCCCATGGAAATGCTTCTGAAGGGACCCAGATTGACGATCCGATCGTGCGTCTGAAACACATACTCACCCGTTGCCCTGTGATCACCGACTTTTGCATCCGTAAATGTGTTGTCCTTCCTCGCACCACTCAAGTCCGTCGAGCTGCCGCCATAGAGGTCGTCATCGACATCGTCCAGCATATTGTAGATATCCTCGACCTCGTGCTCCTCCAGCCCCTCGTCTAGGCCCGGCATGATCGCCTTCTTCTTTTCTCCTTTCCGCCGCCATTTCAGTATTCTCGCGTCGCCCTCATCGCAACCCACGAATAGCCTCCGCCCGCCTAGTGACGTTGCAGTAGTAGCCAGCCCACCAACGAGCGGTCCCGGATGGTTTGCAATCTTTGTAACCTTCACGCCCGAGACGTTTCTACCGTCCATGCGGAAACCAACAATGACAGCTGTGCCCTCTTTCGTGATGAGGAGGAGATCGCCTCCTTCGCCGTCCAGCTCCACTATCGTTGAGCCTTCAAGCGCGAGGCAGAGATCGCTCTGATCTGCCAGCCCGGCGAAGTTGGTTGTTCGCTTTGCGAACTGGTTCACTGCTACTCCGGTGGATTTTCCGGCCTGGTCGACGTGGATGAGTTCGTTCGCACCGAGCAACAAACTTCCGCCGATCGGTGGCGTGAGCGGTACTACTTTAAACAGATCGTATGGCAGTCCCTGAACGCTGATAATGGGAGTCGATGCCTTTTGATCCAGGTCCAAGGTGATGACGATGTAGCAGGTGGTATCTTTCCGCTGCTCCAGCCACCCTGTCCACGTCCACCTCGGCGAGTAGAGGATTCCAAGTGTCGGTTCACGATACTCGTGTAGGAAAGTCAATGACAGCACATGGCTGATCGCATCATCCAACTGTGAGGCGTTGACCACAAAACTCGGCAGAAACGGCAGATCCATCTTATCGGCTTTCTCCTTCTTCTTCTTTCCCCTCGACATCTCCGGCTTCCTCCCGCCATTCTCCGGCTCATCCGGCGCAGTGGGATCCCAGTCCTCGGTATCATCCATCACGCCGCTCTCCGCCATAACCACATCATCCTCGAGGGGCTCCTCCTCCTCCTCCTCCTCTCCCTCAGACCCATCCAGCATCTCCTCATCCTCACCATCCTGCCTCACCGGCAGCACAGCCAACATATCCCCGGCGAACCTCAACGCAACCGCCCTCATCCCCGGATCCGCGACGAGCTGACTCGGCAAGCCCTCGCCCACCACGGGGCTCGCAAACTCGTCCCTCTCATAATAATGCAGACTAACCGTCTCGACGGCGAACCTCTCCTTGTTCCACAGCAGCAGACTCAACTTCGCGTCCCTGACGGCTACGAGGAGCATATCGCCCGCGGCGTTGCCGCGAGACCGCTCGGCGGGGGTGACGCGGACCATGCCCGCGATCTCACCCGCGAGCGTGAACTCCGCCACCAGCACCAGCTTCGCCACATCCTCGACTTGGCTCCGCTGCAGCGTCAGCTCTGCCGAGAAGTCGCCTTGCTCTTCGTCGCGCCGGTCGATCCCGCCCCCCGCCCCCGCCGCTGCCGCCGCGTCGGGCGTCGACGGCGCCAATGTCAGCTCCGTGGGCACGCTGGTCGTCGTGAAGATTTGCAGGATGTTGGTTTTCGCGATTAGGAGGTTCGAGGCCGTCGGCGAGGTAAAGGGGAGGGTGAGGGAGTGCGTGACCGACGTCGCCGGGGTGAGCTCGGTGTAGATTTCGGGCATTGTGGTAGTGGTGGGTGCCCGAGGCGGCGGTGGTGTGGTGTGGTGGGGCGGGCGGGCGTGTGTGTGTGTGGGGTGGGGTGTTGCTGTTTAATATGATGATTCAATTATTGAGAGCGCGTGCTGCTCATGATCGCAATGGTGGTGGTGGTGCAGGTGTGTGGCTTGCTGGGGGATGGACGTGGATAGGTATGGAACGATGCGTTGCGGTGGTTCCGAGAGACAATTGATTCAAGCTGGCGGGAAGTCGCGTTCAGAACGTGATCCCTTGCACGGTAGAGTAAAGCCACTACTTTTTGGATTTACCCGCTCGCTCGCTCGCACTGGGATCACGATGACTTCAGTTTTACTTCATATTCTCCTTCTCCTCCCCCTCTTCCTCCTCCCCTTCTCTACGCCGGGCTCTTGGTATTTAAGTGCTCTACTCCTACCACCGTGGTATACTAACAAAGGAAACGTCGAAACAAAATGTAGTCACCAGAGCTAAAAGCCAAAAAAGAAACAGACCCAACCTATTAAACCCAAGGGAATCCAACCCGACCAAATTCACAACTCCATGCAGCCCAAGCGAAACCCAAATCCTAAACACCCTGTTTCTCCACGGTCTCCAGCAGGCCCTTCAGCTGCTCTTTAACATGTGCATAGACACCGACGGGGGAATCCGCCGCATCGACATCGACGACCTTCCCCAAGGTCCTAAAGTGCTCGACGACGGGATAGCTCGTCTCCTTGAACGTACGAAACCTCTTGCGGATGCTCTCGATATTGTCGTCGGTACGGCCGCTCGTCTCCCCGCGCTTCAACAAGCGCGCTAGCATCACGTCCTCGGTCGTATCGAAGAACAGCGTGAACGCGCTCGGACACACCTCCTGCTCGAATTTGTACGCCTGATCAAGCTTCCGCGGGAACCCGTCGATCAGGAATTTACTCTTTCCCTGCGACTTGATGGCTTCCTTCATGGCGCTCTCGAGGAGCGCAACGGTCACTTCCATGGGTACCTGATTTTATCGTCAGCAGCCGCTCGCTCGCTTTACTTTTCTGACTTGTGGAGATGGAGAAACGTACGATCTTTCCCTCGCGGATGTGCGTCTTGATCAGGTCGCCGAACTCGGAGCCCTGGCGGTTCTGCTCCTCGCGGAGGAGGTCTCCCGCGCTCAAGTGCACGAAGCCGTAGTCCTTGACGAGATTTGCGCACTGCGTTCCCTTGCCGACGCCTGGGCCGCCGAGGACGAAGATGACGGTGACATCGTTCGGCGAGAAAGTGGGGACCTTTTCGGTCGGGGCTTCGACCTGGGCGACGGCGGGCATCGGGGCGAAGAGCGAGGCGTCGAGGAACGGTGGGTACGAGTGTGGTGGTGGCAGTGGAATGTGGTAGTGGTTGTGGCCGAAGTGCGTGTGCGGAGTGATGGTTGTGGTGAAGGGGTTGGACGAGAACAACACCTGCGGCGGCAGCAGAAGGTGTTGCGACAGCGATGGGTCCGGATCGGATTCGGTCGAAATCAGGCTTAAGCTGGAACTCTGGCTCGGTGAGGGACTGAGGTGTGGTGACGTTCGCGTCCAGAACTCCTGGCGTCTTGGCAGCTCGCGGCCACCAGCAACGATCATGCGGCGAATAAATACAGACGACATGTTTAAAGAGAGTCAGATGGCGGATATCGGACAGAAGGAAACGGGCCGGTCGAGGGTACGCAAAGCAGCATGAATCGGAATATCTGTCACTTCACAGACGACGGACGCCGGCGGTAGTTATAAGCTGAGGAGAGCACTGGTACCTATCTTGGAACCAACGGCAAGCATGAATGGCAAGTACACGGTGCTCTGGCCAATCCCAGGCCACAGCCACAGCGCGGAGAGTGGAGGACGGGTCTCAGGAGTCAGGAGTGCTACTAAGCACCCTGCAACGCAGTTACCCCTGGCGTCTGATCTCCTTCTCCACACATGCTACCCTAGGCGGCGCCCGGCGGTGTGGGCTGGGGCTGTGGGGTACATCTGGAGTATCTAGCCCGCTGCGGATTGGTACTCAGACAGCGCATCCGTGTCTGTCATTCCTGGCGCTCATATGATCACTCCTGGAAGTCAGCGGCGGTGCGACTCGGCCGGCAGCTGATGGCAGCAAACGACTGAGACGGGCACTGCACTGTGCCAGTCCATGATACTACGTACAGATGGACAGTCACAGAGATCTCAGGCCTTGCGGCGCGATCAACGGGCTGCAATTCCGCCCGCTGAAGAATGGAGCCTGGTGAAGCGAGAAGGAGGAGGAGGAGGGTTCCTCAGGGCAACAAGTATTGGGCAGGTACTCGATCGATACTTTAGGCAGATCCTGGGGTTGTTCGTTCCCATCGCTTTGGAAGTTGGAACAATCGTTCTTCACTTCTGGCTGATAATAGTTCTTCATGCACTACGGCGCGCCGCAGCCGCACCCCCTTTCCACCTTTCCACCATTAACCAGCAGCTCGTGCCTCATTGCTCCTGCTCAGTGCTCGCGCTCATCTCCACCGCCGCACTCAGGTCACACCCACCCACACACACAGCTTCAGCTTCAGCTTTCGCATCACAACCAAAACGCGTACATAGAAACATCATACCCACTCATGTATTCGTTTCGTTTGCACTTTTCTTTGATATCTTTGATACCCGTCAGCGAAGCAAGCGCTGCAAAAAGGTGACGGGTGATCTAAGCTCTTGCAAGGCCTGGCCATCTCCCCGCTTTTCGCCCGTCGTGATTGCGGGGAGCCGGGGGACAGGGAGCCGGGGAAGTGGATCTCGGGACGATGGTGGATGTATGTGGATGTGGATGTGGATGTGGATATGATGTGCTCGGTAGATGATGTTTCCTACATACGGTATTCTACGTACATACTCTACACAGGGCGGATATGATAGGGGATGGGCGGATGCTCCGGGTGCGGGGGCGCGGGGTGATGCTTTGCAGCTTTGCAGCTGCACACACTCGATGCGACGGAGATGAGGGAAATGAAGCATCAGCATCATCACGCGTCGAACATTCTGGCCCTGTTCGAGAAGAATCGTGCTTACATGTAATGTATGTGCGAGTACTTATCATGTCGGTTGCTATCGGTGTGGTGTGGGGCACTGGGGCTGGCTAGGTACCTATGTTAGCCGCCGCTGGCAGGCAGCGTCGGGCGTGGCCGAGCTTTGGTTCGTTTCGGCGGCGGCTAGTTTGGCGCCGTTGGAGACGGGACGTCCCGGCGCTCGCACTGTGATTGGCACATATAAGTAGATCACGAATCACGAATCACGAGCACCCGCGCACTGTGATTAGTATAGGCGCTAGCAGAGTAATCACCGATCACGAGCACGAGCACGAGCACCCTTGCACTGCACTGCACGAACACACCTGGCGTCCGCGGTGAGGAGTATTTGTGCCTCCATGGTTGGGCGATACGCAAGGGATCCATCGCAGCGACTCGGACTCCTGTGGACTGTACTGCAAATTACAAGGTAACCTGTAGGAAGGATGCCATCGAATCCAGAGTGCGCATCCACCGTCACTACCGGCACTACATACTCGTTCCGCACACAGCCCCATCAGCGTGGATGGCCCTTCCTTGCCCAGCTTACGCACTGCACAGTCTGCACTCCCATTACCATTCCCATTCCCAACCAGCAAAGCCATAGCACAGTAACGCTGGATACGGTAGGTAATATGTAATCGCAAAGTCCGAGTCTCCAATCAGGTAAGTACAAGTAGGTAGGTGGTTACGCGCGGCTGTGCAGCGGATACGTACTTTACACGCCCGCGTACTTAGTAGAGGCCGGATTCGGAGTAGAGTCTTAGGCGCCGTTTCTGGTCCCTTGGTAGAGTACCTACTGCGTGTAGAGGCGTTGATCTCACCTATGTACTCTATAAGGTACATACAGAGACGCTCTACTTCTTGAGAGCGTTGAGAGTAGGTAGCGAGTGATCTTGAGATATGTCCCATTTTCAAAAGAAGTTAAAGATAGGACTTTCGCTAGTTGGATCAGTGATTCTTGCTGCAAGTTCTTATTACATATCCACCTGCTATCACGGCTCAGAGATTGCATCATACCGTCTTCGAGTGTGAACTTGTGGACAAAGATGATTTCTACGGCGGAGACGGAAGGAGTTGGGAACAGACATGTCACATGTGAAACGAGTGATGATGTAATTAGAATAAATACTGATTAAAAGCCTCGATGTTCTAACACTCTCACAAGTTGCTCGATGGCTGTCTTCATACCTGCGAGACTCCTCTCAATTGCCTCCACCCTATCCACCAAGCGAGATTCCACTGACTCCTGAGGTGGTCCACTCCGCACTCCTCTAATGCCTGCGACACTCCTCTCAATTACCTCTACCCTATCCGACAAGCGAGTTCCCAGTGACTCCTGAGGTCTGGCACCCTGCACTCCTGAAACACGAAGCAAGATCTCTTCCAGCCTGTCCATCTTCTTCCCCTCGATCGCCTGGAACGCATCTATCATCTGTGTCGTATCTTGCCTCATGGCGTCCATAATTTGATCCGTAACCCTCTTCTTGAGCTCTGCAGGATAGTCATGCCGGCCATCGGCTCCTTTCCGCTTGTTATCGACACTCCCTTCTGCGGCTTCTGGCTCTTCCCTCCTCCTCTCCGAATAGAGGGTCCTCATCGCGTCCCGCACTTTACTTCCTTCCCGGATACGCTGCATTTCCCCCTCTTGCATGGTCATTTCCCGCGCCACTGGCTCTACCCTCCTCTCCGGATAGATGATCCTCATCCCTTCCTGCAGTGGCCTTGCTTGCTGCAAACGCTCCTCTTCCACCTCTTGCATGGTTCTTTCCCGCGCCACTGGCTCTACCCTCACTGGCTCTCCCCTCCTCTCCGAATAGAGGGCCTTCACCCCGTCCCACACTTTACTTGCTTCCTTGAAACGCTCCTCTCCCACCTCTTGTATGGCCTTTTGCAGCGCCGCTGGCTCTGCCCCCCCCTTCCCCGAGTAGAGGGCCCTCATCTCGTCCGCCACTTTACCAGCTTCCATCCAACGCGCCGCTTGCTCCGCTTCCTGCTCCTGCTTTGCCTGGGATCTCTGCGCGGCAGCCTGAGCCGCCACCTCATCCACCAGCACGATCCAGCGATCCACAGCCCGGTCAAAATCTCCATAGTTACGAGTAGCGGTAGCGCTCTTCGTCTTCTCGCGCTCCTCCAAGTAGAGTCTCCTCTGCTTCGGCCAGCGGTACATGAGGCCCTTCACAGATACGTCGAATCCCGTCTGGGCCGCAAACATGGCCTGGATCATATCCATGAAGCTGTCCTTGCGGCGCGCCTGCACGTAGTCGGCAAAGTGGTCGATGCACAGCTGCACCAGCTGGGTCTTGACGTCTTCGTCGCGCATGCTGATGCGCTGCTTCCGCTCCCCCAGCTCCTTCGCCGATATCTCCGATACGTCGCCATCCTCCCTGCCACCACACGACGACACGTGCGGACTCCGCGCTTCCGGCGACGCCGAAATTGTGTCGCTGAGTATGATCGGCTGCTGATGGCTCGACTGATGCTGACTCGGCGGCTGCTGGTTCGGCGGCGGCTGATTCGGCGGCGGCTGGTTCGGCGGCGGCTGGTTCGGTAGCAGGTTGCGGTAGCGCTCTCGTTGCTGCGGCTGCGGCTGCTTCTGCTGCTTCTGCTGCGGCGGCGGGAGGGTAATGGGCGTGGGCAGCTGGTAGTCGGACGGCGGGGTGGATGGTGGCGCGGAGCGCACAGGGTTGGGTGTTGGTGTTGGAGGAACAGGGTCCATTGTGTTGAGCTGAGCTGCCTGGAACGAGACAACGTGAGATCGGATCGGGTCCATTCGGGTTCAGGTTCGGGTTCTATTCGGGTTCGGGTTCTATTCGGGTTCGGGTTCTATTCGGGTTCGGGTTCTATTCGGGTTCGGGTTCTGTTTTTCGCTTCGGTCGGTCGGTCGCGACAAGTTTTCGAGGGTTCGTTCGTTATCGTTCGTTCTCGTTCAGTTCAGGGGAACCGAAACGCGGGAACGATGCAAGGGCAAGGGCGTGGGCGTGATCTCTCTCGGCGGCGATGTCGAATAGCAATGCTGCTCGTGACTACTACTCGCATACCTAAACTTAACTGAACTGGCGAACTGAACTGGCGAACTGAACTGGCGAACTGAACTGGCGACGGCGGGAGTTATGATGCGTCGAAGTTGGAAATGTGATTGTACCAGTGGCACATAAAGAAAATTTTGCAAAAACCCAGCTGCCGAAGTTTACTAAAAGGTCGTTGACGTTCATGGAATCTGAACCTCCTTTTTGTTCTTGTACACTAGATACTTGCTAAACTCCTTTTGTTACCCTGCATACATGATGGGTAGGAGGCGGGTTTGTTGGTGGGGACGTGCACAGAGGATAGAACATCCCCACATATATAGTAGAGTACCTATTGGCCATTGGGTCCTGGATGATATGGAAAAAACCGTGTGGAGTGGGGAGAAAGAGAAGCGGCAGCGCACGACCGTGCCGATCTGTGTCTGGAACGGATACCAGCGAAAGGTGGGGAGAGAGAGAGATCTTCAATTTATTTCACATGCAGCCTATCTAAACGAAAGGTGGAGTTGTGTACTGTACTCGATATAGTACCTCACTCCTCCCTTCAAAAGCCCAAATACCCGCGCACTTCCGCGCTCAGCGCCGGCGACAGGTTAACTACCGCATGTATGTGTGTACTTTGTGCAAGGAGGAAGCCTTAAGTTGTAACCGCCTCCAGAGCAGTTGTATGGGACCATAGTTAGTCCCAATAAGGCTATACACTAGCCCGATACAGCGAGATGAGTGAGATATGGTGAGATTCTGTAGAGATTCTGTGTGGAAAGCAACTGCCTTGGCATTTACGGTGGAATGGAGGCGGTCACGACTTACCCTGTATATTGTCACCATACTTGATTTTTGAACAACATCATCCGCGAGCAGACTTGGCTGCAAAGGCCTATAGATTCCGTATGATACTCAATGCAAACGCTCCATCTTCACCCAGGTAGGTATATTAGGTAGGCAGATAGATAAAACCACTCACCAAACGTTCGCCCCTATGACTCAGGTTGTGGCGGTATCAATTCGGTCAGCCCCTCCATTGCCGCCCTAAACTTCTCCTCTACCAACAGATTCACCCTCATGACCGCATACAGATGTCTGACGGCCAACGGTCGTCCCTCCGACTGGGCGAAGCATGCGGCCGTCCTAAGGAGGTTCTTGATGGAGCGGCCGTTGATCTCGAACTTTCCCAGTACGGCGAAGACTTCGGGTGTCCAGCACTTCTTGTCGATGTCGATGATAGCGGCGTTGGATTCGAGGATATTCCGCCATATGACCTGCCGCACGTCGTGGGAGATCTTTTCGAATGCCAGCGTGATGTGGATGCGGTTGTAGATGGCGTCGTCGAAATCTTCGTGCCGGTTGGTGGTCAGGAAGAGGATTCCTTCGTAATATTCCATCAGCCGTAGGAACACGGAGACGATCGCATTCTGCTCGAGATTGCCGGGGGTTCGCCGTGACATCCTATACAGCTAGTCAGTTTTCAATGCGCCTGACTGATAGGTACTTATGTGGTGGGTGCACGCACAGGACATCGGCCTCATCCAGTAATACCAGTGCTTTCCATTTATTGCCCATTTTGAAGATGCGAGTGATCTGCTTCTCCATCCCCTGTATCTCTGTCGAGAGCTCTCCGCTCGAGATTGAATACAGAGGCCGTCTTGTGTGTTCTGATATACTCTCTGTGATTGCCGATCAGCTCAGTGCCTGCGAACCCACTGGAGTTATGAAGAGGAGAATATATTATACCAGCCATCAGAGTCTTGCCCAGTCCAGGAGGGCCATGCAGCAGGAATACAAGTCCTCTGCCCTTGCCCTCCACTATGTCGTCAAAGGTCCGTACTTCATTCTTATGCCCATCGATAAGAGACTTGACGAGATCTTTCTTGAATTTCACCATCTGAAGCATGTCGAACGCACCATCCTTCCATTGTATCTCGGTGAGCATGGGCTCCTCGATTAGAAAGAAGCCCCATTTCTTTGACCGGAGAGGGAACCCAGGGATCCGGGCAGGACACCGCCAGTACTCGTCATCCGTGAGTTCTTTGTCTTCTTCGGGCTCGGACTCGAGGTTTTTGGCGGTGGAATCGATTTCCTCTGACAAAGGGTCCGCACCAGCAGCATCCGCAGCTGATACATGAACCGGTTCGGAACCGGCGACAGAAATTTGACCATCATCCTCGTCATCTGAGAGATCGGCATCTTTTGGGATGCATGACGCTCCATTGGCCTGATCGGCTTCGTTGGTGGGTTCTGGAAGAAGTTTCGGACGGTACAATACGTATTCGTCCAAAAACGCATCATTGTCCAAGATGATTCGTTCGTTCAGCTGAAGGAGATGGGAACGGATTAGCAGGTACGTAGGGAATCATTCCATAGTGCCCCACTAACCAGAAAATCGTTCCCGAAGGGATTTTCACACAGTCCGTTGAATGCCATGTGCCGAGGACTTTTCACCAACCGCACCCACTTCTTGCCTCTCTCGATCAGTCTTTCTTTAAGCTTCTCTCCATCTTTCCAGTACTTGAGGGGAACAACAGGAAGTGACTCGATATCCCGGATACCGTTGAACGGGCGGAGAATTCTTCGATCCTTTGTCTCTCCCAGACGTGTGCCGTTGTAGCCTATCCCAAGACCAACAGCCATGAAATTTAACTGAGCAAGTTTGAACTTCACAAGACGACGGATCGTGACAACTCCATCGATGTTGAAGACGACCAGCTGTCCCGGCTGGAAAATAGTCCACACGATTCGCCAGGATATTTTACGACGGGAAATTAGGTACTTGTGTTCTTTTCGTATGGATCTTATGCCGTCGTCCGTGCGGATGAAATCCGCAAGTAGCTGCATCTCATTTCCGAGTTCTGTCGATTCGTGCTTGAACCTCCGGATCTTGTCTCGCTCGTAGAACAGCAGTTGGTACGGCTTTGGGATCAAGATCGGATTCGCCTTCAGGTCCACTGCTCCAGGGAACTCGACCATCTTCTGCAGTTCTTTCTGCAGCCGCTTGGACTGTATCTCCATGACCACCGAAAGCACCGTGCGTCGATCATCATCCAGCGTCCGCCGAGTTACAATGGCGTATTCGCCGAACTTCTTGGCCGGCGGCCCATTCTTCTTCGATTTGTTCTGGGACGACACGAATTGACTGGTTCTCAATACTTCCGATCCGCACCAGTTTATGATTTCGGTCAGGTCTTCGTGTGCAATCTTGGTTGTTGGCACTTCCTCGTCGGAGCTGCTGGAGTCGTCCGAGCCGTCTCCAGGGGCCGCAGCAGGTTTTGTAGGAGGTTCTCGTTGCAATACCGAGCGGTATTCAGCCATAGTCGTCATTCTGTCACCTGTGTTGCTGTGAAATTCGCTTCGTGTTTGGTGCGGGGTGTTGGATATGGCAGCAGGACGGTAGTCGTGGTCACTGGTAGTTTAAACTAGACGAGTGCTCTGGGGATCAACCAGATATTAAACCTTATCACGCACGCACGCCTTTACCTACGAACTGGAGGTGGGGATATTCGAGACTTCGAAGATGCTGCAGCCTGCGCCTCGTCACGTCAATAGCGTATCGTCCTCACAGATGTGAGGATTTTCAGCTGAGCACCTTCGTGAACGGGATAGACCTTATCGGCGATAGACCGCCCAGCGGCGCTTGTCCGTCTGAGACGGCACATTATCGGATGCAGCTGAGGATTGTGGGGGTCTGTTGTCAATGTGGTATTGGTTGGCAATGCGATGTGCTTCTAGAGCCTTGCGAGGGAAGGAAGTGTGTTTCTCATTGGGTCTGACGCAGACACACCTCAATTATAGAAATTATTCGCACAAAAGTGCGCACAATGCTTGGTTGCCCGCAATACCAACGTAAATCGACGTGTCCACCATGATACGGCCAGGTCGCATACAATCCATGATGAAGCGAAGGAGAAAAGGGGTGTGCGCCTCGATGTCGGGCGGGGATGGAGCACCTTTTCAAGAACTACCCCAGGTGGAAGACGATCAAAGGATTTTTGGACTCCACGTAAAGAGAAGTTAGAACCGCCCAGGAAGAAAGAAGGCCAGCCCGCCCCGAGGCTCTGTCCTCGGCACATAGAATGCGTCAGCGAAGGGCCGCACAAAAGTCTTGGAACTGCTTGCGGATGAGCGGTGTAGTTAGGCAGTGCTAGACTTCCTGGTGACAACGTGTGTTAGCAGCCGACCCGCCGCAGTGGTGGTGGAAGAGGAGGAGGAGGCAGCCAGACTCCAGTGGAAATCAGGTACGGAGGAGGAAGCGAAAGAGGAAGGCCGGGCGGTGCAACCCACTGCCTTAATGATTCCGCAGCGGCAGGCCGGGGGATGGTCGCACGCAATTGATGACGGGGAAAAAGAAAAGAAAGAGTAACTCCGCAAAGCTACGAACCAGATGTGTTATATACCCATAGAACGGTGTCATACGTCTGTCATTACGGTATTAGGTCTACCCAAATACCAGCTCAAGCTCCGACTTCTAGGATATTGTCCCACTGATCTATTTTCCCGTTTGTTTGAAACACTTCCCTGTTAACTCGATCGAGGAACCAGCAACCTCTCTGCAAACAATACCTCTCAGAAACCTTGCGATAATCCCCATGGCTTCGACACCCACTCTGGCGGCTCCTGGAGGTCTGGTCCCGGTCCCGATTTTAAGCTCGATTCCCGCGGTCACTTTCGCGAGCTCGCATCACTCGCCGCGGTCGAAGGTACCACGGCGGCGGCAGCTACCCACACCATTGGGAGTAAACGCTCTTCCAATTCCCCCTACAATACCGCCTCTTACGTCTTTGGGACGGCTGGATGCGGTCAAAGCGAAGTTCATAAACTTTGTCGGAAGTCAGAAGAAGAAGCCCGTCGAACCCGCAAGCCATGCATCGGCTGTTGGCATGCTGAACAACGAGCAAGTCCCACGGGCCCAGAAGCCTAACATCAAAGAGGAAGACGTCATGAAGTGTGTCTTAGAGCATAAAGATTTTAAGGTGCCCTCTAATATCAGAAGGGATATCGCCCCGAAGGATTTGCCAGCCTTTGATCATCTGGAGCACTATGGCGTCACCGACGACCAGTCACGCGAGCTGTGGGAGAGGGAAGTACGTCGCTTGGTGAGGTACGCCAACAATAGAGAGGAAGAATTGCAGTTCTCCGATGATACTCTGTTCAAGGATGACTCGGGCTCGCCGCGTGCATACCGTTGCCTTGCAAATCTGGCCGACCGCATTTTGGATTGTGATAGGATCAGACGCCACGACAATGAGTTCCTCCTTCTGAAGCATTGCAAAGATCTCCACGTCAGCCAGGCATACGAGCGGGACCGGAGGTTTCTCTGTAGATTCGAGACCGGTTCCATGGACGACGAAATGACGGACGAGGAAAGCCGCACTGCCATATTCTGTCTGGTGGACTACACCACGGCGGTCTTCGCTCGCTTTTTCATTCAAGCCGCTTACAGTGATGAGTGGGCACAAAATTGTCTTGCAATCCTGGCTACCTGGTCAACAGCGATAAAGATCATCTCCGAAAAACCGGCCGCTTTTTCTACCGTGTCTTTGGACAGAACCGAAGAGAAGACCGAGTCCGACAATTCGAAGCGGAAACTTCCGGAAGTGGTCGGAGGCGGTCCTGGGGAGAAACGAGATATTGAAACCATGGATCAAGGCCTCAAAGAGTTTTATATTGCCAAGAAAAAGAAATATAGGCAACTCGAAGACCTGGTGCAGTATCTGCTTGCCAGTTTGACGGAACAGAGGATTGGTTGTCTCACCAAATACGAGATCTGCTCCATTGTTTAGTAAGCATATACTTGGCCATTCATCCAGCCATTGTACATACAATCCTTACTGATTTCCATAGCGAGACTGGGCTCGAGGGCTTCCAAACACTGCTTTTCAGGGACCGCGAGGGAGAGCTTCTAGCCACTTCGGACCCGCCCTGCCTGAATATCGCTCACTCGGGTTTTGCTATTCTGGACAGAACCGTGCAATCCCTCCGGAGAGAATATACTCGCAACCCGCCTTCAATCGCAGGTACTACCACTTCCACGCTACAGACTAAGGTTACCTGGAGTTATAGTAGCGACATGGTAGGCCATGAAGATGGAGCTCCTCACAACCCTTTGGACCAGGGACACACTCCGGAACAACACTTGCCTCTGGAAAGCATGAGAAATATCATCACTGTCACAGTCGCACTTCTCATAACATCTCCAATGATTGTTTCAGCAACCATTGACATAATCAGGCTGATTGCTCTCACCAATGTCGAGAATCCGGACGAAACGATTCGACCTTATGAGACGACGAAATTCAAGGCATTTTTCCGTATATACACCAGCGACTTTGAGAATGCGGGGGGCGAAAAAGGCGGTTATGTTTCAACATTGTCCAAAGGTTTGATGACCAGGGACAAGCTCCTTTCTGGGCCGAAGATCGCAGCTATTTCCGGTTCCACTCGATTCATGGACACTACCGTGTCCTCTCGAAATGCATCTGCGCGTGTCAATGCCCTCAGCATCAGAGATGCGAACGAAAGGATGAATGAATGGATTTTCGATCAAAAAGCCGTAATAGTGAATTGTCGATTCTACGTATGGACCGTTATCACTTCGGCTGCCATTCTTGTGGTTGGTGGTCTGGCCATAGGCTTCACAGTTCGCAACAGAATCGTGGCAGTCGATCCTTTCAATATTACGACTGTATGCCTTCCCCCCAAGTAATCCTTGTTTAACTCGAAGCTGATGAAATATATCCAACAGTACGCCTGGGTTCTCGCCGCCTTTCTTGTACTGATCTGCAAAAGCGTCAGAGTTGAGACCTGGTCGTGGCGAGACTTTCTGAACTTCACGGTGCAATGCAAAAGCATCAGCGAACTCCACGACGTCACCGGCATTCCCGAGCAACTCATAATCGCCAAACTTTTGCACGAGGAGCGCACGACGATCCTCCACACGCGTGGGCCCTACAACTTCGCCTTTACGAGACGTTCCGACGACGGCTTCTCGATCGACGTTCCGCTCACCATGTGGACCATGTTGCTGAGCGGATTGATTATGGCACAGGTAATGACTCCGCAAGGCTACGCACTCGTCTGTTTGGATGTGAGACGTGGAACCAAGTACTCGTGCGTCGGTCACCAGGTGAGCTCAGTGGACGCAAAAGAGAAGTTGGTTTGTCTCGATCCGACAACGTCACAGAAGCGGGGTACTGGCAAGCACCATCTCTTTTCGCTTCAGAAGAAGGAGATAGATTGGATGAGTGTGCAGGGCCTGTTCAACATGCCTGACGCAGAATTTGTGTGAGATATTCTTGGCCGGCGTTTTATACTCTTATTTTGGTGGGGGTTCTTTTCAGGAGTGGGTTAATGTTCATGGGGCGTCTGTTGGCAATATCATTCGTTTTGGCCGTTGAAGGAGTGAGACTTTGTTCATCATTTTTTCCATATGTTGGTGGACACGAAGGAGGTCGCATTTTGGCGAACGACGAGTGACTACAGCGGAAGCCCACCTGTTCCATATTTGATCGATTTCATTTTACAGTACATACAGACCACTAGATCCAGCCGAAAGTCGATAACACAGGCCATGGACGATATCAAATCTATGTAGATACACTTTCCCCGAGATCAGGTTCTCTATCCTCCAACAAAATACTCCCAAGATCCTGATATCTGATAGGTAGGCGTACGTACGTTGTATCAGACAAACACATTATGTCACTCATTCGTCGAGTGAGTGATCGGTTATCGCACGAAGAAAGTATTGAATCGTCATACGGTACAGTAGAGTGAGTAGAGAGAAATATCAAAGAACAAACAGAACGTATACATCCATCAGACCATCAAACCGGGCGCCATCCACTCATTGTACCTGCCGCCATGCACATCCACCTCGTTCATCATACCATTAACCTCCTCCAGCTCCTCCTCACTCAACTCCACAAGCTTACAATTCTCCTCCACCCTATCGACGCCTGTCGCTCCGGGCAGAGGAACAATCGTCGCCTTGCCGGGCTTATTTCCCTGGGCCAACACCCAGGCCAAACAGACCTGCGCCTTGCTGCACCCCTTCCTCTCGGCAATCCTATCCAGGTTCTCGACGATCACCCGGTTCTTCTCGAAGTTCCCCGGCTGGAAGCGGTCGAAAATCTTGCGCATATCCCCATCCTCAAGATCCTCCGGCTTGGTAAACCTGCCGGCCAAGATCCCGCGGCCCAACGGGCTATACGCCATGATCGGGATCCCGAGCTCGGCACACGTGTCGGCCACGCCGCCGGGGACGAACACCTCGCGGCTCCAGAGGCTGACCTCCATCTCTACGGCAGCGATGGGGTGGACCTTCGCCGCGCGGCGGATCGTCTCGGGGCTGACCTCACTAAGGCCCACTCCGCCGATCCTGCCATCCTTGACAAACTCCGCGATGGCGGCGACGGTCTCCTCGATGGGGGTATTCTTATCGACCCTTGCGCACTCGAATATGCTAAGGAAGACCTTTCCGTCGAGCACGCGCAGGACGTTCTCGACGGAGCGGCGGACGCCCGTGCGGTCGCCCTGCGACGTCAAGTGGTCGCTGGTAAGGTCCGCCCCGCCCTTGACCGACAACACCACTTTTGCCGCGTCGGATGGGTGCGCGGTGAAGTACCGGTTCAGAAGCTCAAGGTTCGCCGTGCGGGTGCCTGGCATCCCGTAGAACTCGCCCGCGTTCCAGCAGTTGGCGCCGCCCGCGAGCGCGGCGGACATCGCGGCGAAGGCTTGCGCGTCCGGAGTAGGCGTGGGAGTCCAGGTGAAACCCATGAGGCCGAAGCCGATGGGGCCAGTGGGCTTGGAGGTGATTGTGGGCATTTTGGAAGGTTGTTTGGAGGTTTGTGATGGGCTTGGAACTGGATTTGGTGTGATAGCTGGTATTTGCGGATGTAGTGGCTTGGGAACTGTGGCGAAGTCTGATATAGTTATCTAGTTTCATCAAAGTCACCGTCGTAAACTTTTATATATGCATATCGCCTACGCTCTGGTGACGGTGTTATCGGACATCTGAAAGACTAAACTTGGTCCTACACTTTCCTGCAGGAACCGAAGTGTCATCCATGGAACATCACAACCCTAATCCTCTGGAGTAACGAGTCTGGACCCCCGGAGTTTGATCTAAACTCCGGCACACCCGTTCCCTCCAGGAGGGATGAGGGGCAGCCGGAGATTAGAATGCGGGGGGACGTTGAGGAAAATCGTGGACTTTAGTTCCGAGCCTACCATTGCCGTTTCCCCGAGACGGCAGACCGAAGTTCGGAACTTGCGACCGGGCCGGGATCGGGGCTGGTAAGTCCTCCAGACTCCAGAGCACCGACCAGCGCAGTTCATAGACGATGACTCGACCGATTTCGCACCCGGAGATAAGCGAGTACCCCCAACGCCCCCGTGGTCAAGTTATGAGTACAGACAGGATACCCAGAGCGACCTGGACAGGTCGTGTGCGATCGATAGTACCTGAATCCTGAGCCCGTTTGTTCCGCAGGAACCTGGTTGAGCCGTTTTCCATCCCGGGCCCCGGCCACACGTTGTCCGGACTCGACGCCCATTAACCCCTGGGCCGCGCCGGGCCGAGCCCTTGGATCCTCCCGAGTCACCACCGGGTTCCCTCGGCCGGTGTCGCGGACTCGGACTCGGAGTAACACTTACAACTTTCGGCACTGTGCCTACCGGGCTTTCCACGGTGGGTCTGCGGCCGTATGTAGCTGCCTACATCCCGCCGGGCCCGAGAGTAAATAATTATACGACCACGGAATTCCATCCATCCATCGGGCTTCAACTACGCCGCGACTTGGGCCGGGGCCGGAGCAGTGTAACCATTCCCGACCTACCTACGTCGCACATGCTCTCAGTCTGTTGGTACTACCGGCCGGATATCTGCTATGGCCGACTGGTGTGCGGCTTTTGCAGTCGAGACTCGGGACTCCGGGGACGTCGTTCGGCTATACTTATGGCCCGTCCCGATTCTCGATTCCCGATATCTCCGGAGCCTGGGAGTGAGTTTCGGGCCTCTGGAGACGACGGGGACTGATACCGGAGGTACCTAATGCGCTGTTTCTCCGACTGGCTGCTCCAAGCATTAGGGATGGTTTATCTATTTCACATATGGCGGGAACACTGGCGATTAGAATCTATGCACCTTCATTTCTCTCGCGGCACTTCGCACAGCAGAATGGTCCAATCACTTTCATTCGCACGAACTTCCAGTCCATAAACAGCGTCTCTAGCAGAGATAAAAACAAGCAATTCCATGATCCATCGTCCCAAAGAAACTTCCTTCTACGCCCTTCTCCTCTTGACTCCCACCTCAACACCAAGCGGCTTCCTCAAGAACCCCTCACACGTGTTCAACTCCGCGCCGGGAAGGCCCTGGAGCTCTCCCTCGGCAAACTTCCACTCCCAGCCACTAAACACCGTCGCCACAATAGTCGTCATCTCGATCTCCGCCAGATTCTGTCCGACACACGCCCTGGGACCCGTCGAGAACGGGATGAAGCTCCTCTTCTGCAGCGCGGTAAGGTCGAACCACCGCTCGGGAACGAACTCCTCAGCGTTCTCGCCCCAGACCTCGGTGGAGTGGTGGATCGTGTACGCGGGAACCGAGAGGACCGTTCCGCCGGTGAAGAATTCGCCGCAGACGGTTGCGCCCTCCGGCGGGACGAGGCGGGGAAGACCGAGCGAGGAAGTCGAGTGGATACGGAGAGTCTCGTTGATGACGGCGCGGAGGTAGGGGAGGTCCTTTACGGCACCATAGCGGGGAATTTCCCATTCGCCATGGGGCGAGAGGGCGGCGTCGAGTTCTTTCTGGAGGGTTTGGAGGACGCCGGGGGTGCGCAGGACCCAGAACATGAGGGAGCAGAGCGTGTTGCTAGTCGTGTCGGATCCGGCGATAAGCATGGTCAGGGCTTCGGCTTCGGTTTCCTTGCGGCCGAGGGGGTTGCCGTCGCCGTCGCGGCCGTCCATCAGTTTCTTGAGGAGGTCCTCGCGGCCTGCTCCTTTTCCATGGTCCAATCGCTCGCTGACACGTGCAATGGCGATACCCGCGAGGTTTTCGACGGCTTTGATGCCTTGAGTGAAAAACTTGTCCGGGATGTATTTGGCGTATTTCTTGACCCAGGGGACACATCCGAGCGTGCCAGATACCTCACCGCGACGGTTAAGGACTTCGATGGCGGGAGCGGTGGTCACTTTGCCGGTGCGCGGATCCTTCACCGCCGCCTCGTCTTTGCACGACTCGAGCATGCCGAAAGGTGCGCCAAAGGTCAAATCTATATATCATCAGCCACACACTCGCAAGTGAGACCTCCCAGCCCTCATACATACCCGAGATGATATCAAAAGCCAGGTAGTTGAAATAATGCAAACAATCAAGCTTGTGGAACCCGCCGGGCAGGTCTGGGCGGTCCGACATCTTGTTCCATTGTTTCGCCAGGAGCTCGAGGTTGTGATGAATAAACGGCTCAAACTGCAGCACGCTCTTGGTCGAGAAAATATGTGACACCGTCTTACGCTTGCGTGTGTGCTCGGCGCGGTCACGGGTGTTGAACAGCCCGCGGGCGATAGAGACAAAGCTGTCGTAGTACTCACTTCACCAGCAACCCGTCCGTCAGCCCGCCCGCCCTCACGATAGGGACAGTTATTAGGGGGATACTCACGATTTCGTGAACCCAGTTCCATGACCGTAGATGGCCGGAATGGCGGCGGAGTCGGCAACGGAAACGTGCTTTGGCTGAACGCGAACGAATCTTCCGTACTTCTCGTGGGCGGCGTGGACAGCGAGGTATCTACGTCCGCGGCGGGCCTGGTAGAAGAGCCAAAATTCCGAGAAAGCGGCGGGGAACGGGGAGGGAAAGCGGCGAAGTTTCTTGTCGTCGGCGAGGTATGGAAGGAGGTAGTACAGCACTGGGAACAGCGCAATGAGGAGGATTGTGAACGCCATGGTGGTGATGATTGTGCTGTCTGGCTGCTGGACTACGAGATGTAGATGTAGAGGGTCTTTATGGAATTGGAACCACCGCGCACCGCTAGCTACCTCGGGAGCGGCACCAGACGGACGTGTCAGGCGGGGTATAGGGAGGGAAGGGGCCTCAGCAACGGTTCCCAGGGTTCAGATAATGGTTGTACACTGCGTCTGCTCGGGGCGTGCCGCGTGCCAATCGTGATTCTGCAGCTGTTTTCGACAAGATCAAACCCTTCCATGCAGCTACAGACATCGCGATTCTAGCTTGTGGAAAAAGCGGGTCGCAAGCGGGATGTGGGGACCCTCGGCGGAGCCTATACGGTTCATTCGGCACCAGACATGCCGGAGTGCATCTGTGGGGAAGAAAGCCATCTTCGTCGTCGTGAAGGTCGTGAAGGATCGACGTCGAGGCAAACATTTGGCATCATCGACGCTAGAGTAGAGTACGGTAAGCACCGCAACCCTACCCCACACCTGCAAGGAAAGGAAGGCCGGCTCATCGGAACGTGAGCAGTTCCACCAATTGGCAAGGGTGGATTGTATGCGCCCCGAGCCCAGGCATCGCGGAATTGGTGGTTGTGCTCATGGGTGGTGGTACAGGACGGACGTTCCGCCGGGATCGACGGAGGGGACACGGGAGAGCCGCCTTTTTGCGGGTTGCTTCCGTGATGACGTAAGGCAAACGGTGCCGAAGTGCGTATCTACGGGATCACCATTCAAAGTGGAGAGGAAGTATCTATATACCGGTGCCGTATTGCGTGGATGCTGTGATGATTTTGTTCTGTTCTCGCGCGAGAGATTCTGCTTCACAAGATAATAGGAATTGGAATTGACAGTGATGTCTGAACAGGAACCTATGATGCCTACAACGTGACTGGCCACTGGATGAGTGCTGGAAAGTGTCTCGCTTGAGCGAAATATGGGGCTGGCCCTGGGCCCGCAATCATCGGACCTACGCTCTTTCCGACCGAGGCCCGAAGAGTGCAGGAGGAGTAGCATCGGCGAGATTATAGTTAAAGGCAAGCAGGATCTAGAGCTGGTGGTGTCGGATCATATCCGAGCTTGAAGTTACGAGACGGAAGCAGCCCAGAGCGTATACGACATCCCCCAATGGCTCGTCCGAAATCACATTTTGCGTACATCAGTAAAACACCAATTAGCCAGGCAGAATATTGCTTTTCAAATTCATCCACAATCGCAACCGCGCATACCAGTATATCAAAGCAACATAACAGACCGCAAAAGCAAACTCCGTACTCCCATGACCTTGATCGATGTCCCAGCATCTGCTACACCCAATCCAAGCTAACCTTCCGGGCCTCCTCCTCGCCCAACTCCATATCCAGCACTCTGTTGAGCAGCATCTCCTTCTTAACCCACGCCTCCTTCCTCTTCCCCTCCAACTTCGCCAGAGCATCCGTGAGGTCCTGCTGTTCCCTCTCGGCCCATGTCTGCTTCTGCTTCAGCAACCTCAGCAGCTCCTTCGGCGGGAGCTTTTCCTCATCGCTGTCGTAGCCGTCTTCAGCCCCGTAAAATGCGGGTGCTGAGCGATCAGTCCTCGCGCCTCCTCCAGCTCTTGCCTTTCTCGGCGCATTGTGCGGGTGTAGCGGATGACTCTTCGGTACCGGATCGGAGGGGCGCAGGGCCTCCGTCTCGTGCACAGTGCGCATATGTTTCGCCAGGGCATCTGAGCGGGTAAAACTCCTATCGCACTCTAGCAGCGCGGCGTCGCATTAGCGCCCGTCGTTCCTCCCCCCATCCAGCGTTGTATCGGAGCAACCTACCCGGCAGCGAGCAATAAAACGGCTTCTCCTTGGTATGGCTCCTCATGTGCGCGCGGAGCGCATAGCCACTCGCATGTGTAATCCCCTTGCGCATGCAATCGTCCCACATGCACGCATACGTCGCCTTGCGCGTGCCGATGTGCTCCTCGTGTATGTGCTTGACGAGATCGTCCATGTTCCCCATGTCCGCGAGGCACCCGTCCCAGCGGCACACCGAGACCTGCTCCGCGGGGCCGTCGTCATCGTGCGTGTCCGCAGGGCCCGGCGAGCCCGGAACCGAGCCGCTGGTGTCCGATGAGACGTCGGAGGATAGCAGGTCCGGGTGCTCGTGGTCAGACGAGTGCGGAGAGCTGAAGGCGGTGGAGGCCCGGCGCTTGGGCGGCGGGGGGGAGGGCGAGGAGTATGGCGAAAGTGGGGAGGAGGGCGTCGACATTGTGGGTGGCGCGCGCGCGTGGTGTTGTCGGTCGCGTGTGGTTCGGTGGAGGTGGAGGTGTTGTAGATGGTGGTGGTGCCGGTGGTGCTGGCCGAGGGAACAATGCAAGCTGGCGCCGCTTACAAGCGCCTCATCGCGTCGCGTGTCTAGAGTACATACGTTCACCGAAACCACGGCCGCGACCACAGCCACAACCACAACCACAAGCGTCCATTCAAAAGTGGCTCAAGACGATCTAACTTTTCTAAATTCAATCCATGATGGGATTCATGGATTGCGCTTGTTTGTTTTTGATTATTTTGGCGCGGTTCTACCGAATTATGTAGTATGCTCATGCGATATCATCTCGTCACAGAAGCCGAAAGGACCCTTGTTGTTTGTACTTATCGCACTTTCTTAAACACGGAGGATTGTATGTATTGTACAGCACTCACATTGAGGAATACCATTATTGTTACAAAGCTCTTAGTCGCCTGCCTCTCGAAATAAAAACCTCTCGGAAGTGCAGGAACCAGGCGAACCAACCATGAGTCTTTCCGGCCATAACTATAGTACCGTGCCCCAATCGCGGCCGCGAGTGACAGCACTCTCGAATCTCCACCGATTCTTGATCCCTTCGGAAAAACCGGCCACTACGTACAGTAGTACGGTACCCCACTGAATCACTGAATCACTGAACCACCGAACCACTAAATCACTAAACCACCGAATCACTGAATCGCCGAATCACCGAATCACTGAACCACAATGCCAGAGTGGACGTTGCCAGTTGGTGACAAACATTCAGTACCTATGTAAACCGTAACCTCAAAGGCAATGTCCAACCAACCAACCAACCAACCCTGTGCAGTGCATTGAATCGGTAAACCAATAGGCAAGTAAGTAGGTAAGGCCATGTTGCATGCATGCTGTCCCGCTTAGTTGCCCATGTCGTTCGTCCTCGAGGGCTAAGATAGTGATCACTGATGTGGTTGTTGAGCTCAGGGGGCAGAGGGTGGACCGTGGACTCCATGGATCCATGATCCATCACCACTCCGCAAGCAATACCTATCAGACGCTGACCCGGGATTGACCAAAGTGGGTATTGCTATTAAGAAACTGCCGATGAATTCAGTTGTGAGTGCTCTATAAGCTTTAGAAGGGAAAGCGGATTATTATCTATTTGTATATAGGTACATAAAAGAGGAAAGAGAAAGAGAGAAAGAGAAAATAATTCTTGAAGCAAATGGTATTATCCAGCCTTTCCAAATTTACAACGCAGCGCAGCATAACCCATCAACACATCTACAATTACTTACATACTGATGTACCTACCTAATGTACTTAGGAAGTATGTACTTTCTTAGATAATTGACCATTCACGAAGATAAAGAAGAAGAAGAAAAGAAGAAGAAGAAAAAGAAAACGTGAAAAGCAACCGAACTCCATTCATCTCAGAAACTGACCGAAAGACGCACTATTCCAACTCCAAACCTTAATCGACCAAACTGACCCAAGGTTTTAGGCCATGGCGGTCCTCTGCTCAAACACCGGTAAGGTTTCCTCGTCAATTTGTATGTCCTTCAACAGTCGTCCTTGTCAGCCTTGTTGTCCTCCCCATAGGTGGCAGGCGGCGAGGTAAGGGCTCCAGCATTGTCGTTCTCCGTGTCGGTGGTAGCCGGTGACAGCGCGGCTCCATTATTGTTGTCCTCCATATCGGTGATAGGCGGCGAGGTCGGGGCTCCAGTGTTATCGTCCTCCGAATCGGTGGCAGGCGACGAGGTCAGGGCTCCAGAAATGTCGTCCTCCCCATCGGTGGCAGGCGGAGATGGCCCGGCTTCAGCATTGGTATCTGCTGTCTCGTTCTTCCGTCCAGTCAGCATCGCGGCCTTATTCTCGTCGACATTCTCTAGATTATTTACCTTGGATTTGATTTCCTTTGCATGGTAGTTCACGGTTTTTTGGCCGGGGATCTTCTCGAAATCGAACTGCCAAACCAGGAATTTTCCATCCTGGCTCTTGGCGGTATACGCATTGACGACCTTGTAAAGGCCATCGTAGCGATACCCGGTCTCGGGCCCTAACGGGTTCTTGTACCCGCGAACTACGCGTACAGGATTTCCCGTCTGGAAGCTCTTGTGCAGGCCAGCATTTCCACGGACGAGTTCTTGGTCCTTACTCTGTGTGGCCGTGCGCAAGTTCTTCCTTTTCAGTTCCCGGCCACCCGCACCGGTGTAGGTGAACTTGTCGCCCTCATCGACATCCTCCGGGTATCCTGCGGACAGGACGACCGAGTACGCACCCGACTCTGGGCCCCCGAAGATTCCGCCGACAGGAGGAGGATGAACTCCGGCCGCGCCTAGTTTGATGCGAAACTCCCACACGTCGCCGATGCTGACGCCCGGGATCGCACCGAAACGCTTGCCGTCAACACGGAGCTTGGGTGTCTTCGGCTCCGGACTGTAGTTCTTAGCGGGATTCAGCGGGGCGGGATCGGTGTGAGATTCCAAACTCTCCCGGCATGCAGCCTGCACCATCACCCTCTTAGAGCGTCTGGGTTCTTGGTCTAGCACACGAGCCTTCGTAATGCGGTTGTTCCTACCTGACTTCTTGGAAGAAGTCGGGAGTACGGAGCTTTTGTTAGACATAAGCTGTTCAAGAATAGCCTTGCTCTGCTCGCGCTGCTGATTCCTGAAAATCGAAAATTTGAAACTTAGTTTCTTCGGGATCATAAACGAGCTTGAGAGGTATGAGGATGGAAGTTAGACGGATTGGGGAGCAACTTACACCCAGAGCTCGTACTCATTTGCGCGATTAGAGTCACCGCCATCCTCCATATCGACCACGTCCTTGATGTCCCCGCTGTCCTCGACACTTGAAAGGTCCTCCGTATCGGAATCGTTCTGCACATCCCCATCCTTTTGGGCTCTTCCCTTGTTGCCTGCGTCAAGCTCTTCCGACTCCACTATGACTGGGTCAAGCTCCATTTCGGTGAGGTCAAGCTCCATCTTGTCGGCAGACATTGTTATATCTTGAAGTTGTCTTGGGAAAATGCTCGGACTATCTGGTTATCTGGGACTCGTTGTCAATTCTCTATGCGCTCGGTAAGTAGTTCGGTCGACCCCCGGTCCATCAACGTGACTTACTTTCTAGTAAATGTCGAGCGCTGAAATATGGATGTTAATGCTGTCTCTGTTTATTCGGGTGAAGACCGAAGAGGCCTAAGAAAAGCTGTGGGATTCACTTCCGAAGTTACGAGGCTGTTGTGTTCTGTGGATGAAGAGTTGAAGACGGTGCGTGCAGTGGAGGGAGGAAGAGCTCAGCTGCTGTTAGAAGTACATAACAGCGGGAGGATTGTTGTGGTGCCTGCCGAGTGAACGCCTAACCGTTTTTCAATCCGGGACCGGGGTAGGGCTCCTCGCCATGGACGTATTATGTACTGCAGGGTTGCTTAAGTGGGATGTGGTGACAAGAGCGTTTCGAATGGCCTCTTAGTCGCACAAAAAAATGAAACGAATATATGTATCTACCATACAAGCTACAGTACCGGTAGTGATGCTTCGAAAAGAAGTAGAGCGAGTGCCAGAGATGCAACCAGTGTTTGCGATGAGTTGTTTGAGATTTTTAAATCGTATAGCTTTTACCGCTGGGTCAGGCCGCCCTTATTCGCCCAAAAACAACTCACTGCAACCCACCTGTCATTTCTACTACCACTTCACCACAGCTCTCCCTTCTACCGCCGCCTGCAAATATCTACAGAATACCGCTACAATACCACCTGCACCTATACCCATGGAAGAATCAAGACAGCAGTACAGGCAGATTCCGCCGGTCGGATTCAACAATACTGGCATCCTTCAATTCTATATTGGAGAGCAGCTGTAAGAACTTCGCCCTTTTAATTTGGATGAAATTTCACTGGCTGACTCGAGCAGGCGCACCGACCGAATGGAGGTGCACTTCGACCTCCTCCAAGGTCATTTGCACTATCTATTACCTCCTAAGTCTTTCTAACATGAAGTAGGTACTTTTACCAAAGGCGCCTTCTTTTATTTCAACAAGGAGGACTGGCGTCTCGGTGATCTGCTGGTTTCCAAGCTCCACGAGAACCCACTGGTTGGCTTCGCGGCCTACGGGCTTGTGAACCCTCACGATACTAGCTTTGAGCTTCTCGTGAGAGTGATCAGTATTGCCGATGCTATACCCGGCTACCACGCCCGTGAAGCTGTAGCTGGCGCTTTTTTCCAGGTCTTCAATGACATCAAGTGTCTGCGTGACCGCCTGGACAAGGAGTTGAACCTTCTAAAGCTGCGTCGCGAAGGCGGAGTGGCTGGTGGAGACGAAAACAAGCCAGTCACTCGTGAATACAGAGACAATGAGAACAAGATGCCGAACCTGCTGGATGGTAACGCCCCTACTTCCGATCATGGTTGCGTCAACGTCAACTAATCGAGGCCCCGCCACCAAGGATACTCTACCCACGAGAGTGGAGAACTCAATCCCTCAACTGCGATCTTTCAGTTTCGATCCCCGGCTTAAAAAGAGTTTAAGCTGTCTGTATGCGAGTAGACGATTAGATGGGACATACCCGATGGCCTTCGTAATGTGTGTTCCGTTTTTGTTGTGAGAAATAGTGATTGTGGGCAAACAGTTAGCTTCTAGGCACGTGAGTGCGACAGTAATTATGTAGACGATCCAACAAAGATGAGGACAAGCCGCTCGGGCCTTGTCTGAACCGGGTGTGGCTGGCATAGGTATCATACCTGGTGTGGCTTGTGAGGCGATGATTTTGTTTTCGGTTAAGTGCTCCATTTCCTTATATAGCAACATTGTATCCGAATCCTTCAACACTACATACGGCGCCCTCGACGCTACGTTCCACAGCCATGAGTAATATTTCTTTTCTACTGGACTCTCCTACTTCTCAGCCTTACTAGAAATCTTTAATCCTGTTGTTTGGACCAATATTGGTGGAGAACGGGTGGATTTTGTTGCGTCCGGAGCGACTGCAGAAGCTGTCGGCACGAATAACTACATGAGCTGTCACTCGATTCCGGGTCGCCAAGTGTCAAGGATCCCCTGCAGCTTAGTGATACATAGTGTCCTCATTTTAGTGTATGCCAAGCCCAATCTTCAACCTTGAGCGCGACACGTCCCCCAGAATTTAGAACCAACCCTCGGCCACCAACACCACCAGCACCACCAGCACCACGACGGACATTCACGATTCTCGCCCCGAAAACCCCACATTGCATCCTCTCAAAGACGAATAAAACGATAAACTATGGCCTACGAAGGACGTGTTGGCTCGAAGATGGGTGGTGGCGGTGTCGCCTCGCACTCCGCCAGCAACCAAGACCGCCGCGAGCGTCTGCGCAAGCTCGCGCTCGAGACTATCGATCTTGACAAGGATCCATACTTGTGAGTCTTGACTCTTGCCGAGCGTCGCGTCTATACAAGCTGATACTGACCGATCTTTGCTTCCCACAGCTTCCGCAACCACGTCGGCTCCTTCGAATGCCGTCTCTGTCTCACCGTGCACCAGAACGATGGATCCTACCTCGCGCACACACAGGGCCGCAAGCACCAAACGAACCTTGCGCGGCGCGCCGCGCGCGAGGCAAAAGAAGGGAAAAACCTAGATCCGATAACCGGTCTACCGCAGGGGATGATCGGGCAGCAGTTGATCGCGCCACGGAAGAACTTGATCAAAATCGGACGGCCGGGGTACAAAATCACCAAGATTCGAGATCCGGTCACGAGGCAGCTTGGGCTGTTGTTTCAGCTGCAGTACCCCGAGATCGGTACGGAGATTAAGCCCAGGTACCGGTTCATGAGTGCGTTTGAACAGCGCATCGAGGTCCCCCCGGATAAAAACTATCAGTACCTACTGGTCGCTGCGGAACCGTACGAGACTGTCTCGTTTAAGCTGCAGGCGAAGGAGGTGGATCGGAGCCCGGGGAAGTTTTGGACGCATTATGACGCCGATCAGAAGGAGTTCTTTCTGCAATTGTTCTTTAAGACCGAGAGAGAGGAGAGGTACGCCGGTGTACCTGGGTTGGCCCCGAGGCATTAAACATGGGGGCAGATCGAGGGGGAGGGGTGTGTGGGAAAGTCATACGAGAGGACTACGCCACCGGACGCTCAACCTAGTCTGACTTGGAGGAACTGTTTTTACCATGGGCTTTTGTCTTTCTGCTGGCATTCTACCTAATTGTGACTTGTAACCATAGTTTGCATCTTAGAGCTGTTTTGAATACTCAGCTGAGAAGTGAGGATCATGGACTGAAGGAAACATTGCTGGATTTTGTCTGGCAATATGGACCGTGACTTTCCCGGGCGATCTGCACACAAAAGTGACTGCTTAGGCGGAAGTCAATTGGCGTCTGCACATCCCTCCTGGTGAATAATTCTTGGAAATACCCTTGAGACCTTCTTTCTTGCGCGCATCTGTTCATTATCCTTCACCGCAAGAAGAGCTCCACCTCGATCACCACCTTCCTTCTCGGCGCCGAAAGTTTTAGGGCCCGTTTGGATAGCCTCAGTTTCCAGTTCCAGTTTTAGAGCCAAATCCAGTTCCCCGCCGGGGCACCGAATACTGTCCAGTTTCAGTTTCCGGAGAACTTTGAGGTGAACAGAGTGTTTGGCAGTTATCAGTATACTCAGCCAGAAGTACTGAGTGTACCCAATCATGTCTAGATGTGTCACATCGTTTGCCCTGACTCATCGCCTGCGTGGAGCACTCACCGTATGCACCTCGGGTTCAGCCTTACGAAGAGTCAACGTCATTAGCGCGGTAGCGGCTTGCAGGTATGCATCTGTTTCCCCTCCACCCGCAAATAAAGAACATCACGGACTTCTTTAGAGACCCTACGAGTTTGAACCCTCTTCCAAAACCCCTGTCGGCTTTGTCTCCCGCTCCTTATATCATACCATCTACCCCTCACTACACCAGCATCACCGCCGCTATCTTTCCACCAAGCAACCCTTCTCGCACGCAATGTCGGCCGATCCCGCCCTCAGTAAACCCCAAGACCCCGCCACAGTCAACGCCCTTGTCGCACGTCTCGAATCAGGCATCGGCAAAAAGCCCAAAGAGCACGGCTTCTCCTGCAAAAAGAGCACTTTCACGATCGAAGACACTGTGCACAATGTAGACTCGTGGAAATTCCAGGAGCAGGACTTCAAGAAGCACACTCTCCCCACATACGCACGCGGACTCTTCACATGGCGCGACAAGGTTTCCGGGAACTACCGCATCGCCATCCGCGGTTACGATAAATTCTTCAACATTAACGAGGTGAAGTGCACCAAATGGGAGTGGATTGCGGACAATACGAAGGCCCCATATGAAGTCACCGTGAAGGAGAATGGGTGCATCATTTTCATCTCGGGATTGCCGGATGGGACCTTGTTAGTGTGCAGTAAGCATTCAACTGGTGCGAGGGAGGAGACTGAAGCGTCGCATGCGATTGTTGGCGAGCGATGGGTCGATAAGCAGTTGGCGCAGATTGGGAAGACGAGGCGGGATCTGGCGGAGACGCTCTACAACGCCAATGTTACCGCCGTGGCGGAGCTGTGTGATGATTCTTTTGAGGAGCATATCCTGGCGTATGAGGGAGATCAGGCCGGTCTCTACCTTCACGGTATCAACTACAACCTCGGAGATTTTGCGACATACTCGATGCCGGAGGTGCACAAGTTTGCCGAGGAGTGGGCGTTCCGCAAGATCGACTATGTCGTTAAGGATGATGTTCAGCAGCTCCGGAAGTTCCTGGAAGAAGCTGCGGAGACGGGTTCGTGGGATGGGAAGGATGTGGAGGGTTTCGTCATTCGATGCAAAGCGAGAACTGATGCCAGCGACCCCAACTGGGAGGACTGGTTCTTTAAGTACAAGTTCGAGGAGCCTTACCTTCTGTACCGGCAGTGGCGAGAATGCACCAAGGCCCTGATTGCCGGAAAGGAACCGAGGTACCGAAACCACAAGGAAATCACCAGAGAGTACTTGAAGTTTGCTTCTGCATACTTCATTCAGAACAAGGGTGCGGCCGATCAATACAAGATGAACCACGGCATCATCAAATTGCGAAACGCATACCTTGCCCACAGCGGTCTCAAGGGCGCCGATATCGTCAGGATGGACTTAGAAGAGAAGGGAACAGGTCAGGACAGCAACCTGAAGCTCGTACTCGTTCCGGTCGCTACAATTGGTTGCGGAAAGACGACTGTTGCGCATGCGTTGACCAAACTCTTTGGCTGGTCTCACATTCAGAACGACAACCTCACCGCTCGCAAGGGAAAGCCCCAGGCTTTTGCAGCCGCTTGCACCAAGGCACTCGTGGTTTGCCCTGCGGTGATTGCAGACCGAAACAATCATCAAAAGCGCGAACGCAAGCAGCTAATCGACGACATGAGCCCCGGGGTCAACCAGGCGCATTTTGTTGCCCTTAATTACGTCCACCACAGCAGCACCGACAAGGACCTCCAAGACAAGATTCGAGAGATCACCCGAAAGCGCGTACTCAGCCGTGGCGACAACCATCAGACCATCCATGCCGCTACCAAGAACAACAGCGAGATTATCGGAATTATGGAGGGCTTTTTGAATCGGTTTCAGTCGGTGGATATCGACGAATTCCCTGACCGCTCCTTTGACAATGTCATCGATCTTGATCCGCTCAAGGAATCCAGGGAGAACCTCGAGACTGTGGTCAAGGCGCTCCACCATGCCTATCCCAAGCTGGTGCCTGAGATTCCATCCGCCGCAGCGCTGGACGATGCGATCAAGGCTTCCTTCGATGAGTACAAGCCAGCGATCAAACACACCATCAAGGGCTCCGCCACGCCAGCCCCGAAGAGAGCGCAGACGCAACCCCAGCAACAGACGTCGAAGAAGGTGGACGTTGACTACTTCAGCGTTTCCCTCCCTCCCAGCATCATAGTCTCAGCCGTCGAGAAGGCGATCGCCACAGCCCCCGAGGAGAAGCGTGCCTATTACTACGAGCTCAAGTCCGCCCACCGTGTACAGCAAAAGTTTCACGTAACCCTCCTTCACAATGCCAACAAGTCACAGAACAAGGAAATGTGGGAGCGCTACATTAAGCTCTACAGCGACGCGAAGGCGGTGGGCGAACCTATGGGTACCGGCACAATCAAACTCGAGTCCGTGGTCTGGGACGGACGTGTCATGGCCATCACTGCCAGCCTCGTCGGCGACAAGTGGGAATGTGCCAACAACATCCCCCACGTCACAGTCGGAACCTCTGTTGGCGTTAAGCCAAAGGAGTCAAACGATATGCTCGAGGGCAAGTGGAGGAATGGCGACATCGGAGTCGAGCAGATTGATCTTTCGGCGGAGGGTATCGAGGTGACCGGAAAGGTGGAAGGAGTGAAGAATGGGAAGTTTTAGAAATCACCATGCTGCGGCGCAGAGGCTTTCTTTGTAACGAAGTTGCTGTGACGATCGGATCCTTGGTGTTCAACGGGAATTCTTTTGTACTATACTAGTTTGCACATGCGGTTTCTTTTTCGATAAGATGGGTTGGCGGGTTTCTTTTACAGAAGGGACGAATTGGGTGAAATTTTGGACTGTAGCTGTGGAGGATGAGACGGAATCAATGGCTACTTTTGTCAGCCTTCTAGAAAAAAAAGTGAAGTGAGTGCGGGTGACATCCATCGCGGTATCACCTGCCTATTGAATCACGTCTAAAGCAATCCATTAGCGCGCCTGCCAATCAATGCGTGCCTACCGTCATTCCCGTTATCAGCCCACCAACAACGCATCTCAGCTTTATTTATATAGACCTCAACGTCTATGTAGGCCATAACCTTAACCTCACATCATGCCCACTGTCATCTAGAAACCCCAACCGATCACCTCCATGGCACCACCGTAACTATGTCTCTCCTCCATCATAGGTACTCACTAACATTCTCAGTGCCCTCCCCGTAACCAACACCCAGCTTCGCTGGATAGGGCTCATCTCCTTCCTCGCGCTCCTGTGGAAGACGCTCACCCTGCGCTCACCGTTCTTCCTCGTCCCGCCGCTCCCGGCAATCGCAACACCGCACACCTGCGCCGTGCACCACCGCCCGCTCCTCGCCTACTGTGAAGACTTCAGCACGATCCCGAATTCGCCGCTGCTCCTGCTCGCCTGCGATCCCTCACGGCTCCAATGGGACCACATAACGGGGAACATCCCGGCAGGGCTGCCCGTGGGCGAGGTCTGGATCTACAACCCCGCCTCACCAGCGTCGGCGCCGACGAGGGCACACCTGGGCATCTCGGACTTCCGCCCGCTCGGCATCTCGGCCACGAACACCACCTCGGGAACACGATTCTTTGTCGTGAACCAGGCGCGTGCTGGGCCGCGGGTCGAGGTCTTCGACCTAGCCCTCTCCACCGGCGCGGCCACACACGTGGCAACACTGGAGCACCCGCGCATCGCCTCGCCCAACTCCGTTGCCGCCACGGGGCCGGACGGGTTCTATCTCACCAACGACCTGCTGTTCGCGCGGCGCGGCGCGGCGCACGTAATTGCGCTGGCGGCGGAGCTGCTGACCGCTGCGCCCGGCGGGAGTCTGGTCCACGTTGCCCTTGCGAGCGATAGCGAGGGAGGGGTCAGCATAGAGAAGGCACATATGATCTCGCGCTTGGCGCTCGGGAATGGTGTGGCCGTGGATACTGCTACGAACCGTGTTTGGGCTGTCGCCACGTTGAAGGGCATATACGAATTCGAGTACGATCCGGCGGATCCGGCTAGGATCGGCGGCGCGATGTTTCTCAGGGCCGCGGTGCTGGCGGATAATCTCGTGTTTACGGCTGGAGAGCTGTTTGTTAGTGGTTTCACGTCGCTGCGGGGAATGTTAGAGAGCAGTAAGAACCCGGAGGCGAGGAAGCCCGGAGGACTGACGGCCAAGGTGCTGCCACTGCTGAAGATGCGGGAGGACGCCGTCGAGGTCGTGAAGAGGAAGTATGATGTTGCCAATTCAGCCCTAAGGAGGGAAGAGTGGAGATGGGAGACGGTATTTGTGGATGATGGTGGGTTTTATGGCCCGGTTAGTACTGGTGCAGTGCTGGAGGGCGGGAAGTATGTGGGCGTTAGTCTGCTGGATCACGGAGTGGTCGTTTGTGATGAGAAACCAGTGAAGGGGAGGACTGTGGTGGAGCCTGAGGAGGATGTGAAGGATGAGTTGTGAGCAAGATTTATGTAATGATTGATACCCATGATGATCCTTTTGATTACAGCTTCTACAAGAACATTATTCTAGAGTACTCTCCATCTACCAGTGTTTAGCATAAACCAACACCGACTCCATAGCCACCAGGACTCTCCTGACTTCTCTCCGACTAATCCCCTCCCTAATCGCAATCTTCTCCAGCGCATGCTGCCCATTCAGATATTTCGCCATCCTCTCAAAAAGAATCTTCACATCCTTGGGCTGGTGGCGCGTACACATCTCCAACCACGCACTCTCGATGCCACTGGCCCTACTAGGTTCCAGCACAAAGCTCTCTTCCTCCAGCTTCTCGTCGACGTCATCCTCGATCGGCTCCGGCGGCTGGGGGGACATCTGCATCTGCCGTTCTTTATGCACTGCCATCTTGACGTGTATTGGAATCTTCACCCAGGCGAAGTTACGTAGTTGTGTGACGAGGCTGTAGCGGATGAGCCAGGTCAGGATCTCAAGGTATGCGCCGCGGTGGTCGCGGGTGGGGATGAAGGTAACGTATGGCTTTGGCTTTCCCGAGAGGAGCGATAACATGACTGGCAGAGCGGGAAGTGTGGGGAAAGTTTTGGCATAGAGCGGGATTAGGCTCGACAGCCGCTTCATGTCCGCGTTCGGTGAGACAATGTAAGTATCCCGCTGGTGAATCGGGGGGATTGCCCGTGCTTTGCGCCAGTGCACAAGGTGCCGTGCTAGGGTTTGGATATCTTGGAGTTGAATTCCGCATTGCTGCGAAATTTGGATGAAGGAGAGCGTAGGCTTCACGGATTTAACGAAGTGTGCGAGTGACGCTGATGATTCGGATGCTTCGGCGGCGATTTCTTTGAGGATTGACTCGACGTCTTCGAGGAAGAGGAGGGTAAAGTGCTTTGCGAGCAACACATCGCCCTCAGTTTCGTCGTCGCCGAATGAATTGGCTGTTGTCAATGGCCTGGCTGGTGTTAGTGACGATACATCAGGGGATAGAGGGAGACAAACAGGCCAGGCACTTGCGGATCCGTGAGTGTTGGCAACACTGCGATCTCGGAGACAATCGGGATCTGTAGCGAAAGTCCCAGCGAGTTGTTGAGCAGTACATGGGCAATCTTGCTCTGCGAGATATCGCTATAGATGCGCGAAATAGCGTAGGCCAGGTTACTCTGTTCCAGTATCTGCCTCCACAGCTCCCCAAAGCTCGTATCTTCATCCACAGATCAGCACGCAACAGATACAAACGGTGGAGCAAAACCAAACCTTTCTGAGCCGCCTGATCTTTCATGCGCGAGATCTTCTCCGCCTCCCGCCACACATACCCATCCTTGGCCTGCTCGTACTTGAGCGCGCGAGAGAACCGCTTCACCACATATTCGAACATCTCCTTGACCCGAAAGTGATATTCTAGCTCCGGTGGGTTGAGGACGAAGACAACGTGGAACATGTTCATCGTGCCGGAGCCCTTCAGCGTGTCACCGTCGTCGTCGCGCTCGTCGTCCGCATCGCCATCGTGATGGTGCTCCCCGCCATTCGCATTCGCATTCCCATTACCACCGTGGTCCCCCTCCGCACCCACCATCCCCGCGGCCGCAGCAGGGACAACATTTAACCCAGTCTCCCCATTCTCCCCCTGCTCATCCCCTTCTGCGGCGACGTTCCAATCCGCCACATTTTCTTTCGCCTCCCCTTCTTCCTCCTCCTCTTCCTCGCCATTATCAGGCTCACTCTTCCTCCTCCGCTTCTTGCGCTTCCTCCACAATCCATCTGGCCTGACATGCACCGGTGCACCCAGGAACACCACATCGTCTACACTCATTTCAAACCTCCCCTTAGCCGCGGCCATGCGTGGTGCCAACAGCCCGGCCAGAAAGTCGCTTTCGAATCCCAGTACGTGATTGTACTCGCCATGTTTCTTCTTCACCTTCCCAGACTTTTCCTCATCATCTCCACCATGCCGTGATCTGCCGGAATGATACCGACTCCTCGACTCAGTATCACTAGCCGCATACCCCGCACCTCCACCCGTCGCCCCTCCCGGCGGCGCAGTAGTAGTAGTCCTCGACCCTTCGTCGGCATCATCGTCTTCGCCCGAGGATTCCGACGACGACGAGGTAGTGGGCGAGTTGCTTCGTGTCAGCGCCGAGGATTCGAGGCGCGGCCGTAGCGGGTAGTGGAATGTCAGTGTTGGGCCGACCGAGGAGCGGGTTATCAGCAAGATCCCGATCAGACAGCTGTTCGGCGTCAGACTGTGGTGGTGGAGGCGGTTGGGTTGCGCGCAAGACATCGCACTGGGCTGGCTGTGGATGGGTGCGGAGGGGGAGGTGGCAAGTTCCGATGCTCGGTTGCTCAGTGTGCATGGATGAGCACGGTGCATAAGATGGAAATGGTATGATAGCAAAAATAAAATATTGTACAACACAACTATCTTACACCCCACCCCGCCTTTCCCCATCATCATCACCGTCCCTCCGCTACCTCGCGTTTCTTCCTCTCCTCCACAAGCCGTGCATTCTCCCTCCTCAATTCCTCGAGCCTATCCCCCCCCGCCAATTTCTCAATCGCCTGTACCGTCCCCTTCGCCGCTGCCGCTGGTACATCCTCCTGAAACCCTAAATTCGCCATCTCGTCCTTCGCCATTAGCTGCCGATCCATGCGACACTTGAGGTACTCTTTCGCGATGAGCCGGCATTGGTGATCGTTCGTGCCGCGAACGCGCTTGAGGCATGCGAGGTACTCGACCATTACCGGCTTGCACTCGTTGTCATGGTCGAGGGGGAAGGACCCCCGCTGCGGGCTGTGGGAATGTCAACACGTGATATGGTGGGATGGGCGAGAAACAATTGAGGACGCGAGGGGAGTACAGACGGTGTTGGGGACCAGGTTATTGCCCCAGGAGGGCGCCCGAAGCCTGACATTGTATTGCGTGCTTGGTGATGAAGGTAGGTGGTAGGTAGGTTGATTTGTGTGAAGCTCGCGACGCGGTGTGTGGTTACAATCGTTGTGGCCGGAGCTGTAGAGTAGTAGGTGCCGCCGTGCGGTAGTTGCGAGTTCTGGCGTGATGAACAGATGGGATCGATAATTCCGCAGGGCTGCGGTTAGGGTTCGGAGAACGGAGAATTGTGGCCTGCTGCATTCATGTGATGGGAAGGTCAGCTACCTGCCGATCACCCGCTCGCCTGCTATTCTAGAGCACATCGGCGTGGTATCTTGTGGCTGCATTGCTTTCATCTTCAACAGTTACACGGTTTTTAGAAGCTTGATACATGAGTGAACCGAGTGGGTTCGCATGAGAGCCTTCGACGAGCGGCGGTTTGACTCAAATCACATGAATACAGCCATCATTTCGCGGGATTGTTCAATTATAGATCACCGGGAAAAAAAAAAGCGATCCCAAGCAAATGAAAAACGCCCAGTTGATTTTTCCCATTCCACCACAAACAAGATATCCGCAATTAAGCGGTCTTAGCGGCAGCGTTGGGGTTAATCTTCTTGCCGTCCTTGTTGTACCTCACACGAGGGGGAGGAGCACGGTTGCGACGGCCGGTACGCGAACGGACACTGCAATCATCTTGTTAATGTGTGTCCGACGTGCTTAAGGTATCTAAGGATAGGAGTGGGCGCGTACCGAACGATCTTGCCGTGGATGGCGCAGGAGACACAGTACTGGAGCTTCAAGTACATCTTGGGGAGGTGGTACTCGGTGTAGACGGTGGCCTCCTCGATATCACCTAACATTGACCAACAGAATCAGTAGCCGTTTTCGCGTATTTGAGACCAGCAAGGCAGCGTACGGATGGCAGCGGTCTCGACCATGTTGCGGATGGTGAATCTCTTGATGGCCTTGTCCTTGGGGGTGCATCGCGAGCAGTTGGAGCAACGGATGGGCTTGACGTGTCCACGTCCGGACTTGTTGCGACCGCTGCAGTTGGAACCATCATCAGCATTTCCATCCTCTCCTGCTGCCTATCCCCGGCCGCCCATAGCTCTTTTATAGCTCCAATTGCTCCAATTCCCGACCAGCTCCAGCTCCTTCTTTTCCCCTTCCGCCGCATCCTCCTCTTGTCGCATTCTCGCAGGTCGGAAATCGGCCATGGGCTGCGGGGATCTCGGGGGTGCAAACGTACTTGGCAGCTCTCTTCTTGACCATGTTGGGCGGTTGGTTTCTCGCTGCAACACGAAAGCGTCAGAACTTGAGTTTTGTTGTAGAAGTCGAAATGCCGGAACTTACGACGGTCTAGGGAGACTGCGGGAAGGGCGGGTAGGGGGGTCGTTGGGCGTTAATTTGTCGTTCGGGGCGTTCGTTGGGGTTGAGGCGGGCGGGCTTGAATCTCCATACGCACGCTTGCTTGCTCTGTGCGCGATTGATTTGCAGCACAACTCTGTGACGTTTGTGGGAGTGCAGGGTTAAGCCCTTATCAGCCACAGATAAGATAAGATCATCCCACACAAGATCGATTACGCAAAACGGGTTGTGTTTTAGTTTTGGAGTTTTCCCGCTTTTTATGTGTGGAAGGCGCAACATAACGCAGACTAAGGAGGATGATAGCCATAGAATCGTCGCAATTCACAGAGAGGATCAAAGTCCAACTTACTTGGGCATTTATCTATTCAAATTATTAATTTCATTATCGCTCTCTCTGCTGCTGGTTTTCGCTTCGTTGCTGGACTTCCCCCACTATTGCACGTGCTTGGCAAACTTCGCACAGAAACCACCCAAAAACCTAAAGCAGAAAAAAAAGTGTTGCCCCGCCGTATCGATCGAAACCCGACCTAGTACCAGCCCAATCAGTCTCCGCTTCGACGAAGCTCATCACAACACTTCGACGACGCCGCCGCCGCTGCTGCCAGACACGAACGGTACCGACGAAATCATGGCGACTGAAATCAACACGTTGATGGTCGAGGGGACCTTTGCCGGTATGCCATGTCTGAGGGGCAGTGAATGAGGGACGAAAGGCTAATGAAGATGGCGCCGGATAGACCAGATCGTCGAGCTCGCCCAGTACATCGATACCATAAGCAAGACGAATCCTTCGAAAGGCCTCAGCTTGGACATCGAGAACTTTGTGGAGAACGACCAGAAGGAGGAGGCGCTGAAGAGGACTGTTGCCGCGAGCGCGGCACTGTCGTCGGCACCTGAGAGAGGTATGACTTTTTTTGTCGCCTTGTCTCCATCTTGGCGACACATCGAAACCACTTCCATTGACGATGTCGAACTAATTTGACTTTCAGAGTTCATCCCCGCCTTCAACCTTCTCATCCACCTTGCCCGCTCGTCGCCCGAGTTCCCTACCTACATTGCCACCTTCCTCGAGGTCTTGAGCACACCACCGCCGACATCACCGCACAACGGTCCCGCCCTGGTCATCTCGGTCCTGTCGACCATCTTCAATGTCCTCCCCGTCAACAGCCCTGCGCGCTACCCCGTCTACCGCACTACCTTGAAGGTGATCGCCGCACACAGCCTGTACGACACCCTCGCCCCGCAGCTCAAGAATGTCGACAAGTGGATTTCCGAGTGGTCGGTCAGCGTAGAGGAGGCCCGGGATCTCTACCTGGAGATCGCCAACATCGCCGAGGAGGCCAGCGACGAAGAGCAGTTCTACAAGTTCCTTGTCAAGGCCCTGCAGACATTCCCGGACGCAGAGGCATCGGCACCACAAGCGCGCGAGCTCGCCACCCGCCTCGTCAAGGCGGCCATCAACCTCCCCAGCCGTCTCGACCTCGAGGAACTCTCCACCTTCCCCACCATCCAGGCTCTCCAAGACTCCGACCCAGAGCTGTTCCAACTGTACGATGTATTTGCCGGCGGCCAGTTGGAGGACTACATCGAGTTCAACGACGAGCACGAGGGCTGGGTCGACGACAACGGCATTGACCACGCCATCGCCTACCGCAAGATCCGTCTGCTCACGCTGACGTCTCTCGCCGCCTCGTGCCCCGACCGCGAGCTCCCCTACATCAACATCTCGCGCCGCCTGCACGTGCCCTCGGAGGAAGTCGAGCTCTGGGTCATCGATGTGATCCGCGCCGGCCTGGTCGAGGGAAAGCTCTCGCAGCTCAACCAGACGTTCCTGATACACCGTGCCGAGAGCCGGACGTTCGGCATGTCCGAGTGGGAGCAGGTCGCCGACCGTCTGGACGTGTGGAAGGACTCGCTGAGCAGCATTCTGCAGGTTGTGAGGGCTGCCAAGGAGCAGCAGAAGGAGCAGGGCAGCGGTGGCGGTCCCAGTGGCAGTGGTGCTGGAATGGAGGCTGGACGGAGGGGTGGCCGGCAGATCGCTGTCGAATAGATGCAACAACAACTCTTGGGAATCGATTGTGTGTGTGCTCTTGGGATCGGAACTTTTTTCGCTTTTTTTTTCTCGATGACGTTCTACTTTGGTAATTAAAAGGGTTCTACAAAAATGGATAGAGTCATCGATACCTCCTGCTGTAGCAGATGAGGGCCGTTTTTGGCCCTGTGGACTGAAAGTACACCCTTTGATCAAGGTCCTTATGACTTTCTACCTAGGCTGGTGAGATTGTGCGTATACTTTTTCCACGAGAGCCCGCTGCTCCGGGCCAGCAACATTGAGATCTTCTTAGCCAGTCTTATTGATTCGATCATACACGTATTCTAACTATTCATGACTATGACGGCCGTACATTTGTCCTTTCCTGTCCACAGTATCCTGGGCCAACCAAAAAAAATAATGCCGTGTGGTGATTCTCGAGTGATATCGTATGAAAAATGAATATGGTCACTCGAATTGAAGGGGTATGTTGCAGTTTGCATTGGTATATCATTTATAATCATGCGTCCTCTATTTTACATGCGAAATTCATCGAGGTCTTCAGCCTCTAACCCGCCATTTAAAGATCCGCCATATACTGTTCGAGCCTCTTAAGGTTCAACTAGCCACCCGTCACGTCAACATCTATCCTCCACTCACTTCTTCTTCTGGGGGAACAGGGGAACTCACATAAGTAGGATCAATCTTCTTCACATCCTGGACGCCGAGATTCGCAGCGTCAACCCAGACCTCCCTGCGCATGACCTCGACGAGCGCGGTGACACCTTCCTCGCCAAACACATTCGCGAACATCGGCGGCCTTCCCATTCCGACCATCTTGACGCCCATGGCGAGGAGCTTCAGGACGTCGGTGCCGTAGCGCACGCCTCCATCGGCGAAGACGTCGACCTGCTCGAAGATCTCGGGGGCGTAGCGCAAGATCTCGAGGAGCGTTTCCAGCGGCTGCTGCGAGGTGTCGAGTTGGCGGCCGCCGTGGTTGGAAACGTAGATGGCCTTGACGCCGGCTTCAACGGCGAGCCGCGCGTCCTCGACCGTCTGCACGCCTTTCGGGATCAGCGGGAGCTTTGTCATTTCCTGCAGCGCCTTGAACCCCGCCCACGTCAGCCCGCCGTCGTGGTTCGTCGTGTTGCTGAAGCCGAACCGCGCCTCGCGCTGCCGGATCCCGTGGATCGGATTGTCGATCGTCACAAAGATCCCCTTGTACCCGGCCGCCTCGATCCGCTGCAGGTCTGAAGCCAGCTTCGTCTTGTTCGCCGACACGTACAGCTGGTGGAACATTATCTGGCCCGGGGCCGCGGCGGCAGCAATCTCCTCGATCGTCTTGGACGCGGACAGCGAGGGGGCGTAGAGGATCCCCGTCTTGCCCGCTGCTCGGGCGAGGTTGAGCTCCGCGAGGGGGTGGGCTAGCCCCGCATTAGCTGCGGGCGCGATGAAGAACGGCGCGGTGAAGTCGTAGCCAAGGATGCTCGCCGAGAGGGAGACGTTGCGCATGTCACGGAGCAGCCGTGGGCGCAGGCGGACCTCGGAGAAGATCTCGAGGGCGCGGCGGTAGGCTGCGTACCGGTATCCAAGTCAGTCCCCAAAATCTGAAAGTGGAAGTGGCACTTACAGTACTCGCCCGACGAGCCGGTCCGGTAGTAGCTGTAGTTCCGCGTGGGCATGTAGTGCCGTGCGGCTGCCTCGAAGTCGGGGACGGCAATCATGTCCGCTAGTGACGGCAGCGAGCCAATCTCTACCTCGTCGAAGACCAGACCCGTGTCCGGTTCATTGATGAATGGGCGTTCGGCGAGGACGCCGAGGGCGAGGCTTAGGAGGAAGAGGGCGGCGCGCATTCTGACGGAGGAGATATGGTACCGGTGGAAAGTAGAGACGGAGGGAGGCAACTTATATGTCACTCTGTGAATACGATGCCGCTGCCTTGGTTGATACCTCACCTGTATAAATACAAGGCGGAGGAAAGTGCCTTACTGGATATGGTAAGACCTGGCCACGCACGAGAGTGTACCGGGACCTGATGACGTCCAATTGGTTAGGTGTCAATGCTTTAAGGCATAGTAGCTTGAAGACTGGCCGGATGGAAGGCCTGACTTTCCCTTCTTCCTTCCTTCCTCAAATGCACCCGGGGCTGCAAAAACACATGTGCCCGTCGGGGAAATAACCCGGTGTACCTGAGGCTGGGTCCTGCAGTGAATACACGATGGTAATTTGGGAGAAGCAATATGGATATTTCCTTTGGCGTCGACAATAGCCATGGCCCATGGTTGTTGCTGTCTTGGATTGGCATTCTGCGGCAGTCCTGTGTAAGCTTACTCAATACGGCCCGACTCTTATACATAGCGCGGAGATCCTACCGGATTAGGCAGAACGCCAGGGTTCGGCGCGCAAGGCTGTTACATAAGGAGCCAGTGCGACGTACCAATATCACGGTGCCTCGGACATCCGCCGGATCGCGAATCATATGCAGAGTAAGTTTCTTAAACCCGAGAGCTAGATGTTGGTAGGCGCGGTTTCAGATATAGACAATGGACATTGGTTACCGGGCGCTGAACTGGATATAGATACAATGTGCATCTGTACGAGCATTCGCGATTCGCCGCTCGCGTCGATAAAAAGGATCTTCATCGGGTTCCTACGTATGTGCGCGTATGCAGATCCGGTGGAGAGTCATCTAGAGGTGAGGTATGTACATTTGTAGGTATCATAGGGAGGTACGCGTGGCATCTATGGTCTCACTCCATCTCTAGTATGTAGTAGCACTGGCAAGTGCAATGACTTTTTCCGTGGCCGCATCCAGATCATCAAACGCCAACACAGGCAAACCGCTCTTTCTGATCTATTTTCTACTCGTCAGTTCGGCACCAATAGCAAACGAACAAGAAAATGTACCAGCTCCTGTCCAATCTCCTCATTGGTCCCGCGCAGTCGAACCACAATCGGTATGTTCTTCGCCTGCATTGCCAGCTCGTCGTATGCCATCAGAATCCCCTGTGCGATCATTGTGCAGTCGGTTAGGCCACCGAAAATGTTGACGAAGACCACTTTCACCTACGACCAATTAGTATCGTCCAGACGAGGTCCCTGGATGATGGAGAGGCAAATACTCTCTTGTCCGCCAACACAATCCTCAGTCCCTCGACCACCGTCTTCCCGGTGGCTTTCCCACCAGTGTCCAAGAAGTTTGCTACGCTGCCTCCACTCGCGTTGACAAAATCTATAGTATTCATGGCTAATCCTGCACCGTTGACGAGTGTCCCGATACTACCTTCGCCCGCGAGAGTGTGGTACACGATCCCGAATTGTGCTGCCTCAAGCTCCTCTGGTTGTTGGGTGGTGGCCACTCCGGCGGACAGGGGCTGCGTGTGGTCTAGGTGCATCAGGACGCCACCCGGAAGGTGGATTCCATGCTGCAGTGATACCTGCTGGAAGAACACGGTATATGCCTTTATTTGGTTGAATAGACTCCAGATGTGCTGGACGAGGTCTTCGAAGTCACTGTAGGAATAGCTGGGTGGTAGGTTGAGCTGCGAGAAGGCATCTTCCGTTTGTTTGGACTGTGGACCGGAGATAAAGTCGAAACTGTAAGACATGGCTGCTTTGCTGCCGTTTGGTATGACGACTAGACATGGACTGCGGACTGCACGATCTATCGTTACACCCAGTCCGAACGTTGGTGTGGTTGGTGGCGAGTGAGAAACAGGCGCATGGGGTGCGGCCTAGTGGGTTCATGATGTGAGTGATGGTTCGTGCACGGCTTCGTTCAACGTACCTTCTGAATGAGCCCATGCACAACTGCCGGATCCTGGGTGTACAGCGATCGGCGCTGATACCCATGCCTCCTATTCGGCAGCCTAACGGAAACGGGACGCCTCGCCATTGTATGCATCCCCCTCCTCTGCGTGGGTCCATTCGGCCCCATCCCCTTCACCGGTTCCGCTGGCATAGGCCGTCCAAGCAGCCTCAACATAACCTCACCAAACTGCCCCGGATGTTGCACCATAGCAACACTCACGTTCTCCAACGCTCGAATCTTGTCCTCTACGCTCGGATCCGCCACGCCCGTGAACGCGCCAGCATGTCCCATAACCCTCCCTTCAACCGCGCAATTGCCCGCGACCAATCCCGCGATGGGCTTCCTCCCGCCCTCGGCGCGGTACCGCCGCAGCAAATCTGCCAGCTCCAACTCCGCGCTGCCCCCAACCTCGCCAATAACCACTATCCCCTCCGTCTCGGGGTCCTCAAGGAACACGCTGACCGCATCCTTCAGTGTCGTGCCCGCCACCGGGTCTCCTCCCATCCCCACCACCAGACTCTGCCCCAGCCCCACACGGGTAGTGGAAGCGACGGCTTCGTACGATAGCGTCCCGCTCTTTGCCACGATGCCGATGCTGCCGGGGAGGAACGAGGGGTGCGGCATGAAGCCGATGCGACAGTGGCCGCGGGGATTGATGATGCCGGGGCAGTTTGCGCCCACGAGGCGGGATACGCTCTGCGTTCGGAGGATCGAGTGCAGGCGGAGCATGTCGTGCAAAGGAACGTGTTCGGCGACTGCTACGATCAGTGGGATTTCGGCTTCGATGGCTTCTTCGATTGCTGCTGCGGCGAAGGGTGCCGCGACGAAGACGGCTGTGGCGTCCGGTTTTAGGTGCCGTGCGGCCTGGTGGGCTTGTTAACGCTGGACTGGCCGCAGATAGTTCGTCGGCCAGATATGTACCTCCGATGTACTCGAAAACAGTGGCAGTCCGAGATGTTCCCCACTCTTCCCCGGACTCATACCTACGCTGCTAATCAGTCTGAGATCCTATAGTAACGTTTCTCGCCCGGGGTAGCTCTTACCGCCCACAACATTCGTCCCATACTGTATCGACTGCTGCACATTCACCGTTGCTGCCTTGCCCGTAAAGCCCTGGTAGATGACACGAGTATTGCGAACGATCTTCAGATTCTTAATGGTGGCATCATAGTTCGACGTCGGGGCTTTGATCGATATCCCGCGGCAGCGGCGGGGCTGATGCCCAAAGCGGAGAGCGGCTGCTCGGAATAGCGCTGTAGCTGTGGGCATTGGGTGGGGGCGGTACTTGATTCAGGCTTTCCGTAGAGTAAACACGGGTACATGATGTACTTCTTATAATGGCCATGATATGATGTGTGGAGGATCAGCTATCGGCTATGTCCTGCCGCTCCGGCCTCGGCTGCCCCCACAATCCTCCCCATGCAGGGAGGGAGCTCCACCGTCCTGCACGTTGACATGGCAAGCGAGGCGGAATGGATCCGGCATGTGTGCGGGGGGACACCGGAGCCGGCATTGAGATATGTAGAGGCCCATGGACAATCAAGGCAATCCAGTAGGGAAAGACTGGGTTACTCTACTGTACTCATGCAGTTTGCACCACAGCTCCGAGCTCCGTTATGTAACTACCGAGACCAGCTAGTGCCGCTGGGCTGCAGGGCCGAGCCCTCAGCAGCAGAGCCGCACGTTAAGTTCCGAACCGAGATTTCAAGTAAGCACAAGCTTCGCGATTCTTCTTTTTCTTCTTGCAAGCCCGCGACATCCCACACACGACACGATCGCGAAAATGTCCGACTCCGCCTCTTCGCCTGCCGCGTCGCCCTCTGCCGCTTCGCCCTCCGCCACCACCACCACACCGGCCTCAATCGAGGTCAAGGGCGCCCGCAAGAATGGTTCGTACATATGCGACGACCGCGCTTGAGCACTTGGGGGAGCGGGATTGACTGGAATGGCGGAATAGGAAAACAGTGGAAGGAAGTCAAGAAGCAGTTCCGGCCCGGCATGAAGTCCGCGCGCAAATCGTACGACGAGCGACAAGCCGAGCGGGTTGCGGTCAGCGCCATGAAGGCGAGGGAGAAGGAGATGAAGGATGAGAAGGCGCAGAAGAAGAAGGTTATTTTCGCCACCCCCACCACCCCTCACCCAGCCAGCTATCACCAGCCGGACTTACCGTACCGTATACTGACTTTTCTCTTCTCCTCCCAGGACCTGATCCAAACACTCAAAGAGCGCCGCGAAAAGGCCGAGGAGAAGGTGCGCTTCGAGAAGCTGGCGGCACGCATGCACCAGAAGAAGATCGACCGCATGAAGAGACGCGAGAAGAGGAATAAGGCGCTCAAGGAACGGTAGTCGGAATCATTAAAAGCGATTTGTGTTTATGGGGCTTTTTTTTGTGTCTTGTCAATGAATTTCATCAGCGTGGAATACCTACTATACCCCCATCCATGGGCGCGAGCGTGTGTGGTGTGTCGAGTGATTGGTGGCGAATATATGTATCCCGTGAATACTTACGGTATGACTCCGCATACGGCGCTGGGTCTCGAAGGGAGAATAGCCATTGCTACGTAATCGGAAGTCACTTGGAATTGTTATGACCAAAGCCTCGATACCTTTTCGTGAGGAATTCACGGGTAGGTACAGTTGTAACTTGTCTGGACACTGTCCGATTGCAGAAGGGTAGGGGTTGCAAGATGGGCCGATGTAAGCCCCACCAGTGACCATATAGATTCGGCATGGTCCGACCCCAACTCCAACTCTATCTCTTCCCCGCCATACGCAGCATTATCTCCAGCCCGCCCGCCCGCCCATCCTCACGATGCCTCCCAACTCCTCTGCCGCCGCCAAAAAGAAAGCCTCCAGCAAGCCCGCCGACGAAAAGGAAGAGGACGAGATCCTCGACTCGTGGGAGACGGCGTCGCTGTCCTCATCCGGCGACGAGGGCGAAGCCGAGCCCAGCTCCAGCGCGACCAACCCGCCTGCTTCCAGCACCACCACCACTACTCCCACACCCACATCGCCGCTCGGGCACCGGCGGGGGTCGTCCGCGACGCTCGGTAGTCCTCCCCCGGCGCCCACTTCGTGGGCGCGCCCCATCGACGAGGAAAAGGCGCCCGGCGAGCGCCCGGCGAAAACGGACGCGGTAGCGCGACGGATGATTTCGGCGGCGCTGGGGGTGCGCACGCGGAGTACGAAGGAGCAGAGGGAGTTTGATGCGGCGCTGAGGGAGAAGGAGAAGAAGAGGCGCGATGAGGAGAGGACGAGGAAGAGAGATGAGGAGAGGAGGCAGGAGGAGGCGAAGAGGAGTGTTTGGGAGGATTAGGATTAAGCAGGCGCGCGCCGGAATTGTATTGGCTGTCCGCGGCAGGCGGGTTTTTGGTTAGCGATATCGTGTGGTTTATGATATATATATCGACAATGGGGGGGATGGGCGTTGGATTATGGATATGTGTGCATTTGGGGGCGGGGTTCGTTCGGTCGGTCGTGTGCGGTTTGGGTTAGCGGAGTATATAATGGATGTCATGGCTTGGATATGGGCAGTGCCTATGCGCTTTGCGGATCTGATAGTCCGTGGTTCGGAATATTGCACTCAGCGGATCGATCTTGAAATGGCCGAATAGCGCGCCCTCAATACGCAGCAGCCAAACCGAATGAGTTGGATCGATCCGAGATCGCAACAGCTAGTCGTTATGGCATTTCCTAGCCTAGACTACAGCCCGAAATACGTATACCGGACAGTCGAGTAGAGCCAGAGCAGCCCAAATAGCCCGGGCTTCCCGGCCGTCAAAGTCTCAAAGGTGAGTGATATCACATGCGGCGCGATAACCGAACCTTTGACGAGGGGTTTGGGCGAGTTGCGGCTGTGTTATCGTTATCTGGAGAACCTATCGCGATCATCGCGATACGCCCCCTCTGAGATGCTCGCTAATCCAAAATATTAATAAGGACATGCTCGCATTTCGCCCGGCCCTGATACGGCAGGCGGCCGCGTGCGCTTGGGTTTCGAATCTAGAATAGGGACTGTTGCAAGTTGCCATTGAAGTGGCGTTACTTTTTCCCGCGCGAGCTTTCTCCGACACTCCACCAGTGACCACAGCTCCGTTGTCGATTACCAGTCAAAGTTACCACTTGTAACCAAGCGACTCAATCCATATCTCTTGCTCCTCTTTCCACCTTCTTCCCCTCACAAAGAAAGAAAAAAACGATTCACAGCTACAGCCCGCAACAATGAGTGCGATCCTCTCCGCCGAAACTCTAAACGACTTCATCGCGCCGTCGATCGCCTGCATCAAGCCCGTGGAAACGCTTCCACCGCCGCCACCCACGGAACTCTCCGTGACCGTCGAGGATGCGGCGAACAACCCCGCCGACGCTCGCACCGCTGCACAAATCTCGCTGACGGACTGTCTCGCGTGCAGCGGCTGCGTCACGTCCTCCGAAGCCGTGCTCGTCTCCATGCAGAGCCACAACGAGGTGCTGAGTGCCCTGGGCCAGTTTCCCGAGAAGAAATTTGTGGCGCTGCTGTCGCCGCAGACGAAGGCGGCGCTGGCGGTCGCCGTGGGCGCCACACCTGATCAGGTCGACGCGATGGTTACGAGATTGCTCACGGAGGAGTTGGGGAGGGAGGTGAATGGTGGCAAGGGGTTCGAGGCCGTGATCGACACGAACCCGTTCCGCAGGTTGGCACATTATTATGCGGCGAAGGAGGTGGCGGACGGGATACTGGGTGTGGGCGAGCAGAGGAAGCCGGTGCTGGCGAGCTCGTGCCCGGGCTTCATTTGCTACCTTGAGTCTACGCATCCCGAGCTGATCCCGCATCTCAGTGCGCTCAAGAGCCCGCAGGCCATTGCGGGGACGTTTTTGAAGAGCTTGATGATCGGCGAGCAGGCGGTGAAGAGCCCCGAGGATGTCTACGTCGTCTCCATTATGCCGTGCTTCGACAAGAAGCTGGAGGGTGCCAGGGGCGAGCTTACGTCGGCTGCTTGGAGGGGGAAGGATAGTACGTGGGGAGAGACACCGGTGCGGGACGTTGATTGTGTCATCACTACGAGAGAGATCCTTTCGTTAGCCCAGGCGAAGGGTATTGATTTTGCATCGCTTTCGCGCACTTCAATCCCGACACCCACCTTTTCCGTCGATCCCGCCGTCCAGAAACTCCTGACGACATCTCCGAAGAACGGCGCACGAGACGCGGGCACTTCAGGTGGAACATTGGCAGCGATCATCAACGACATCCTCTCAAGACATCCCGAGTCGACCCTGAGCATCCAGCAGGGAAGAAACGTCGACACGGTCGAATACCTTGTTCTGTCGCCATCCGGCGAAACCATCGCGAAGCTCTCACGCTGCTATGGGTTTCGGAATATCCAAAATTTGGTGCGAAGGCTCAAGCCAGCCAAGGCGCGAGTACTTCCCCAGTTCGGAAGCAGGAAACCGGCGGGAGCAGCTACCGCCGCCGCTGGAAGGAGGGTCGCCGCCAAGAAGGCCGGTGAGAGCAAAGACGACAAGGCGGTGTACGTCGAGGTGATGGCGTGTCCTGGCGGATGCACGAACGGCGGCGGACAGATCAAGTGGGACGACGAGGCCCTGTGGCAGGAGCTGGGACTCGACAAGTGGGCGAATCAGCGGGAGTTGTTGGCGAGAGTCGATGAAGCTTACTTCTCGTCACCCGAAGATACGGCAGCGGAGGGGAAGGAGATCCCGGTGATGCATGAGAAGCCGCTTTCGGAGGAACTTCTGCAGGACGCGGTCTCGGCGTGGGTGCGCATCTCAGGCGTGTCGGAGGATATGCTGGTCAAGACCACTTACCGGAAAGTGGCTAACGATATCGGCGGGCGGTTGGGAGAGAAGGAGGTGCTGGAGTTGGCGAGTCGGACGGGAGGGGGCTGGTAGAAGGGCTTGGTCTTGGTGCATTGCATTTCTAGTGCTTCGTTCGCATTACTTGTGCATCCGTACCGGCGTTAATAGGGCGTTTGGTTTTGATTGCGTTGAGTTGCGTTGAGTTGACGATGTCTGATGTTTGATTTTTGTTGTATTTTTCTCGTGATGGTATGCACGATAGATGGATTGTTTTTGATTGATGTCTGTGTTGCTCCAATAGCTATATCTTGTTTGGCATGTGCAAGCGTAGCAAGTGATGACCTGTGTTTTCAGATGATTACTCTCGTGATGACATTCAGCTGGTTTCCTGCCGGCAACTTCAATTCCGAGTCATACATATCAGCCCTGTGATAGTAGTTATCCCGGCAATCTCGAATCTATTCCCAATCCAAATACAATTTGGCAGGCGGCTTTCAAGCTCAGAGGCTTGGCCGACATGGATCGAAGGGAATGATGACGAGAGCTGCGGGGGGAAGAGTTGGAGAGGGGCAAGTGTGCGTACGGCGCATGGATCTGATTAAGGCCTCCATCACACACCAACCATCAGCAAGTTGCAACCCCCACCAGAAGCAGGTGCTTCTTCCTTCTCTTCTGTTCCTGTAAATCCCCCTCATCACTCTCATCTTTCTCATTTCGTGCCCGTTCCCGGACAACCAGCCCGAGATCGGAACAACCCACCACCCACCACATCACTACACCATTTCAACAAAGACTGTGCGCCCCAAAACTTCACAGAGATGTCCGCTTCAAGGACCAACCGCTCGATGGTCCTCCTGTTCACCCTCGTGGTGGTGCTGGTGTTTGCGTCGCCCGCACATGCATTCGGCGCCGGCAACATCGCCTCCATCGCAAAGATCGAAGGCCAGAACTTCCGTCATGGAGATATCGAAGTAAGTTCATACATACACGATAGGTCCGGTTCCGCGGGTAAAACAAGCTCCAACTCTAACCTTCCTTTGCGCGGCGCTGTGTAGGATACGCTACAAAAGATCGCATTCCTGAAGGGCGGAAAATGGACTGCGGCGCTGATCCGGAGGGTCTACTTTGGTAACTGGCTGCGCGACTACTCGCAGGCGCTCGATGTGGGAACGCTCAAGAGTGTGCCCAAGGATACCATCCGCTGCCTTATCTGGGTCCTGTCGTTTCTCAGCTTTGGTTATGCTACTGGGGAGTACGAAGTCACCGAGGAGCGGTTGGGTGTTTATCGTCCCGAAGAACACATCGGTATGAAAGGCTTTGGGAAGGTGTAATCGCAGAAGGGAAGGAAAGACTGATGAAAGATGGTAGACAACCCCAAGGACTACGCCGATAATCTGAATGCGCAGGTGTACGACTCTCGTCTGCGCCCGGCTGTACACCCCAGCGAGCTCGCTATCGATCCTCTCACCGGTATGAAGAACTATATCGCCAATGAGACCGGCGGCTGGGCGACGTCGTCCGGCTACGTCAAGTTCTCGTTGACTCGGTGCATCCACTTCGGAAGGATGTACACCTCCGGCCCGCGAGGCCAGCAAGGACGCGAGGCAGACCTCTTTGAAGCTCTGCGGTGCTTGGGCCAGGCGCTGCACTGTCTGGAGGACTTCTCTGCCCACAGCAATTACGTCGAGCTTGTGCTCCGGGAGATGGGACACCGCGCGGTATTCCCACATGTGGGAGAGCGCACGGAGATGGACATCGGTGTTCCGCCTGGATATCCCGGTGGACGCAGGGCGTTCCCGCTGATCACTGGTACCTTTGGTAGTGTCGACTTTGCGCACTCCGTGCTGGGAGAGGCGCAAGACAAGTTCTCGCAAACTGAGGTCGACGAGATGGATGTTGCGCTTGCCGATGCTCACGAGGACCAGAAACGTGCGGAAAAGAGCGGGCAAGGTTCGGTTCTTAAGGATCTGTTGAGACAGATGACGAGTATGGGAGTGATGGGCGGCGATACCGTGAATGATGTCGACCGCCTTGAGCAGCAATCCGATGCTCAGGAGATGGCCAACATGAAGATCGATAACTCCCGCCCTGCATTCAACCCGCTCGAGACCATGCACAAAATCTATCCTATCCTCGAGTTCCGCGACAACATCATGCGCGCCATCGAGGAGGCCATCGAGAAGATCCCCGGTCTCACGGCACTGGTCGAGACGATCTCCGATACTCTTTCCGTCTTCATCCTCTCACTCCTGGCACCCTACATCCGCCCGCTGATTGCGCGTGCCTCGCTCGAGCTCAAGGAGGGCTCCTCAGCCGTCATCGACTCCTCGGCGCAGCACCAATACGAGCCCTGGACAGATCCGTACTGCACCGACCCCACGCACTCCCTCCTCAGCAAGGACCACTTCAGCAACAAGCTGAACACGCCCGCCGGCGAGGTTGCCGCGGCCGTCGTACAGTTCTGCGTGCCGCGCGTGCTCCACGCCTGGGAGAACCCCGAATTCCCGCTCGACGTCGTCCTCAACGACGTGGCGCGGGTCTTCCACCACCCAGCGCTCCGCGACCCCAACTGCGACATCCAAGCCGGCATGTTCCAGACCGTGGTGAAATGGGCCGAGCACCTTCCCGACCGGGGCGCCAGTCTCAACGACGTCCTGGGCGCGGCCGGCGTGCGCGAGGGAAGGAACCACACCGGTGGAGTCTTTGGCGGGAAGTGTGGTGGCGGACATGGAAAGATGAAGGGCAGCGACTGGAGCAAGATCGATAAGCGGAAGAAGCCTAAGAAGGATGGCAAGGGCTCGTCGAAACCGGGCAGTGGTTACTCGGCTATCTCGGCGATTCCGGGCGTCTCCCAGGGTAAGGGCGGGACTATCAAGGTCGGCGGTGTCGTGCTGCCCGGTGTGCTCGGCGGCCTGCTCGATGCGGGCCTGGCGGGTTTCCAAGATGCCAGCGGCGGCGGTGGACATCTCGGTGAGAAGAAGAAGGATAAGTACAAAGAGGACAGGTACAAGGAGGGCAAAGACAAGTGAGTTCCCCCACCCCCCCACCCACCCCGCCATTACAGCCAGCTGACCCCCACACCAGGGACAAGCGCTCCAAGTCCAAAGACCGCTACAAGGAGAAAGACGACAAGTCATACAAAGACAAGGACAAGAAAGACAAAGACAAGGACAAGAAGGACAAGGACAAGAAAGACAAGAAGAAGGACAAGGACAAGTACTCGTCGTCGCGCGGCGGCGTGTACGAAGACGAGGGCGGCTACCTCCCCGTGCACCACCAAAGCGAGCGCTCCCTCTCCAGCGACGGCCGTCGCTCCGGCGAGGGCGACCGCCACCACCGCTCAGAGTCCAGAGAGCACCGTCGCAGCCACAGCAGGAGCCACGAGCAGTACGAGTACTCGGTTCGTCCCGTTAGCCGCGAGGGAGGGTACTACGAGCCGCAGTACGGAAGCGGACGTGTTCCGGGTGGGTTCGAGGCCGGATACGATAGTGGCGAGGAGCGCGAGCGCAGGGGCGATAGGCATAGGCATGAGAAACAGAGGCATGGTGGTAGCTCCGGCGGTGGTGGGTATGAAGGCTCGGCCGGCGGGTATTATTATGGGTAGATGTTGATGAGCTGGTGTTTATTCTTGTACCTATGATACATATGTCGGGTCTGGGTTTTAGGGGTCTTTCTTTGGCATGTTCGTGGCTTTTGACTGGTGGCGAATTGAGAATTGGTGCGGTTACTTGACTACATACTTCACAAGTGGGTCACTGATGATCTCGGCGAGGAGATAGATACGTGCAACAATATGTATTCCCTAAACGAACTGTGATATCATACGCCGAACCATAACCAAAATAGGTAATGCAGAAAGAAATGCAGAAAAGAAATGTAGAAAAGCAAGGGCTCCAAACTCCATCGCTCCCAAAACACACAACACACAACCATCGCAAACATCACATGTACCAAGTATGTACCAAGTAAGCAACTCCTAATGAAAGCTCCCCGGCATGCCCACCTCGATCTCGTGGACCTCTGGCAGCTCAGGAACCGGCGCGATCTGAACATTAACCAGGCCGCGGCATTTCTGTGCCAGGTCTTGTTCGTAGCCTGGTGCTTCATCATCATCATCCGAGTCCTCGTCGTGCTCGTCGTCGGACGGGGAGGGCGAGGAGTTCGTGGAGGATCCTAGCACGTGGATTTCTTGCTTGGAGGCGTCTTGTACGTGTGATTCCGAAGATGAGCTGGACAGGATCGACGAGGTGATCGAGGGCGGGTAGGCTTTCTGCTGGTGGTGGTGGTGGTGGTGGTGAGCGGCTTCTTCGCCTTCGCCTTCGTCTTCCTCTTCGACTTCGTCGTCGGAGTACTCGCCGTCCGAGTCTTCGTCTTCAGAGTCTTCTTGATAGCTGCCCGGAACGCTGGGCTCGCGTTCTAGTGGGAACGCGCTGGTCAGCACGGCTGACTCCTCCTCCTCCTCCTCCTGCTCCTGCTCATGCTCATGCTCCAAGATTGGATCGTACTCCTCGGCTGGCCCGTCGGCTGGGTGTACCGCATCGATGATTTCCCGCTCTGCCTCTTCCTCGTCCTCCTCCTCGTGCACGGGAGTCTCAACGCCCACATCGACGGTCTCTGGGACCTCCTCGTCGCTCTCCTCCTCGCACTCGCACGTATCCCTCTCCTCGCCCTCGTGCTCGCACTCGCGCTCCTCCTCCTCGGGGGCCTCCACAACAGCTAGCAGCTCCGGGCCCTCCCACTCGCCACTTTCCTTCCTCCCCACCAGCGGCGACTCGCCGCCGCTCTCGAATGCCTCGTCGACCGGCACCTCTTGCTGCACATCCACCTTGCAGGCCTCGAGCTCCTCGCGCCCCTCGCCGACTGTCTCCACCACCCCCTCTAGCAAGCCCACCACCCATCTTCGCCCCTCCTCCAACGACATACGGCAGCTATTGACGACGCCCTGAGCGCACACGCCCTTCGCAGTTGCGGCCTTGGCCGCCGCATCGCCGACCTTCGCGGCAGTCTCCGCGACCACGGACTGGGTGCGGGCCAGCTCAGCGCACACGGCGTCAAGGGTCTCATGGACCTCCTCCAGCTCCTCAAGCTGCCTTTCCAGCGCGGATTTTTCCGCGGAGAGCGTAGTCACCACAGCAGATTCTTGCTCGAGCTCGGCCTGGATCGTGGCGTGCTCCAGGTTGAGCCCCTTGAGTGCGTTCTCGATCAGGGCGGGGTTGAGACCGGAGGTCTGACGTCGCAGGATCTCGAGCTGGTTGTGGGCCCGTCGGAGCTCACCGTCTAGTGCTCTGCTGGGTGGGGTTAGTCCGTGATTGACGACTTGCAAGCGGAAGAGGGGCACTTACGAGGAGAAGACGGCTGCCGCTGCAGCTACAGGCGCCAGCACGGGCACGAAGATTGAGAGGAAGCCGACGGCTTTTTGGGACTGCACACAACGTCAGCTAACTATCCGGATACGGGGTATGTGGGTGAGAAGAGATGGGGAAACCATACCCTCTGCAACTCCCTCCGCTCCTTGGCCTCCAACTTCCTCTCCTCCATCTCCTGTTTCTTCTCTACCAGAGCCTCCATTTTATACGCCATAGTATTGAGGGTGGCCTGGACCTCATCAAGGTGCTTACTGGTCGCCTCAACACTCTCACGGTTCCCCTGGAGCTTCAGCTCCATATGCATCTTGCTCTCGTTGGCAACAGCGACCTTCGTCGTAGCGCGGGCGACCTGCACCAGCGCGCGCTCCTTCGCCCCGCTAAACTCCCGCAGCAGCGGCGAGACCCGCGACGTCTTGAAGGACTCGATAGAGCTCAGCGCTGCTTCCGAGGCCTGCGTCGCCGCGAGCGCTTCGCCCTCCGCCAAAGCGAAGGCGCCGAAGAGGTGTGCGAGCAGCGATTGCAGCTCGCCGTTCTCTCGTGCCGGGGAGGGGGCGCTGCCGCGCCGTGTGGATGTGTTGAGGAAGGATAGCAGCCGGTGCAGGATCGACGACGCATCTGATAGGTGCGATTGTGTGGCGTGGAGGCTTTCGGTTGAGCTCGACGAGAGCGACGTCGTGAGAACGCTCAGTTGCGGGTGCAGTGTGCTTAGTGACGACTGCAGGCCGCTCACGCTCGAGGTCAGGGTCGGGGGAGGGGTCTGTGTCTGTGTCTGTGGGGGCTCCATTGTGATGGTATGTGCTGTGTTTCTGTTGCTCAAGCAATGAGATGAAGTCGTGGGTAGAGTGAACGGGCGGTGGGCAGGCGGTGGAGGATGTCCGGATGTCCTGATATTCTGAAGTCCTGGCTTTGTTTTTGTTTCCGTATGTTGAGCAGCCCGTTCCGTTCCGTCCTCGAGGGGATATATACATATACCCCTCCTGCTCCTGCTCCTGCTCCTGCTCCTATTCCTGCTCCTACTCCTCCTCCGCCGCACGCCGCACGCTGCACGCCGCACGCTGCACACATAGCTCTCGATTGATTCCATTCGATTCGCGTCATGGATCTCACTCGACCACTAAGACGCTGCCAGCACTCCCCCTGCCCCCACCACCCTACCACCACCAACTGCTACTGGTAAATGCAATAATTCGAATCGAAACCACCACCACAGCGCCAACTGTTGATTTTCGTTTTCACCATGGCTGGCTGGCGGAGTGGTGGTGGCGGTGGTGGTGGTGGTGGTGTGGCATGAGGTGGGTGGGGGGGGTGGGTGGGGGGGTGTGTGGTGTGCTCTGTGAGTGGAAGGAGGGGGTGGGTGATGTGTGCTGTCCACCCACTGGCGAACAGCACGTTGCAGTTGCCAGCAGCCTTGCATAAGTTGCCAGGGTTGCCGGGGGGACCCCACACAGCGCGCCAGCACGAACGACGCGACGACCAGGAACAATTACTGTTTCACTGCTCTGGCTTTGCTTTGCGCTGTCTACACAGTGCAGCGCTGTGCAGTGATGATCCTTCGGTTTCTGCAGGCGTCGTCGCGTTGCTGCTCCGGCACGCACGTGTCAGAAGGAGCGCTCCTCCATGAGCGAAGGAAAGTATTTCGCTCAGTCGCCTCCAATCGCCGCCCGTCTGACGGAGAGACAGAAAAAATATATGTACTCCGTGATGCTCGACTGGTCGCGAGATGGATCACGTCTGCGGTATATGTACGGTATATGTACGGTATATGTACGGTATAATGCCGATGACGATGGAGATGGCATTATGGCACCAGCGGCGGGCTCGCAGTACGCAGCGGGCTAGAGCGGGTTAGTTGGAGCGGGCACGAGCGGCTAGGTATAAGTCAAGCGCGGGATTCTATAGGCACGCGAGTCTCGTGTGTGGAGTACATACTTTGGTAGTTGCAACGTGGGTAACTGACTAGTGGACCCAGAATCCAGATAAGCAGGGTGAGTATTAGGTGGCCGAGGATTGGAATTTGGAAATATGCAGGTGAAAGGACTGGTGTGCAAAACAATATTATACGAGGAGAGCTCGGCAGCTTGTGCCGGCGTCGATTTTGCAGAATAGAGTAGAGTAGAGTATGTAGATAGAGGGGCGAAAACTTCGATCGATTGGATGTCGGTCGGTGGCAAGGCGCATTTTTTTTCTCTCCGCAGAAGGAAGCCCCAAGGTTTCTTATCGCCGCCCTCTCTCGCCCTCTCACGCCTGCAGGAATGGGAATGGGTAGCGGCCATTGACTGGACTGGAGCGTTGACTGGAGCGGTCGTTGATCATGAGGATATATTCACGGCAAAGAACGGTCGCGATCGACTCGCGACTCGCTGTGGAATAAACAGACTTCCGCCGTGGGGAGCATATTTATGATCATACAGACGAGTGACAGCTGCAGTTTAAATTTCGCAAGTATATTGCTCGCTACTTTGAGTGACGGTTGCGCTTTAAATCGGCAAGTATATTGCTCTCTCTATTCTACCATATTCTACTCTACCGCGGCAAACATGTAAAGAAACGGATTGGATGGATGGATGGATGGATGGATGGATGGATGGATGGATGGATGGATGTCCATCCGTCTGGTGAAGAGAGGATAGGTATTCACTGTGAGAGAAATAGGTATTCGTACCGTGTAGAGAAGAGCAGAGCAGAGTATCCAGTCAAGTGCCAATAACACCCACCCTCGTCCCCGCAGACAACACAACCGCAAAACAGACCGATCGGTTCAGGATGAGACGAGCTCCTAGCCCTCCTCATCGATGATTTCCCAGTCGTCATACTGCTGTACCTCTTCCCAATTCTCGACCTCCGCCAGGCCGAGTCTTGCGGGAGTAACCTCAAAGGTCCGGGGGAACCATTCGTACAGTGATTCTGAGTCTGCTGCTGCGGTTCCGTTCTTCCTCGAGTCGGCCGCGGCGGCGATCATGGTTGCGAGTGCCTTCGCCGAGCCCGACGTGAATGCCATTCCTAGTCACAGTCAGCCGCCACAGACGCCGGGTAGCTCGTAATTAATGGCAGAGATGGGTGTGTGGGGAACCTACCATGGCCCTCGAAGCCCGCCAGCATCCACAGCCCGCGTGTATCATCCATCCGTTCGATTTCCAACCGCTCCGCATCCTCCTCGCCCACGGCGGGGACTTTTCCCACGAACGGCCGCCCGTCGCGGCTGAACCCCATAGTCCCGGACCATTCCGTTTTTGCCCTGCACTCTTTCCTTGCCGGTGCGGGCTTCCACCTCTCCAAGTCCAAGTCCTCCTCGTCCTCGGGAACTCCCAGCCACTCGGCGGCATCCCACACGTCGTGTCCGGCGGCACCACCCAGCCGCAGCCGCCGAAACTTCTCGATAAAGCTCTTCCTTAACTCGCGCGTATCTGCAAAGTCGTCGGTTTCGTACCCGGTCTCGTCCGCGAAGTATCCTGGTATCGAGGTGCGGAGGCCGTGTGCAACTTGCGGATTGATGCTGCCGTCCTGCATGCCGACGCCGTGATTTTCTTCGAATTCCCGCCCGCCGCCGAGCATTAGCTCGCCTCCGCCACCGTCTTCATCCACCGGCCGCTGGATAAGATAGCATGCCGTCTTCCGGTCGTGGCGGACGAGGCCGTAGGTGTGCGTTAATGGCCGGTCCTTGAGACTCTTCGGCGGGATGAGTGCAGCCATCTGAGCCCGCACGGGATATATCCACCCCTTGAACGCGGGCAGCAAGTGAGCGGTGTGTGCATTCGTCGCGAAAACAACTCTATCCGCCAGCACCGTTCCCCTTGGCGTCTCGACCGCCCACCTATTCCCATCATTGCCAGCCGACCGTGAAACCCTCGTCGCCGGCGTAGTAGTCTGCAGATTCAGCCACTGCGTCCTCACCCCCTTCTCGAGAATATGCGAAACGAGTTTATACGGGCTCAGCTTCCCAGCGGTGAACGTGACCGCGCCCAGCGCCGTCGGGGTCCTAAGACTCTCTCTCAGCTCCCTCCTGCCCTCGACGACCCTCAGCCTGCGTGCCACATCCGGCGCCACTTTTCGCAGCAGGTCGATATTCCTCTTCGCACGGTCGAGCGGCTCCGCCTCGTAGAACACATCGGCGGAGGGCGTAGCGACCCACTCGCAATCCACCCCCTCCCCCTCGATGTATTCACGCATGAGCTCGAAGTTCAGCTGTTCGAACTTGATGCGGGCCAGCGCCTCGCCCTCGCCATACGCGCTGCACAGCTCGATGAAGTCGCCCGACTGGTACAGCATCGGCTTGCAGTGGCCGCCGTTGCGGCCCGTCGCGCCCCAGCACGTGTTCCGCGCTTCGAGCATGAGCGTCGAGCTGGAGGAGGAGGAGGGCCCGAGCGACGACTGCAGGTGGTGGAATAGCATGGAGCCTGCGAGACCAGAGCCGATTATTAACGTCGTCACCGAGGAAGGCAGCGACGGCGTCGTCCGGTGCGCGTGCAGGAAGCTTGATGGCGGGGCGTGCCAGAATGAGGCCGTCGATGTGGGGTGCGGCAGACCCGGGTCGCTCACGGGGATCGGGTTCGGACTGGGCTCCGAGGTCGTTGTGCCCGCGGTCGGTACGCGGGGTGGCATGGTTTCGCGGGGTAGCTAGCTAGAGTATCGTCACAGGCGGGAAACAAATTTGCGAGGAAGGGAGCAGGAGGAGGAGGAGAGGGGGAAAAGCGGAGGAGGGTCTGTCTATCTATCTATCGGTTCAACTATAGCGGGGTGACGATAATACTTGCCTGTACGATATGCCTGCTGTGCCTGCCCCTCATTGAACGAAGTCACAAGATCCTCGACATGGGATGCAGGGGCATATGAGCTGTGCTGTGCTGTGCTGTGTCACTGCCACAGCTGCTGCTGCCTGTTGGAGAGTTACGCGGGGCACGGGTTTAGCGTGTCATAGCTGAGCTGAGCTTGGTTATCTAGGGAGCTGATCCGGATAAGATTGTCCTCAACCTTGGGCCTAACCCAAACCCTGTCTCGACTTGCGGAAACACCTTCCTGAGCCCGGGACGAACACATCTATGATCTGCTGAATATCGTCTAAACAACTGGGACTGTACCGCGATACTTCCGCATGCTCGACAATGTGGCACATTCAATCTGGCCATGGGGCTAACTACACATCTGGCTACACATCACTTGGCCTAGCAGTGGACCACATGGATATCGATATCGACTCGGCCCTCGGGAGTAGGTGCATACCTAGAGATGGACATACAGCAGCTGAAAACACACTCACCGACCGAACGACGATAGAGAGCTTTCAAATCTACCACTAACTAGCTGTACTAGTAGCACCTCGAGTATTCAAGAGCTTCACACATATACTATACTCTCGGAACCGTTCATCGCTCTTGAGTCCTTACCGATCAACCGCGGCGAGGTTGTCCTTCCGCCCTTCCATATCCGGCATTAAAGTGAACACTTATCCATTACTGCGCAAATCTCTAAGATTCCAGTGTCGCGGATTCCTCGAGTTGAACTCGGTACTCTATCGGTTTGCGGGTTCGAGTCGCTTGTCAGCCTCCGGGTCCTTACGGTAGGTAGCCCGTCGCACGCAGCCCCCGACTCCCAAGCGACGATTCCCGATGCTATTACTATTACCCGAAGTTACCGCTGTGAGCGGTCGTTTGCGACTTTAGTATCGTCACCACCTCCAGCTCCTCCAGCTCCGACTTGGGAGTACCCAGGCTTCCAGTTTCGACAGATACATCATACCTGTCCCGATTCCCAGGGCTGAACCAATGAAACGAGAGGAAACACCACTGCCCAGTCCATCGATGATCGATCTCCATGCCAGAGAACACTGAACAACACGAGTATGCCCCTGGCATCGACATGTACCCTAGGACCTCACGCACAAAAGAAACATATGTTTACTACGTAACCCCCGACTCCTAGCACCCACCGGCGGCTACGATAGGTAAGTAGTGGGCAAAGCGGAGTGCGGTGCCGTAAGCGGGATGAGTGGCTGTCGTTGCATTTTTATTGTCGTAGACTGGTAGGAGAGGTTTTTGGTTTTGTTTGGTCCACTCCGGGTTTCCTCGCCACTGTCGGCACCTAGACACCCCGTTCAGTCCGCAGATGGCTCGATGTGAGTTTAGTTTTCTTTGCCCTCAGTCCAGGCGTTTGTGGGGCGGTGGGAGGAGGACTCTATGGAGGGCATGATGCTAATCTGCCTATGCTGAGTGAGCTGTGTCGCGCTTGTGGTTAAGCGCGGGCAGGATTATGTGCTGCACGAGATTTACTGGATAGAACAGGGAAGGGTAAAATCTACAGGTTTTATCTAGGCTATGACATGTATGTCCACTTTCAACCCGTAATGTCTAGGATAGACCACAATAAGCGCCCTCCGTCTAACTCCATTATCCCACACCTACTCCAACTCCCACACTTACTCCAACTCCCACACTCTTGCCGAACACCCACATCCAACACCCACACCCTCACCTAACACCTTCTCCCGAAACAACCACAACCAATTTCCTCGCGCTCGCCCCGCTGCAGCCAGCATGGCAACCACCAACCCCTCCGCCGCGATAATCGTAGGCCAACAATTCCCCACCTTCGCAGACTTCAAGCACCAAATCCTGCGCTGGTCCGTAGAAGGCAAGTTCCGCACGCGGTACCAGAAGTCGAACATCCATATCAACGTCGTGGTGTGCGCGGAGGCGGCCTGCATGTTCAAAGTGCGGGCGCACCGGAAGAAGGCGTCTGAGAGTGTTGAGGTTACCATTGTCAATCCAAACCATACCACATGTGTGGGATCGACGGCGAAGAAGCGGAAGCGCGAGGCAAGGAATTGTCAGGCGTGGCTGCTGGAGGCGGTCCCGAAGGTTATGAAGGTGGGACAGGCGACGAAACCTAATGATGTTGTGAGGGAAATTGCACGCCATTATGGGCAAAACATTAATTACCGTGCTGGTCACCGGGCTTTAGAAAGTCTCCGACACAAGGACATCAACCGCGAAAATTGCGGTTCTAAATCCGAGAAGGAGAGGGGTCAGGAGGACAAGGAGAAGGAGGACGAGGAGGACGACGAGTAGGAGGAGGAGGAGGATGAGGAGGAGGAGGAGGACGAGGAAGACGAGGAGGAGGAAGAGGAGGGGGAGGATGAGGGGGAGGAGCAGGAGGTGGCCAGCACATCCGCCGCCGTGACCGTGGGCTAGCAATTCCGCACATTTCGAGACTTCAAGCATCAAATCCTTTGCTGGGCGGTGGAAGGCAGGTTCCGCACGCGGTACCAGAAGTTGACTAGCAGCATCAACGTGGTGATCTGCGCGGAGAAGGCCTGCACCTCTAAAGTCCGGGCTCACTGGAAAAAGGTGTCCGAGAGTGCTGAGGTTACTATTGTTGATCCGAATCATACGGCTTGTATCGGAAGTGGAACGGTGGGAAAGAAGCAGAAGCGCGAGGCGCAGAATTGTCAGGCGTGGCTTCTGGAGGCGGTCCCGAAGGTTATGGCGGTGAGCCAGACGACGGCACCTAACGACGTTGTGAGAGCCATTGCACACCACTATGCGCAGAACATCAGTTATTGGGCTGCACACCGGGCTTTGAAAACGCTCCGACACAAGGACATCAACCGCGAAAACAGCGGTTCTGGATCCAAGGAGGAGGAGGAGGAGAAGGGAAAGGAGGAGGGGGAGGAGGAGGAGGAGAAGGGAAAGGAGGAGGGGGAGGAGGAGGAGGGGAAGAATGAGAAGGAGAAGGAGGAGGGGGAGGAGAGGGTGAAGGTGACACGGTGTGAACCACCACTGACCCTTGTTCGTAAAAGACGACCACCCAAGAACCGAATGAGCAAGGGTGAAACAGGAAGGAAGAACGGACAACAGCATGCGGGAGAATTGCCGGATCTCCTAGATCGTGCCCCACTCAGCTGCTCAAGATGTAATCACATCGGTCATAAGGCTTCTACGTGTCGAAACATACATGATAGGTACTTAGGCACTATTTTAAGTAGTCTACGGTAGTAAGGCCGCATGCAACAACGAATCGATGTCCTCTCTTTCGTATTCTTTTCTGACTTTTCTAACGCGCTGGCGCAGTGGCGCAGTACGGCGGGTAGGCGCTTAATGTGGTCTACATAATCCTAGATAACAAAAAAGTGGATCATCCTAGACAAACCCCGTTCTTTTTATGTGCGTACTGTGGTCCATCGGCTGCTTCGTTCGGGGGATTGGGATAGGTACAGCCGGGTACATACAATGTCACGATCACAACCTGCGGCGGGAGCTCTGCCGTTCGGATGAGTGCAGAACTCGCCGAGTGGGGGGGGGGGGGGAGATCCCGGTTTGCGGGCTGGCTGGGGCGCCGAGATGGTTCGCCGTCACTCGGCTCATTGCAGCCAGAGAGACGCTGGAGACGCCGAGGACCCACATGTCAGATCTCGTAGCTCGAGACCGGACATGCCATGGGATCTAAGGGTGGGGAAGAGTTCAAGAAGGAAGGTATGTAGTATCAGAGACAGTGACGATCGGGATACCTACATGCGTTCTAGGTATGTGCGATCGGTCTCAGCAGTCATTGAGACACCATGAATCGTAGTAGCGCTGACGGGAGAAGTCTCGGGAAGAGTGATACACCACGTTGAATTGCACTCCGATACTAGGTATATACACATCCCTCCAAGCATCGGACGACATGCGTCTCACCTCAATGATGGTCAGAATCTAGGCTTTTGCTCGCCGTTCCTACTCTAGTCCCTTGCGCTCGGGCTCCCGCTAGGTACATAGCATGTCTCGTGGCCTGCGAAACATGAAGCCCCCCACCCCCCACCCGCATACATAGCAGCCCAGCCCATATCGGTTTGGCTTCTGTGATATGCAAGTATTGGAAGAGATGGCAGTCAGGTTCCCACGCGAGAAGATGGAAGGCACTCTAAGGATCGACCCTGACAAGTTACAACCATCGGGATCCATTTCGAACCCCCTAAAATCATGTCTAATGAAACCGGAAGGCTGGGTCCGATATGCTACACTCGTTGCCGAACCCTGGAGCGATTCATATGGCGTCATCGGAGTCCTGCTCCGTTCGATCGGTTGGTTGGTCTTCCTTGACTATGTACTAGTACCTACGGCCACGGGACCCACGTTGTAGGCTAGGTACCGGTACCTGCCTGCGGTACTCTCTTTGGAAGGGTTGGACAATATTTCCAAGCCCCCACCGGCAGGCGTGGAAAACGGTAGAGAGTTTCTCGCAAAAGGCGTCATGAATAGGTACCGGTATGTACCTGTACTTACCGACTGCGGAATCTGGGGACTATTGGTGAATTAGGCGAGCGGCGGAGTGATGAAGTGGGGATACGCGAGATTCATTATCAAGTTACCCAGCAATTGATCGGATCGAAGACTTGGAGTCTGTACTTCGCCGGTATTCTATGTAAATCGAAAACACGCCTCTCGATTCTCGAACCCACTTCCAGCCACGGCCACGGCCAAAACGACCCACAGCCTACAGACCCACAGCAATAATCAATTCCGCAAATAGAACACAAACTATTATCTTCAGGCTTCGAGTCTCAGGTTCAGTGCTTACGGTTTACGAATCAGCCGACGGAAGCGCGGTCACCGGAAAAGAGCCGACAAGCCTTTGTGCTACGCAAACCGGGCCCGGGAAAAACACATGTGCTGATTTGATTCCCGAATCATGGCGCTACTACATAGAGTATAAGCCCCAGGGTCCTCGTGCGTGCGTGCGGCGGTGCGCCGGTGCGCCATCGAGTTCCCGCGGTAGTTACAGACCTAGCTCGCACATGTGTATTCATTGTCGATAGCCGGCTCGAAGAACGGGTCTGGAATAGGTACAGCTGGCGGTGGCGATGGCGATGGCGATAGACCGCTGCTCGGGAAGGGAGGCCTGAAGACCTTGCAGCTCGAGCCTTCTTCTTCCCGATGGATAATTGATCCGTCGTACTTGTCACCATTTTCTCTTGGTAGGCGCGGTGTGACAATGTACGCCGTACAGACAAGGGCGAGAGTCGAGACGCTGCGGGAGCCAAATACGCCTCTTACGACACCACTCACCGATTCGGCGTCAACGTCGTGGACCTGCCGTTCCTGAAAACTAACCGCACTCACTAACTAGAGTGCTCAGTGGAGTAGCCACTGCACGTGTGGTCGTCGTCTCCACTCTTCAGGATCAACCTCGTAGGTTTGTACCTATCTCCCCGCCCCAACTGCCTGACAAATATGCCGCCGTACATAGGTACATCCTCGGCTGACCCTTTGAGCTTCCGCAGATTGCGTTAAACACCTGCTATCGGTACTCTTCTCCAGTTCGAAGCGGCGATGGGCGGTGGCCATATCTCTATCCACACGTTTTCGATGCTCCTGCTGCACCCGGTTAGCCCTGAAAACGCCACAGGAATAGAGTTCCGACGTCGATGCTTATGTGCATGGTGAGGACTCGGTTCCACGCGAACGCGAATGCGATGCGATGCGTTTGTCGGTTCTAGAATATCCTCATCGAAAGGAATCATGAATTATAGTATCTAACTATGGCCCACATCCGCGCGGCCGGAACATATCATAGGTGCTATAGGTACTCTACTATACATACAGTTGTGTAACTGCAGATGTCCGCAGGCACTCGGCTGATAACCGCATAGAATACCGTCCCGACCGTCTAGACCGCGATGAGACGCCCGTTCGTCATCGATCATCCGGCGCAGTCTAATTACCGTACCCCATCTTTTCGCGAGAAAAAATGGCAGACCGAGAGCTGAGAGAGCAAGGAATAAGCTTGTCGGCTCAATCCTGCGCTAAATCGCCCGCATAATCACCGGCATATAAAAAGAGAGGGGGGCCCGTGGGTTCGGCCGCTCCGGTACATACAGTTAGAACATCGCGAACTTCTTGCCTTCCAACCAAAAGCTTCCCCCCGCCCCGCGCCAGCCCCGGAATTGTTACACTCAGAGCACCCCGCAGCTCTTGGTCTCGCCACGAACGAACGTACAGGCTGCCCAGAGTCAGGCACCAGGAACAGGAAGCAGAAGAAGCAGTAGTCTGATACTAGTAGATTGATAGTCGTCTCAATACATACAATCGGAATACAATCGCCGCCGAGCTTCTCGCCTGCATAAAGCCGACCACCGCCGCCCTTTTGAAGGATGCCTTCCACTACCACCACCACCTCATCCGCATCCACTGGAAAGATGCAGCTCCCAGTCCTCCAGCTCCTCTCTCTCACCAACGGTGTCCAACTGGGCTACCGGTCGGCGCCGGCGGTGCCAAAGTCGGACCTGCCGACCTTGGTCCTCCTGCACCCGTTCATCACCGACAGCTCCTTCTTTGAGCCGCAATTCACGGATCCCCAGCTTGCGGACCAGAAATGGAACATGATTGCCGTTGATATCCACGGACATGGAAATACCACCGGAAGAGACGAGTTCACCTACTGGGACACCGCTACGGACGTTGGCCTGCTTCTTGTAAAAACACCCTCCCCCATACGATTAACCGGAAAACTAACGAATCCACCAGGACCACTTCGACATCCCCAAAGCGACCTTCTGCGGCACCTCCCAGGGCGGCTTCATCGCGACGCGGCTCGCACTGCAGCGCCCGCGCCTCGTGAACCGGATCGTCTACGCGGGGTCTTCGATCCTGGTCGAGACAGCGGAGAGCAAAGCGTCGATCACCTACCTAACCACGGACTTCCCGTACATCGAAGAGAACCTCGCACTCGTGAACAAGGCAGGCTTCGGCGTCGACATCAACTCGCCGGACGCAACGCAGCGCGAGATCGATGCTGGCAACCACTGGATCGCGACGTGGAAGGAACGCTACGGAGGCTCCCCCGAGAATGAGGCCCGCATGGTAAAGGTCACGAATCAGCTGCTCGAGAGAGACGATATCGTCCCTCGCGTTGGAGAGCTCGACGTCAAGATCGATGTTATGCACGTAAGTTCCGCTCCCGCCCCTCGCTCCCCCACACACCCCGACGCAGCGCCTAACATAGTGGCAGGGCGAACTGGACGAGATCTACACGGTCGACGTGCACGCGAACGGCACCAGGGCGGTCCTGGAGGCGAACGACCTGCTGGGGTCGTTCGAGATTGTGCCTGGAGGTGCGCACTACCTTTCGTGGGGAAAGTGGGAGCGCGTCAATGCCAAGCTCGTCGAGATCATGAAGCTCAAGAATAAGCGGGGTGAGCATCATCATAGGGATTAGGTACCTGTGTGTGTATGTATGTTGGTACTTGGGCGGTTGGTTGGTTACGAGAGACATGTCTGATGTGTGCGATGTGTATATATGAATGATTAAGAATGTAGTATTATTATTACCTATGGGCCTATGGCTTTGCGTGGAGAATGGTGATGAGAGAGGGAGAGAGAGAGGGAGAGAATCAGAGTCAATAAACAACTATGTAAAGATAAATAGTAGGGGCCAAAGAACGATTAAATGACAAGCGGGCTCTCGTTAAACGCTCGCCTGGCTACTAGTAGTTCCAGCGGGTATATACTTCCTACACTTCCTATTGTAGGCGCCAACTACTACAATCTCAGACCCTGCTCCAGACGAACAGATCTGAACAGCTTTCGGCCTGCCTACTATGGCATGATATACAGAGTAAACACCGCCATCAATCAAAATAAACTATGTAGAATATGTATGCACAGATGTACCTAATCAAGTAGTTCCATCCACTCAATCGAGTGATCTATGTGCCTATGTATGTACAAAAATGACGATGCCAGATGCCCAAGGTATGTACAAAGTATGTAGTGGGTAACTACATCAGCGTCTCAACACGCCCGCAAAGCCCCACACCAGCAGCATCACAGTGACAGCAACAACACCCCACGGACGAGCGGTCGCCGCCGCCGGCGCCCCCGAGACTTCGCCGGAATTTAGATTGTTGTTATCTGGAGGCGAGCCCGGCGGGCCCTGATCGGACTTCGGGGGCGGTTTGCCGCCTTCGGGAATAACGTTCTGCGGGAATAGGCCCTCGACGTTGCCTGCCATGATCCTGTTAGTTAGTTAGGTCTCAGAGGGGGGGTGAAAGGGGGGGAAGGGGGGTTTACCATGCAGAGTATACTCGCAAACGAACGAGTTCCCAAAGTGGTTCCCGTTCCCATCCCCAATATGGGAGCAATCTGTCATTCCGCAACCGACGTGTGTGGTATCGCGCCAGACGATGGCGGTGAAGTGGCCCGCCTCCTTCGAGAACTTGGGGTCATTCCAGTTGTAGAGTTGTCGCTCGTCCCACATTGCCTGCAGCGCCTCGGTCGCTGTCGCGTACCCACCCGCGAGGTTCTCGCCTAGCCCCGGCGTCATCGAGTGGCCCGTCGGACACGTTGCGCTGTAACGTTGCGCTACGTCTGCGAGTCGGGCGTCCCACGTTAGAGGGGGCGCTGAGTGTGCGGCGCGGATCTTGTTGTGCATGTCTAGGCATTCTTTGATGAATGCTGGGTCGGTGGAGGAGGTGGAGTGGACGACACCCGGCAGGAGGAGGAGGAGCAGCATGGCTGCTGGTTGGTATTTCGTGTTATGCTGGTTATTGGTCATGTTGATAGCTAACTGATCTGTGTTCGGTGTATGGAATTAGCTGGTGAATGATGATTTAGGAAGCTGTGTAGGAAGCAAGAGCAGGCTTTGGCTGGACTGCGCTGTTCGTTTTATGCTTGTTGCGCGGGAAGGTTCCTATGTACATACAAAAGGCGGGTGGCTACGGAGAATTGAACATGTTGAACATCTTTCTATGACAGGCGGAGTCGACCGAGAAGGCCGCGAGTGTCGTGGTCGCATCTCGACTGTCAAAATTAAGCCATCTGCGTGGATCATGAGCGTAAACGGGGGCCATCGGTTGGCGAGTGATACGTCATGCAAAACGGCTGGAGTGTTTGGGATGGGACGAGTAACATCACGTGTTTACGAGTATTTTCGTTCCTCCTCCGCTCATGTGGGGCATCCCGAGTCGTAGGTCTTTGGCAGTACATCGAAGAGTACAGCTCAAGGCTGGCCGGCCGGCATCTCCACTACTGTAGCAAACATTAGCTTCGATGGACCTGTGTTGCTGAAGGGTACCTACTAATTCGTGCGACTTGTCCGCCATACGGGCCACAATACTGGACGACAGCAAAGGTAAAGGACATGAACGCAGGAGAACGCACGAGCAGGGTTTTGCAGATGGCTCTTTTTTCAACACCCCTCTGGCAGGCCGGAGGCGGGATCGAGAGGAGAGCACACACAGAAGAAAGAGGAGATAGAGGTTGATCGTCTATTCTGTAGAGGATGATGAAGAAAGAAGAAAAAGAAGAAAAACCTGCCGGACTCAATTGGTCGACCCCGCCATGGCCGCCAAAGTTGAGGCCTACCAACGTTTATGCCCATTGCCCACTACTAACCACATTCGGTTTCTCCCGCCGACAGGAGTCCTCCTTCACTTCCTCCTCTCGCCGACAGCTCCTCCACCGCCTTGCCACAAGTGCGTTACAAATCTCGCCAAATCATCCATTCCCAAGTTACTGCGTAAGATTACGGGTCCCGGCCATCGACCGAGAACGAGAATACATCAGCACATATGTACGTTTTCCGACGGGGATCTTGCTACGCATGCTGCCGAGCCACCACGGCCCCCAATGCATATATAGAGCGGACTCGGTATGATACTGCTGCCGGGGGCGATGTCGTTTTCTGTCTTGAGAAGCCTCAAGGATGGACCGTTACCAGCCAGCCGGCCAGTATAACGTGCGGACAATGAGCCCGCTCACCGCCCACAGCCCACCGCCGAGACCTCAGCTAACTCCGAGGACAAGATGATGGGACCGTATCGGCGGCGTCGGGATACTTTGATAAGATTATGTACTCTATGTAAGCATGTTAGCAAATGGTACCCACTGGAACCAGCCAGGCGAGCGTTTGGCGAATGTCCATCCTTGCTGCATAGTGTATCACTCGCCAACCTCGGATGGCCCGCCGTTTACGCTCATGAACCACGTAGGTAGACACTGGCATGATTCTACTCACACGGCCGGAAATCCAGGGGCCCCCCCGTCTCCACCCTTCTGCAGGTTATTATCTGAGATTGGATCTGTGTCTGAGGATGAACAGTTATCCTATGTGACGACACTGAGGAAACCTCGTTCATCAGCAATTATTCACAGGGCGAGGGGTGGGAGCCCTAAACTTCCGGCCGTGTGAGTAGTTGAGATGTGATCACAACCTCCTTCATCGACTCTGCTTGTCATACTAGAAGGATATTCCAGCTTTTCAATTTCCCACATCCACCGGGCTTTTGTAGGAACCTTTCGGTACAACAAGTATAAAACATACCTTTCTCAGCTCAGTATATGATCCATCTGCTCCATACACAGCTTCCTGGACCATCCTTCACAAGCTAATTCCATACACAGAGTATAGACCCAGCTGTCAACATGACCATTTTGAACCGGGAAAACATGAGGTCTCAACCAGCAGCCCTGCTGCTGTTCCTCCTCCTCCTGTCGGGCTTTGTGTACTCCATCGCCGACCCCTCCATCACCACCTCCACCGACCCATCCTTCATCCGCGAGTGCCTAACCGTGCACAACCAAATCCGCGCCGTGCACTCCGCAGCACCCGTATCCTGGGACGCCCATCTCGCGTCCGTAGCGCAGGAGTACAGCTCGACATGTCCTCAGCCGCACTCATCTCCGCCCGGAATGGGCGAGAACATCGGGTGGGGCCTGTCTGCCACAGATGCGCTCAATCGGATGTACGACGAGCGGCGGCTCTACGACTGGAGCAACCCGCAGTGGGCCAAGGAGACGGGCCGCTTCTCCGCCATCGTCTGGAGAAACACTTCCCGTGTCGGATGCGCGCTGACACACTGCACGGCCGTATGGGCTGCCCGGGGATTTAGCGCGGAGCTCCCGTACGAGCTTGTTTGCGAGTACTCTCCGAAGGGTATACCCCCAGAAAGAGGGAGGATGTGAATTCGCGAGAGGCTAATGGGTTGTAAAGGCAACATCCAGGGCAGGTTCCCCGAGAACGTTGTTCCCGAATGCGAAGGTGGCACACCGCTCCTGCACCTGACGTTTAAACAGGCCTCGGGCTCGGCGCCGGATAAGAACCAGGGTTTTGGAGGGTTCGTTTCGGCGGCGCCGAGGGCGACAGCTCGCTCATGGATTGTTACTGCTGTTGTGGTGATGCAGATTTGGGCTTTTGCTTATGCTGTTGGATTGCTGGTGCGCTGGGTCTCCGAGATCGCCTCGGAATATTTGTACGTCCCGGGTAACTAGAGAAGCTGAGTGGATGGAACTATGTGGTTACTTAGATACATCTGTACATACATATTTCTAGTTTATTCCGATTGATTGATGGCGGTGTTTACTCGATATATCATAGGTAGTAGGCAGACCGAAAGCTGCTCCGTTCTGTTTGTCTGTGTAGAGTGGAGTAGAGTAGTTAGCGCCTGCAGATTGCAATAGGTATCACATAGAAGTTGGAATTCAGCAAGGGCACCGCAAACCTCGAGCTGCTCTCACGGCCTCAGCATGAGCGTGCGTATGCAAGTCCTCGGGCACACACCGGTACTGTTGCACTCGCGCGGTGCAGGGCCTTCGAGCTCACTATATCCACTCGGACGCACTCAGTCATTCGTAGGTGGGGGAACAATGGCTACTTCAAAACGAATCATAATACCTACTATTCTTGAAGGCGAGGAAGCCATTGCCTAATTTTAGATTCCATGTCGGGCTTTCGGACGGCACAGGGAAAAGACAAAATCACACTCTACATTGCGATCGGGAACCGGATCGATATCAGGCCGAGCTACTCTTGAGATCACAGCATACAATACAGCTCTATGTGAACAATTCGTCACACGACAGCACAGATCGAGGTAAAATCATAGGATACGCTCAATGGTAATAGGTAGTAGTATTTAGTAATACTCCCTGGGACTCGAGTCCCTCGAACTCGGAGACGAAGGGTGCGTACTTGTTCTTGTGGTTGAAAAAGTGTCGCTTGACACTGCCGGCGCCGCGCTTGAGGGTTTTGTTGGATGGAGCGATGGTGGCTTCGTCGGAGGAGATGAGGGAGAAGCGGCGCTTATGGATGTTGGCTGACATTTCTTTCGCTGGGCTCTGTGAGTGGGTGAGGCGCAGTGGTGGTGCTGGGAGTGGTTGGCTTACCTTTTCGGAGGTTGGTGTGTTTGAACTTGTGTGAAGGTGGTGGGAAGATGACGAAGAGTGTGGTGAGCTCGCGCTTTGGCGTGGTGAAAAGGAGTAGGAGTGGTGGATGATGAAGCGGAGTAGGAGTTGTAAATGGTTGAGAATTGGAGTGGTCAACCAAGTGGTGAAGTAAAGCGTGAAAGCAAGCTAGCGACTCCAACACCTACACACCTGCATAGTGTATCACTCGGTAACCCGATTTCTTGAATATGAATAGCGCTGGACTCAGAGTCAATGTGTCAAACTAAATAGACAACACGCAGAATCAATCGAAATACTCACTAGCAATTCAGCCAGCTAGCACTCGTTTTCATGCTCACTTCCACCCTTGACGACTAGGTATCCGAATTGATCCTTCTGATTGTATGCCGGATTTTCTGATCATGCCGCGGGTTCAGTTCGGTTGGGGTGGCTTCATCCCGTATCTACCTTACATGGAGCACCGCAGCGACCAAAGCAGTGCAAGCAACTGCGAGCACCACGGACGAGGTACCTATGTACAGCTATGCAGTGCGAGAGCCCAAATCTCCGAGTTCCTACACACGCGCGAATCCTTTGTAAGCCATGTTCCGGCAGCGGCGGCGGTCTGAGACGATGCCGTTCTGTTCGGTTCGTAAGGGGGTTGCCGTCACTAAAGATTGAAACTTCGTTGCCGAGGGTACCTACCTAGATCTTCGGTTTTTACTACCGGTCCAGGTCCAGTGCCTCCGAAAGTCCAGTCCAGTCCAGTCCATCTTGAGGCTTGGACTGGACTGAACTGGGTGGCCTTCTGCGCGGCTGGTAACTAGGACTGGACGGACGGCAGTCGACCGCATGGACTGGTAGGTACTTTGAATGGAAAATGTTGGAAATTGGTGAAGAACATTTTTCCAGAGTCTGACATCTCCATCGTGTAATACCTTCGGTGTGGTATGCCATTCCATCTTCCAGCAGCCATATATGACGAGTTGAACGTCCCTTCAGACCCGGCTTCTTTGCTTGAAACACATCCGGAACGTTAAAGCCTTCGGTGGCCGGCACCAAGGATTTCATTTTCCACAACTGTGTACGAAACCTGAATTTTTGATGGAAGGATGGATTGTGAAGGGTTGAAGGAGTTGCGGTGATGTTGCTTCTACCTATGTGAAGGATTCAGTGGGGTTCAAATCGGCCAGCCACATGGTTCGGCCCCCAGAGTTCTGTGGGATTCTAATCGGCTACCTAGCCACATAGTTCGACCCTAAATTTTCAGAAAGTGACAGTCCGTGGCAGTCCGTGGCGGCAAAATGTTGGACGGACTGACCACACACCACCCTTCAATTTTATCAGCCGAACTGGACTGGACTATTGGGAGCACTGCCGGTTCTTGGAGTACGCGTGGACGGCCAAGAAGTCCAGCTCCTGCGATCCAGCCAGTCGGTCGGTCGTTCGGTCGTCTCGTTGCTCGCCGCTCGATTGCGAGCGTAAAAACCGGAATTGCCCGTGCTCACGAGATCTTTCAAGCTTCCAAGTTCCAGCCACCCAAGCCAACGTCGCCCTCCTCTCCCCCCTCCCCTGCCTAAACACGCGGAGCATCAAAATTTGTAAAATCCCAAGTATGATACTAAAACGCACTGGAAGGCATACCCGGCAGATGATTGGCATACACACCTCACACATACCTCATATGATACATAGAGTACGCGCCAGATCGGTTGGTGCACCATGCACAACCCAAAGCGGATACTACCCGTACCCCGCAAACCGTAAGCGAGAGTTTTGGCGCGTTTTTATGCACCTTATCTCTAACCTAGTTACCGGAGGGGTGGGCACTGGGTTGGGTGGGGAATGTCCCGCCCTAGATGACTCTTATATTTGGTATGTACTTGTCAACGAGCGTGCTGAGGATTCACGGTTCACCTGGTTGCTATTGCCGATTATGTGTATGTCCTCTTATGTAAAAGTCCGAGATGGCGGAACTGGGATTTGTTTGAATCATGGTCATCGCACACTCCTTGCGTTGGGACGCTATTGAGAGACACCTGCGGTACGTTCCAGTTACATACCAGGTTCAAAGCAGCGGAGGTTTGTCTAGAGCACGGTTACTAGATAGCAGATATATGCATGTCACATTGTATGGGCCAGCTTTGAAATCCAGGGTAATTCTAGAGCGGGCGGTGATCAATATGGGATCACTTTCCAACAGCCACAGCCCCACAAGGAACAAGCCGGTGGGACCGACGGTCCTATGTACTAGTAGTGGAGTATGGGCCCCCGAGACCACTCCCGGCGACGAACAACACCGCAGTTACTCATCTGGTACTAAGCACGCTCGTTGGAAGCGAGATATTATGTAGGCAGTTGTCAGACAATTCCCAGCCCGCCGGTTTCGTGTGCGAGTACGAGTATGTATGGTCCCTGGGTACATGGGAATTCCGCCCGCATGCCATAGAGAACGAACAGCAATTCGTCCTCCATCTCGCCTCCGTGACCTCCATGCTTTAGTCCACCTTCATGTACCCCACCTTACGCTATAGCCGAAGTAAATTCTAGGGGCGGGGAAGATCTTTCGCGGATCCATTTATATTCAATTCTCGCTCCTTTTTATGCTGGTCACTGGATAAGTCAATAATCAGAATGGAGAATGACCCAGAAATCGTCCGCGAGGTTGAGAACGCCCTCCATGTCGACATCATACCGGGGACCGAGATTATGGCGCAAGGTATCTATGCCCACGGGCCTGTTCGGGGGACTTGGCAGAGCTGATGCTGCAATAATGTAGTGGCCGGAATCCACCTCGTCGAGAGCAAGAGTGATGGAGTCCTTGTGCCCCAGCCCTCCAACAATCCAGAAGATCCGCTCAATTGGAGTCCGTTGTGGAAGGGCATCGTGATGTCGAGCATGATCATGACATCGTTCCTTCAAGCATTCGGGCCTTTGGCGATCGCGCCGCAGGTTCCCCAGTACATGGCGGAATGGAACAGGAGTCCACCTGAGATCCTACGATTTGTAGGGCCTCTTTCTTCCCGTGTTGTCTCCCGCCTCTCAAGCTGATTCTGTGTCAAGATCGGTATAAGTATCCTTGTGCTCGGGTTTAGCAATTTCCTCTGGGTGCCACTGTCCACAACATACGGTCGTCGGTGGGTCCTGATAGCTTCTGCGGCGGTCTCGCTCGGATCTTGCATTTGGAGGGCCACGGCCACATCTTACAGCTCCTTTCTGGGCGCATGCATCCTGCACGGTGTGGGTGCGGGTACTGCTGAGACGCTTCCTCCGGTATTGATTAGCGACATCAAATTCCTCCACGAGCGTGGGTTCTGGATGAACGTCTACACGTGGAGCTACTTCGGGTCGCTGATGGTAAGTGTATCCCTCCGAGTACCGCGTTTAAATCCGCTCACCCTGTATAGGTGGGACCTATCGTTGCCGGGGCCATGACCGACCGATATGGCTGGAGGAGCTTCTGGTGGCTCAACGTCGTCCTGTACGGTGTCATGATCGTCCTCCAACTCTTCCTGCACCCGGAAACCCACTACGACCGACGCCACCTCGTTGGCGCGGGCCCGGGCAGCGACGACCGTGGCTTGATCCCGTCCGACTCCTCAAACGCCGACGCCGAGAAGCCGACCGTCGCCACCTCGGAGAATCCCCCACACGCCCTCGAACACGTCGACGAATATTTCGGCAAGGGCACACCGATCAGATCACAATTCGTCTCGGTCATAAGGCGCACCTCAAAGAAGGAGTCGCTGTTGTCCCTGTGGATCCCGATCAAGCTGTTTTCGTTCCCGATTGTCGAGTGGACGTCGTTTGCGTTCTCGTGGAGCGCGAGCGGCTTCCTCATGGTCAATCTTACGCAGTCGCAGGCGTTTGCCGCCCCGCCGTATAACATGTCCAGCACCGCTGTTGGTACGCTCTCACCCGTCCATTTGATTGATCTCTGAACTGACTGGACCGATGCATAGGACTCACGAACTTCGCGCCGCTCGTGGGCGCAACCATCGGCATGCTAACCGCCGGCCCGCTCAGCGACTGGGTGTCGATGCGGGCCACGCGCAAAAACAACGGCATCCGCGAACCCGAGATGCGGCTTCCGAGCTTGATCCCGTTTGTTCTCTGCACCATCGTCGGGACACTGGTGACCGCATACGGTTACCAGAATGCGTGGAAGTGGGAGATTATCGTGATCGTGGGATACACGCTTCTCGGCCTCCAGGTTTCGGCCATCTCGGCCATCGCCATGACCTACTCGATCGATTCGTATAAGCCCGTTGCGGGCGAGATACTGGTTTCGGCCACTGTGAACAAGAATCTCTGGGTATGTCTCCCTCCGGCTGGCGGCGAGCGCTGCGGATGGAACGTCCGTTGACTGACGTGTGCTCGGTGGGAATGTAGGGGTATGGAGTCGCCGAGTTCCTGACCCACTGGATCATCAGCTCCGGGTATGTTGCGCCCATGACTACTATCATGGGAACCTCAGTGGTGATATACCTGTTTGCGATCCCGCTGTACATCTGGGGCAAGAATTTGAGGAGGATTACGAAGGATTCGAACATTCATTCGATGTAGCTTGACTTGGTAGGTAGCAGTGCTCGTGAGTTGTATGTAGAGTACCTAGCATATATGTGAATAGAATAGTTTAACTGGATCACGATCAATTGGACGGCATAAGCGAAGTGGCTTGAAAAGCGTGTTTTGCAGCTGCGGCCAGTCGGCCAGTCGTCCGTCAAAGACTGGGTGGCTGGGCGGCTAGGATGTGTAACGATTGTGCCTTGGCCCTGCCGTGGTTTCGGCTTCCCTGACGTCGCCGATCCATGACATCACTACATGCCGAACCGACGATATAAGCTCACCGTATTCGGCACCATGTCGTGTGGCCACAGAACCCCCCCCCGGCGTGATCATCACGTCTCGTACGATACCACCAACTCGATGTCTTCAGCATTTGCGGCCTCATGTTTGGGGGCCTTCCAGGCCGCGTTTTCGGTTCTCCTCACGCTCGGCTACGGCGTCTTCGCAGCGCGCATGGGAATGGTTGACGCCGGCACGGCGAAAAACGTCTCCTCGCTCTGCGTCAACATGTTTCTTCCGGCGCTGTTGATCACCAACGTCGGCAGCCAGATACAGCCGGGGAATTTCACGAGTTACGTTCCCGTTTTCATCTGGAGTATCCTCTACAGCGTCATCTCGCTGGCGCTGGGCAAGCTGGCTCAGAAAGTGTTTAAGCTTCCGAGCTGGGTGGGTGCGGCGTGCGCTTTCAATAATACCACATCGCTGCCGCTACTCTTGACGCAAAGCTTGACGACCACGGGAATCCTACGCTCGATTGCGGGAGACGATGTGTCGGCAGCGGTGGAGCGCGCGCAAAGCTTCTTCCTGATCAACAGCATGGTCTCGAATGCGGCCACCTTCGCGATCGGGCCGAAGATTCTCGGCAACGACATGAAACAGGAGGAGGACGAGGACGAGGACGAAAGCGAGGGCGACAACGACCAGCAGAACGGCGACAACAACGACGAAGACGCAGACGAGAACTCCACCCTCCTTCCTAAGCCGATCACCTCCCGACTCGCCGCCGTGGAAGAAACCGCCTCGAGCCAGTTCGGCCGCCTCCCGGTACGCGTCCAAAAGGCGCTCTCCTACGTCTCCTCACTCTTGACTCCCACCCTCTGGGGGGCGATCTTTGCAGTAGTCATCGGACTCACCCCACCACTGCAACGCGCTCTCTTCGCCGAGACCCAGGACGGCGGCTTCCTCAACGCGTGGCTCACGTCCTCTCTCCGCAACATCGGCGACCTTTTCACGGCGCTGCAGATGTTTGTTGTCGGCTCGAAACTCTCCGATTCGCTCACGCCGCCGAAGCACCTGCCCTCGCCGAACCCGCCCAAGAAGGCTGTCGCCGCAATCTTCGCCATCCGGTTCATCTTCTGGGGGCTCGTCAGCATTCCGCTCGTGTACCTTGTCGCGGCAAAGACGCAGCTGCTCGATTCCGATCCCATGCTGTGGTGGTCGCTGATGCTCATGCCGATAGGCCCGCCCGCCATGATCCTGAGCAGTCTGGCCGAGGTCTCGGGCGTCGGTCAGCACGGGAAGATGATGGTGGCTAGAACGCTTGCCTATTTCTATGTTGTTACGCCGATCATGTCGCTGGCTGTGGTGGCCGCGTTGAAGGCTTGCGAGATGATCCTGGAGGAGAGGAAGCAGAGGCCGGGGCTCGTGCTGTAGGCGGAGGTGATATTTACATATATACCCACTGCAAGACATTGGGGGGGAGGGGGCTTGTCTTGCATTTGCGTTTATTGGCGTTTGTTTGTACGGGGTGTTGGGTGTTAAGGTATTGGGGTGTCAAGGGGGTGCGAGATTTGCATAGGTATATAGAATCTCCAAAAAGCTTGTTTTGCTGCAGTATCACGGTCCACCACTCCAGTGACGATTTTGTTTTTCGTGTGCCCTGCCGATAATATATACGGCTTCCGTGTTATCCGAAGCTGAAAAAGGATCACCTTGATCGGATGTTGTGAGCGAATTACATATATAGCAAGTCAACCGGGCAGCAGTGGCACAGCACAAGCTTTCGAAGTTCGGACGGCGGGACCCGAGGTCGGAAGATCAGATCGTCGGCTTCCGCATGTGACGTCAGCTCCAGCTTCCACTGCCATCCAGAGCTCTCACGAGAGCGCATATAGTAGTGCAATGTGCACACAGCCGGCGACTGGAAGTGCTGGTCCAACAGTCCAACTTACTAACTAGTGCTGACTGCCGCGCATTCGCAGTGGCGAGTCGAGACTGTGTACTTAGCCCTACCTAACTCGTACCTACCTGGGAACGGCTCCGCTGTCCGACGGCTGATCAGCGACTTTTGCACTCTACTCTACATATATCTAGAGTAGAGCACACCGTAGTTGGGTAGTTGGGTATCTTCCCCTCGGCAAAAACGGCCCCCTAACGGCATCGGCAACGGCAACGGCATCTTCGATCCAGAAAACAGAGTTGCAGGAGTAGAGTCGCAGGCAGGAACTCCCCTAGTATGATGATTCTCCAGGCAGCTGTTTTGGTGGTGCCTGCCGGTAGGTTTCGTGCGCACACCTCAGTAAAGCACTAGATCTTCCGGATCTCGTGCGCTAATGCACTGCTCCCGCAGCCCGCTGCTCCAACTCATGTGTGATACCTAGCGGCACACCTCCCTCACGGGTTGGCACTTGCTCCGCCGCCGCTGCCACGACCTGGTGCGGAGATCACTACTCTGGAGTCTAGAGTTTACCTAGGTAGACGAGCTCGATACCGCTTCGGCCCGCGTGGGGTAGTTGTTTTCTAACTTTCTGTGCGTGAGAACAGTTCTTGCATGGGGTGAATGGAAGGCATGGAACGGTACTCCAGGTCGGAAGTCACGCCGACCAAGGGAGAAAAGAATATCCGGGACGTGGGACAATCGCTCATGCCTATCTAGATTACACACCGGTACCGGTACCGTATGTGCTGATGCCTCTCGGTGGCGAGTCCGTTGGAAGTAGAGTAGGTAGAGTAGGTAGAGTAGGTAGAGTGAAGTGGAGACTTTCATTCACCAGCGACGAGACCCAGCAGACAGCATCTACCCAAGTACCTACCCAAGCATACCTCCCTACCTACCCAAATACCCAAGTACCCAGGCATGTATGCCGGTACATAAGAGCGAGACTCACCCTGCCCCGTCGAAATCGGCCGATCACCTCGAACCGAGCGGGTACAAGTTCCGTCTCCCAAGCATCTGGAGACCGGGGCGGATAAATTCACGTCCGATCTGGAACACTTGTAAGTTGTGGCTTTTCTGCCTTCCATGGGCCACCGATGCTCTCCCGCACGCTGGCCGCTGGCGCAAATGGTCCTGTAGGTAGTAGGAGTACGCTGGAGACTGGAGACTGAAGACCTGCGTAGAGTAGAGTACTCTGCGCGGAGCACGTATTAGCAATGAGGTACGTGGGTGTACGGACAGGCATTGATGGCTGCCGTACCTCCTCCTCCTCCTCGGTCGTGTGGTCATCACCACTCACTCACTCATCTTGCTCTGTCTAGCCTATCATATTAGTAGTTTAACTTCCAATCACAGCCCGCATCCGTAGTGAAGGAGTTACATACCGACCATTCGCCATCCCACAGTACGTGTGCGGTGTGCGTGTAGAGTGTCTCTAGACCAGGCCGTATGCAACGTTCTCTCTCTCTCTCTCTCTCTCTCTCCATTCTTTGTTTTCCCGTTTAATGATCACCGCATCCGACCTTATTGGATACCGTAGATCGTGACGGAGTACGTACGCGTCTCGCGTCTTTCCGCCCCAGAGCGAGAGCGAGTGACGTTCCGCAAACCACCAGCAAACCACCAGCAAACCACCAGCAAACCACCAGCAAACCACCAGCAAACCACCAAACCACCGTATTGTTTTGTACATACGTAAGCCCGCTGCCGCAACAGATCCACATATCATATCATATCATATGTAGTGTTATTCAATGTGCAGTTGTCGATCTACCTACTCTACTGCAATAAACATATGGATATAGGTGCTTTCTTTTTCTTTTTCTCTGCACGTCCGTGCCCATTGCCCGTTGCCCAACGGTTCACACGGAGACGGCGGTGCAACAGTGCAACACACACAGGCCGCCAAGAGCGCCCACGCCCGCGCCCGCGCTCGGGGCAGAACTTTGCCATTGGCCAGCCCCATTGGCCACTTGGGCAGCCACTCGGCGCTCGGCGCTGGGCGCACACACTTTACGCGCGGCTCCAAGAAACGTCGTGTGGGGGGCTGAGCGGAACGGTGGAATACCCAGAGAGAGATTCTGGAATGGTTCCACGACAGGAAGGGTTTCACCCTACCGTGTGATGGGTCGCCGATTGGTGGTTACTTGGAAGTTGGAAGTTAATACTCGGGTTCGACTTCATGGTAATTTGTAGGTAGGTAAACTGTGTGAACCAAGATTTCAGGCAGGCGTACCGCGGGGGAGCAGGTATGGAAGGTATGGAACTTTGTTTCGTCCCGGCGTAGATACATACTTATGCTTGCGAGTTGCGAGTTGCGATGCCGGGGAGGAGTGCCGGCTGGGGAGTTATGGACTCTACAAACTTACCTGGGTGGACTCCGGAGTACTAGTACACACACATGCTTCTGTCAGCTGTGCACCAGCTGTGATCGGTGCCGTGGAAGCCTTGCCCGAGTGGTACTTAGTGACATAGGTGCTCTATGTATGAAGCCGGGTACATAGCCGGGTACATAGCTTGTTTGCTGGACTGCTGGGTTATGGGCCATGGCTGCTGGGTTGCCATGTATTCGGACCCGGTGAACGTGAAGTGAAGCCTTCGCAGTGAGAATCACCAGCGAGGCTTGAGCTCCCCGCGTTCGTGTAGATGGATGCTATGTATAAACAGGGAGCGAGCACCGGCACGGCTTTGTGCAGATGCTCTAGTCCAAGTGCTGCCCGGCTACTCTAGCTGGATCTGACGTGAGTATCCCCAAAAATCACAACAATCACAACAAAAACAACATCAACGCCATCAGCAACAGCTGGACTTGCACGAATGCGCAGCACAGCACTCTACCCAGGGCAGGGCAAGCAGGGTGGTGTACGGTACGGTACTCAACTGCCCAATCCCTCCCCCTCCGCACCAATTTGCTTTTAAAGTAGTGACGTTGGGAATGTAACCCCAGTAGAGTCTCGGAGCACAGCAGCAGCACAGAACACGGGTAGCCGGCAATAAAGTGGCCATGCAGTTGGCAACAGTGCAGATTCTGGGGTGTTTCTCACGGTGATTATTGGTATTTGTCGATGGAAATAGCAGTACTCTCGGCGGGAGTAAGAGCAGACGTCACCAGTGACCGCCAACTTCCAAGCCTCTATGTAGCACTGCCAGGCCCCAGTTAGAGTAGCAGGTGGTTAGCCCGTAACAAGTAGCAAGTAGCAAGTACAGGTTTCCGGGGAGTGCGTGCTCCCAGCTAACCGTAAGTGCTGTAGATTGCCAGAACTGAGGCTTGGTCAATGGAATCGGCAAGGTGCTTCGTAGCCACGCAAGGGTCTGCGCCCCTTCATGCCTCGAGCGCCTCCCTCCCAAGGGCCAAGGGCCCAAGGCGTGCGCCGGAAGGTGGTTGGCGACGGCCGTTTGGCGTCGATCAATCAATCAGTCAGTCAATCAATAGATCCACCCCCTTTAACGTATAAAGAGAACCCCCTCGACCCACCTTTGCTCTCCTTTCCCCCCCCCATCATCATCATCTTCACCTTCACTACAACACCTCACCTCAATCATCACCACCCTCGTTCCAACCCAACAAACAACAACCCCCCAAACAACCTCAACATGCAGACCAAGTTCATCACCCTCGCCCTTTTCTCCGCCGCTTCCGTCTACGCAACCAACGTCCCCCGTCAGGACCTTGGGTTAGTTCCCTCCCTCCCTTCCAAACAGTGTGCACCCTTTTGCAGCACAGATAACTAACAACCATCCAGTGATGCGGCCAGCATCGTCGGCTCTGTAGTCGGAGGGCAGATCACCTCCGTGATCGGAGATGCGACGTCCAACATCGGCTCGATCGCGTCTGCTGCGACCGCAACCCTCGGCTCCGTCGGCTCGGGCATCACCTCTGGCGTAGCCTCGCTCGCGACCGACGCCGCCTCCGGCATCGAGTCGAACTGGGCCGGAGCCACCTCGAAGATCGCTCACATCGACGACAAGATCGAGAGCAAGTACAGCTCTGTCGCAGGCTGGGGCTCGGTCTCGGCCGACCTGCACAACGCCATCGCCTCTGGCACCTCTGGCGTCGCCGCTTTCTTCTCCACCCAGACCGCGCTCGCCTCTGCTGCCGCTAAGTCTATCGAGTCCGACGCCGCCGCCGCGATCATCTCCGCCGTCCAGACCTCGACCGCCTCCGCTGGCGGCGCTGAGGCGTCTGCCTCCGGCAACGCCGCCCCCCGCATGATGGTCGGCTCCGTCATGGGTGTCGTCGGTGTCGTTGCTGGTGTCGTTCTGTTGTAGAGTGTGGATGTGGTCGATATCAAACGAGTCTGTAGCATAACAGTGTAATGTACGACGTGGAGGATGGTGTTGGGCTTCTTTTCCTTTCTTTTTTTTGTGCTTGCTTCTTCTTCATTCGTATGTAGATGATGAAAAGGTGTTTATGTGTTTATTGGGAATGTTCTCTGTTCTTTTTTTTTTACTGCAACGATACCACACAAATCAAATGAATGTTGGTTTCCATCTACCAATCCTCGGATCGCATGATCGCATGACGTGATTGACGTGATTTGAGTGACCGAAGTCGGGTCGAAACGACGGCGGGAAATGCGAGTGCAACCCCCCCTCTCCCCGCCCCTCGTCGTACGTAGAGTGCAAATACGGTCCGATAATCCGATTGCGCCCCGAGACGATCGTGGGGGTGAGGACTGGGGGGAGTCTGGGGACGGTCGCGGCGTCGCGCATGCAGGAAAGTTGCTTGCAGCAAGGATGCATCAAACCCAATTTCCCGACTGGCTTGTGTGACGCGCGGCCTTTCTCTTGGAGTGGCTTGGGGTTGTGGTGTGGCTTGGGCTAGGGCTGAGGCTTGGGCTTATTGTGGCTTGGGCTTGGTGTGGGCTAGGAGGGCGGTGGCTTGATTGGTAGCGGTGGCTGTAGCTGACTACCTGCTGACTACCTGCTGAGTAAGCGCTGGGGTCGAGGGTCGAGGCTCCTCTGTGAGTCCGTGTTGACAGTTGCGGTGAGCAGCGGTATGGACTCTGGAGGCTTAACGGAGCGATTCAGTGTTATGGGGTGTGACCACTGACCAGGCTCAGACGCGATGTGGAGGGTCAACAACTCAACGTTGAGTTGTTTCTATTCTGTTCTATCTGTTCTGTCTATTCGTTCCCGGGTCCGTCTCTCGTCCTTAATGCTTATACACATCGTCTCATCCCGTTTTTGGGTCTCTCACTGCAGACCCAGCCACGGAACCACAGAACCACAGAACCATGGAACCACAGAACCACAAAACCGGGAAAGCCATCCTGTGCTCTACTAACTAGCCGGCGTGCGTGGATTTCCCGATACCGACAGGTAACGTTGGAACTTGGGCTCGGACTCGGGCTTGTGTTCGGACTGATCGGGCCGAAGACAAAAGAACAAAGATGACTGGAAGTTGAAAGTTGAAAGTTGAAACCTTCCTAGAGCACTCTATATAGTTACGGCGGGCTAGGCGAGGCCGTGCACCGCCAGCCGGAGCTGAGCTTCTTGGCCGTCTACATGTACATATACTCCGCAGTGCTCCCGATAATCCAGCCCAGTCCATAAAACTGAAGGTTGGTGTGTAGTCAGTCCGTCCAACATTTGATCGCCACGGACTGCAGTCAGTCGACTGGCACTTTCTGAAATTCTGGGGGTCGAACCATGTGGCTGGCCGATTGAACCCCGCCGGAATCCTTTATATACCAGCAACATCACCGCAACCCCTTCAACCGGGTCTGAAGTGATATTCAAGTCATATATGGCTGCCGGAAGATGGAATGGCATACCTACCACACCGAAGGTGTTACAGCAGCAGGCGTCTTACGAACCGAACCGTGTCGTCTCGGATCGTCGCCGCGGGAACATGGCGTGCAAAACATTCTCGCGTGTGTCGGAACTCGAGGATTTTGGCTCTCGCACCGCATAGATGTACATACAAGATATGCACCTCGTCAGTGATGCTCACCGTTGCTGGCGCGGCTGAGATCGCAGCGGTACCCTGTGGAAGGTGGACACGGGATGAGTCCACCAAATCGAACTGAACCCGCGGTATGATCCGAACATCCGTCCTGAAATCAGAAGGATCAATTCGGATACCTAGTCGTCGAGGGTGGAACTGAGCATGAAAACGTGCGCTGGCCGGCTGAATTGCTAGTGAGTGTTACGATTGATTCTGCGTGTTGTGTATTTGGTTTGACACATTGATTTTTTGATTTTTTGTTTCATCATCATAGCATTCGGCCTTTGCAGATCATGGCGTTTGACACATTGACTGAGTCAAGCGCGATTCATGTCCGAGCAAACGGATTTACCGAGTGATACACCGTGCAGGTGTGTAGGTGTTGGAGTCGCTAGCTTGCTTTCACGCTTTACTTCACCACTTGGTTGACCACTCCAATTCTCAACCATTTACAACTCCTACTCCGCTTCATCATCCACCACTCCTACTCCTTTTCACCACGCCAAAGCGCGAGCTCACCACACTCTTCGTCATCTTCCCACCACCTTCACACAAGTTCAAACACACCAACCTCCGAAAAGGTAAGCCAACCACTTCCAGCACCACCACTGCGCCTCACCCACTCACAGAGCCCAGCGAAAGAAATGTCAGCCAACATCCATAAGCGCCGCTTCTCCCTCATCTCCTCCGACGAAGCCACCATCGCTCCATCCAACAAAACCCTCAAGCGCGGCGCCGGCAGTGTCAAGCGACACTTTTTCAACCACAAGAACAAGTACGCACCCTTCGTCTCCGAGTTCGAGGGACTCGAGTCCCAGGGAGTATTACTAAATACTACTACCTATTACCATTGAGCGTATCCTATGATTTTACCTCGATCTGTGCTGTCGTGACGAATTGTTCACATAGAGCTGTATTGTATGCTGTGATCTCAAGAGTAGCTCGGCCTGATATCGATCCGGTTCCCGATCGCAATGTAGAGTGTGATTTTGTCTTTTCCCTGTGCCGTCCGAAAGCCCGACATGGAATCTAAAATTAGGCAATGGCTTCCTCGCCTTCAAGAATAGTATTATAATTCGTTTTGTACGTAGCAAATGTTCCCCCACCCACGAATGACCGAGTGCGTCCGAGTGGATAGTGAGCTCGAAGGCCCTGCTGTAACAACTATTACATAATCCTACGTAATCCTAGCACACCAGCACAAGCACAGCCGCACGTTTACCCTCTTTTCCTCAACGAGCTAAGCTCCCATTTATGTGAGAGCTTCCCCCCTGCTCCGTCGACAACTCAAACGCCCATTTCACTTCATATTCCCGGAAACCACCAATACTTTCCCTCCGCACACCGATTACACAAGAGAAACAACATAATGTACTGGCCCATAGGCGCCCCCAGAATATACGCCGCCAGAGTCCCGCCACCAGCAATCAGAATCGACTACGACTCCGACGAATCCGCCGAGCTTGTGCGAAATAGCCTGTCGCTCTCTCCCGTGCCGGGCGACGACGGAGATGAAGTCGATCTGACGAAAGAGTCCATCGAAGACGAGGAGGATGGGCGGAAAGTAGGCGAACGAGAGGTGGAGGACGAGGAATCGCTGCCGGAGACACCGACCGCGCAAGACGCCGAGCAGGAACCGACGACGAGCGACGGCGCGCTGGACGACGAATCGAGAACACACATTGTTGCGCTGCGCGTTGCACGGACAGGATCGCTATTCGCAACCGTCACCAGGGCGGAGTTGACAATATGGCAGATGAAGGTGAAGACCCGACCGCCCGACGATCCAAAGCCGTACCGCTAAACGTGTAGCTAGCCGACCGCAGTGGTGGCACATGTGCGTCGGTCGCCGAGTTCGGTCGAAGCGTACGGACCCAATGTCGACGTCCTCGTGCGACCGGATTCACAGATATTCGTCGTTCAAACATCGCTCGGATACCTCATGACGTATTCTCTCGCGACCGATCCGAACGCCCGAGTCTACAAGCCTGCTTTCGTCAATAATTATCACCACCATGCGCGGCAGCAGTCGTTGTCAAACTCGGGTGGGAAAATAGCGTCTGTCAATGGCGGCTTAATGCCCGGCGTTGGCGAAGGCGGTGGTGTCCGGGAATCTTCGCTGCAGTTCAGGATGGTGATCAAGGTTGATGCTGGCATCGGCAAGTAGGTGCCCCGAAACACGAGGCTACAGCCTGTGGAAGTCGACTCTGGAGGCGAGCGCGACCCTGACAAACATTAGAGTTCTTGCGCTGGAGGATGAGTTGATGGTGGCTACGATCAAGCCCGCGGCAATACAGTGCATTCGGTGGGCGCCAGACTCGACCGGAAGCCAGACGTCTGCGGAATTACTTAGTCGGATGCCTTGGATGAAGAAGAAAGGTTAGTCCATACCAAAGCACTCGGTATGTTTGCACTGCGCAAGATGACGTCGCAGAAGTGTATTCTGACGGATGACGGCGAGGCAGTGATCACTACCGACATGGTGTATGATCGGCCTATGAATCTTTCCACCTGGGTTACGACCGATGGTCGGGCGTATGCAGTCCAGAAACTGCTCATCTCGGACCGCGACAACGGATCTCGGACGTTCAAGGGATACTGCTTCCATTCGCCGTCGGGCCGTGATGAGGCTGCCGTCAAGGTTGCCATCAATGCGCGGTTCTCGATGATCGCGGTGGCGTGTGCGAAGTATATCTCACGCAATCTCCTTCAACGTACAGACTAACACATACATGCAGTGGCTCGATCGCTGTGTACACCGCCCGCGATTACAGTGGAAACATTCCTCTTTCCCATAAAGTCTTCGTCCCCAGCCCATCACCTGGACAAGTCACATTCGTGAGCTGGTCCCCAGATGGCTATTGCCTCTTTGCTGGCTACAAACACGGATGGGCGACCTGGAGTGTATATGGAAAGCCCAGCGGCAACTCCTTCGCAGTCAGAAAATCGCTCTTGGAGCAAAAGCCGAACGAAGGGTACCTCGGTGGGGTAAAAGATGGGTCGTGGATTGCGGGTGGGGGAGAGATCTTACTGTTGCGAGCAGACGGGGATGAACGCATTTGGGGTCTTGAGTTTGCTAGATCGTCAATTGCGGGGTGCTTTTCGTCTGTCACCACCGCACGGCCGATGTTGCAAACCGGGGAGAAGCTGCTTGTCTATCGCGGATACGACCAGGATGACAACACCATGATTTCGCAAGATAGCAGCGTCCTCTGGCATTCGGTTCAGGTCCCTGCCTCATACTTGGCGGATAATTGGCCCATCCGGGCTTCGGTGATCTCTCCTGACGGCCGTTATGTTGCAGTCGCCGGGTCGCGTGGGTTGGCTCATTACTCCATAAACAGTGGGCGATGGAAAACCTTCGGAAACCAACAGATGGAACAGGATTTTGTCGTGAGAGGCGGGATGTGCTGGTACCAGCATATTCTGATTGCTGCGGTGGAAAGTAAAGATTCGTTTCAGCTACGGCTCTACTCGCGCGAACTCCAGCTTGATAATACCATGCTCGTTCATCTCGAAATGCTACCATCGGCGGTCGTGGTTCTCTCACTCACGGGAGACGACTCTCTACTTGTCTACACTACCGATAATGTGCTCTACCACTTCATCGTGCAAAGCACCGAGAACTCGGTGAAATTAGTACAGGTCGGCCAGATCACATTCCACGGAATCATACCAGCTGCTACCAGGGTCCGCGCGATAAGTTGGATTGTACCGGACGAACAGCTTCGCGGAGGTGATCCGTCCAAGGACGTTGCAGTGGCCACGATGATCTTCCTTGTCGATGGAAAGTTGGTGTTGCTTCAGCCATCGACCACTGACGGAGGGAAGTTGAAGTATGACATGCGAGTATTGCTGCAAAACGTGGAATACTACGCTCTGATACGCGATCAACCCATTCAGCAGAGCTTCATGCCTAGACCGGAGCGGGATACACCGCTGAGCGAGACGTTTCCCCTGGTCATGGAAAAAAATCTCTCGGATTCCTTGTGGGCATTCGATGGAAACGATGTAAAGGTTGGTCCCCCAATTCCTAGATGTTATCCCACCTCTGACAAAGGCAGGCATGGATAGATGTTAAGGATATCCTCGAATCCGGGGCACATGGACGTGAACTACCACCGCCAGTCAAGGTTCCGGTAGATTTCTATCCCATGTCGGCGCTAGTCAACAGAGGAATCATCCTCGGAATCGAGTCAGATCTAGTGCAGCGGCGAGACGTCGGCTTTTCGTACTTCAAATTCTCAACAAGAGTAATCAACCCATCGCATCTCGAATTCAGCGCTAACCCAGATAGACACACCTATTCATCACTCACCTTCTCCGCCATCTGCTCACCAACCACCAACCCGGAGCGGCAGTGGAGCTGGCGCGCAACTACGAATCCCTTGCCTACTTCGACCACGCTCTCGAGGTCCTCCTCCACGATGTGCTGGACGATGAAGCCGACAACCCCCCTGAGCCCGAGGATGCTGTGCTACCGGATGTCATCCAATTTCTGTCACATTTCCCCCACTATCTCGACGTGATCGTGCGGTGCACACGGAAAACTGAGGTGGCGTCGTGGAAACACCTTTTCTCAGTCGTCGGTTCACCCCAAGCGCTATTCGAGGAATCGTTATCCAGAGGACACCTGAAGACGGCTGGCGGTTATCTGTTAATTCTACACACCCTGGAACAGCTCTCTTCAAGTTCGAAGGACATGGTTCGGCTTTTTGCTAGAGCCGTGCAGGAAGGCGACTGGGATCTCTGTAAGGAACTGGCTAGGTTCCTAACGGCACTGGATAATAGCGGAAAAACTTTGAGGGAGGCATTAGAGCTAGTCGAGCTCAGGTCACCTAAGGACGAGGGAGGGAGGAGTTTCATGTTTGAGGGCGCGCTCACTGTAAGGACGCCATCTTGGGGCAAGATGAGTGGGGATTATGATTTTCCGGGAGGTAGCAAGTGATGAACGTTTTATGTTGTAGGAGACTATATTGCACACAGTACCGAGGGAGGGCAAGAAATTTAGACTCAACCAGGGTCTGGCACCATACTGAAATCAAGTCCGCGTTCGCGTTGTTTAGTCCCCTCAGTATCTCGAAGTTGGGTTGTAAGTTCGTGGCTCTGCGCACCAACAGGCGCAATCTAAGCCGGCCATGGTAATATGTAACGTAGCATACACACCCATTCAGTCATCATCACTGTCGGACCCGTAATCTAACCCCAGTGCAACCTTAGGGAGGCCCACTTTTGGCACAGGCGCCGTCGCCTTTTCCGCAGGCTTCTCTACCACAGTTGTCTGTTTGGTCTCTACCTTCTCCTCCACTTTCCGCTTCTTCGCCTCCAGCGTCTTCTCTTCACCCCCTCCATCTATCCGATCCTTTTTGGTCGCGCCCTCCTCTGTCTCTTCCTTCCTCTTCACCTTAACACCAGCCAACGCCGTTACCGTAGGCCTCCCCCTTTTCTCTCCTCTCTTCCGCTTCCCCCATTTGACCTCCTCCTCCTCCTCTTTCAACTCTGCTTCCACGCCGACCCCCGCATCACCGGCAGACTGCAGCTCTTTAAACTTCTCCACCTCCTCCCTCTCCTTTCTCCTCCGCTCCTCGTCCAACCTCTTCTGCCCATCCATCACCGAATCCAAAAACTCCACGTCGTCCTCATCCAGCGCGCGGAATTGGTTCTTGAACTTTAGCTTTTCCGCGAACTCCTCCTGCTTCCGGGTTTTGTTGGCCTGGAGGATCTCGAAGAGACTGCGTGTGTCGGACGGGTCAGTCGCCGAGACGGAGGTGGAGGCGCCGGCGCCGGCGGTGCTGGAGGAGGAGGAGCCAGAGACCGCGGCGCGCGCGGCAGCCCACGCCGCATCTTCGGGATTTGAGACTAATGGCGTGTCGGGCAGGATCGTCCCCGCGGGAACAAAACCGGAGGACATGGTGGTTGGTTTTGTGGTGCGTGGTGAGGTGGTGTCAGGGGAGGTGTGGTGCGTGTCGTGTCATGTGAACGTGAACTACCTGGTAGAGTGTGGTACATGGTGTAGGTACGCGAAGCGGGATGTTCCGAGGTTGGAGCACGTGAGCGAGTGATATAATGTACGTAGATAAAAGCGCAATGTGGTTCATTGCATGTGCAATCGGTAGGCTTGCAGGATATTTCTCTTGGCGGAGGCGGTTGCTGGATGGTTCGAGTACAAGAGCTAAGGCCGAGAGGAAAGACGCGATGTGTGTATATTGCCATGATCTACCTCCTTAGATAGGTCGCAAGCAATCAATTATTAAACAAAAAACCAAGGCCGGGAATAAATCATCAGATTATTAATCGCTGTCGGTCGGATTATCCAATGGTGCGAATATAGCGAAAGCATCTCTCAATAATTGACCCGATATCGGGGCGGGAAGCTAGCTCGCTAGCTGATGAATCATAGGTTCATGTTTATTACATGCCTCCATGCACAGGGCGAGGATACCCCGATTAAGGAGACTGTGGATGCAATCCAGGAGTTGTTTCTCGAAGGACATTTAAGCGCGTCCTATTGTACTGATCAAGCGCTAGCGCCTGGTCCAGTCACGTGGGCAGCCCACATATGTGAGTTGCACGATGCCTCTGCCCCACCATCCTCCATCCTCCATCCTCTATCAACCCTCTCTCTCCTCTTCGTGTCAACACCACTCTCCATCTTATTAAATCCACCATCGTCCGATCAACCTTTCTAACCGTACATAACCCCTCCTCGCCGCAAACCCTCACCATCAACTTGCTTCATCATGCGTCGTGAAGAGCTTACAGGAACCAATAATATCCCTGTGGCCTCGAATCGTCGGTTCGGCCGCGTGAACCCCGAATCTACGTCTCTCCCCCTACAGGAATCGAGGAATACCAATAACGCCGATGTCAAACTTATTTCTGTGGAGCTCGAGGATAGACGCGGTCGCCCCTCCTCCCGCCCGGATGTCGTCGAACCCAAGAAACGCAAGCGTGGGAACCGCTGGGGTGATGCGGCGGAAAACAATCAGGTGGCCGACCTTGTAGGCTTGCCTACTGCAATCTTCGCAAAGCTGTCTCCGGAACAGCTGGACGCCTATACGATGCATGTGCGCATTATGGAAATTACCCAGAAGCTCAAGATCGGTGACATCATTCCAATTGAGAGGCTTCGGTATTTAACTCCAATCTCTTTTTGATGATCCCAAGTGTTGTAGTACGCATTAACACCTCGGGTAGTTCGCCTTCGCCACCACCTCAGTATGATGGCCATGGTAGGCGTGTCAACACTCGCGAGTACCGCTATCGCAAGAGGCTCGAAACGGAACGCCATGACCTCATTAACAGGGCCTCTGGGATAATTCCAAACTACAAAGCCCCACCCGACTATCGGCGTCCCCAAAAGACGCATGAGAAAGTCTATATTCCTGTTAACGATTATCCAGAAATTAACTTCAGTATTTAGATCCCTTTCCCCTTGCTTCTATTGACCCACACTATAGATCTATTATGCCCTTTTTGGTGTTATCGGTGACAGAGTTTTGAACGTTACTAACCTTTGATTCTCAAAAGTTGGATTACTCATTGGCCCTCGTGGCGGCACACTCAAGGAAATGGAGCAGAAGTCCGGAGCAAAGATCGCTATTCGTGGCAAAGGATCAGTAAAGGAAGGGAAAGGAGGCAGTGATAGGGCGATGGATTCGAACTTGGACGAGGATCTTCACTGTTTGATCATATCGGATAACGAACTCAATGTTGCGAAAGCTAAGAAGTTGATCCATGAAGTCATTGAAACAGTACGTGATCCTTGACTTCCCCGGCGGCTCCATACTAATCCCTCGAATCAACAGGCTGCTTCCGTGCCGGAACAAAAGAACGACCTGAAGAGACATCAACTTCGCTTGCTTGCAACGCTGAACGGAACCCTTCGTGATGATGAGGGTACTCCATGCCAAAACTGTATGTGAACCTTCCATTCTTTCCAGTGAACGGTGGGACTGCAATCTGACAGCAACTCGAGGTGGGGAGCTTGGCCACCGCAAATACGACTGTTCGGAGAAAAAGAATATTATTTCGTCCGTCGTTTGCAGGGTATGTGGCAACAGCGGTCATTACGCTCGAGACTGTCGTGATCGCCCGAGGGGCTCGGATTGGAGAAATCCTAGCAGGCCAGACTCCGGCAAGGAAGGTGACCACGTTGACAAGGAATACGAGGTTCGTGTCCCTCTTCTCTCACAAGTGGTAGATCTAACACCGCATAGTCCCTCATGCTGGAGCTTGGAGGGTCAGCTCCTGTATCAACTACTAATACCTATCGGCCCCTTGCCTTGATCGAGGATGGACAGGGAGTTGGCCGCAGCGGTGGTTCGAGGCCTTGGGATCCCCGTCCGACTGGTGCTCCGGCGCCATGGCAACAGCAGCCACCCCGCCGCTTGGACTTCACGGATGGCAACAACGTTCCTCCTACTGGTCCTCGTGGTCAGAAGCCTACTGAGGCCCCGTGGCACCAGCAGATGCCACAGAGACCGCAGTTCCAACAGGAGATGCCGTCGCAGCAGCAGGACGACCCGCGTGGAGCCCAGGGCAGTCAGTGGGTCCCCCCATTCAACCCAATCTCTGCCCCAACGAACGATATGAGAGTCAACACAGGAGACTACTACCGCCCCGGATTGAACGTCCAAATGGCCCAGCAGAGTTACCACTCGGCTCGGCCTCCTCCTTCCCAGCACATGCGTCATGGATTGTCTTTCCCGCCACCCCCTCCTCTGCTAGGAGCACATACTCCGTATGGAGCACACAACCATTATGGTGGACCTTCTCAGCCTCGCCTTCCTAACCACCCCATGCCGCCTCCACTCGTTGTCAATTACGGCATGCCGCAGCCTCCCCCTCCCGCTATGCATTCTCGCATGCCGCCCCCACCTCCACCAGCTGATCACCGCATGCCGCCTCCCCCTCCTCCTACTGATAACCGCATGCCGCCTCCTCCCCCGCCTGCTGATCACCGCATGCCGCCTCCTCCCCCGCTTGCTGATCACCGCATGCCGCCTCCTCCTCCCTACCACGGACCAAGCTCTAAGAAGGGCAGGTTCTATTAACCGCGACCAGATTACTACCAGATTTGTAAGAAATGGCGGTAAATGGGGATTTGAATTTTTTGTGGAGGGCCAGGGTAGTGGCTTGTTCGCTTTTTCGGTGGAATTCTGCTTTTGAAACATGCTTTGCTAAACATCACAGGTACTTTGAATTCTAGAAGTGATGGGAACGGTACAACAGAAATCGTGAATGAAAAGTTCTTGTGTCTATATTCTTGCGTGTGGGGTTTCGGGGTGTAATTGATGATTGACGTTGGACGAGTGCGGTGGATGGTCGCAAGCTTGAGCCTAAGGAATAAGATTGAGATGCGAACATTGCACGTGCTTTCAAATGCTATTTGCTTTTTCTTACGGTAATCCACAGCTGCACGTCATCGTTCTCGGTGGCAGTCCAAAATAAGGTTCCTTATGATGGTCCTTCGCTCACCTCCATATTCATTACCAAACCAACACGGGTGCTCACAGTGCAGTCGAGTGCTCTCCCATGTACGAGTGTGGGTGAATTACGTAAGTAAGATTCTTGTCATGGTTCGGCTGCAAGCTACCGACTGGCGGTCATCCACCAACGGTAAAGTAGGTTTGTCAGAAACCCTGGTGGCCTCGGCCCAGACCCCAGGGTCCATACTTGCTATATATCCCGTCACGGTTACAACGGCCAAAAGAGTTTATCTAGAACCTTGACGGAGAACCGGAACATCAAGCCAGTCTTTTCGGCCCGAGCTTGACAGTTGCCACAGATGTCAGATGTGCATTGTGCAATGTGCAAATTCAGCATCTATTCTTATCTGAAGCCAAGACACGGACTTTAAAACCGACTTCCCGGACGGAAGAGGGATCAGGCTCACCGTTTTCAGCGAGAGATGGACACAGCTTTTACCCGAGAAACGGCTCGAATTCCCCATGACACAACTTACAAGGGCAGAGGCTATAATTAGAGACGAGTAACTATTCTCCCCCCATGTCACCAAGACCGAACCCTGGCCTCATCACCAACACCAACACCAGCCCCTCTCCCTCTTCCTCCTTCCCACACTGCAACCCTCATCAAACTGCCCCGCCCCGCCCCCGCCTCCGCCTTGACCGACGTCCGCCATCCCGTTCTCCCGCCCTCCCGCCCGCCGCCGCTGCGGAGACCCACACATTCGAGACTCGAATACATACTCCCCCACATACATCACATTTCTATTTTGGCCCGCCTGCATGTGCCGTAGTTAGTTCTTCTGGTGAGTGATAGTAAACGGTGCTGCCCCCTGATTGCTGCCGGTATTTGATGGAGGGGTACGCCCCTGCCCCCCCCACCTCCTCCCATTTGCCCCTCCGCCCTCACGCTCTCCGCGTTTGAGCCTCCCCGCTTCCCTCTCCCCGCCCCCCCCTCTTCTGGATATCGTTTTCGAAGAGAGAGCAATCCGTAGGCAATGGAGGAAATGTAGTCGTGCTGACTGGAAAAAATAGTTGTCTGTACTTCAACTCGTGAAACGCCCCCCAACGTCCACAGAACGCCCCGCGGACGAGCTCGACGACCAATCTGAACTCACCTCCTCAACCCTTCAGTACCATCCATCTTCGTTTTACATACCTAAACCGATCCATTGCTGTCCACAGAATACCCAACGAAACGCATCTCCGCCTTAACGTGCATGCTTGATCGGTTCTTCGTCTCCACGCCCATCGTATAAAAACACCATTGCCCCTCCGCCCCACCTCGCCCCCATCCTCCCACCCCGCCTGCCCGGCGCTTTAGCTCCTCAACGGGAAAACGAATCAAAATGAGTGCCCCAGAACTCTCCAATGCTCGAGTGACGATTGAGACCACGAAAGCATCCAAGGTCATCTGCGTGGCATGGGAGCTCGCGGACGAGAAGATCGAGATTGACGGGGAGTGGCTCGTCGAGTGGGACGACATGTACCCGGAGCTTCCGGAGGACGTGCAGAGCGCGCCCGGAGCGCAAGGCGGGTACGCTGCACTGCAAAAAGAGCGGGCGAGCAGCGAAGCCAGCAACCCGTCGTTAAGCAAGCTCCGCGATGCCGCGCGAGCCGACGAGCCCATCCCCACCGGCCCGCTCTCCACCGCGCGCCTCCTGGAATTCGAGAACGGCCCCAATCTTGGGGAACTGCAGGACGATCTGCCGACGTTCTTTGCGGCTCGTCCGGTCGTTCAGGCCCCGGAACATATCCTCTCTGACAGTAGTAGCGTCTCGAAAAAGACGGAGGTGCTGTTTCTCCTCGCCGATGCGACGCCCGTCCCGAGCTCCGTCAGGATATTCTTCATTCCTACGTGGACCCCTCCAAACACCCCTCCTACCCTCCTCGCTGAGATCCCCGAGGGCCATTACGGCCCCCCCTCCGAACAAGGAACGGCGGCGCTGCACACGGCATGGTCGACGAAGCGCCTCGAGGACCTCAAGGCGCTGCAGGATATTGCTAACGAGCTCGAGCTCGAAGGCTCCCGCGGGACCACCAAGGGCCGCCTGAAGGTCGGCGTCGAGGGTGGAGGCATGGATGAGGAGGCGGTGCGCCGGGAGGGGTGGATGGTGGGCGAAGAGCAGGTATGGGTAGTCGAGAAATTCCTCACGTCCAAGCCGTCGCCGAAGGAGGAGGAGTCGGCAGTCATGGACCCGTTCACCGGCCTAGGGATCAGCACGGGCATGCACTTTCCCAACACATCGTCGGTGCGACCGGCGCCACCGGGCCTCGTCGAGGAAGAGGAGGAGGAGGATCTGTTCGCGCTGCCCCTTAGTCCGCGCAGTCCGGACATGACAATGAGTCCGTTCTCCATGTTTAGAGGCGATGTTCTGCCGAGTTCTAAGCCTCCGTTCTCCAGTAAACTGAGACAGGTCGAAAGCATCGATGCTGCTGCTATTAGCATGGGGCTGGGGCTGGGGCTGCCAACGACGACGACGACGACGACGATGGGCGAGCCGAGAGCGAAGACGGCGGGTGCGCCACCAACACCCCCGAGGGATGCGTAGTATTGCAGCAGCAACTGCCGAGGATAATAGGATAGATGTTTTGAATGCATGGTGGTTTGGAGTTATTGACCCTCGCTTTTTTTGTTGTATTTCTGTTATTGATGATCATCATTCACTACATTCTCTCGCTTGATTTCTATTCTACTTCTCCTTTTTTTTCCTCCTCGTTCGTTTCTTGTTTCTGTTTATTGCAAGGCACGGTACATGATGGATGGACGGATATCTCTGTTTTGGTATGGGTTTGATGTGGACTAGGAAGATACGCTGCTGATGAATGATTCGGTTGGGTTTGTGTTTGGGATATGAGATGAGGATGAGGATGAGATGTTGAAGGATGGATGGATTAGGTATGTAGGAAGAAGACAGATGCCCGCATGCATGTATTGTCACTTGACTGTCAGCATCAATAGAGACATGGCAAGTATGCTGTAGAGTATGTACGTCCCCCACATTTCTCGGCGATACTAAAGTACAGGTCGGGCCCTCCATCTCGAACTCCGTACAGAAGAGGCAAAATTTTATCCCCGAACACAATCATTATCATAGACCATAAAAAAATAAGCACCGTGTATACCTCCCAATAAGTACTCGTATATAACACACAGGCTGCTACTCATCTCACTGCACAAGCAACCCGCCATTCATCCCCACCACCAGTCTAAACATTGTCCAGTTCCCATCCTCGCCCATAAAATCCGTAATCACTATGCCGGTCCCGGCGTTGCCGCCCTCAACTCTATGATCTATCGCCAGATGCTCCGTGATTGCCGGATTGATCTTTGCGGCGATACGATCCGGCCACGTGCCCATGCGCCAGAAATTCGCCGCACTGAGGAAGTTGACGAACAGCGGCGGCTGTCTGCCCTCCCTTCCGGCGGCGGCGATGCCGGCCACGCTGCGCTCGAGGTGCTCCTTGACGTATCCGATCTTGGTCGAGATGTTTGTGGTCTCCAGCACCTCGCTGAAGTCCTGCACGCAGATGTTGCCGGCAAAGATGGTATCGTTCGGGGTGTTATACGTCCACGTTTCTGCGTTGATGCCGTATCCGCGGCCGCCGTGCTCGGCCTTCAGCGCCTCGTCGATATGGTACCTTCTGAAGAGGATGCACTTTCCACGCGCGGCGCCAAGCGTGGGGATCACCGGCTCGACGAACCAGCGCTCGCGCTGCCGCTCGACAACCTCGGCCTTGATCAGCCGACTGAACTCCTCGTCGTTGGTCCCCGCGCGGCCCTCGCGCTTCAGCGACACGACCACGCACTCGCTCGGATTGCGCGCCAGGAAGTCGTAGCACTCCTGCATTACCGCCGCGAGGCGCTTGGGGCCGTTGAGTGCGATCGGGAATTGCGCGTGTACGAGCGTCAGCTCGCGCCCGCCCGGCCCGTCGGGCTGCGCCCGGATGTCGAGGAACCGCACGCCGTTCTCGAGCTGCGCGGTGATGTCGACGGCCTGGCAGCGGACGCTGGGGAGCGCAGTGTAGCACGTCGGCGCGTTGTGTGTGCCCGGCATGCTCAGGGCGCCGAGCGCGACGCCGTCCCGCAGCTTCGACATCCAATTGTTGAGCGCCGCGCTGGATACCAGCGCGAGGTGGCTGCGTAAACGGTGGAAGACTGCTACGAGACGGATTTCGCCTACGTCGCCGAGCGGGAGTGGCGTGAGCTCGCGCCGGTCAACCAGGTCCACTCGGAAGCGCCGCCCGGAGGCTTCGAACTCTAGCCGCAGGATCACGCCCTCCGCCCCGAGATCGACGCCCGTATCTGACGCGGAGTAGGGTTGGATCTCGATCGATGCATCATGGGCCTCGAACGCAGTGGCGTTCTCAGCGAGTTCTTTGGCTGTCGGCTCCTTGAGCGGGAGCACGGTGGATATCGTGGAGCGACGGATGAGAGAGGTGAAGTTGTTGGCAAGGTTCGGGATGTTTGTGAAGTTTCCGGCCGTTATGGGCACGCCTTTGGCCGACGCGGGGGCGGGGAACCGAGAGGTCTTGGTGATTTTTATGACCATCGAAGTCAGATTTCGGAGTGTTAAAGGCATCGCGACGGCGGCTGGAGGGGGACGATTGCGGTTTCCGAAGCAGTTACAGTTGCAGGACATATATGGGTAAACGATGGAGTATGGGATACGGGATACAGTACGGGATGCAGGATACGGGATGCAGAGTAGGATATAGGATACAGGACAGCAGCCGCGAGATGAGGAGGGGCTGTTGGGCGCACTGGGGAGGATACTACATTTGTACCTTACCTAGGCGGATAGACAGCTGCAGCTGAAGTTCACTGGTGATGAGCTGTAAGGTTGGGTTGGACGGGACTAGGGAGAACACGGCTAGCTGCGCGGCGCTGCCAGCTGCAATCACGCAAAAGCGAGCCAACCGCACGGCTGAGACGACACGAGACGTGTGAAGCGGTTACGTCAGCAGCCAACATCGACGACGATTGGAGGAGAGAGCTGATTTGCATGACACGACATGGCAGCACGACATGGCAGCGCGACATGACAGCTCGATTTCTACGCAGTCAGCTGCGCTTCCGAAGCACGTCTCGAGACCTCCACAAACCTCTCCCAACTCCGCGAGCTCTGCCCGCTCATAATCCCCTCCATCGCCGTCTCCACTGCGTTCTTCCACAGAGAGCCCCTCATGATCCCATCCGCGCCCAGCTTCTCGACGCCCCCCACCACGCCGGTAACGGCCACCAACGCTGCCGCATTGCAAAGTACAAAGTCCATGATCGGGTCCCCCTTCGGCATCTTTCCTTGGAGCAACCTCTTCAGAATCTCGGCATTCTCGCCCGGCCCCTTCCCACCAGCCACGTCCGTCAGCGGGTGCGTCTGCAGCCCAAATGTCTCCGTAGGATGAATCCTAAACTCCTGTATCCCAATTTCTCCATCCGTGCCCTCCACGAGTCTCCAGCAGTTGGTATATCCCTCCGGCGAGATTTCATCCAGCTGTTCCTCACCGCACACCACCAACGCCTTCTTCACGCCGAGCAGCCGCAGCGTCTCAGCATACACCCTCCCCAACTCCTGTCGGCCGACTCCCAGAATCCTCGCCTCCAGTCCTTCTGGGTGCGAGTAATCGATCGGATTAATCAGCGGTCCCAGAACGTTGAAGATAGTCCTGCAGCCGAGTTCGCGTCTGATGGGTGCGATATGTGCCATCGCCGGGTGGTACACCGGTGCGAAAAGGAAGCAGAAGCTGCTGGCGGGGTGCGATGCGGTAGAGTAGTACTCGGAGACCACTGGCGCGGTGACGGAAGCCAGCGACGCGCCGAGCGAGGTGAGGATATCCGCGCTGCCGGAGGAGGAGGTAGACGCCTTCGAGCCATGCTTGCCTTACCCTGATATCAGCACGCGGGCTCCCACGGACCACAGTAGAACCTACAAATCCGGATTCCGCATCCACTCGCCACAATCGCCGCAGTCGTGGAAACATTGAACGTATCATGCCCATCGCCGCCGGTGCCGACAATGTCGACCAGTCCACCGCGATACGTGCCCACTCCCTCTCCCTCTCCCACTCCCTCTCCGCGGGGATGCACCTTCAGCCCCTCGATCTTGATCCCGGCTGCACGCATCGCCTTCGCCGCACCCGCGATGACATCCGCCCTCATGTCGAGCCCGGTATAGTGCATTGCGGTGAGCAACGCGCCGGTCTGGACGGGCGAGCATTGGTTCTGCGAGATGCGCGTGATGGCGTCGGTGACTTCGTCGGCAGTTACGGCCGAAGCTTTCGTCGAGATCTTTTTGAGCAGCGCGAGCAGCGAGAAGGATGGTTCCGTCATGGCGGCGGATTGGTGAAAGATGGGCGGTGCAGGAGGATGCAGGGGTATCTGGTGGGCTGAATGACTCGAGCTGGGACTCCGCTGGTGGCTTGCCCCGCGTTCGCCAAGCCGAGCCCCACCCGCCCCGCCCACGACACGTGAAGCCCGGTCATGGGATCTCATCCATGCCCAGGGCAAAACAATGAAGATTCATGTTGGGACTCGGGGAAATTTAAATCTACAGGAGCACCCATCACGAAGCTTGTACATATACATTAGTCCTTTTCTGGTTCCCCCCTGGGAGGCAGCTAAGCCCAGAATTGTGCAACATTGCCTCCTGCTCACTCGGTGTTTTCGTTCCGGTCACGTATTATCACTCCACCAATAAACCAGCCAGATTTTGATCGTTGCCCGTGAGGCCCACGGGCTACGGGTGGGACCGCCTTGAATGGACCAGTCGAAGAAAGACTGGCGGGGAAATTGAAAAATGATACCTACAGGCAATTGGCCTGGCCGACTGACTACATAAGAACCGTTATTCAAAAACTGTGAGCAAAGAGCTGGAAAGACAGATACAGCGGGCGAAGCGAGCGTTTCATAGGTAACAGGTCACAAGCGTTTTCAATGTGCCCGGCAATTCCGCTGTGTTTCGCTGTTCACTTGGCCATTGTGTTTGGTACTCGCATGTTCCGGAAACCAATAGGTAGCATTATCATCGAGAAATTATTTTCATTCCATTCCGAATACATAAACATTAAGATGAAAGACTAATAGGAGGCTATACAGCAGTAGCCAGAGAGATCAAGCAGGTACAAGCATTAGGTACAAGCACTTGAATATTCGTTGTTTTGTTGCCAGTTGTTTGAGTATTGTCCCTTACTCCTGGATTGCCACCACCGTGATCTCGATGCAAGCGGGAGCTAAAGGCCGGAGGTTAGCAGATAATTTAGGAAGGGGTAATCGGATGGATAGAAGACGTACACGAGCCATCGCCCTTGACCCACAGGCCGTATTCGGTCGCACTATCCGCGACGGGGTGGACGCAGAACACTATCACATCATCAGTAACATCCCTCATGCGCAGGAGTGGGGATTACGAACCCTGTCCATCATCATCGCCCGACGGCCTGATGACGATCTCGCCGGTGCCGTCGATGCACGCCGGGTACGCCTCGTACGTGGCGGGGATGGCGGTGGCGGCCGACGAGAACTCGATCTCGCGGAACGCAGGCTTGTCGCGGGGGGTGACGATGTAGGCCTTGATGCCCGAACCGACGTCGAGGATCAGGTTGTTGTCGACGAGCGTGGTGTTGATCGGTGTGCCCGCGGCGTGGATGCCAACATCGTAGGTGGCGGCGGCCCCGGTAGGCACGAACGAGAGCGTCTTGCCGTCGATCGAGGCGTCGCCGGAGTTGGCGGCTACAAGCTTGAACTCGTAATCCAGCGTGCTGTAGATGACCTGCGGGAGGATGCAGCCATCCTCCTCCTGTGGCATGGGCGCGGCGCTGGCGGCGGCAGCGAGGAAGAGGGCGGAGAGGATGCTGGAGGTCTTCATGATTGCGGTTTTGGAGGTGGAGCTTTGGATTATGTGAGTGGGCTCTAGGAGTTGCTGTGAAGGACGGGAGCGAGCTGGGTGAAGATGTACCTTTGGATGGGGAGGTAGTGGTTCGCTTTTATATCCACTCGGCCGGTCGACTTGAACGAGGCACTCAGCAATGAGATCTTCACGTTGTTAGTTGTTTAGTCGTCCAATAGCTGTTTGTCCAGCTACAATAAGCTCTCTGTGCATGCAGGTGTAGAGTTGCGATACGGTGGTGACACAGACTTAACTACGGGCCGATCGCAACGGCGGCGGCGCTCGGCTCGTGGGAACACTGGCCACGATACGATACCCTGTCAAGACTCCAGTTGCAACCCGTCCTCCATCCATGGATCGCCAATGCAACCTGTTACCTCACCTCATCCCCAGGTACAAAATATGCTATCCTTAGCCACAGGTGGACCCCGCGTTCGGTTCGAACGATTAATATCTCGCAGCAGCTGACACTCGTCCTTGCACTCACTCGACATCACGGATCCGGGCGGATGGAGGCTGGTAAGGACTCACCCGCCACCTACAGCGTGGTGGTGTTCGTGGAGAATATGCATCCAGGCCGCAGATGCCCTTCGTATCGATAACAGACCCGGCAAACCGAGCCCCCCGCTTTTCGGATTACTCACGGTGCACGTTCCAAGAAACCCCCCGGCAGGAACAACCTCGTCGGGTTTCCGGTGTCAGCCAACCAACTGTGCGCACTTGTTCCCCGGGAGGGAAGGGGGCATCTGGATCTGACCACCATCCGAATCTTCGGAGTTTCCGAATTGCGGTGGCCAAGGTTGACTGGCGCACGTTTCCCCCCACCGATGCGAGCAGGTTTGTTCCTCCCAGGTGCTCATTGAGTCACCCGGCAGTTCTCCGCCCGCAGACAGATGATCGAGATGAGCATACAATCCTATACCCAGCGGATGCCCGCCAAGATGTACTACCTATACTGACAGAAGCACAAGTGTTCGCCGGCATGTGTGCGCTCACATAGGTACCATCTACTGCACCAATCAGGTTGTGGTTGTGACCGCGACAAACGGAATTGGAGAGTACCTACCGGCTCAATATCCATGACTCGGATGGCTGTCCGCCGCCTACAGGTTTGCACGCTGCAACGGAAGCTAGGGCAATCGAGAGACGGCTGTTTCCTCGTCCTAGTCCACGATAGACGACATCGGTCCACCCTTTCAGCGGTGGCGTTCTTTCCCGCCTCCGACCGAAACTCTCTGATTTATGGGATGCTAAAGGCATGTAGGATATGTACCCTTCCCGTGGGGCCGTCGCCTAGGTTGCAGTCTGCATGCTAGCGGACCCGCCCCCATGGCCATCGGTTAGGATTAGCCGCAGTAGGATCCGGCAAGTCAGACTCCCGCCACCGGCTAACGTTCCTGCATATAACGTCGGTAGTGGAGACAGGGCTCGGACAGCGAACAGCCCGAGGGTATCACATAATCTCTGAGGTCGTGCTGCGCATTCCAGCTCATGGGGGATATGGGGTGAGCAACCCGATTCCGAGCGCCGAGCGCTGATACGAGTATCGAGACGGTAGATTTGTGTTACGCCTACTAGGGCATTGGGTAAGCAGAATAGATGAATGCTGACGAAGTTGAGTACTTGGTAGTTACACGACGCTCCGGTGGGAGACATTTCATCTACCGTTGCAAGGTACGTGCGGGTAAAATTGCACCGGATGAGCTCAGCCGAGCGAGTGATCGATCATAAGCCTTGAATATCGACATCTACTACACACTATACATACCAAGAGATGGATGTGGAGCCCGCTAAGAATTGCCCACGATTGAGGCCCATGACTCTGGAATTCTGTGAGCCTAGGCTGTGCTTAAGCTGTTATCGCTATCATCTAAGGCATCCATCAGCAGCGGGAGCACCTTAGCTTCAAATCAACGCTTACGGTTTCTGAAGCAGGATTGCGGGATATCTTCATATATCGCCCAAGACATTCCAAATACGCCCAAACGGGCACCAACAAATCACGATTCACGAGTACATAGGTACTCTGATCTGACAGGAACGTGCTCATGCTATACATAAGATATACAAGCCAAGCCGACCATCTACATCAGCAGCAACCTGGGAACTTCAGTTTACCGCATATGGTTTCCTAGGTTGGTGGAGATGGAGGCAGAAGCTGTGGTATGCATATGTACAAGTAAGTCATAGCCGGATCTCCACGATGGAATCAATCAAATGACTTCCCTCCCTACGCACCGGTTGTTCTCCTCTTGACGGTGAAAATCGGCTACAATTTCCAACCAGCCACCATGGAGAACCACCCATCCGCCCTATGGCGTCTCTGTCATCTTCAGGCCGCTCGTCCTCGCATACATGTACATACAATGTACACTGGTGGCCCACAGTTCCAACATCGGGCAGGAACAGGGAGGCGACGATACTAGCCATTGTCCACAGGCCCCGCGATGGTAACACAGCCACCGAGCGAGCACTTCCAGCAGCCCCGTATCCCGGATGCCAACGGAACAGCTGATCTCGATCTGAAAAGACCGAACTTGACAGTCCACCTTCGCGCAGCCCACGGCTACGGACGGATCATTGGGCTTCCCGCTGTGGGTTGTAGTTACCTGCATTGGATGATTAGAATACAAAGTCGAGACCCCACATTCGGACGGCGTTGCGATGCATGGACGTTTTTCTAGACTGGAGGAAAGCCGGAGATGGTAGGGAAAGACAGTGGGGGAAGTGGAGGAAGTTGGGGAAGTCGCTGGTCAGTTAGCGGCTATAGCTACTGTTCTCAATCTACTCCCTATCAACTCATTCCATTGGCACCTATTCTCCCTCTGTCGGGTGAAAATGACAGTCTCAATCAATCGCTCGCCCTCCTACCGTGCCTTAAAACTATTAGGGAGTATGCGTTCCGATCGTCCGGAAGGAGACGAGGAAGGGTAAGGATCGCTTCACGGTCCGAGACCTTTTCACAGACCAGCGGTGCAGCCAGGCCATCTTGGGCTTCCTCGCCACCACCGGTGTAGGCAGGTGGATCCCGGAAGCCGCTGAGGAAGATGCAGCAAGCGAGTTGTCTGAGTGGGAGCTAAGGGAGCGGGAAGATGAACAATGTTGTGGAAATGGAGTGTGTTTGTTGTCATGATCTGGATAGGTCGCATGCAATCAATGATTACACAAAAACAAAGTACATGTCCGTGCTGATCCGTTCAAACGTCACATGTACTCTCCTGTGTGCGCTCTGACATACCTAGGGAATGGCCAGACGGAGGGCACGGGAAACCCACGTCGCGGGGGGTCAGCAGTGGGGTGGAAACGGATATATGACAGCCAAAACCTATCCCGGTTGATCGAATGTTGATATGATTGAACAAAAACAAATATCCGTCCTGATGTCCCCCTAACATCCGTCCTAATATCCAACCAGGACAACAACCGCACAACCACTCGGAAAGGGAACTTCAAGGTGCTTGCTTACTATATTCGAGCCACTGCCTATGGTACTACCGTCTACGGGCCCAGATAGCCCTTAACCCTAAAATCGGGCGGACTTCCCTCGTACAAAGTATGTGACGATGATTCAAGCAAGTCGATGTACCTACATACTTGAGCATAAGTTTAAGCTTACAGATCTAGGCAGGACGCGAACAAGCGAAAGAAAAGTTAGGGCCAGTTCAGTGTTCTCCATCGTCCGGACGGGACGAACGGTCAGAACGCCGGACGCTCCGAGCCTAGGACGGACAGGTCGGTCCCCGTCCGACGGTGGAGGGCGACCGTCCAAGTCACGTGAATATGATTCGGCCGATTGATGCTTTCTTAGCACCGATACCCTACGTACAACGGCGTCAGTTCATCCCTCACCGCTCCACAAGCTGTGAAAAGTCAGTGTTCTCACTCGGAGGCATACGTTGCGGCGCCCGGACCCGATCACGGCTCTCTATGCACCATTTCTCACTCGGCAACCCAAGGTCCACGCCCGAAATCAGGATCTTACCCAAGGCTTAGCAGACGGCCGTCCTGGGCCGTCTGTCGCGTCCGGACGATCCCCGAAAAATTCTGGTCCCTGGGCTCGCCCAAAAAGAATGTTTTGGTAACTTGGGGCCTGACCATCCATAGAATCCTTTGGCTGGGCCGGACCACCCACAAACTTTAATGTTTTTTTCCGAGCTCACAAATTTTCTTAACCGCGCTCGCCTAGTATTCCACCGGGAATATGAACTGATGGTGGGGGAAGAGATTCACTGAACTAGCCGCGAGGAAGAACTGGCCGTGAGGAAAGAGATTCACTGAATACTACGTCCTTAATTGAAAACAATCTACATACAAACTAAGCATCAACCTCTCCAGTACGCGCCAGTACAGTTGGCTGCATGGGGGCAATAGCAGTATCGCTCGGTACCGAGCAGTACTGATGATGTCGGAGCTGCACCACCCTATGTATCCTACCCGCTGCGGCCGCAGCCAGTACTGATCAGTACCGTGCCCGGCAATGCGGGAAAAACGGTACTGCTCTGTACCGAGCAGTACTGACGATTCCGGAGCTGTATGCTCAAAGTATCCTGCCCGCCGTGGTGGCAAGTAATCCGCGGTGGTAATCTGCTAATACGTGTGTAATCGAACCCAGTCGCAATACTCGTCGCGCTTCTGCTCGGTGAACCTAGACTTGATGATAGTTGGAAGCCGGGACCACATCCGGGCAATGACAACTTCGAATTGAACTCACCCTGCTTTTGTCTTGATTCATCCATCTTTCGAATTCATCGAATGATTCTGCCGAAAACGGAGTGTGTGGATTGGGCTGGATGGCGGCGGACATGATGGTGATGATGGTAAGATGTTGATCGACAATGGAGAGTTTGCGCTTTGCGTCTAGACGCAAATTTAGCCTAGTTTTCACTTGGTCGTTGTGAGTTCGTTTAGAGAGTTTGCGCAGTTGCTCAAAAGATCGACAGGTCAACAGTCTGCCAACCAAGGCAGCAACACGTCTCGTCGGGGTTCTTCAATTCGATTTTCTGCGTGTACTTCTTGTAGTAAATCTAGCCGTATCGCGAGTTCATTGATTTCACGTCTTTTTGCTTTCCAATTTTTATCTGGAAGCGTACCTATCCAACCTCATACTTTCGGTCTTTGGGTGGCATCCGACTCTTTTGTTCTTTCTGGGTTTTAAGCAATATCCTATGGACAATCTGAGCATGACGGCATTCTAATTCTCGTTGGCGGTGAATATGGGACGCGACGACGGTTCATGGTGGTTGTTGGTGATATTTGGTGGAAGGCTGGATTTGCGTTTTGTCTAGACGCAAATACCCTTGATTTGCGTCTGGAGAAAACACAAATTTCCGGGTCCAGAGCGCCAAGAAAACAGGGTCACAGCCTAGTTTTTGCGTCTAGACGCAAAGCGCAAACTCTCTATTACGTTGGTTGAGATGGAAACCTTGAAGTGCCGGGAAGGGTGAAAAATTTTAGCCTTAGCGATAACTAACCGAAATGGTAAAAATCTCGAAAATCCCTGCATAATAATCTGGCAGCTGGGCCAGACTGCCTGTGGATGGACTGGCCCCAGATGCCAGAATCCGTGTTTGTGGTTGGGCCAGACGGGGGACCAGAATTTTTCTGGGGATGGTCCGGCCAACAAGCAATCAGGACTATTCATGACCTGGCTAGTCTGCTGTCCGGTGGGCCGGCCCATCTAAAGATGGGAAAATCTGCCGTGTGGGCTAGAACATATTTAAAGCTGCAGAATAAATCAGCGCTGTCCGAACCATGAGTCAAGCCGCGCGCGGAGGACCCACTTCGAAACCGACTGGCCCACGAACGATCGGACCAGCCCGGCCCGCGTCCCGTCCTGGGCGGGTGTGGCGTCGCGATGTCACTCGTCTTGCGAGTTGGGGATCATGATTAGTGCTCCGGATCGAATAGGTGGCGAGTAAACCCACTCACAGCATCTGCTTCCGATGGGGGGTGGGGGGAATGACAGGCCCATTTCGACGACTCGGCCCATGACGGGACTGGAACTCGGCCGAGCTCATCGGCTTATTGGAGGTTCGATCTGCACAATCTTTCTTCTCTCTTTCGGAACCTTGGTTATTTGAAGAAAAAAAAAATGAAAATGAAAAATTTATAATACACTGCTACATACGAAAGAGATAAACTGATAGACGCGAACTCTTGCTCCCCCTCTAACAAAAACATTTTCAAGCATTAAACCTATCTACCGCCTCCTGCCAACGCCTGCGCATTCTATCGTCATACGCCTTCTTCCTGTGCGCCTTCGATCGCGGCCTCTCAATATGCCGCAATTCGCCGTTGAACACATCCTTCCAGGCCTGCACGCCAAGCAAGCCATCGGAGCCCGGCCGCAAGACGCGATAATCAGTCGTGAATATCCGCAGCGCCGGAAACTCGCCGATGGAGTCCCGGATCTTGACGGCGTCGGCCGGGCGGTATTGATACCCGTGGGAGGAATAGAGCCGGAGGTCCTCAAGCAGCTTGTGGGTCTCGGGACTGGACTACAGAGCTTCGAGGATCGCGATCGGATCGGCTTTGGTGCTGTAATTCTGGTGTATGTAGCGGAACGACCGCAAGCCGCTGGCCGCGGCGTGCGGCAGGAACGAGGTCAGCCAGGTGCCGTCGATGCGGCAGTCGATGAATTCGAGTGTGTCCAGACTTCGCGTCTGCCCCTTTCAGAGGAGGGACTCCATCTGCTCCACGGTCCAGTACCACCAGGGTACCTCGCCCTCGTAGTGTTTTATGTCTGAATACTGCCGACGCCGGATACCGGGGCAATAGAAAACCTCCCGCGACGAGGTTCCGCAGCTTTGGAGCTGCCAGGAGTAGCAGTGTGAGATAGTTGCAGTCCCAACCCTTGTCGCGGCCCCAGTGGTAGGAGCCGTCCCAGTGCTGGTGGCGGATGGAGCCGTCAAAGGATTATGACGGGGTGATGGCAAGGTTGACGAGACAGGGTCAGAGCGGCATGTTCATGGCCTCCCAAGCCACCGGGCCAGCCCTCATCAGGGACTCGATATGCACTCCCGTGATGGTGAGAGATCTCAGCCATGGGAGCTGTCGCAGCAACAGCGCCGAGGTCGGTTCTTCCAGGAATGCTTCAGCCTGGAGAAACTGAAATTTCACAACGCTTTGACATCCGCCGTGCGTATAACTCTCGTACTCCCTGATGACGGGCGGAATTTCTATACGGCGGACATACTTCAGGCAATGGTTCTGGGGAAGATCTTTGGTGATCTCGTCCAGAAATTCGATATCTTCAAGGGAATGTCTCATAGGCTGGTGTGTACGGTCTTATCTCAAAGGGGAGTTGGAGATCGACGTTTTCCTTCAGATAGTAGCCACCGAGAAAGAAGTCTGGCATCAGATAGGGCATACTAACATAGACGGATTCCCTGAGATGTACGTTCTCGATGGGACGTACGAACTCCGGCTGCTGTGGAAGAAGCCAAAGATATTTCCGCACGGTGAAGTTGTAGAAAGGGCGCCGCGCGAGGTTGTAGAAAGGCCACCACCCCAGTACAGGCGGGCACTCGCGAACCGCTGAAAAGTTTCGGAAGACGGACTTTCCAACTTCCGCCAGGCGGCGATTGGTGAGGCGAAAAGCGGCAATAGGGTGTTGGAATCGTCGATGTGGGTAGTCGCGGGGGAGGTAGGTAAGCTCATCCGCTACGGTACGAAGGAGCTCATTTGGCAAATCGAGTAATTGAGGCATCGTGATGGTTTTTCTGGGATTGGGCGGACGGGTGTGTCGATCATTATCGCGGGCGTATCGTGGGGGAAGTTCTGGTATGATGGGAATACTTGTAGATGGGGGAATTCTCTTGTAAAGAGAAGTCCGAAGGGAAATTAGTCTGCTTTTGTATGTACAGATGCCCATAGATGACTGGACGACGGTCCCCGGTGAGTATGACTCATGATGCCCCGCGGGTAGGTAAGGCCCCAGTGCCTGCACACTCAGCCTCGAACTCAATTCCCCGTCTAGTATAGTACGCCGGCAGTGTTGATATAAAACAGAGAAGCGGATGTTTGGTTATGTAGGAGGGTTCGGAGTCGATTGTTGACTCGACTGCTGAACAACGCAGCGGTGGGCTACTAGTATAGAGTAGCGTACATAACACAAGCGGCAGCCAAGCGGAAGATGGCCGCCTGAATGTAGGCATTGTTTTCGTGCATGAACTCCACACGGGCTTTGTCCACGAAAGCTCTCGAAGCCCTGATTGTTGAATATAGCGATTGAGGTATTGGCGAATCCAGCTTACGGCGGAGGCAGTGGCGGCAACTTCGCCCGGCACAGCCACATATTTACTCGAGTACGGTGTAGATACCCTATCTACTACTAGCAATTAGTGGTTAGTAGTGAGTGGTCAGGCAGCCGCCTAGACGGAACCAACAGACCAGTACTTACCGGATGCGCTCATCTGTGCTGCTGTAGAGCCAAATTCAGTTCCCCGCCGGGACACCGAATACTGTTCAGTTTCAGTTTCCGGAAAACCTTGAGGCGAACAGAGTGTTTGGCACTTCTCAGTATACTCAGCCATAAGTCTGAATAACAGGCCTCGTCTGAACTTTAATAGCAGACGCATTGTAGCCCCTTGTCGGAAGGGGAGTCCATGGTTGTAGTTAAAATGCGGTATTGAGTGTCGGCGAAGAAACTGACCTCCAGACGTCAGTTCCCGTTTTGTCGCCGGAGCCGCACAGTTTCAGTTTTTTTCTCTCAGTTTTTGTGCCATCCAAACAGGGTTACAGTTTTGTTTGCTCGGTTTTTCGAAAAAACTGACAGTTTTCGCTAAAACCGAGCTCATCCAAATGGGCCCTTAGAGGAGAGGGCCTCGGTACAAGAAGGGGGATATAGTGAAAACTTCAACGAGTGACAAGGTCTGGTCCTACACTTAATCACCAACAGCCCACTCGCCTTCCACGGGAAGAATTAAGTTTGATGCAGCCGTGCCGGATCGAAGATAGTGGTGGCTCTATATAGTAGTAAATATCGGGAGCTTCAGTCGGAATACGCCAAATACGTGGATCAAAAACCTCGTCCCCTCGCTGTGAAGCCAGGAAGACAATGTTTTTGTTTGAGAGGAAACCCGAAGGTAAAAACCCCGTCCACGTAAGGGGCGCATTCTGTCAGTCTGCTCTGCTCTTGCCACTGCCGTTGTGCACTGCTCTTTTCAAGTGAAGTGAAGAGGAGAAGAAGGGAAGGAGGGGGGAAGCGGGGGGTTTTTATATGTGGTGCGGGGCTTGGAAGTTGGAACTCGACACTACGTGTATTTTGTGTTTTGTGTGACTGAGGGATAGTACCCCTCAAAACCACGGGTGTCAACTACCCCCATAATTACCCCTACTAGAGGCAAGTTGTCAGACGCCTCAAGAGTCATGACCGTTCACTCGTAGTATGTACGAGTGACACTTCATGATATCTCCTTCATCGACAACTCGAAACGAAAGGCAGCGGTTCGGGCAATCAATCAAAGCTCTCCCAGAATCCTAGAAAGTATCCGTGAGCTGTGGCTAGCCCTATTGGGCATCAGCGCAATGGCGACGGCAAAATGCTCGGGGAGTCGTCGCCACAATCCCCCCCTCCAATATCACTCCCCGCCCCCATCGAAAATGAACATGAGTTTTTGTTTTTAGAGGTGGCAGTGAAGCAGCATTCGTGATTCGTGACTCCTTGCGGTTCTTTATTGTAAAGTACTGATCACTGTGGGCCACAGTCGTTTACAGGTACAGGTAAAGCACTGTGAGTCTGTGGCTGAGGAGTGGAGCCCGCAAAATACTCTACAGAATGATTAGATGTTATAGTTAATGGGGAGACTACATAGTACAGGAGTCCCCACGAATAGCCCCCCAGCTGCGTATGCTATCCTCCAGTGAGAGATCCAAAAACGGGTGAAGGTTCACCATTCAAAAACGTGATCAATCAGAGTAAAGAGGTTTCTTGATGATGATAATGATGACAATAATGATGATGATGATGATGTTGATGTTGATAATGGAAACAAAAGTTAAAATAAAACAAGACGAGCAAAGACAACATAAATCGTCACAGCAAACAGAAACAAAACGTTAGGCGCACCGCATTGAGTTTCCCATGATCAAAGACAAGAGCGTCATCTCCAAGACAGCTGGTCTCACCAGGTTCGTAATTTGTCATTCGTTCTCACCGTGGGTAGATGACGGACTCACTTTTCACTTTTCAGCGGCAGAAAGCGGGGTGGGGAGGTGGGGAGGTGGGGAGGTCGTTCGATACATGTGCGATAGATCATAGGTACATATCTTCAGTTGGAGAAGGACTCTGGAGGCATAAGCCTCCAGCCGTACCCGCACCACCCGCATATACTACATATGGGCAGGCCGCGGTGCATGTGGCGGCACGGCGGACACGCACTAGGTACTAATATCGATCATGAGTCGTCATCGTATCGTACCCGCTCGCCCGTGTACATACCATGCCATGCCATGCCAAATTCGTATCTGTGGAACCGTCCTCAGGCCTTCGCTCTGGAACTCAACCTCCTGCTTTGATTCCCGGCAGGATCTGGGGCATCGCGATGCCTGCTTGCTTGTCGGATCAGCCGAGTTGAAACTGGTTTGCCGTTGCGATGGGCGGCCATGCATACCCGCCTACCTATCTCATCAGGGACGTAGATCTTCAGGCTAGGTACATCAACATCGACGCTCGGACCAACCTTCTGAAACCACGGGTGAGATACACAGTACATTGGAGAGCGAGCGAATATGGCCCCTAGGTTCAAGTTGAGATGGTCTGCGGCAGAATCCGCCGGGTGGGTGGGTGGGTGGGTACTAGTCAAACATCAAAGACATCATACCTCGTATGTTTTTGTTCTCTCTCCCTAAGCCCCACTAGTTATCCCATGTCGTCCAGATCGTCTTCCTTTCCCCCAGGGCCCAGACAATAAATGACGGTTCGATGTTCATGAAACGTCCCGCGGCTGTCTTGTTGCATAGCTAGAGGCTAGAGCGAAGAAACCCATTCTGGTTGTTTCGACGATGGGGGGTCTCGAAACAAACTATATCGATGGTCAGCTGCAAACGCTTTCCCAGCCACAGCCACGGTGTCCAGATAGCGGCGGTGGTGGTGATGGCGGTGGTGGTGATGGCGGTGGTGGTGATGGCGGTGGTGGTGATCTCGGGTATGGTGATGGACAATGGACAAGGTAGGAGAGAGGAGAAACCCTTGGTAGGCCATGTCAAACACACACGAGCTGACGTGACCATCGCCCAGCCAGCTCCAACTACCGAGTCCCGACTAACTTGAATTTCTCTCATCCATCGGCCCGGTGGGAGAAACTGTAACCCCAGTTGAGATTGATGGATGATGGACTTCCCTGTAAGCTGTAGCAATAGACATTATTCCTCGCTTCTTCAGATCTTCTTCCTTGACTAGTACCCACCTACCCACCTATGCGTTGTATGTAGTTACCTTGAAGGACAGCGATGTGCCTCGGTTTCTTTCTTTCTGGGAGCCGCTTGCTAGCTTGCTTGATGATCTGACGGCATATATTATATACGGCATTCCTATATTCCTATATTCCCATCCCGGCACATTGGTTATGCACGCACGAACGACGGCGACGGTATGGTACGCGGTACACGGTACGCAGGAGGCGAGAAGAGGCGAGGCGAGTACGATGATCTACCTACCTACCTAAGTACTTGCCCCTACATGCGGGGGTGGGGGAGTGGGGAAAGGGGGGAGTTGAAACAGTTGGACGGGATTTCTGGGGGGGTATGTCTCGCCGGGCCTTCGTGCATGCATGCGTGCATACATACGTATTAGCACAGTTCTCGGTTGAGGCTGGTCCCGGCGGGTGGGCGGGCCCGGGGGTGGGGTGTTAACGTTGCCCGAGTCGTGGCTCGTGAGAAGCTTTTCCTTCTGGTCGTCGCCGCTTGATACGTCCGTCCGTCCGTTTGTCGTGAGTCGTGGCCAGTCAGCCAGCCTCAATTCGCTGTCTGTTTACTGTTGAGTGGACGTTCATTCCCTTCCCAGCCGCCTGCCCAATGCCAATCCTACTCTACTCTACCACATATCGATAACGATACGATGTAGCCCCGTTCTCAACCCTGCCCCTGGGCTACCAGCTGAAAGTTGTTAACTTGTTAAAGTGGTGATCGTCATCGATACCGTCGTCGTCGTACCTAGCCATATGTTTCTTAACCGCATATTGAAGTTAATCCCCACCTTTGCGTTTCGTTCACCGGGTGCTTCTTGCTCTCTGCGCCACAGCTAGACATGACATGTAAGTAGTAGGTACGGTAACTCGGCCATCGCAGATTCACAGTCACCCATCCCCGAATCTCCTCCAGCGTGGACGACCGACATCCATGCCCCCGGCGTACCGGCATACCAGCGTACACAAGTGCCGAGGCACTGACATTGGACAGATGTGCTATTTATACGAGCGGCAGTTTTAACTTTGCTCGCCTCACCCTCCCGCCTCACCATCACCTCACCCTCACCGTCGCCGACGGAGCACTACGCATCACATCGCACATCGCACATCGCACATCGCACATCGCACATCACTCGCCTCCCGCTTAGAGCCTTAGATTTCCCTATGTAATTTGCGTGGTACCTACCTACCCAAGTACCTATGCTGCGGCGCCCCACCGTGCTGGCCCGCCGGCCGGCCAGAGTGGGCAGCAAAGCAAAGGAGTGCGACGGTTCGCCATAGTCTATGTAGAGTAGATAGGCTGCATCCGAAATAAATTGAAGATCTCTCTGTTTACCGTAGGTATATATACCGATCATCGGCCGAGACCCCCCGTCCTACATATTAAAGCAAGCGACGGCGCTTCCGGCGCCTATTGGAGCACATCCGTCGTTGGCTCGCTCGGTCTTCCGCCCACCCACCAACGAACGAACGGCGCAGTGACCAGGGGTGTGTGTATATGTGTGTGCCGCTCCCTCGCTCCCTCGCTCGCTCTCTCAGGAAGGGGACGGGGGACGGGGACGGGGGACGGGGGACGGGGGACGGGGGACGGGTAAATCCCGTGCTTCTCAGCCGGGACGCACACGACAACCCAACCCAACCCAGCCGAACGCAACCTTCATGCTTCTAAAAGGAAGGAATCAGCCGCCGCCGCCGCTTGGGCCAACATCGCCGTCCATGGTACATAGAGTACTCTAGAGAGTCTCTGGAGTCTGTCTGCCTCCCCCAACCCCCGACAAAAAATAACCAAATCTAAATCGACTTGCCGCCGCTAGAGTAGAGTATCTACCATGTCCCGGAGCGGTTCCGGATGGCTCGGTAATCGCTGCTGCTGGGGACTACTGCCACTGCCACCGGTACTTGCCCTCCCCTACATAACAAGAACTGCAACAACAACGGCCATGACCTCGATTTCGACCTCGACCCCACGCTGCGGAACCGAGGCCGCCCACTCCCTTGCTCCCTCACTCTCTCGCTCACTTCCTCGATCACTCCCTTCCTCATTCACTCACCCCACCTCGGACCGAAGCAAGGACAACCCAAACCATCCAATCCAATCCAATCCAATCCAATCCAATCCAATCCAATCCAATCCAATCCAATCCAATCCAATCCAATCCAATCCAATCCAATCCAATCCAATCCAATCCAATCCAATCCAATCCAATCCAATCCAATCCAATCCAATCCAATCCAATCCAATCCAATCCATTCCCCAAATAAGAACCAGATAAATAAAAAAGGCACAGTTTCAGATCCACACACCGCAGCAGCATCTGCCATCGGCGCCCATAACCCGTTACCACTAGCAGTAGATATATCAACTTAACCACTTATTTCGCCTGGTCACTAGAATTCACGCAATACCTCCTTACTGCGTACCCAGAGTACATAGCGCAGCTATATCCCCGCCGCCGCCCCCATCCCTTCTTCCCCCCCTCACCGAACCAAAGCAAAAAAGAAAACACAAAAAAAAAGAAAAAACCAAGAAAAGCAAAAGTAAATCCCCAACCGACAGCGGCGGGTAAAAGCGAGAAGGAGCGAGCGATCGGCTACCCAAGCACCCACGCACAGCCGACGAGGCGAGACGATGGCCAAAGAGTGTCTGAGCGCTCAGCGGTCTGGTGTGGATACGACGACGACACAGCAACAACCCCCACCCAACCCAACCCACCCCCTAACCCACCCAACCCGCCCCACTTAGTTATGCCCCACTCTCCACTCCCCACTCTGGCTTCTTTCCCCATGCAGCCTGCCCAAACCTTCCCAAACCTCCCAAAACCAAACCTCCCCAAACCTCCCCAAACCTCATACCGATACCGGTACATACAGGAGTCGATGATCGATGAGCGAGAGTACCTATGGGAAACAGCGGGAAAGTCAGCGCTCGCTCGGCGGAGAAACATAAACACAAACAAGTCAGTCAGTCAGTGGGAAGGAAGCGCCTCGAGCTCTGTAGAGTATCGTAGGGCCTCGATGCCCCTTTTCTCTCACCTCTCACCTCTCGCACACATGCGATGGATGGACGGACCCAATCGACGAGTCAACGTCCAACGTCTCCCGCGGAAATGAGTCCCAAGCCCAAAGTCCAGAGTTCAACGAAAACAATTGCAATGTGAATTGAAGTGATTGATTTAACAGATGAATTTCCCCAGTTCTATAAGTTTGCCGCAACACCATGATGACTTGAACAAAAAAGAAACAAAAACAAAAACAAAAAAACCGAATCCAGTAAAAATCATTTGAAGGAAGCAGAAAACAAAAATCGAAAAAAAACAAAAACAAATAATGATAATCCAGACGAGAAAATCCGATAGAATTTGTCTTGAGCACTACCTTCTGGGCAGTATCAAATTCCAATGCAAAACATGCAAAAAAGAGATGGAAAAAACCATTCACCAGCGCCAGAACACTCAAATAGACCAAGCGGCAGGTCTCTGGCTACATCAGCCACGTTGTCCCCTGCAGCTCAAAGCCCCACTTTGTTGCAGAAAGCACAACCAGAACACAGACAGAACATAAAAAAACAAGTAAACTCAGCGCCGAATGCCAGGAGAGAGAGACAAGGAAATGTAAAAGAGAATCGCAAGCCGCCCACACTTTTTTATCTTTCCCAAAGAAACCCATCGGACAGCAAGGAGAAGATGATGATGCTCACGGACGAAGGGAAAAAAGACACAACCGAAACCAATCCCACCCATTCCTTGAGGATTTTCATTGTCGTAACGAATCGTATGTCGCGTTAGATGGGCAGAATCAAAAACCATCCCCACCTGGTGGAAATCCAATCTACTGCCCGCCATGAAACAGATCGTGTGCGAATCCCAAGCGTAATTTCCTCCCGAAAAAAAAGGTTGCGCCATCAAACTGCGGGCATGCAAAAGGGGATATCCCTAACGGGCGACATCCACCGTCCCATGGCGCGACCAGCAATCCGACGATCCAGAAGCACGATGGGCAACGATCTGTCGGTTGCGATGGCTTGCACGTATTCCTTGAGAGCGTCGCTTCGCTCCCTCGATCCCTCGCCATGTAGGTGGCGAATCTCGGCGATGGCATGCAGTAACTCTCGATTCTGCTTGCCTTCCACGTACATCCTGCATTCCTCCAGCAGCCCGTACACCTGCGCCTCCGCGTCCGCACCGGTAGCCTTGAAGGTTGAGAGCTGCTCCAAGAGGAACCAGAATTGACTTCCTTTGGCCGTCGCACTAGGCTTGTCGCTCGGAGGAATCCTGGGAGAAGCCGGGGTGCACTCGGACTTTTGAGAGACCAAATTCTCGAGAATGTTGATCCTTCGGTAGGCTTCCGTGCACTCGTCGTCATCCATCCTATCCGCACCGAGCTCCTCGTCACGGCGATTGTCCGAAACCGGTATCCTGGTGCCGTAACAGAGCCTCACAGCAGCCCACAGGAGATCCGTATCCCTGTTGCTCTTGTGGATCAGAGGGTCCTCATCCTCGTAGTAAGATCCCCCGCGAGCCTTGAGCCTCTCGAAAACCTCCGCCATGAGCTCCGCCAGCTGGCTGTCGGAACGAAGCGTCCGCAACCCGCTCTCACTGAACCACCGAACCTCCAGGAAAAGGTCCAACGCGGGCGCGTAGCGAGATAAGTAGATGGTCATCATACTCTCGACCGAAGTGGAAGGAGGGGAAACATTGGTGGCGAGCTCACTCGTTGGTGGGCTGAGCGGCTGCGATGAGCCCACCGACAACAAATCGTCAATCTTGATGCGCTTAGCGGTGCTTCCCTGCATGTCTTGGTGCTGGCCCGGGGTGGCAGAACGTGGTATCGGAGTGTATGGCGTTCGGGTGGTACCGGCATCAGAAGCGGAAGAGAACGGACTAGTGCGATCCAGAGGCCTCTTAAGATCGGGACGGTAGGACACCTGGAGGTCGGGAAGACTAGGTGGTGCCGAATTGTGGGGGTGGCTCGTAGCCGAGTCAAGGGCGGGATCTATCTGTGGGTAGTCATACAGGTCGCAGGAGGAAGCTGGCGAGCTTGCTGTCGAGAGTGTCTGATAGTTCTGTCCGACCGAGGACATGGGGTAATAGGAGCTGGGAGACCCAGACATGGGGGGAAGGGAAGTAGAACCTCCCGATGGAGCCGGTTGAATGGCTGCAGGCCCGGGCTGTGACTTGAAGATGGGATCGTAACCCAGACAGTCACGTTTGCTCTTCTGGCAATTCTTGCAGGTAGGATGGCCCTCGTCGCACTATGCCGGATGATACGGTTAGTTTCATTTTTGTTTTAATAATTACATGATTCGATGGGAGGGGTTCATTCGGTCCGCAGGCCATGACAAGGTACGCCGCTAACAAAAATGCCTGGGAGGGAAAGAGAGAATGGAAGGAGAGGCTTACCTTTATTCTCCTCTTCCTGCAGGTCAAGCAGCCAGTCTTCGTCCGGCGCTTAATCTCCTTCTTGTGCCTACCACCGGACATGATGCGTTCCTGGTTTCCCACGGAGGGTAGGGGATACCGAAGTGGCTGTTGGTGTGGTTGGTGGATGGGCGAAGACGTGATATGCGCGTGGGAAACCGCCGGAGGAGGTAGCGCGTGAGCGTAGTAGCCATGCATAGGTGGCGGCAGTGGAGAACCGAGATGAGGAGAGCCCTCATGCTGCGGTGGCTGCGCGTGCTGAGAAGCGGGTGGGTTCAACCTGATTGGTGGTAGGTTGATGGTCGATGCCTGAGCGTACGGCGACCCCCGCGACGATGGCTGAGGAGCCTGCTGAGGAGGATAGGGATACGCCACCGCTGACATTGAAGGCGATGGATAAGAGGCGGGAGAAGGATAGGAGGTTGGAGTCTGCCTCATGGAATGGGAGGCCGGTTGAGCAGCGAGGTGAGGTAAGGCTGCATACTGATAGGGCGGCGACGGAGTCGAATGTGCAGAAGGGCGATCGAGGTGGTGCAGATGCGGCGAGCCGTGATGAGGCTGATGAGCCGTCGAGTAGTGGCCTGCTGCTGGTCGTTGGGAATTGTTGTTGGATCGGTCGAATTCCACCATGATCATTGTGAACTCAAGAGTCCAACAGCTGTGCTCGAGTTAAAGCTTTATTCCAGCTTGCTGTTGTTTTTGTTTACGGGGAAGTTTTTTCTTTTTCTTCTTTCTTTCTCTCTCTCTGTCTCTCTAACTTTCTCTCTCTGTCTCTCTATCTTTCTCTCTCTCTCTCTCTCTCTTGCGATCGGTTTAGTGGTGGGCGGGGATGAAGATCAAGTGTCGCGATGAAGATCGATGATGTTGAAAGGCTTAGCGTGAAGTGTCAGGAGGTTGAAATGAGTATGGCGATGATGGTGGTTGGCGAGGTTAGTTGGAGGAGGTGGCGGTGTGGTTGAGGTCGAGATGGTGTTTGGTGGTTTGAAGGTGTGGATGGCGAGGGAGGGGGGTGTGTGGTGGTGTTATGTCGAGGACAGGTGTCGGGGTGTGGAGGGCCAGGTTCGGAGAAATAAATACTCGAGGGTTGGTAGACCGGGTAGGATTGAATTTAGGGTAGGAGAAGTCCGCCACGGGAAACTGGGGGGGGGGGGGGGGGGATGGGTGGGTTTTTGGTGGAGACCGGAGTTGAAGAAAAAAAAGAAAAAGCCGATCAGAGACGAAGAGAGTTCCGACGATGTAAGCGAGCAGTTCTGGAAAGGCGCCAACGTTTAGCGAATGAGAATTGGGCGGGCGACGAGGTCGAACGAATGTCTCGGTCTTGCTGTGTGGAGCAGAGTGCTCGGCGGTGGTGGGGAGGGAGGGGGAGGGGGGGACGTGGTATGGGTCTGGGAGATGCTGCGTGTGCGTGTTGGTGGCGGCGGGCCACGGCAAACAGCCAAAAAAGAAAATGAAGGGGGGATAGCGGGTGGTGCGTGCGCTCGGAACGGGCAGAGACCAGCCGTCCGGGGAAAAAAGGCGAGGGTTTACAAGCAGAGACAGAAGAAGACAGCGAGAAGGGTTCACACGACGGGCAGATAGGCGGATGGGCAGGGAAAACGAGGCGAGCAGGGCGGTTGATTGGGAGGAAGGAAAGTGCGTGAGGGAAGATGAAGATGAAGACGATGTGTGGGGGATTACCAGGGTGGGTGTGTGAGGTGGAATGGGAGTTGGAGGAGTGGAGTGGAGTGGAACAGAGTGCAGTGGAGTGGAGTGAAGTGGAGTGGGAGTGGAGTGGAAGCGGCGGCGGCGATGACGGAGACGGAGACGATTGAGGGCTAGCTATCTCTTGGGCTAGACCAACTTTCACTTTCTCGACTCAAACTCAGATTGCGGGCGGAAAGCGGCCACGACGAAGAAAAGAATAAAAGAATAATAATGACAACAATAATGGGAAAGTGTAAAGGTGAAAAGGTTGAAGAGGTGGAAGGGGTGAAAAGGGAGAAAAAGGCAGGCAGGCAGGCAGTGGAAGATGTAAGATGTGGCCCGAGATGCTGGAGGACGATCTACTGACGACGGTATTTTCCGCTTCGTTTTCCCTCAACGTGTGAATCGCGTCAAATGCGGATACGCGAGATGTGCGTACGTGCCGGCGGTATGTACGATGTGTTGCTGAAAGTGGCCTCGGCAAGAGGAGAAGGCAAAGAGCATCCTCGGAGAACGAAACGGAATGGTATCTCTACTGTATGGAAGCCCGAATAGGCGTAGGTATATGTGCAAAGGGCGCAGCGACCACCAGGAAGCCGCTAGAACAGCAGGAAGCAAGAATCAAGAAGCAGGAAGAAGCAGAAGCAGATGAAGATGAAGAATCAGCACGCAGCAGCAGCAGCACGCAGCAGCATCAGAAGCAGCAGAAGCAGAAGCACGCAGCAAGGCACTCTAGCGGATGAAATTGCTTACCAGGGAACTGAGCGCGCTCGGCTTAACGGTCCTAAAGGAAGGGGACGGACTGGGGGCCAAGCTCGGGAAGCCGTCAAGGTGGGTTACAGTCGAATCGTTGGCGACGACGGGCACACAGGCGAGTAAAGGGCAACAACGGAAGTGAAGAACACACCGCCCAGCAGCCGAAGAGAGAGAAAAACGAACGAACGAGAAGAGAAGAGCCGCGCCCCCTCCCGGGATTTTTAATTTTTTCTCGGTTTGAGGCTCAGCAAGGAATGTGGCGTGCAATCGACCCAATCAGCAGACGGAGAGGGTTGGAGGAAGAAGAAAAGGAAGAAGAGGAAGAAGACCGGACGACGAGATGAATGGAGGCTGGATGGGGCAAAAGGGCGAGGATTGGAGTGAGGAGGGTGAGGAGGAGGAGTAGGAGGAGGAAGGAAAAAGCCCAAGCAGAACCGAGAGAAAACGAAAAGAGGCGACAGCGGCAGCGTAAGTTAGTTGGCAGTGGAGAAAATGAGAACGGTCTCTCAGGCGAGCGAAATGCAAACCGGGGAGATGGGCGAGGTCGAGCGGAGAAGAAGTGAGTGTGTGTCAGTGAGTGTGTGTGTGAGTGTGTGTGTGGTGTGTCGGGGGGCAGAGAACAAGTCAAGTCCCAAAAATATGCAATGCCAGCAAAAGAAAAAAAGATTATGGGGTAAGAGAAAAGGATTAAGGGTGATAAATTCAAGCAATTATAATTTATAACGAGCGCACTCGGGCAGAAGAAAAAGAAAAGAAAAGAAAAGAAAAAAAGCCAGAATTATTTGGGATTAAAGGATCAACATTAAAACGCAACGACGAGGCGGGTACAAAGTGCTTAGGTAAAGTTGGAAAGTCCGTTCTTACCCCAATTTCCAAAAGCCATCCTCCCTGCTGCTCGCTCTAACGTAAACTTTCAAGGGCCAACGGAGGCGAAGGAAGCAAAAGAAGAAGAAGAAGAAGAAGAAGAAGAAGAAGAAGAAGAAGGAAGAAACCTTTTTCCCCCTGGCCTAACTAAAGTCTGCGTCCTGCAGCTGGCTCGCTGGCTCGCTGGCTCGCTGGCTACATACTTGGCCGTGCATTCGACTCGGATGGTGCGAAATACCTAGGGCATGTTTCGGGGTTTCCTTTCTTTCTTTCTTTCTTTCGAACGAGAAGGGGCCGCCGAGCACGGACAGGAAGAGGTATCCGGAACTGGAACCACGAATACCACGATCTGGCCGTTGCGGGATCGAACAAGTCACGACGCGTGAGAGTCCGAGACCCAGTGAGCCGGCACGGGAGGAGGGGGAGGGGGGGTGGACTCCCCAGACGGCTAGAGTAGAGTACAGGCACTATCGACCGCCACCCCCTCACGTCGAGCAACGGTTGCGTACGAACGAACGAACGCAAAAAAAACCGAAACGAAAAGTGCGGAGGCGGGAACGGCCAACGTGGGTCTTCCAATAAATGAGGGCAGCGGGGGCGGGGGCGGAGAACGACGACACGTATAGTACATACGATCGGCGGAAGCACCTAACCAAGCACTCCACACAGAAGACACTCAAGTCTCAAAGCCATGCACTCAAAGCCGTGCACATTGCATGGGGAGGATGAGCAGTGCTACATACTACAATACTACAATACTGGTATTGTAGTGCTGTAGTGTTGTAATAGTAGTATGTAAAGGTAGTAGTCGCGTCCTCTGCCAGGGTCCAGCTGATGGGATGATGTAGGAGGAGGAGAGAGAAGCGTCTTGGACTTTTGACTTCCGGTCGACCGTCCATCTCCACCTCCACCTCCACCCCCTTCTACCCACTTCCTCCTTCGAACGTATGTGTGGTACGCTATGGATATCGATAACTATCGACAATGAGCATACGGTGTCGTACATCGAGTAAGTTGGTAAGTTGGTTTATAAGTGAGTGAGTGAGCGAGCAGGTAGAGTATGATAGAGTATCCACAGCGACCGCGGCTTGTGCCGCTGGTGGGTGGGTGTCGCGAGACCGGATGCATGTACTCTATGATGTATTCCTGCGCCTCTGGTCTAGTTTTCTGGGTGTCTGGTCTGGTCACGTAGCGAAGCCGAGAATACCTGATGCTCTACATAGGGTCTATGTAACCACACCAGAGTCCGTGTAGAGTTCCATGTGGAGTCTGGTCCGTTAGGAAGGTGTCGGTTATGTATGATATGTAGATATGATATGTATGTATGTACCGGACACATCGTGGCTGAACTTTGAGCAAGAGCAATTCGTCACCCTGCATCGCGAATCCGCACCAGTGTGCTTGCTTGCTTGCGAGCTGTGTGTGTGTGGGTGTGTGTCAATCTAAAAATGGAGCGTGGTGGTTGGGTAGAATCAGATAGATTCCTAGAAGCGAAAACGGTCGTCGGTTTCAACTCCGCGAGCGAGAGTGTTATGGTTGGTTAATATGATGGTTGTTCGAGCCGCCGATTATATCGAGCCGTTGTATTTATTCAATTTTCGCTTTTTTTCGCTTTCGCCTTTCGCTTTTCGCCTCTCGTTTATCCCTTTTCGCTTTCTTCGCTTCTGCCTTTCCTTTTTTCGTTTTGGCTTTTTCCGTATCGCTCTGGAAAAGTTAATGTGTTTTTTCTTCGGTTCCGCTCTATTATTTTTGCTCTGCGATTCCGGAAATCCCTCGAAGCAGTTTTCTCGAAGCAGTTTTCTCGACGGACGTTCGTGGCTTCGCACTTGCACCCCCACACCACACCGTACCCATTCGTGCCTCACCCATTTGCCGTTGCATACACCCTCCATACGACCTCCGTCTTGAGCCATCTGGCGTTCACTCCCACTGAGCACCAGCTGTACCGACGTCCGAGAGAGTCCTTTCCTTCCTTCCTGTTGGCAGTCTCGCACCCCCCGCCAAACCGGCATGGTTGGATCCGAAAACCCTCCCCCCATCTAAAAGTATGTAGAGTACTGAGGGAGGCGCCCAGTGTCTGCCTCGCGAAAGCTTCCCTGCGAGGCGAGTCGGCTGGCCTTGGCTGAGGCTTTCGTTCCTTCCTAGTCGTGAAGAGGAAACCTTCTGGAAGGGATTGGCCATGACAGCCATCCACCCCCCCTAGTCGATTATGCCAGCCAGACCACACCTCCTTCGCGGAAACTGGGGGCAGCGGTAGAAATGACAATAATAATAACAATAATAACAATAATAATGACAATAATGACAATAAAAATAAAAATAAACAGTCAAAATCACACACCGGCCAACGTCGACCAATCAATGACTTTGCCGCCCGTGAGGAAAGGGGAGGGTGGGGAGGATATCCATCCAGCTCCGACGACGAGGAATGCGAGATGAGCGTTCGAACCCACTTGCACTTGCTGAAGTTTCGAATATTCCCCTCGTCCCCCACGGCAGCGAGTGAGAGCGGCAATAGCTGTCGGGGATCCGGATCCCGCTGCCAGTGTGGGCCCTGGGGGCTGCGGTCGGATCCGAAATCCTCGTCTCCAGGGCAAACGCGCGCGGGATTTTTATTAGAGTTGCCTCGAGCAGCTGCCCGTACTCCCTCGCTCCCACCCTCCCTCGCTCACACCCTCATCATCATCATCATCAGCACACATCGATTCGGGGGTGGGAACGGGAGGAGACGAGACGAGGGAGGTGGGTGGGTACCAGGTATGTACCATACCATACCATACCATACCTACCACCAGCTCGAGGATCCGGATCCAGTCCGCGCCCCACCGCATTACTCATCGCCAAAGTCCCCAGATCCAGGGGAGAGAGAGGATGGATAGATGGTGGATGGATGGTGGATGGAGGGCCGCGCATGATCGATACGCATGTACCGTCGTTTGGCGAGATCGAAGTATTATTGCCGCTCCGCAGATATATTGTTCCATAGTTATCCTCCTACCTGCCCTGCCCTGCCTGCCGCCCTCCCCTTTATCTTCCTACCTTCCTCCTACATACATAATCACTTACCTCTCCCTCCTTCCCTCCTTCCTGCCTTCCTACCTTCCACTCGTATAATTTCAACCGAGATGCTTATGTCGAGTATGTAGAGTACATACTTGGGTAGAGTAAATCACACTTTATGCTGGAAGCATAGCCGAAGATGTCCGAAGCGAGTGGTGCGCCCCCCTCCCCCCTCCCCGTTGGTTCCGTTGGAAGAGAAGAGATTAAAAATCTGCCGGCCTTTTTATTTTATTTTCGGTGATCTGACCGTGAGACCAACCATGTACTGACCGACTGACTGACCGCCCATCGCCCGTCTCCGCTGCCCACCCCGTAGAGTAGAACATGTAGAGTACCGTAGAGTAGGTATGGTACATGGCCATCGCCGGCCAGCCAGCCAGCCAACGCACCACCACCGCCACCACCACCACATGCACCCACTCCGGTTGCTGCTTCCCCTCGTCTCTGCATCCCTGCCGTGGCCGTGCATCGAGGTGCCCCGAGCGGCGAAGCGCTGACGACAGCCACATGATGGGGAGGGTGCAATGCCGTGAAGTTTACCATCGCCGAGGACGTAGCCACCGTCGTATGTACTCGCACAAGTCACGGAGTAGACGGCAGCGCGAAGCATGAGACCACTTTCCTCCTCCTCCTCCTCCTCCATGCGTATCTTCGAAACCCTCATCGCACCCATCGCACCTGAAAGAACGACCAAACGAACGACCGAACGAACGCCCGACCCACCGAACAAACACCGGCGCCTTCCGGTACAGTGTCGCATGTCGCATGTCGCATGGTCGCATGGGCAGCCCAACTCCAGCAGGCAGGAAAGCACGCGCTCCCCTTCCTTCACCATCAACGGACGGGCAAATCAACAGGAGTGGGCGCAAGCTCGGGGAAGTGTTTGGATTTAACCCGACGCGTGCTGTCGTTGCTGTTGGCCTCCTTGGATAGGGGACATCTTAATACCTGTCTGCATCGTGGGGCCGCTGCTGACTGCTGCTGCTGACTGCTGCTGCTGCTGGCCATGGTGAATGGTAGTTAGCTAAGTACTTCCTCCATGCAAAGTAATTAGAGTGGAGCATACCACTAGGAGTAGAGTATGGTACTCACGCTTCCTTTTTATTTTTTTGCTTTTTTGCTTTTTTTTGCATGCATTGAAGCGACTGGAAGCGAGGGAGGCATCCATCGTCGGTAAAGCAGCAGCAGCAGGAAGCAGTTTTTCGCGAATCATCAGTTCCTCGATTGGGGAAGAGACACCGATCCGCTCCAGTTGAAGTTCAGCTGGCCGGTCCACAATTCTTGAGTACCATATCGTGGCGAGCCAATCGTCCCTCGCCAAAAGGAAAGGAAAGGCCGGACCGAAACACTGGTGCTCCGTCACTGCGTGTTCTAGCAAAAATAATAATGCGTACGTCACTATGCACCACCCACCACCCACCACCCACTCTCCTCTTTTCTTTCAGCCGGGATTCCATCAGCACTACCTATCTATCTACCCACTCTGCGTTCTGTTGGGCACCGAACGGTGCTCGGCACGCGGTAGCCGCACACACGTCTGTCTGTCCGTCCCCTTCTCTTTCTCCGCCAAACCCCCCCTTCCGCGGTGTCGGACGATGACAAACCCCAGAGGGCAGAGAACGCAAAGAACGCATTCAGAACCGACATCCGAAGGGACGGGGATTCATCATCTACCGAACTCTATGGTGCCCTCTCTCGCGTCCGAATCGGGCATCCGTAGCCCTTCATGCCGTTAGGTACTAGGTTGTTAGTTAGATAGTAGTAGTTGACACACCCACCCCACCGATTCGATTCGAGAACGCATGTCGTGCAGCAGCTGTTGGAAAATCAGGGTCGGTTGAGTTTTGTATGTGATCTCGATAAACGGAGGCGAGGCCCGAGACACGTAAGCGAAGGAACCGCCCCCCTCGGCCAGAGGAAGGAAGGAAGGACGGAAGGAAGGGGGGGGGGTTTCTTTGCTTCTTTTTCCTTTCTGGTTGCAATTTTGGCCCTACATACCCATCACATCGTGCCGCCGCACTGTCGCAGCGTCGCAGAACACGCTCCCCGATCGGCTAGCTTGAGTATGTACCGTAGCTGTGATGATCGATGGTGTTTCTGGCTGGCAGGATATCGCGGGGCAGCAGCAGCAGCCCCCCCGGCTATCTGGAGGAGATCCTGTAATTCGAAACCTCCCCCCGGTGCACCCCACCCCCTTCTGTGCCATGGTCCCGCGGGTTTCGAATGTTTCGTGCCGGTGACGATTGGTTCGCGGGATACGGTACGGTATTAGAGTGTAGGTAGTGAGAGATCCAAAAACCGGAGAGACGAAAACGTGATCAATTGAAGAGAGGTCTATGTAGTATGGTGATGATGATGATGATGAGAAGAAAGCAAGACGGACAGGAAGATCAGAAATAACCAGTGACAAGAGAAAAAAATAGTTCACCGTTTAACGACCGCATCAAACCTGCGTCGGGTCCTACCTCCATAACACACAGGTCCCATCAGGTCCCATCAGGGCCTCTCCCCCCAAATTCAAGGACTCAACCAGGTCTCCTCTCTCCGATGGTTCCAAGCCGCCTCTTCCTTCGCACCCCTCACCACAACCATAGTCCGAGTCCATCCTGGAGTGGTTCTGGAAGCCTGGAAGCTTGAAACCCCCCCCCCCCCCCCTTTCCCTCAGCAAACTCGCAAGGGGTGGAACGTTTAGATGGAATAGAGCAGAGTACAATACATAGAGCAGAATAGAGTAGCGGCGGCGGCTATGTACTGTACCAGGAGCTGCCAATAAGTGGTGCCTCACCACCATTACGAATTATAAGCACTAGTCTATATTAGGATTGCACTAAGCCAGATACAATGAGATGCGTGAGTGGCTGTGACTAAGCTGTATGGCGGAAAAACGCTAAGTTGTATGGGGGAAAACCTAGTGAGGCAGCACTTACCCTTACACCCGAGTACTTAGGTTGACCGTTGACGAGTGATGTGGGTATAAAAACTGACGAGCTGGGCCGACCGCTTGCTTCCACAAGGCTGCTGTTGGCGTTGAACGCTCTGTTTCTCGCTCGGTGACGCCGACGGCCAGCCAGCCAGCCAGTGAGGGGCGCGGAGGCAGAGACGGCTTGGCGTCATCGATGAGCGTCGAAGAGAGGAGACCTTATTGAGACCTGGTGGGACCTGATGCAGACTCGATGCGGTCGTTCAACGTTCATTTGTTTCTGCTACCACTATTTCTGTTATTCCTCTCGTCGGTCTCCGGCCCTCATCAGATCATCACTTTGTTGTCCAATTGATCACGTTTTTGTTCCTCACCGTTTTTGGGTCTCTCGCCAGCCAGCGAAACGAGCGGGCAGCAAACGTCAATAGTGTGGGACCCAGCGAAAACGACGCCTTGACGCGTCCGTTTCAACTCGGAGCTACAGACCTGGGTGAGACCGATGGCCAAGAAGCTGTGAACAGACTGGGACCTGTTGAGACCAGCTGCGTTGGGGGTGTGACCGAGGGCGGAGATAGTTGTTGTCATTCGATTTGAGAGCACGTTGAGAGCGGGCATGGCTGACGCACGAGCGGGGAAATTTCGCCGACCTGGCTAGACTAAATTTGGTGGAGCCAAACGTTCGGAGAGCTCTTGTTTATTTTGTCGACCGGTTGCTTTGTCTGTTCATCATCGTTGCTCATCATTGCTATCATTGCTTTCATTGCTTTCCATCGTTGTTTGTCCTGATCTCGCTATTCAACTCGCGAGGTTCTTGAGGATCACCTGAAGAACACAGATGGCCCTTTTCTTGCATTATCGTCTTTCTCTTCTCAAATACAATCGGTCTTTCATCTATTATAAAAGTTGCCTGAGGGTCCTCTCCGTCCCCAGTGCTTCAATAGGTACCTAGGCCGGATCGTCTGCAGACTGCAGACTACAGCTGCGGCCCTGTGCTTGTGCCCTGTGCCCTGTGCCCTGACCAGTACGTACGAACCGGACAACCACCGGACGAGCGAACGAAACAACGAACGGAGTCGGATCGAACCCTCTGCGGCACCCCCGCTTCCGCGCCATGGGCCTGCACTCTAGAGCATGGAGGCTTGTCCGAACTCCGTGGGTGCACTGGGTGGCAGGTCATGGTTGTATTTACTATACACATGTACCGGTATCATACTTACCCGTGTTGTTGTTGTTATTGTTGTTGCTGCGATGCGCGCCTGGACTGAACTGAATCCGGAACCTTGAGACCGCAGGCTAAACTTTCCTCTAGGTACTCTACCTACATAGTTGCCGGTGCTCTACACCTGCCGAGGAGCACATCCACATCGGCGCATGCGCATGCACATTTCCCTCATCCCATACCTAGGAACCTAAGGACTTACCTACCTCCTGCTTACCTACCATAGCAGCCAGCAAATTAGCCACTCCGGGAATATTCTTTTCAACGGATTGCAAAGACGTCCGCATCGGCCGCGGTCTGTGTGTGTGCGTCGTGTGCGTGCGCGGCCGGGACAGACAGACCAGACATATAACCGGCGGCCCGCCTGTCCTTAACTAGGTGACTAGCTTTTCTCCCTTTCCCTTTCCCTTCACATGCTGCAGTGTCTACTGTCCACTGTCCACTGTCGGTCGAGTCGAGTCAGCGCGGCCACAGGATGATAGGACGGTACAGGACGGTAATATACAGGACTGCGTTGCGTTGCATGCTATTGTTGGATGGATGACTGAGTAGCACCGTATGCTCTACGGTTCGATCGAGCATCGTCTGGTCCGCACGGGTGGCGGGGAAAAGATGTGGTCGAGCTCCTCCCCCCGCGTTTGTGCATGGAGGCCACATTCACAAGATGCTGGGTCTTACGGCACGGGCGGTCGGTGGAACCACTGTTGCAGCGGCGGCGGGCAAGAGCGCAGGACGAAGGCCGGCCACGACCACGACGACCACGACGACCACGACGACGCGCTCCGGGCGGCTACCCAGCAAAACAAAAATATATAGAGATATACAACGGGATACAGAATTCCCGGACGGATGCAGTCTTTCGTTCGCTCGTTCGTGCGTTCGTTCGTTCGCCGTCTACAAAAGCTACCGGTTGCTTCCGTGACGATGGATGGACGGGACGGATGGGTGGATGGGTGGATGGGTGGATGGGCGATCGTCCGGCACGGCAGACGGCATCTATATCGAACGTTAGATGCTGCTGGTGCTGGTGTTGCCGCCATTCGAATTCCCGTTTCGCTATGTGCTCAGCTCACAGTTCAGTTGGCCATATCGTGTCGTGTCGTGTTCCCACCATGACTCGATCTGATCCCCATCGAGCGAGCGAGCCAGACAGACTTCCCGCGGAATTGCCAAAAATAATAATAATAATAATAATAATAATAATAATAATAACAACAGCAACAATGCCCCATGATATTCGTTCGGGATGCGACTTCTGCCCGGTCCTGCAAATTCATTGCACATGCACACCCCGCGCGGATTGGAATCACTGCACAGCACACTCGCCACTACTATATGCTACTCTATGCTACCTACTCTATACACATACGCACTCACGTATGTACAACGGCCGGTCGGATGCGGCAGAAACTACCTATGGTATGTACATACTCTGTGTATATGCTACGCATTGGCCGCACCGGGCTACGGACAAACCCTTGCTCATCTGCACGGATGCGGGGGATGGATGGCTGGATGGATGGGTGATGGAGGATGGATGGAGGAGCTGCAGGGTCTGTCTCGGTGACGATATTGCCACGCAGCATCGCAGGACAAACAAAGCCTGTTCCATGTCGGTCGGCAGAGAGAGAGGGGGGGGAAGCGGAAACAAACATTGCACAGCGCAAGCCACGATATCGATGTCAAAGAAGAGAGGGGGGAGGGAGTTAGCCGGTTTCGCGGACGGACGGGTGTGTGAGGCTGTTTCCAACCGTCCATTCGGTGGCGAGAAACGACTCGATCTGTGCTGTGGTGTGGTGTGCTGTGTCCGCCGCGTCTGTACATGCTGGGCATGATGCCCCTCTGTGTTCGCTGCTCGCTGCGGTGCAACGGCGTGCTGCGTGCTGCGTGCGACGTGCTGTGCGACGAGCGCTGGTCGTTTCATCCGGCTCTGCTTACGTCAATGGCGGCCCTACACCGGTGACCGATGGAGGAGATGCAAAACCGTGCCGGCGAGGAAAGCAGCAGGGGGCATCGCGACCACCGGCCCCCGCACTCAAAGGCGGGAGACGCGGGGAAGACGCCCCGTCGTGCTTATAGTACATTTCAAGGCGCCCGCCTCAACTCAACTCGCACTCAACCCCGCGTATGTACCACCAAGCAAGTCTACATACAACCTCGGCGACGAGGCCGCAGTTGGTGCGACGGGTCGGGACAACTACGAGCTAACAGCTGCCCGTTCCGTTCGGTCATCCGGCTCCCGCGTTTCACGACGAGGCCGAGCGATGCCAGGTTTACTATAGTATACCTAGACCGAAGCTTGCCCAGCCCAGCCACCCACCTACGGGGCGGGCAGTATTTCGGCACACTATAGTACAGACTCGGCGAGGCTCCACCTCCGTTAGATCCCCACCCCGAGGAGCGTCGTCGCGGAAAGAGCATGATACATTGATACCAGTACATAGTACATACAAACGTCGGAGCAACTGCAACCGCAATCGAACGAGTGATGCCAATATTGTCGGAATTAAGGACGAGGTTGCGATTTTGAAAGGAGTGATGGAGTGCAGATGCCTACCGTGTATTTACCTACGAAGCAAGGCGGAACCCGGCGTAGTCGCCATGACAAAGCCTTGTGGAGCCTACAATGATCAGCAGAGCCCCAAGCTCACGGACTCTCAGGGATCCAATGTTTCAAAAGACCATGGCTGGTTATAGTAGCGCAAGCGTGGAAGACTCGGAAGAAGAACCTAATCTTGCGAGCGCTCATTCTGCCGCCCAAGCAGGCACGATCGCTAAACACAATGTGCGAGTGATGGCATGTGATTACCTGACCCCACTGCGGAAATCATGTAAAGCGCCGAGGAGCCGAGGACTCATTTACCCCAACCACGGCCCACGGAATACCATCATCAGTCGGATAGACTTGGGGCTCGGTGGATCGAGATGAGCCTCCGCTCGGTGCTTGGTGCTCGGGTCCTTTTGGCCAGTGGGTGGGCGGGAGGGAAGTGGGAAGTGGGTGGGAAGGGCCATGCCATGGGGTCTAATGTTCTAACCTTTTAACCTTCTAGCCTTTTACCTAGAGTACATAGGCGTTTGTTCTGCCGGTTTCTAGAAGTCTGTTTAACCTCGCCTTGTCCCCTTGGAGCGTCCCGGGGGAGGGGGGAGAATAGTGCCGAATGGGTCGGGTCGGCTAAAATATAGTGGAGTAGAGTTGTTTCGCAAATGGAGGAGGGGGGGTATGCTTGTCCGTTCATTCAAACCTGTCCATAGTGGTGCTCTAAAAGTGACAACCTTAATCTCATGTACAATACAATGCGGTACACGGGAATAACATTTGCGGCTTGGCGGTGGCATCGATTATGTTTAAGATTCGATAACTATCCGCCCAAATTTCAATACTTCGAGCCTGGAAACCCCCGCCATCTCCCTGTGATCTGACGGTTTACGTACCGGCACTATGGGCGGTACTATACCAATGTCGGAAGAAAGATCGGATGAAGAAGGGACGAAGAAGAATGGTTCGAAACCTGGGGTCGGAGAGGTGGTGGAGATTGCCTTCCACCCGTCATCATCATCATCATCCGACGACTGGCAGTTTCGAGGCCAGCCTGGGCACTTGCTGGTTCATAGATATGGTTGAGTGGAGCTCCCATTGGACCATATTGTGAGTCTCCTGAAGTTAAAACTCGAGAAAGCCAGGGAGCCAGGGAGCTCGAGGCTGAGCTCCTCGCGTCAGCTCGACGTTTCTTATAGGTTGCGTTTCGATGGTGACGATTCTACCCATACCTCTCTGTCGCTAATGGACGTTGCATAGAGTGGTCTTCGATGAGGATAGACCCAGGAGTTCAGGACTCGAGGTTGATGGTTCGGGGAATATGCATACTACATGTTGGTCTACTATCCTATACGTCTGCACTCTGTCATATTGTGAGAAAGCCTGTTAGGCATACATTGCCCTTCCCCCGCTCCCCCACACCACGCATCACGCTGTGGCCTGCATGAAGTTTCTTTTTCACTCTTATCCATCCATCCACCCTTTCGTTATCTTTATTCCCCACACTTTATGCATCACCACCACTATCCCCTGGACCGTAGCTCGTTTTCGGTCAATGTATCCTTAAAATGCGGATTTCTAGCTCTGATAGCCACTCTAATTAGCTAGCTACCCCGCAACTAATGAGATGGACCTCTTCTCTGTGATCTCCTACTGATGATTATCTTTTCGAGATTTGGTTATGTCCCTTGGTGGGTGAGGGGCGACAAGCTTTTCGGACGATACGATTTTCACCGAATTTCGCCCATTGACAGCTCACCCACGAGCTCAAATATTTTTTCTACAGTCTCGAGAACCTCGGATTATCTCCGCCTTGCTGTGCTATGGGTTCTACGTAATGCTCATTAGTTGGCCTTTCCTGTGGGTGGTCACAGCTCCCTCAACATCGCAGTTTTGGTCGAAAACCCGAATTTTTGAACAGCCGCAACTCATGTAATACCAAATCTTCTACATCCTTGACTCCGATAACTGAACATCATCTGATGAACTTCAAATGATAAGGAGTTATGAGAAGTATTCCTAAAGTTTTGAAATATTTCAGCATATTGTTTTTTCGCATCTTGACGGCATTTCTCTCCTTAACTAGCATGAAAACACCTAAATTGACGCCAGAATCATCACCGGGTACCAGGATATGTGAACTTTGAACAGATCATGTTTGGTTGTAACCATATGGTTGCTGAGTTATAGACCCACTTACGTTCAAAAACGGGCCGGATGACCCAGATACAGCATATCTACGATCTAGGGGATACGCAATTCGATTCGATTCCGTCCATGTATCGTGTGCTTGCATCTTCCACGGCCTTCCATGAAAATTTCAGATATACAACTCGCCGAATCCACCGCCCTTAGATAACCCTTATCCCCCGCACTCACTTACTTAACACTTAACGTATGAACCGTTGCCATGGATGGAGTGGAGTGAGATGATAGGATGATGGGGTGGGATGGAGTGGTGTGAAATGGCTGACACGTGGATGGGTGGGTGGGAAATGAGCGCAATGAAGCTCGCTCGCTCGCTCGTCTATCCGATCGACCCGAGGAGACCGAGGCTTCAGATTGGATTGGATTGCATGCATAGGTAGACGATACCACCGCCCGGCGCCGAGGCATGTTGTTGGGCAGCTTTCGATGGATGCGGTGAGTGGTGAATGGTGAATGGTGGATAGCGGGTGGTGCGGATCCTGCGGTAACTAAGCCGTGTGGCAGGTGCACGTATGTACTCTGGCAGTCGCCATTCAGAATTGAGTGAGTGCTAGATTCACGGCTGCGATGGCTGTTCTAGCCGCCGTTCAGCGTAGGTGTGACTATTTTACCTACGGTTGGCAATCTAGCACTCGTCATTCAGAAGTGAGTGCCAGATCCACGGCTGCTCTAGTCGCCATTTAGCGTAGAATACATTGCCATGATCTACTTAGGTCGCAAGCAATTACTGATTAAACAAAAAAAGCCATTCAGCGTAGATATGACTATTCTTAGGTATGATACTAGCGCTTGGCCATCACGTGCGCTACATATCGTTGAATGAGCGCGTATGTAGGTACTGCACATCCTCCGGAGCCCCGTATTGCACACCTTCCACGTTCCATTCGTTCTTCCACGTTTCCATCGGAATTCCCTTCCGCCCTTCCATTTCTCCAGCCCCGTCGCCCTGTTCCCAGTGCCCACCAGCAGCATTAGTTGCCGCTGCATGTCACCGTGCGGCGTATCGCTGTGCGGCGTGGCCCCAGTCCCGCACTAAGCTCAAACTTCGAACCTCGAGCCCGAACCGCTGTAAACCTCAAAGTGCAGTTCCATTTTTGCAGAGGAAGATGAAGCAGAGTGCATGGAAGGTTCTGAGGGAAGGTGGGAATGCAGTGCACATATACACATGCCCATTCCGCACTGCCTATTACCCACGAAGCGACCTTGCCGCTCGCGCACACGTTGCCCCCCGCCCCGTCGGGAGAGCGTTCGAAGACACAGGCGCAGAACGAAAATCCCGCTGGCCAGCAGTCAATGACAGCCGGATGCAAAAGTATATGTAAGTCTGTCATGATCTACCAAGGTCGAAAGGTCAAAAAGAATTGATGATTAAACCAAAAAAAAAACCAAAAATCCCGTTTTTTCATTTTTATTTTTTGAAAATAAAAGAAAAGCGCTACTATAGATTCGGTATTAATTTTTTTATTCCGCTTTCGAAAAGAAAAAAGAAAAAAGAAGCTTTTTTCCTCAGAATTTTCCCCGTGGGGGGTGTGCCACGATTTTGCTTGTGTACTGTGACGGGAGAGAAGTAACTTTCTCCGCGTCCGCGTAATCAAGCTTTTCATCTTTCGTGCTGCTGGCCCAGTGCCCACCACCGAGACACCGCAATACAGCAGAATATCGCAGGACAAGACTGCGGGGCTGCCGTGGGAGCTGCTGTGGGAGCGGGAGAGAGGAAGAGGAAGATGGAGTGGGAGTATATCACTCGGCTCTTAGGTCTCATGACGGACATCCCACCGGTGCCCATACGTACGGTAGCAAAACCTGACCAGTCCCAAACCCCCCCCCACAGTCCGAGATACCCGGGGCCAGACCAATCAAGCAGGCAAGCCAGCAAAGAAGCCAGACGATGACCGGTGAGCTCGCCCGCCTGCCGCTACATACACACTTACACATGTACATACATTCATACCTACATTCATACATACCCCGTGCTCATACATGTGCATACCCCAGAGTACTCTATGTACCTACCAAACTTCATGCAAGTATGACAGGCGGCCGGAGCCTGCCGCACGCACGCAGCACGCACCTGCCCCTCCCGTTTTTCTCGACATGTGGGGAAGCGAGCGAGGACGGGGGAAACTATATAAGCTCACCACTAACCCACTAACCAACTACTACTACATACGCGAGTAGTTCAATTACGGGATTTGCTCCGATCAGATGCGTGGGCGGGGCGTGGTGGTGATGGTGGGGGTTTCGGCTGCGGCGTGGAGAGAGAGAGAGAGGTATTTTATGCGCATATGCTCCATGTGATTGGTTGGTTCTTACAGAAAATCACGACCAGATTCTCTCCTTCATTGTGCATGAGCCTGCGCAGCTGCGCTTCGCTCATGCACATGTGTGGGGAGAGGGGAGGGGAGTCGAGAGGAAAAAGCAATGGTATGTAATATGGATGGATGGAGCAGGCACAAATCCTGCCGAGAACGTTTTCCATGCACAAGTATATGAATTAGGAGGTAGAGTAGATAAAGCGCCTTCCCCGCCCCACCGTGTGTCTCGGGGGCCATCCGAGCGAGTCTTCATGCATCATCCGTACAGTACCTTAGTCCAATCCCAATTTTGCCACGTTTTCTTGAACTCCTCCTCGCGGCGGTCGCGTCCGCCCCTCCATCGTCCCTGCTTTTTGATGATATTTGGTTCGCACTCCAGAATCCCCCCTAGCAGCTCGCGCGCAAACAGGTCCGCCCTGGGCCAACGGTTCTCGTCTTCGATGATGTGTCCCATTCCGCCGTCGATGGTGAACCACACATGGAAGTATGGCATTTCCTTAATTAGTGCCTTGCGGAATGCCATCTTTCCGTGACCGGACTTGAGGGTGTCGATGATTGGCTTATGTTGCGACCACTGCTCGTCGGCGGAGAGAATCGCTTCTTTGAAGTAGGCAGGTGCCATCTCGCCGAGTTCTCGCGGGAGTGGGACGGCAAAGATTGCGGCATGCTTCCGGCGCGCAGGTGAAGCAGCGTTTTCGTAGAAGATTACGTCTCGGTCCTGAGCGGCGTACATGCGCGTTAAGCTCTTCATGAAGTTCTAATCTGTGGTCAGTCTTGGGCAATGAGCAGCAGAACCCGTGGATACATACTCTTACTTCCTCCCACTCGTCGTCATCGCACTCGAGCATGTTAGTGCGATGTTGGATAGGTACAATGACAGCTCCACCAGTGCACAGCTCTGGTTCCGTCGGGAGCGTCAGGAAGACGCGGGTGGCCAGCGAGATCACGGGTGCCACTGGCGGTTTGTCGTCTTGCTGGCATAGCGGACATGTATCTAGCACTCTTTGCACCTTCTTGAACTCATTGATAGCCATATTTTTGATGTCAATCTCGTTCTTTTGAACGCGCTTGGCAAGTTTCGCCGCATTCTCGTCCATGTAGTCCAGATTGTCCTAAGAGGTAGATTAGAGTGATACCTTATGGAGATGGGGGGAAAGGATTGCTCACATCGAACTTCGCATCCCTCGAGATCCGCTCGGCCATCTGTCGTCCCGCACCTTGTCCCCTCGTGATCTTCTCCTCCCTGAGCATGTCATCGAGTGTCATATCCTCATTCTCCACAACTTTCCCTTTCTTGCCCATCACCACTTCACGGCCTACACGTCCACCCAGTCCGGCAATCTGTCGAGTATCCATCGCCGACAAGACAACGACACCATCCGTCTTCGGCGCCGATCTTGCCGTCTCGACAGCCGCATTATAATCCTCCTCTATCTTCGCCGCCTTCAGATCACCGCGCAGCTGCGCCTTCAACAATGCCGCACGCATCTTGTTGAGCGTAGTCTGATCGACAACCGTTGTTGCCGTAGTTGTCGGCTGCGGAGGAGGAGGAGCGGCGTCCAAGATCCTCGCCTGCTCCTGCGCTGCCCGCTCTTCCAGCTTCACCTCCATATTTTGCCGTTTAGCCAGCCTCTCCCTCCACAGCTCCCCCGTCGGCTTCTCCTTCGCATCCTTACGGTCCATACCATAGACCTCTCTCCTGCCGAGCTCCATCTCCTCCTCCCTAGCATCATCCAGCAACCTCAGATCGCCATACCTCTCCAACGCCACCACCTCCAGATCAACCCCGGTCTCCTTCGCCGTCTCATAACACCTCTTGAGTCTGGTCATCCTCCAATTCGACCCGCTGTCTCCAAACATATACGCGACCTCCCCCTCCTTGGCCCCATTCTCGTCATCGGCGTACTCATCTAGTGACTTCCCGTCGCGCAACTGCTGGTTCAGCTCGTTCTTGTAGATAGTAGGCCGATAATCCGGTTTCACGGCAAGATTTGTCGGCGACGGCTTGCGCGCGCCGCGCTGCGTGTAATCGATAAAGTCCGCGCTGGGCTCGACCATCCACTCGTCGCGTTTAGCGGACGGTTCCGCGGGTTGTACGGATTGTACGAGTTGTGCGGGTTCTGTAGGCTCCAGGACATCTTCCGACTTCGTCTTTTGCGATGATTCCCGCCGCGATTTGTGGTGGCGGTCGGAACCGGAGCCTTCCACCTCGTCATCGCGGCGGGAACGCTTCTTGCGGTGGTGACGATCGCGATCTCGGTCTCGGTCTCGGTCCCCGTCCTTGTCGCGGTTTCGCTCCTTGTCGCGCGAGCGCGACCGGTGGTGGTGCGAGGACCGGTGGTGGTGGTGGCGGTGCGAAGACCGGTGCGAGCGGTCCTTGTCCTTGTCCCTTTCCCTGTCGCGGTCTCGGGATCGCTCGGGTCTGCGGGAGCTGTGTTTTTCTGTTGGGCGGGCGTGGTCGTCGGCGTCTGCCATTGCTGTGTAAGTTGTGTTGGGTGGTTGAATGGGGATTGGATGACGTCGCGTGAGGTGAAGTCGCGCTGTGCGCCAGCTTCCAAGCTAAGCGAAGCGTGGCATGTCACTAACATCATTCGCCACGTGACTTCATGTCATGGGGAATCACTCATTTCACTGACTCTCAAACATCAACAGGTCACTCAACTCGCTATTGAGTCTTCCCCGCCGCTTTTCCAAGCCCCAGCTCCGTACCTGATAATTCGCCTACAGGTCAGGGCTTCACCTTCTCCTTTACAGCGCTCAAAAGCTCCCCGGCCACTCCGGCCACTCCCGTAGCCACATCCCTCACTTTCACCTTCACCGGAGCCTGTGCAGGAGCATCACCAGGCACCTCCCCATCAAAAACCGCATTTACGACCGTCATCAGAACATCTTTGACACCCACTCCAGTACTCGCACTAATCCCTTCCACACCACCATCCAGCACCTCCCACTTCAAACCCGCCTCCCCATCCTTACCCACAAACTCCTTCATAGCCCCCCTAACCTCCCTCGTAATCCTCGCAACCCTCCCACTCCTCACAATCTCATCCTCCCGCAGCAAATCCTGCTTATTCAGCACAACACCGACAAACTTCGTGCCGTAGCCCGCGCGACTGCGCGCATACGTGACTGCGTACGCCAGGTCCTTGAGGGTATTTGGGAGCTCCTCGAGCGACGCCGTGACGTCGATGAAGAACAGTATGCAAAGGTCCAGGATCGGCACGGCGTGCAGGAAGTGAAGCCGCAGCTCGCGACGGTCGCTGCCGCCGATGTCCGAGAATACGAGGCTGCTACTGCTGCCGGAGATGGGGAATTCTTCGACTGTAGGAGTTAATTTAGCTTCATGTGTAAGAAGAAGAAGGGCGGGTACCGTTGCAGCCGGTCGTAGGTTGCACCGGGTATGCGCTGGGACCGCCGTTACGGATCTGTAGCAGGAAGGTGGTTTTGCCGGCGCCGGTGGGGCCTAGGAGGATACAGCGAGGGGGAATGGGAGGCACCGGTGGTGTGGTGGGACGCTGGATTTCATGGAAAAAGCGGAGACACGGTTGGCAATTGAAAGGCATCTCGTTGTGGAGGATGGATTCTCAACGGAAATGGGATGTCTTCGGGATCCAGAGGCATGGAGGGTTGTCCCGAGACGAACTTTGTCAAGAGCTTTTCTTTGTGAAAGTGTGTTGTCAGAACGTAGGGATGCGCTGGCTGTAATAGCAGAAAAGCGTGAAGAGAGAAAGATGGGGCATGGTTGGAAGTCCCAGCTAATAATACAGATGGGTCCTCAGGGTGGAATGCAATAGGACGTAGGAGAGGATCACATTTGCAATCCCGCTGTGGGGTGGGTGAATAAGGCTGAGCTAACAAAGCCCATTCCCGCTTCATGCATTCTCGCTAGCTAACTAAATTGATAATCATTAAATATCATTCTTCTACACCATGCCCAGTCCAAAATATCATACACCGAAAACACACCTCTACCCAAGCCTACGATGACCCAAGCTGCTCCTGAGCCTTCTTCCAGTTCTGCGCGGCCTGCATGAGCTTGAGCATGCCAGCGTTGACCTGTTCGTCGGCAGGGAACAGGTAGTCCATGTACTCCTCGTACGAGTCGTCGTCGAGCTTTCTTCTCTTCTTGACTCGCTTGGGCATCTGATCCTCGACCTTCTTGAGATCTTCGGCGCCTCCGTGAGTACTCTCGAAGCTCTTCCATGCGTTGAGCAGCACCACCCGCTCCTCCTTGAGATCCTTCTCTTTGAGGCTCTTGTACGCACGATCGAACACCTTTCTTGCACGTGCTTTGGCATCCTCCGACACCGTGTCCTCGCCATCCACCTCGATCTCGTCCGCGTTGATCTCGAAGTGCGCGTACGAAATCCATACCTTGACATGGTCGGTCTTCTGCAGGAGCCGCTCGAACAAGTCGCGGGTACGCTCGAACTCGCCAGACTCCTCCTCGAAGTCGATGAACGCTTTCCACACGAGCTCGGGCATATCAAGGGTGTCTTGCTCAATGGCAAGTTCGAAGATGGCGCGCGCACGGTCCTCGTCTTCGAGCGCGATCTCGAGCTCCGCGAAACGAATCCATGTTGCCGCGTTCGACGGGTTGAACTCGATGTGCTTTTCGTACAGCGTGCGGCACCGCGAGAACTCGTGCAGCTTCGTTTCTAGCTCGATATAACCCTTGAAGAGCTTGTCCTTTGGACACATACCGATGGCTTGGCCGAGAGTCTTGCGTGCTGCGGAGAGGTTCATCTGACGGATCTCAAAGTGAGCTTTGAGAAGCCAGATCTTGGCGAATGTGAACTGCTTGTGCGGGATGAGCTTGAGACACTCGTTGTAGATCTGCCGTGTACGCTCGATATTCTTGCCCACTGTCTCCTCCCACAGTACGTAGAAGATCCAGAGGTAGATGTAGCGTCGCCAGTGACGCTTCTCGCGAGTTGGCGGGATGTTCGCAATGGCACGCTCGTAGACGTCCCGGACCCGGTCGGGGTCGCCTAGGGTCTCTTCGAGCCGTGCATAGTCGAACCAGACATCGTAGTTTTTGGGATTCTCTTTGATCTGTTCCTCGTACTGCACTCTCCGCTTGGAAAGGATGACGTCCTCGACTCCTTCCCGTTCACCGTACTGCTTCTCGAATGTCGTGTAGTTTCTGTGAAGGAGGTAGGATTTGGACCGGGGAAGACGATCTAGAGCGTATTTGTAGATAACGCGGGCTCGCTCGTACTCCTTGAGTTTTGCTTCGTACCTGCTACTGTTAGCGTTTGCCCTTCTCCATTCGAAACACACATGGGTGGACTTGCCTTGCGTAGGCAACAAATAGCTTCTCATCCATAAACTCATCGCCCAGCGTCTCAATGGCCGTCGTGAAGACTTCGCGCACATTATCCTCCGTCCCAAACTCCTCCTCAAACCTAGCCCACTTGATCCAGTTCCTTGGCTCGGGATGGACCTGCGTGAATCTCTGGAAGATCGCTCTCGCCCTGCTGATCTCACCATACCGCTTTTCCAGCTTGACGTACGCACTCCATGCGGCCTCCTCCGGCTCCCAGCTCATCCAGCGCTCAAACACTTGTCTCGTACCCGGAATATTGCCCAGAGTCTCCTCCATGTAGACATATTTGTACCAAAGCTTATCCACTCTCGGCAGGATCGTAACCGCGCGATCCAACAAGTTTCTTGCATGATTGATATTCCTCGTCTTCATCTCGGCCTCAATGTATCTCAACCAGAGGATGACACTCCTCGCATCGACATCAAGCGCGCGCTCGAAAATCGATCTTGCACGCGCATACTCCTTCTGCTCGAGCTCCCACTGCGCATACCGCATCCAGTTGTTCATGTTGATCCTGTTGCGGCGCACATAGTCTTCGAATTCCTTCCGCTTGCGCCCCTGAAATTCGTGGAGTTCTTCGAGGTCGGCGAAGCGCTGCGTGGGTGCCTGCAGGCCTGGCTCCTGTCGCTCGAAGGCTTCGCGGAGGATCTGCTCGGCGCTGTTGATGGAACATTGTTAGCATGGAGTTCGGGAGACGGTGGATGCGTGGGGGCGTGCCTGATCTGCTGCGCTGAGGCAGACTTGTTTTTGACCCGTGGGGGGCCGCGTGAGGTCTCCATGATGGCGGGTTATGCGTGTGAATTCGTATGAATGTCGGTGTTGAAGGTGTGTTGGTTGAGCTTCTCGCGAACGAATATCTGGTCGGACTGACGTGAAGAATCACGGTTGCGCGCGACAAGGTTATGGTTACTTACAGTTAAGCGTCTCGGGTGTTCACATCGGTTACCCGGCACTGCACGGGGTTGTGCAACGACTATTGCAATGGAGATGGCCATGCAGAGAAAAGAAAAGAATTGAGCTTGAGGATTTACTGGACTCATACTACTGTTAGATTAAACATTGGGGTTTTCCGGAACGGCTGGATATCGTTCCAAAGCTCAGGAAAATAACTTTTGTGTATCATACCGCTAATCACTCGTTCCACTCAATCACTCGGGAAATCTTCATATCGTAGCTCTAGTTTTGACTTTGGAAGCATATTTTACTGCGGGATTTCGGTAGTAACGCCGTTTCAATACGTCACTAACCAACCAGGTAGAATGCGCGTTAACGATGTAGCAACAATGGGTTGGGTGCGGACACCATAGGGCAGAGATTTAATAATTCTAAGCTTTTAAACCGCGAATTACTCTAGGACTCTCTATTCGGCCTGCGAGAGCGCTACTAAACATCGGAAAGAACTTATGATATGGTTGTCTGTGCATGCAAATACCGGATGCCATTTAGAATAAACATTTTCTTTAGTGAAGATCCGTTTGAAGGGAAAAAACATATCCTTCCTTCGCCTCGAGCAACTTTTAGAGCCATGCCCAGGCCCTGAATCACTCCGCTCCTTTTGTCTCTTGTGAATGTACCCAGGCTTTACTTGAGCATGAACTCTTATGACAAAGATCTGGCGATTGATAAGATAGTCCATGCGAGTGATGGATCAAGAGGGCTGCTAGAGCGAATAAAGGTGTAATGCCTACGATTTTTTGTTTGTTTGTTTGATCATACTCGTATTTAGCCCATCTGGACTCTAGCTACTTCCATTCCATCTCCCCGTTTCTGCCAGTTCTAAAAAAGTGCTCGGTTCCAGCAGCGTGTGTATTCCAGTCAGGGATACGGTGGGTAGTTTTTCCTTAACAGTAGATTAAGATACCAATTCATGCTTCTTCTTCTTCCTATCTTTTCCCCTTCCCACACTTAAGATTCTCCTCTGGCTTTTTTGTGAAGGATGAGTGGCGTACAAGTCCGTGCCCAACGTATTGTTGTTACACCGTGAACGTGCGTCTTGGTTGAGTTGGGGAGTGGTATGAGTCTATCGTCAACAGTGTCCCCTAAATGTCCGGGGCAGTTGTAAATTTGTTGCAATGCATAGTATGTCCATTTGGAGGCGACAGTGCGTCTACACAACCACACGACTCACTGTCTCGATTGGTTTGGTTGCAGCTGTGGCAGCTGTGCTGATAGCAGTCACGGTTGCTACCATGAAAATCGCCGTCACCGCCTCTGACCCACTGTACTCTACTTCAAACATCCTCGGTGCCAATATCAGAGACAATGAACAACAAGGCTGATACAGAGGTTATGGTGCCGGGACTAGGGCCACAAGCAGGCAGCCAGGTGGCAGACGGGCCACCTGCGGATACTACCACACCGGCGGCAGACTCAATCACTATACCGGCGGCGGACTCTACTTCTACACCGGCGGCGGACTCTTCCATTTCACCGGCGGCGGACTCTTCTACTGCAATGGCGGCGGACTCTTTTACTACGACCGCGGACTCTTTTACTATACCTGCACCGGCGGCGGACTCTTCTACTACACCGGTGGCGGACTCTTCTACTACGGCGGTGGACTCTTCTCCTACGGCGGCGGACTCTTCTACTTCACAGACGGCCGACTCTTCTCCTGCGGCGGCGGACTCTTCGACTTCACAGACGCCGGACTCTTCTACTTCATGGACAGCGGACTCTTCTATTGCACCGGCAGCAGACTCTTCTACTGCACCGGTGGTGGACTCTTCTACTACACCGGCGGCGGATACTACACCGGCGGCGGATACTACACCGGCGGCGGATACTACACCGACGGCGGATACTACACCGGCGGCGGATACTACACCGGCGAATACTACGAGTAAGCCTAAGAAATCGGCTTTAAAGCGCTCAAAAAATAACGGTGCAACTGCAGGACCAGATTTTTCCAATGTAACGGAAAGGAAGTCGGAACATCGAAGCCCCACATCTAGCACCCGCACGTCTAGTCCCCGTCCCCGTATCAACCCTGCTCATATCAAAAAAACGAATAATGTTTGCTACAGTAAGATCTTCGGGGTTACCAAAGTACCAGACACATGTTCTCATAGCTGGGTTGCTAAGGCTGGAAAGCGGCAGGAGTGTGTGGTTCATCGGTTCGAGTTACAGGCAGCTGGGTTTAAAAGTGATCATAGGGCACCACAGGGAAGTTGGTGTTGTGAGAATTGTAACCTGTTTTTCTGTGCCGAATGTCTAGGAAAGCCGCAGGAGGAGGGAAGCGGGAATTTACGCCGCTAGAGACATAATGGTGGAGAGCCTGTTTCTACTGATTTACACATGTTGCTCGACGGAATCCACTCGCCGAATGCTTTTGATATTATTCGTTGCCAACCTTTCTGCATCGTTGTAAAGCGCTACAATGTATTTTACCTCCATTATAATTGAGAAGAAGTGCATTTACCGGCGATGGTTAGGCCCCGCGTGCTGTAGGACCACTGTGTTCATCTACTCGAAGCCGGACGACGAAGAACGTTACTTATGGCTAGTATAGGCGCCGAGCCGCCCATCTCTTTAGCCGCGCTACCACTCAGATCTCGGTGATGTGAGAACTCCGCGGTATCAAGGATCAATTTCCCAAATGCGCGCACCGAGGGTTCCGAAATAGGCTACAGAATGTTGGAGTCCTGTCGGTGGCACAGATTATCACCGGAAAACAGTACCAGTAGTTTCGCTGCGTCAGCGCTTCAAAATATGTGTTACCATTCAGTTGGGCCCAGCTTTGAGACTCGTCGATATCACGTCAACCCACCTGCATGGCATTGCTATCATATCCTGACGGGACTCTATCACTATTTTACACACCCCCTTCACTATACAGTAGGTACTTGCTTACGCACCAGAGAAGGTAAAAAAAAAGGGGAGAAAAGAAGTATTTACAACCGTGTCAGCACATCGGAATACATCTCAAAAATCTAGGAAAGAAACCAGAGGGGAGTAACCACACATGCACTCATCAAACGCCCAAATCGCAACCGTAGCACATAGCACCCGACGAAAATCAACAAGCAACACGACAAGCAGGAAAAGGGAATTATTTAGTAGAAGTCCCTAGCACTCTTGTGCAACTCGATCAACCGCCAGCCATTCGTTTCGGGGTTTGCAACCTCGTCTGCCAGACGTGTGATTCCGATGGCGTATGTGACCTGCTGCACCTTGTCCTCGACCCCGGCCTTGAGCTCCTTCGTCTTCAGGTCCCGGTACACATGCACTTCGTTCGTCTTACAGGTGATGATGAACACAGGGATGTCACCAGGGTCCAGGATGCGGGCTTGGAGAACGTCGACACCTCTGACATCGAGAATCTTTCCATCCAACATCAGTCCGTTAGTGGCGTATTGTTTGTTCAGCGCAGCGTAGACATTGAACTGAGCATCCGAGAGCCACGCCTTAAGGGTCTCGGTGTCGCCCTTTACGTATGCGTCGAGGACCTCCGGGAGGATATACTCTCGGAGCTCACGCAGGAAAGGCTCGAGCTGGAAGTTGGGGTCAATCTCACGCATCTTGCGGATGACCATGGCAGTTTCGTTCTCGGCGAAAAAACCGGCGAAACGGTCGGCAATGCTGCGGCCAGCCTCGATAAATGGGTTCTCTGATTCCTCCAGGTTCTTGCGTGCGCTGAAGATTCCTTGGATGAACTTATTGGAGTCGCGGAACTCGCGCCAGGATTCTTTCCATTGGGCGTCTTTGTGGAGTGTTACGTTGGTGCCAGCTCTGTAGATATAGGTCAATTATTGCTCCAGGGAGGTAGATGGTGTGGGGAAACATACTCAGGATCTTCGTCAAACTTCTCATACTTGTGGGGGTTCTTCATCTCCCGCAGCTCACGCTGCTTCTTGCGCTCCTCACGCTCCAAGAAACCACCATACCGACTGCTAGCGCCGTCATCGACGACCTCCTTGATGTTGCTCGTCACGTCTTTGTACACCTTCGTATCCCGAACAGGTTTGGTGACCTGGGCAACACCCTCTCCCGTCTTCTTCACCGCTGTTCGTCCAGCCTTGACGACCGGCGTGTTCCAGGTCCATTCGACACCCTTTCCGACTGCAGATGCTGTCTTTCCGAGAGTCTCTGCCGTCTTTCCTCCGACCTTTCCGGCGACCTCGGCGGTCTTCGAGTAGCCTTCACGCGCCTTTCGGACGGCCGGGGATTCGGTGAACTGATTCGCAGTGGAGGCGAGCTGCTTGGTGGACTCCTGCCACTCCTGTGACTTCTTGAACTCGGTCTGGAGTGTCTCCATGAAGACGGCCAACGGGGACTTGTCACCGTGCGGGGGTGGTGGTGGCGGGGGCTCCTCCTTCTTCTTCTCCTCCTGGCCCTTCTTGTTGTCATCTTCATCCGCCTTCTTCTCCTCGTTCTCAGGCTTCTCCTCAGCCTTTGCCTCCTCGTCTACCTTTTTCTCCGCCTCCTCCGGGATTGATGGTTTAGCGTCCTTGTTCCTCCATTGCCCCAGCGTTGAGAACTCGCTGCGCAGCTGCAGTTGCGAAACCTGAGCTACCCCAGCACCCGCTCGTCTGTCAACCAGCAGCGAATATGGCCTCGCCCGCTCTCCCGAAAGCTGTAGTTGTATCCGCTGATTTCCGCCGATACGTAACGCCGCCGGCCTGACGGAAGGCCCCCGCAATCCGTGGACAATTGTCGTGGCAACACCTCGTCTCGCTGCCTGCATGATGTATAGTATTTCAAGCCCGGTGGAAAGATGGTGGGGTGTTTATCGTGTCGTGTCGTGTCGTGTCGTGTCGTGGAGGACGAACGGGTGCACTTAAGGTCGTTGTCGGGCAGCGGGCTCTTCGGCTCACCAACTTTTTTTGCCCAAGGTTTACTCTGGTACCCGGCTCCAACTGCGCCACCTGGTTAGCGCCACACAACGCCCCCGGAAAAGAAAGGTCTGCCCAGCTTATTCTCCCGTTCGACAGGGTTTCCGCTTCTAGCTCCACTACCCGGATGAGCTCCCCCCACAGTACAGCTTCTCGCCACCACCTCCACCATAACGAACGACAAGGAAGTCAGAAGAGATGTCAGATTCGTTTCGGATAAGCCAGCGACTCTCCTACGACGGGGCGCTATGCACAATACGATACATCGGATGTGTAGGCGATACAAAGGGAGAATGGCTGGGTGTTGAGTGGGACGACGTTCTACGCGGGAAACATTCGGGCTTTCACCAGGGGAGGAGGTACTTCGAATGTACGTACTTAGAGAGCTTCATCCAGCTCACATGTAGCTTTCGGATTTTTTGTGTACCTTCTTTGGTTCATGGTTGACGTGAGTTGTAGGTAAGATACCGGGCTCGGGATCCTTCATTAGACCGACGAGAAAGCCCGATACCTCACTGTCGTTCATCGAGGGCCTGAGGAAGAAATATACTACCGATGAGGATCCGCCCGGAAAACATGCCGAGATCATCCTCACGGCGAATAAGGTGTTTGAAGAGATTGGGTTCGAGAAAATCATCAAGAAGCTTTCGCAGCTGCAAGAGCTCAAGATTATCCTTCTTGACGGCCTCCGAATCGATTGCGTTGACGACGTCGAAGTCATCCGTGCTACATGCCCCAGTATGTTCGCCCACCAGCTTTACCGGATCACATAGGTGCTAACTATCCGGGTGAAGACATCGAGGAGCTCGACATCTCGCGGAACCGCTTCGAAAAGCTGGAGGATGTAGCACTCATCTGCTCAGCACTTCCACGGCTCCATGCATTACGGATAAGCGGAAACCGTTTCAATTCCTTTGGTGTATCCGACGGCAACAAGTCAGCCTTCAGCGGCATCACCTCTCTCGAAATCGCCAATGTCTTGCTGGACTGGAACGAGCTCAGCCAGCTGCTTTCCCTCTTCCCGGACGTCAAAACACTAATCGGCCCACACAATGAGCTCTCCTCCATTCCATCACCGCACCCATTCCCCATCTCCGTCACAGCCCTGGACCTAAGCTACAACACCTTCCCCTCCCTCTCCTCGATCTCCGCCCTCTCCTCCCTCCCCAACCTCACCACTCTCCTCCTAGCGCACAACACCATCTCTACGCTTACCACGGCGCCCGGAACCACCTTCCCAACCCTCACCCGCCTCGACCTAGCCTACAACACGCTCCCGACATTCACAGCCCTCGATGCGCTTCCACCAAGCACGCCACACCTGACCAGCCTCCGAATCTCGCACAACCCTCTCTTCAGCACCGACGGCGTCACCCTGGAGGAAGCGCACATGCTAACGATCGGGCGGCTACCCGCCTGCGTCACCATCCTGAACCACAGTACCATCACGCCCAAGGAGCGAGAGAACGCCGAGATATGGTATCTCTCGCGGGTGGCAAAGGAACTGTCTACGACTACCGACTCGCGGGAGGCGGTGCTGACGCGCCATGCTAGGTGGGACGAGCTGTGTAGACTCCATGGAGAGCCGGCGGTTGCGAAGGAGGCTGCCGATGAGAAAATTCTTGCGGCGAGGCTGGTGGATATGGTCTTGGTCGGGTTGGAGAAGGAGGTCACTAAGAGGGTGCCTAGGGGCATGCCGTTAAGTACTCTGAGGGCCTGTGTTGGTAGGTGGTTTGGTATTGATCCCATGAAGGTTAGGTTGGTCTGTGGAGGGGGGGACGAGGGGGACGAGACGGTGCTTGGTGGGCCGGAGGATACGAAGGAGGTGGGGTTGTCAGTGGAGGGGAAGAGCGTGAGGATCCGCGTAGAGTGTGCGTAGCCAGCCAATGGGAATACCTAGTATACGGCTGTCATAAAATGGAAGATATGATATCACAATGATACCCGATGTGGAACGGTCAATCGTTGTAATCGCCTATGATACAACCCCAGTGCATGAAACCCACAACCTGAAACCCCATCGTAAATGAAACAAATGAGAAATCAAACAAATTTATCATGCGCCAATTCCCCCATCCATTCCTGGCAGCCTGCGTGCTTACAACTTCTTCATCGCGTTCTTCTTGTCGGCCTCGACGTTCTTAAACGGGAAGCCGGACGTCCTCTTGTCGGCGCCAGTCTTGCGGGAGATGTGACCGTTGCTCGCACCAAAGAGCATGACCCAACCACCAACAGCCGCAAACAGCGCGTGCGCAACAACAGCAATGATGTAGGTAAATGCGTGGCCAGCTGTGTACATGGTGTAGCAGTAGAAGGCGACGGCGCAGTGGTACGTGAGTGTTATCGTCAGCGAAGGGACGGCGTAGGGAGCTGTTGGGTCGGCGAGTTCAGTGGAGGTGCCGTGCGCTGCAGGCTCGGAGAGGGCGGACTGGGAGACATGTTAGTCTGGGGGTACGGTGTGAAGGGAATGCGGAGGTGTCTACCGTCAGCGGCACACTGCCGGTTAGGAGTAGGTTTAGAATCGCGAAGGCGATGAGGGTGATCCCTAGTGAGCGCGAGAGGTACTCCTCCAGCGCGGTGGACTCGCGGACATCGGGCGAGAGAAGGGTGATGATCACCGTGGGCGAGAAGATCAACGGAATTGCCTCAAGCACCATCCATCCCGCGGACACTGTGGTTCGTCAGATTTGCTGGGAAACGAGGGGAGCCGGGGGTACATGCTGTAGTTAAAGTAGTAGTAAACGTCCATTGCGATATTTGTGATGTGGATTGTAGTGTTTGGTGTGGTTGAGAGGGTGGATTATGATGCGATGATGAAGGTACTTTGGTGGAGAAGAACGGGGGAAGAGGAGCTCTTTAAAGCGGTGGATTGGGGTGGGCTGTGGGCTGTGGGCGGTGGTGGGCTGTGGGCGGTGGTGGTTGGATGCACGTAACAGGGAGCTGGCTGTGAAACCGATGATGTCACAGTAGTCGCCCAGCGATTGAGCTCACGTGACCATTCTTATCGGGCTAGCATGTGCCGGAGATCTTATCGCCAGTTTTTGAAATTTCTTCAAGGCCGCGAGCAAAAGACGCGAAGTTTCTCACCACCAAGTGGCGCCGACGAACGAAACAATCTTTACGGCGCACTCTACTTTTCCACAAAACCCGACGAAATGACGACCTCGACCCTCCACGCTGCCTCGAAGGCCCTCGATAGCCTGCTCGCCGGCACACCGAGTAAACCCTCCTCCTCCAAGCCCCGCCGAAAGAAGACCTCGAGCAAGAAGCTCTTGGCCACCGTCGACGTCAACGATCTCGACCCGGCGGCGCGCGCACAGCATGAGGCCGAGGAGAAGAAGCGCATAGAGGACGCCGTCAAGCAGCTCATGCGCGGTACCAAGGTCAAGAGGGATGAGCTGGAGGTGCGAGAGAGGGTATGTTTCCATTTGGGACAGCTGGCTGGATGTGATGAGGGTGAATGCTAAGTACTTTGCTCTGCGCGATAGATCCTGACGATGAGGGAGGAGCAGACAGGCAAGAAGACGAGGAAGAGAAAGGCTGCGGTGGACTTTTTCGATGACAGCGATTGAGCAAATAATGGGGTCTAGACAAAATAATAAATAGGAACGATTACATGTACATATGATAATGGATGGCGTCATGGGAGCGCTCGAGGTTGCAGGCAGATGGACTGGTGATGGTCGCGGTAAGGCGTCGGCCACCGTTCCAACCGAGAGAAAACCTCCAGCCTCGCCGATCAGGAACGACAAACGGCTTCCTCCACGAACTAACTGCCTTGCTCACCGCCAAACAGCATCGCGTTCCCCGAGTGACGCATTCCTTCATGTGCCCCTCATCATCGCCGCAAAAGGCAAGATCTCGAGAAAGTCACATAAGAAAGTCATGAAAGTCAAAAGATGTCGTTCCGCTGCCCCTCAACCCAGATGCCCCGCGAGAGGACAAAAAAGCTGGCAAGCTATCGCCTGCCACGAGGAACAACGGATCTGTCACTGTCTCTTCGGTGTCCACACATTCCGGTCGGGAGAATCATTGTTTGACGCTCGTCACCGGGATGCTCTAGCAAAATTCCAAAGATTTTAAACGTTCACTTTCGTGAACGAGATTCTACAAAGAACCAGAATTAAGAGAAGGAGCGAAATCGGCGAGTTTTGTAGGGAAACAATGCCAAGCCTGTCGGCGAAAATTACGCGTTAGTTTGAACGGCACGTGGACGCTATTTAATCTGCAGAGTGATGGACTATGATATGACTAGCATCTTCACCACGCCTCCGAGTCCCCATCCCACCACTACAACGGCAGTCAATATTCGTCCGGGAGGGTATAAATCATGGCTGAACAATTTGATATCCAGAGACATATTTTAACACTTCCAAGCCTCTTATTCCCCCTCCTAGGAAAAGGACGGCCGTCGTGGCCAGTAATAGTGCTGGCACTACGATCCCCTCCGCCTCTACTGGCACACCAAAGACGGAAGGCTTTCAAGAAGGATGCGTTGAGCGCATATAAGATCCGAAGCGCATAATTCCTTACCCAGGAAGAAACGCTATGTATGAGGACTCCGGCACAGCGCAAACCCCAATCGATCAAATCCACCCGCTATGTCACATGCGCATCATTTCTCGGACTCTCTACTGTGAAATCTATTCTATTCGCTGGTTGCCCGTTACTCAGTCCTCTAAAACTTGGCACTCGCCTGCTCTGGTACAATGCTCTTAAGAGTATCCTGTTCCACCGCCATGCGAACATTCTCAATCGTCCAGCACTCCATTTTATACTGTGTCTATCACCGCCAGCACCATTAGCCTCGCATCCTCCCTCGCCGGTACGAAGCAAACATACCTCATACGTAAAAGTCCCCATATGCGGCACCAGCATAACGTTTTCGTTGGCGACGAGGCCGGGATGCACATTCGGCTCGTCTTCAAACACGTCGAGGCCACAGCTTGCCACCTTCCCGCTGTCAAGTGCCTTCACGAGTGCATCTTCATCCATCACTGCTCCGCGGGCGGTGTTGATGATCACAACGCCGTCCTTCATCTTGTTGAATTCGGCGGTGGAGATGATGTGGCGGGTGTGTTTCTGTTTACATCAGCTACCATCCGCGTCTCTCTACCATCTCGGAAGGGGACCTACGTTCAACGGCAGATTGAGCGAGATGACGTCACTCCTGCTCAGCAGCTCATCGAACGAAACATACTCTGCGCCTTCCTCCAACTCCTCCGACAGCTTGTTCCGGTTGTGGTAGATGGTTTTCATCCCCATCGCATCGGTCCGTTTCTTCAGTGCTCTTCCGATCCCGCCCATTCCCAGAATCCCCAGCACCTTCTCCTGCGGGTCATGTCCGAGCTTGCATCCTTTCAGCCATTCGCCCCTCCGCAGCCCGACCATTCCCCGGTTGAACCTGCGGATCGCGCCGATGATAAGGAACAGGTTCACATCGGCGGTGGAGTCGTCGACCGCCGTAGGGACGTTGGAGACGCGGATCCCTTTGGCGGTGCACGCGGCCACGTCGACTTGGTCGTAACCTGCGCCGTTGTGGCAGAGGTATTTGAGCGAGGTGGGGAGCGCGGCTACGAGCTCGGTGTCGATCAGCCCCGTGATGGAGACAGAGGCGAAGGTGCGGTACGCCGCTATAACTTCGGTGAAGGCGCCCGATGAGCACTCGGCCAGGAAGTCGGTGCGGTCCGTGGAAGTCGGTGTGATCAGCGTGGCGATGGAGGAGAGGGCTTCCCACTCTTTCTTTGCACTGATGATGGGTTAGTTCTAAGCTGTCTGCCAAGTCAAAGGGGATGGATGGGGGCGTACTGGGTGATGTTGCCGAGCAGGAGGACCTTTGGTTTAGTCATCGCAGCGGTGTAAGGTGCTTCTTAAGTTACGTTGCAGTAAATGTAAGAACAGCGAGGTGCCTGGGGGTACATATAAAACAGTTTCCACCGCAGTTGTTTGTCCGTCCGCCAGGCTGGTTAGATGCGGGACTGCCCGCGATGACATCGGCGCGAAATGGTGGGGTACGGAAGCTTACCCACCTATCTTATCGCAGCTGTACCCTACAGGGTCCACGCGACGGGCGGAATTGCACCGATGGCGAATCTTTGCTGCATGGGGAGAGCACTTGCAAGATGCTGCTCCCAGTTTTAACTATCGCTACCGAAACATCTGCCGTGCATCTGAACTTCTGAAGGCCAGTGGCAGCAGTGCTACCGCAATCCAATATAGATCTAGGTGAATCACGTGTTCGCCAGGATTGAATAAGAAGATCTGGAGTAACTAACCTTCTCTCAGAGCCTCAAAGCAGTGCTGATCGACTAATATATAAGGGCCTGTTCGGGTGCCAGCTGCATTTTTCAAACCTTGGGTTTCTAACGAGTTGAAGGTTACCAAAGTTGCAGCTGCAAACTCTCATCTCCCACGATGAACCGTTCGGCAATCCAGATATTCAACGGCACGCCACACTTTCGATGTGTATTGTGGCTCAGTCGACAATATGCAGTTTCTCAAATTGTTAACGTGGGGTGGTGTGCCGAACGGTCACACATCGCTCGGAAACTGAGGGTTTCAAACTGCATCTCAATTTTGTGTGGTATCATAGGTATTCAAAATGCAGCTGGCAGACGAACAGGCCGTCTTTAGCACGAATTTTTATGGAGGCCTCCGATACCATGGTACATGAGTGTCATTATGTATAAAAAAAACAGAGCACAAAACCAGTGCACCACCATATATACAAATCTGCCCCATTCCATCCACAGAACTACTCAATTTCCCCACCTAACCAGCAAACCATGGTGCCTTTGCGCAAATCGAAGTCATCGAGATATTCCACGTCCCATTACCCTCCTCCGCAAACAACCTCATACCTCGTATTCCACTCCAGCCCCGACCGAATAGGAACATCAAAAGTCAGTGCATTGCACGAATATCGCCCCTTCATATCATCAATCTCCGCGTCCTCACTTTGTCCGATATGTGTCCCACTGTAGTCTTTCCATCCTCCCAAGTCCGCTTCCACGTCCTTCCAGATAAGCGCGGGGGGTAATTCGGCGTTCCCACAGATTGCGAACAATGCATACTCCTTTCCCCCACGCATTTGTGGAAGAAAGGAGAACGAGCGTTCGGTGGTTGATGCTGGCAAGAATGCCGGTTCTTGCAGCACTTCGACCTTGGGTGCGACGTTTTCGCAAGTTTCGTTGTCCCCATGTGAGAGAAGAATTCGGCAGATGTAAACTTCACAGGCCCCAAAGACGATATAAAGGTGGGTTTCACTCCACGAGAGCATGAATGGAAGCTCCGGATGCTCGGGGACTTCGAAGGGATTCCGATACGGCGAGATCCAGGAGACGTGTGACTTTGTTTCGCTTCTCAGAGAGACCGTTTCGACATCTAGCGACTCATCAACTAGAAACTCGAGGCGACTGATCTCAATGTCCCATTTAAAGCCGTCTGAGAAGTCCCGGGTGGTTGTGACCTGGTGCAACATGTCTCCGGAGCTCGAGAAACTGTAAACTAGATCAAGTTAGTCCTTGTATCTTAATCTCGCAAATGTCCTTAAGAAGACAAGTACCTCTTGCAACAGGAGCACCGTTGTATTCCGGATCCTTCGAGTGGTTAACGTTCTTCATTTTACCCGTCGAATAGTCGATGACCACCGTCGTCGAACCATCCAATGGAAGCAAAACAAAACTCTTTGTCGGATGAAAGGTCGGGGGCGATTGTCTTAATGGCAGCTCTGTCGTTTCGAAGTGAAACCATTGAGGATCTTGATCGTCGGGAGAGATGACGAGACTATTGCACGAGATATACTTCTCCGGTAGGCCAGTGGCACTGGAATCATCGCTGTCAGACGAATATCCCGTGTCGTCTGTCAATTCCAGATTGGGTTCGGAATCGGAATTGAAATTGAAATTGGAACCGGAATCGGAATCGGAATAGGAATCGGACTCAGCTGTATCGGAATCGATATCGAAAGCGTCAGGGGACAAATCATCGTCACAAATATTGCTTGCGACACCATCCTGCAGTTGGTCTCCGGCAAACTTCAACCAACAGTATGAAGTTGCAGAAGTGCTGCCGTGGCTCACATAATGTTTGTTGCGGAAAATCATCCTTTTTCCACCATCGGGGGAGTGTGCGAGCATGATTTGTGTGAGTATCTCGCCGTTAACCGTACGGATGCATTCCGAATTGAATGATGCCCGGAAGATGTCAAGCGAGTCGGATCCGAGTGAGAAGATTGTTTCACCATCCGAATGGATGGCAAATGTGTCGGATGAAACCTGTAACCAGGCCCTTTGGAAAGTAGCGTCCGATGATTTCGGAGAAAATACAAGCTTCGTTTCTCTTCTCAACTTGGGTTTCAATCGGGTGAGAGAGATTTGCCACTCTTTGACAGAACAACGGAGACTCGTCGAGGGTTTTGCGTCCGGTTCAACCACGATTGACCATATAGTGATCTCTGTCGGCGAAGCCTGAACAGAAAAGAGGTGCTTTTCTGAGTGGTTCACGGGGCTCCGACCTCCCACGCGTTCGCTGTGTTCCTCTAGAGCCAGTGCCTTCCATCTTTCTGATCTTTGGGTGTGGAGGAAATTAAGCTGCCCAAGCGAACCTGGGTGGCAGTGACGAATTCCTCCCCGCCGACGGAGAAGGACCAGCCCAAACTCCCTGATAAACATCTGGCAGCCGTAGACCAATTTCGCCCCGTCATCATTGTATTCGGAAAGCCATTTTGGAAGAGGGTCTGCGAAATACTGAGAGGAACCAGGGGCGAGCGAGTAAACATCCTCGGGGGTGTTGATACAAAATATCCCGCCCCTGTTGCCGTCCCTCATATACCGTGCTAGTTGGTACGGTGCGTACTGACTTTGAACCCAGATACAAGTCAGAAACTTGGATGATCTCACGAATCTTGTGATCGCCCTGAAAACATCGTCTGTTCCGAGTATTGAATTCAAGTGTTGATGCCAGAATATGGATGCGTACTTCAGAAATGCGTAGTCATCGTCGTTATTGCGAAGTGATTCGATCAGCTCTGGTGTCGTTTTATGTGCATGTTCTCGGCGAGAAAGATAGGCTAGACAAACCCGCCCGAACTCGAGATGTCTTTGATCTTCACTCACGAAGAAAGCTCGACATTCGTTAGGCAAATTCGTGATTTTCTCGGGTTCTTGACGCAAGAAGTCGCGGGCCGTCCTGTGAATGAAGCGTACGATCGGGTTTGCGTAATTGGTGGTCCGATCAAGCTCAAGCAATGGAGCACAAAGCTCTTCGAATTTCTCCGGCTTCGGTCGGCGATCGTAGGAATAAGTTTCTGCGCCGGGTGGTACCGTAAAATCGACGGCAAGTGCATCGATAAGCTCATTCTGAGTGAGCGGCCTCTCAGCTACCGTAACAAAGGCGAGTATCCTCCTAAAACAATAATTCAGTACGGTGTACATGGTTCACGGCGGAACGCAGGAGTCTGTATGAGTGCATCACGGAAAGCTCACCTGGCAAGCTCCTTCTCGTTCGGGCTTTTGCCAGCAAGCAGGCTTAATCCTCGGAGATACCGTGGAGTAAACTCTTGATTGTAACTGCAGAGCGCTTTCATTAAATGCTCACGAGTTGGGACCCCGTACCCTAATAGGGTTTCCAGGGTCAGTCTGGCGTAGAGGAAGTTGCAAGCAGATATGCACTTGGCCAGCCCCACGCCAAGCGCTTCAATATCGGTGTCGGGGGGTAGCGAGTTGTTACAGGATTCCATTAAGTAGGAGCAGACATCTTCTGCGGTGCGTTGGGAGTTAACCTGTATGCTTGGTGCTTTTACCTTCTGGAATAGAGTGGATAGGTCGTTTTCTGGACAACTCATGAAGCACCACTTGACGGTACCATGCTGCTGCTCAATATCCTGAACCAGTCTCTCTAGGATCCATGGGAGCATTTTCGGAGATTTCCAGGCCGGAGAGTGGGGGTCCATTCGAGAGTCCCGATCGGTGCATTCGTCCAAGCCGTCGACCACGATATGAACTCGGGGAAGAATGGCAAGAAGCACCTGCACCACTTTCACACCCAACTCGATATCGGATAGACACCCTCCACCACTTTCCTCGAGGATATCCCAGATCCCTTTCGGCAACTCGTGGGATCGAGTGTTTCGAATACTATCCACGAGTTGTCTGGCGAGGCTTCGTAATAACGATATCAATCTGCCTTTCCCAGGCTGCTGGGGATCCATCGACTTCTCGTCTCTGAAGAAGTAGTAAATCACAGTGCCCATTCGATCTACCTTCTGGGTATCCGACAATTTCAATCTCTCAACCACGGAAACAGCTAGGAAGGTCTTGCCAATTCCCGGAGGACCGTGGATCCAGAGCACCCTTTCGTTTCGCTCACTCTGCCATGTGGCCTTCTCCCACTTTTCGAAAGCCGGATCATCGAATAACCACTCACAGGTTCCAGGGTGCCTGTTGGCGATGCACTTCTTGTAAAGCGAATCGCTACTTGGAGATTGGAGCCATTGGTTGATAGCCTTTTGCTTTCTGTCTAAATGCCAGTTCGATATCAGCCAAAAGATTACGAGATATGAAGGGGATTCTAAAGAGACCCACATACCTTCTTCATATTTTCTCGTCGTATGAAAGTGTGCAGCGTCGGCAGAATCCCGCACTGACTGTAGATTCTTTTCTAGTCGTTCCGTGAGTTGTGTGCATCGCCTGCCAAACGGCGAAAAGACTCCGACGATCAAGGTTTTGAAACCTCCGCGAATCAGCATCGAATATCATCCCGCAAGGCGAAGATACTAGGGACTACAGTACATACCCGATTGTTCGTAAATCCTGGAAACCGCTTCAAAGAAAAGCAGCACATCCTCGTAGGACTTCATCAAGATGCCCGCCAATTCGTCTGACCAATCAAAGGTCTTCGATAATGAGCCGAGGTAGTTCAGGTGAGGCCCCAACCTTTCCAGGAAGTCTGTGAGTTGCTCGTAGTGCTGTGCATGCTCTTTTGCGAGCTACAGATTGTAAGTTCGGACGTTCGAGTACGGCAGGGCGAAGGCACCAGAACGAACTTGTAGGATGAATTTCGCTCCTCCCCACACCAAAGCTGAAACCGTGGGATCACTCTGAACGAGAGTATCCATAACCGAAGTGTAGCGGGCAATTCCGTCGATGAAAGGTTGAAGAGCTTCGCTAGCTTTCCGACTCTTGCAGGTCGTCCCATGATTTTTGTCCAACTCGCATACCAGACCCCGAAGCTCCTGAAGCTCTTGTGCACCTAGCTGACTTTGTCGTGAGGGATCTCGAGACTCGCGTATAAGGCGAGCCGGCTTGAGAACTTCCTCCGCGAAGCGAGATTTTTTCTTCGACTTCTTCTCCAGCTTTTCCGCACACTGGAGCATAGCATCGGCCGCTCTGCGGACACGGTTACCGTCAAGGGCTGTCTGCTACGATCACCCAACAGGATGTCCAGTTGGCTTACCTTTTCGCCTTGCACTGCACGTTTCCATTGCTGCGATTCTCGTCTGGAGTCGACATCTCGAGTTGTTGCGATGCCAGCTACTAATCGGTGTGGGATGGTTTTAGTGAGCGGGTGGTAGTTAATGGGGTGTGTGATGAGGGGTCCGAACTTGAGGCTTTCTGAATTCTGAGCTCGTTTTCAGCCCCGGCTGTTATCCGTCCGCGGTGAGCAGTTAATGCTGAGCCAACCATGGCGAGGCTTCCGCAACAGGCCGTTTCCCCGCGATCCATAGCTCAGGTTGTGAGGGTGTGGGGACATGCACGATTGATCGATCAAGAAACGGCAAGCGCTCAAGTGCGTAGGCTTTCTCAAAATACGCTGTACTATGTACTCTATTCAGCCGCCGGCCTAATGTGGTGCAGTACGTTGCATGGAAATCATCTATTGGTCTCTCTCAACATGACTGTGTAACATATATTACTGCCATCGAACAAGTAACTAGCAGATTCCCCACGCTGATCACCCTTCCTCCCGACACACTTCACCCCACACGCGGATGTGCTTGTTGCAGATATCCTTGTTTCTGGTGAATGTTCTTCTTGGCCATCTCGAAATGGAGAAAATTGCTTTTACCATACACTCTTGGCGTCTGTGGGTCCTCCTACATTCGACGGAAACTAACTGTGTAGATACCGCCTTCGCTGCAAAACAGATCATACGTTCGAGTCACAGGCGCTTCAGAGCCTCCAGCTTCATCAGCCCCTCAAGGCTCAACTAGGCCTCCAGCTTCATCGGCTCCTCAAGGCTCAACTAGGCCTCCAGCTTCATCGGCTCCTCAAGGCTCAACTAGGCCTCCATATCCCATCACAACAATCAGAATGCACCCCGATTCCGAACCCCCATCGGTGCGGCTGAAGTGCTTCAAAGGCACCGCAAGTTATCATTACATCAGTGGAGCTCTGCGTATTTGAACGGCAGACCTCTAACTACAGGCAGCTATCCTCACTGCAATCCCCCAAACATGGCGGCCAACAACAGCACTCCTCCAAATGACAATCCCATGGCTAAACCAACTGTCGGCAGCCTGTGCGAGCTGATGATACTAGACCACCGATACGACAAAAACGGCAAGTTGACAGTGGTTCCGAAGCGCGATAACCCGGAGGCGAAAGCAGCCTCTGCGTTCTCCGAGCATGCTCTAGTACATCGAAGGATTTTCAATGTCAAGCAGGAGCTCGTCTCCACTAAAGTCGAGATCAACTCTCCATTCATCCTTCGAGTTCTCTCCGAGATTGTCAAGTACTATCCCGCCCATCCTGAGCAATTCACCGAGTCCTTGACCATCGAATCCCCGTTCAAGCTGCTGTATCATCATTGGCAAGAACTGGCAGACTATCGAAAGAATGCCGACGACGAAACGATCATGCATCTCAGATTTCTACTAGCTTTTATGGACAGCGAACTACAAGATGACAAGAAGAAGGCAGAGAGACTTGTGGCAGCCGGCCACATTTCCTTTTCGCTTTTGTGGACCATCTTCCGACCGGGCTCTCTCGTGCTGCGGGGCGACAAGCCTGAGAACTCACAGTTGTTCCGACTCGAACAGACGGAGTACGAACAAGACAGCGAGGGAAGATATCTTAGTCTCACTACGAGCCGTACCAATTACGATGGGATAGACACTGGCCGCGAGGGCGAGATTATCGAGCTCCGCGAGAGCAATATCGGTCGAGCCCAAGTGATTACCAGATTGGATGCGTATCCTTTGACCTTCGCCAAAGACCAGGAAGGCATGATCGACAGGATGACTAAACGAGGCGAACATTTCATGGCGCTGCGAGGAATACATGTTCGGCGCTATAGAGGACAGCTACAGCTACTACACAAGCCACCACTAGAGTTCTTTTCTCCGGAAAGAAAACACTACGCAGGAACCTTCAACCCACATACAGTGCGCTCCCCTCTCAAAGAGTTATAGTGGAGTCTAATATCATCACAGATCCAAGGCCGAATCATAGTAGACACCAAAACCTTCATAGAGGAGAGTCCTTACTATGATCCCTATCTTTTCGAAGACGAGCTGCAGGCCGAAGAAGAAACTCCAAATGGTGAGTGATCTCTCTCCCCATTATTTTTACAGAAGTCATTGATTGTCGACAGGTTCCATGACGAGCCACATCATTAGGTTTTGGCCAAGCAATGATCCTATGCTCTGTCCTCCGTGGGTTCTGGGCTTCTGTCCTTCTTTGAAGCAGTGGGGTAGATTCTATATCGACCGGATCGAGGACGCAAATTGGAATCCGAATTCCTTTGACACACTTATTTTGCCTGATGAACCAAAGCGGGTCATCCGCTGTTTGGTCTCATCCCACCAGTACCCCAATGATGGTGCAAGAGATCAACAGGACCTCAAAGGAAAGGGCCTCGTCGTATTGCTTCATGGATCTCCCGGAACAGGTAATTCCCCACTAGTATATAGCTCGCCGAACCACCGACTAACCGAATAAACCAGGCAAAACACTCACGGCTGAATCCGGTACGTACCTGATCCCCATCATACACACCCACACGTATGAGCTCGCAGGGTAGTTAACATTACAAGTGTCCGAATATACGAAACGCGTACTCATCGTCATTTCGAGCGGTGAGCTTGGCTCTACGGTGTCACATATCGACCAGAACCTGAGGATGTTTCTACAGTACGCGGCATTGTGGAAAGCCATCGTACTGATCGATGAAAGTGACGTCTTTCTGGAAGCAAGGCTGACCGGTGTCTCCAACCGGTTAGAGCAGAATAGTCTGGTTGCCGGTATTACCATCCCCCTCTCACAGAGCTCTGAACGTCCTTGAAATATGTATAGCAGCTCACCCACATACTCTTCCGCGCACAAGTCTTCCTACGCCATCTAGAATACTTCCAAGGAATCATCTTCCTCACCTCAAATCGCGGCAGCGGCTTCGACCCTGCAATCAAGTCTCGCATCCACCTTTTACTCCAGTTCGCTCCCCCCGACCACGTCACACGGCGAGCACTATGGAGCCAAATGCTCCAACGACTTTCCCCCGACGAATTCGACATCGATCTGGAGGATGCACTTCGGATAGTGCAGCATGCCAAGATGAACGGCCGCGAGATTGCAAACGCGGTGAACACCATCCGAACTCTGGCAAGAGAGGAGCAGAAGAAGATCTCCGAGGAGCACTTTGTCATGTTCTTGGAGGTGTGGGAGTGTTTTGATAATGTGCAGCAGGTAGGGAAGGGAACGATCGGAAAGGGCGGGAAAGAAATGAGGAACACGGAGGTGAAGCAGGTCTGTTCGGAGTGTGGATGTAATTGCAAGGAGGTTGCGACTATGCTGGTGAGAAGGGGAAGCCTGTTGTAATTTCATTTGGCCTAGGTATCTAGATGTCGTCAATAAGATGGAGCCGTTTTGCGTGCCTAATCCATCTCGAATACCTTTGATATCACTCGCTTCCACTAATCCCAAATCGGAGGCCTCCATGCACTGCATTGAATTGCATAGCATCTCCTATGGAAGAGGTAGGGGCGAGGTGAGGCATTAGGGGGCGAAAGCTACCTTTCTATATAATCTGCCATGATCTACTCAGGTCGAATGCAACGATGATTAAACAGAAAAAAAAGCCGACAGCGCAAGGCGTGTCACATGCTATCACCGAGTGATATCCCGTGCTCCATCGTGATTCCAAAACCCAAAAACCATCGCCACCCCCGGCGGGTGGCTTGGAAACCCCAAGAGCTGAATACAAAGGTTTTTCGCCGGTTTTTCGCCGGGACCTTTCCCTCAGATCCCCTCGCCGATTGCGTGGCCTAAACTACTAGACCACGCGGGGATTTTTCCGTGCTGGAAACATGAACTCGATGCTTATAAAGTGGCGGGTGCCCCGCGATGCACAATAACAACGACGGGGTGATGCCGCCACATCGGAACACCTGGATGATTCTTTTATCTCACGCTGTGGTATCGCGGCGGCGATAAACGGCAAGTTACTTTAGTGAGCACCTGCACAGTAAGTAGCTCGTTTCCGTCAGTCAGTATGGGAGAGAGAGCTCAGTCAGTATGGGGCAAGGGCTCGTGTTCGGCCATGACTAGCTGACGAGTGATATTTTACAGCAGCTCTCCGAATAATGGGAATGATCCAAATTTTCTAGTCACGGTGGATACCCCTATGAGGAAAGCTCTAGGAATTGTGACCGCCACCGTCTACGATCTTCCAGTCACCACGAGACGAAAGCCAGGAGGCATTTTTCGTACTTCATTTCACTAAGTAGCTCATGATCAACAAGAGAAGATAATGCTTTTGTTCCCGCATCACATATTCCTTCTATGTACGCTGGATATGTCGCTCTAACCCTTAGCAGCACCGGCCTTGAACAGGACGCTGTTCCTCGCAGATTAGTAACCATTGCACCATCGTGGAAAAGCGAGGGCGTAGAACTCACATATCACCGTCCTCCATGACATACTCCTTGCCCTTGATGAGGAGCTTTCCAGCGGCCTTGACCTCAGCTTCGCTACCGAGCTCTTTCAGATCCGCATACCGGGAGATGATGGCCTGAATGAACGTCTTCTCGAAGTCACCGTGGATGACACCAGCAGCCTGGGGAGCTTTGGTGCCCTCGCGGATACTCCATTGCCGGACCTCGTCGGTTCCAGTGGTGAAAAAGGAGATCAGACGAAGGGCCTTGCGCATGGTCACGACGAGCTTGCCGATCTGGGATTTGGTCTTGAGGGTCTTGCACTCCTCGGCGACTTCCTCGTCGGTCATGCGGGTGAGGCGGTCCTCAAAGATGACGGAGATGGGAATGATGACATCACCGGGGCTGTTTTCGTCGACCCAGGCCTTGACCTTGGGAAGGTACTTGTTCTTCTGGCGGATAAAGTCGCGCTCAGAAAGGTTCACGATGTAGATGACGGGCTTGGCGGTGAGTAGCAAGAGCTTGTTGATGATCTCGACCTGATGACTGCGTGAGCACCGTCTCGGTACGCTATCGGGACAGAAAAGTCGCTCACCTCCTTAGTACCCCAGTTGTTCTTGCGCACATCCTTTCCACTCTTCAAGTGCTCCAGGACAGCCTCAACGATCGCCTGCTCCTCCTTGAGCTTCTTCATCTCAAGCGACTGCCCACCTCGGATGGTGAGCTTCTTCAGGGCATCCAAGTTCTTCTCCACAAACTCGATATCCTTGACCTGCAGCTCGTGGCTGATGATTCCCAAATCGCGCACGGGGTCGACGTCTCCCTCGACGTGGATAATCTCGGCATCGTCAAAGCACCTGACAACCTGGAAGATGGCATCGACAGCGCGGATGTGCGACAAGAAAGCGTTACCCAGACCGGCTCCGGTCGAGGCTCCACGCGTCAATCCGGCGATATCGTAAACGGTCAAGTTCGCAGGAACTTTAGAATGGGGCTTTAGTCGGAATTCTTCCTCAGCGTCGTATCACTTGGATGGGGTATGAATGGAGTAAGAAAGCAAGAAAGCAACACCGCCGCCTTGCACTTCTTCGGAGCAGAATTGCTAGAGCTGCGTTTGAGAATATACCTTGTAGTGCTCACACAGCCAGTCGTATCGCTCATCGGGAACGACGACACGGGCCTCCTCGGGATCGATAGTGGCGTACGGGAAGTTGGCGGGGTTTCCGAGAGTGCATCGAGTGATGGCCTGGAAAAGCGTCGATTTGCCAACGTTCGCGAGACCAACCTATCCTCCTGCATGAGCAAAAGCACCGCCGAAGAAGACAGCTCAACCCACAATTCCACTCTTCAGACTGTTTCCCGGCCGCCCGAGCATAATCTTCTTCTCTTCCTGGGCCTTCTTGGGAGGCATTGTGGGTAATTGCGAGTTGAGATGGGAGAAAAATCGAAAAAGGTGAGGAAAGGTGACGAAGACTGGCCTCGCGAAGAGTGGTAGGTTGGTAGTGGGTGAGTTGCCAGAAACGGATGATGCGGTTTCTAGTGGGGGTGATGAGGGGCACGGGAAGAGGGGTTGCTGTCTAACGCTCGCCTGGGGCTCAAAAAAGTTTAATCGAGCCACAACCATCAGCCACACAACCATTCCGCCAAGTACGCTAGCGGCTGGCTACCATATAAAACCAACGAAATTTTCCCACCACTCTACGCTCCCTTTCTTCTCCTTTCCTCTTCACTCATTGCAGGACCCTTTATTGTAGGACACTTTATTCGATTTCTATTGCCGTGTCCTCTATCTGGTGTACCGAGAGTGAAGAAGATTACTCTTTTGCTCCGCAGCTGGAGCTTGCATAGGACTCTCTTTGGAGATGTTCAAGGACGCTTTGTTCCTTACCAGCGGAGCCACATTTTTTTTCCTTTCTGGGGGTTCGATTCCGATGATGTCGCGCCGTGATGCTATGTGATCGAGACGATTGTCAAATGACGATTCCAATCCACAGCGATAATTGCAGAATACCTATTAAGGTTGAATGGGCTCTGTCGTCTGAATATCCCTCTAGGTGTCACTTTGGCAGAGCTGTCCGAACACCACTCTACCGTAACCCTACGAAGCTGAAGTATGATCTTGCTTACAGAAACGTTCTACCGTGTTGCGGTACTGTTGATCAAACTGACCGATTAAAATCTATGCGTGCGCTCTACAAAAACAAGCATGACACATCCATCACGAGGCCCATTCCCGGACCCACAGCAACACCTAAAAACGCCGTGTAAGAACATGCACCGGAATTCAAAACAAGACTCATCTAGTCCTTCTTCCTCATGCTCTTAGCTTTCCGTTTCTTGAACACCACCCCACTGGCAGCAGGTGCGGGTGCTTCTTCTTCCTCCTCCTCCTTCTTGAGGACCACATCTGGTGCGTTGGTTTCCTCGGCCTTGACTGTGATTCCCGGTGGACTCTCAGAGCGCTCCCTCTTTACTAGCGGCTCGCGTGTATCCTCCCCCTCGTCCTCCGCCTCGTCCTCCCTCTTGATACCTTCTTCCTTCTTGTCGACTTTGAAGGCCACCGGCTTGCCCACAGGTACGTCCTCCTCTACCTTAACCTTGCTCTTCCCCTTCCCAAATAATGAATCCACATCGACATCCGGCGCCGCCGCACCAGGATAAGTCCGCTCCTGAATCTTAAAGCTGCGAATCTCCTTGTCATCCTCATCGAGCTCGTCCCATTTACGCTTTCTCTCAGCCTCGTCCATCTCCTTTTTTTGCTGTTCCGCAATCTCCTTCTGCATCCTTTCCTTTTCCGTCATCTTCGGCTTCTCGTAGGTCACCGAAACCGTCGACCACTCCCCGGGCAGTGCCAAATCCCCTCTAAATTCCTCCGGCATTGCTACACCCAGTGCCTCCAGCTCCTTCATCTGCCTCTTCTTTTCCTCTGCGGTCAGGGCCCTGGTGGCCGCCCCCCATTTCTCGCCTCGCGCAACCTCCGGCTTCGCCACCGACTGCGTGTTCGGCTGCGCCGCCGTAGAGGATGACCCGCCGCTGACAATTGCATTGAGCCGCTCAACCTCGCGTTTAGCATTCTCAGTTGCGGTCTGCGCGCGCTCGTTGTCGCGATGGATGTCGCGTAGGAAACGCTTTAGACCGTTTTGGTGCTTGGATGTCGCGTCGTGGTTTTTGCGCCCGAGAGGTGTGTCCGTGACGAAGTCTTTGCAGTGCTTGCACCAGTACTTGGGGATCGATTTCCAGTATTCGGACATGATGCTAGGTCGTGAGGTGGCGCGTGTCAGGTGGTTTGGGGAGCTGGGGACAGCTGAGGATGCTGGGTGAGGAAAGAAGGTGTGGTCTGTGCGTGGTTTTTACCCGGCGCGTCTCGAGTTGCAGGGGTGCGAACTGGAGACACCCCGCGATTGCTTCACGCTCGGCCCAGGAACTACAACTACATCATCACCCTCTGCCGTCTTTCACCACCACCACAGTTTCCCACAAATACCACCACTGACCAACGCGATGTTCAAGAAACCGTACTTCAGCACCGCCCCTCCTCCATGCCTTAACTGACAAGAAAACGCAGCGTAACAACCGCCCAAAAGTCGAAACTCAAATCGTCGATCCAGCGCTCGCTGCGACAACGGCTGCTCGACCAATTCCCGCTGTTAATCCCGCACATCGACGAGATCCTCCCGAAGAAGTCACAGCTCGACATGATCAAGCTGCCGGAGCGGCTCACACTCTACGCCCTGGACAGCCACGTTTTGTTCTTCCAGCACTTTGACGACCCATTGATCCCGCACCTGCGTGTTGTGCACGCCTATCCGCATGCTTTCCCGCGCATCCAAGTGGATCGCGGTGCGATCCGCTTCGTGCTCGCCGGTGCCCAGCTGATGTGCCCCGGTCTTACCAGTGCCGGTGCGAAGTTGCCAGAGAAGGAGAATGAGATATTGGCGGGCGCGGTGGTGGCGATCGGTGCGGAGGGGAAGGAGAATGCGTGTATGATTGGTATGCTCAAGATGGGGACCGAAGAGATTAAAAAGATTAATAAGGGTGTCGCTGTCGAGGCGGGTCACTACTTGGGGGATGGGCTCTGGAAGTACGAGATCGAGTAATTGCTAGACATACCAAGGATGTGCGATAGAATCAAGCCGTCGAGAAGAGCGGCTTTTGAATGTGTGCTAGGAGCTGCCTGATTTCCTTTGAAGCCTCAGGTGAAGAGGTGTCGAGTGATACTCAATGCTTTGACCACCACCGTAAAGCCGCATGCAGCCTTACAAACCCAACGTTGCACCAAATTACTCACACCAAGCTACTCACACCAAGCGCGACCAAAACCTTCAAACCACATCCACCACCACTCGTTAACCACCACCACCACCACATCCACCACCACCACTATCCGCGCAAACCCCACCCTCCACGAAACCTCACCACACCTTTACAAATCCCCGACCCACTCCACAAGATCTACGCGATGGCCGACTCAGCCCCCCCCGGAGAACGCAGCTACGGCGCCCCCGTCGGCGGCGCCGCGTCGGCGACTATGCACTACCTCTGCGCAGAATGCGGCGTCAAGGTCGGCATTAACAAGGGCGAGCCCATTCGCTGCAAAGAGTGCGGCCACCGTATCCTCTACAAGCAGCGTACCAGACGGTTGGTTTCCATTGCCCCCTTCCCCCCACTCCCCTTCCCCCCACCATCTCAAGGCGCGACGCAGTCGCTGACGGAATGGGAAAAAAAACAGAATGGTGCAGTTTGAAGCGCGGTGAACACAGACGGACGGACGAGGCGAGGCGATATACTACACTACACGACGGCACGACGGTAATGCAGGGAGAGGAGGAGGGGAGAAGGGTTTTTTTTGTCCTCGGTTCGGTTTGGGTCACAAAGCTTTGCTTGCTTGCTTGGTGTTAGTTGTCATTTTGAGGCGACAATAGAAATGACAACCTAGAAATCCCTATCTACTTGTTACAAGAACTCGTCTACAGATGACGGCAAGAAGAAAAATAGAAGAGGGGTAAAAAAAGAAGAAGACAACGTGATTGGGCTTTGAGCAACTGTCCACTGCTACGTCGCTGAGGCAGAATCAAAAATCATCTCACAAACACAAATTCCGAACGAAAATGGTGGGAAGCGTATTACACGAACAGACAATAAAGCAAACAAAAGGTAATAACAGAAAAAAAGAAAAACGAAACCTGGCTCCGAAAGAAAGAGAAACAGAAAAGAAACCAAACACTAACGCTTTCCATCTTATCTTCGTGAATCGATCTCATCCTCTCTTCCCCCAGCCCCATATACACCACATGTTCAACCTGTAAGTAACAACGCAGTAGGTGATGATCCGCGACTCAAAAATCCACTTCGGTTTACGTGAACCGTATCGCCGCTCTGTACCGCGCAAGGAAGCTGTTCTCAGGGGTCTATCGTGAGAGATCGTCGCCCTCGCTGCTCCCATCCGGATCATCATCCCCCTCCACCCTCTTGACTTCGATACCGACTTCCGCCAGCCGGCGATCCTGCTCTCCACGCTTCTGCTCCTGCCATCTAGCCAGCGCGGCGATAGCGTGTGTCTTGAAGCCAAAGCACCGCGGTGTGTAACGTTCGTTGCTCTTTGGTGGAATCAGCGCCGGGTACACCTGGAACAGAATGTGCGGAAACGAGGTGCCGAAGTAGGCGCCGTCGATCGACGCATGGCGCGACGACTTAGGCGAGTACACGTCCTCGCACTTGGCGCAGTATAGCTTGACGCTCTTGGTGTGAGGCAGGTCCGAGAGTCCGATCGGAAGGAGGGGGTGGGAGCGACAGAAGACGCGCGGGCATCGACCGAAATCGCATTTCTTGTATTTCTCCAGCTGTTGAGTGAGGGTACATGTCAGCGAGACGAAGCTTCGATTGCGTGGGGTGGGGTGCAGTCGATAAAGGGGGTCAGTAGGGGAGAAGGGGAGGGTACCATCTTCTGTAAGCCCCGGGTCGTGATGATGTACCGAGCGTGCACCAGTCCGTAAAGGTGGCGTGCCGACTTCTCGATCTGCTCCCGGATATCATCGTCGCAGTCAAAGTCGAAGACGTCGGTGATCAGGTCCAGCGCATACTGGTAGTACGGCACTTCGGGCTGCAGGCCGGTCAGGTTGAAGCGGTCCGTCAGGTACTCCTCGTCGATCTCGCAAAAGTACTCATGGCCCCGCGTGGCGACGAACCAGTCCCGCCAGTACGATGTGTAGTCGGAATCGGTCTCGGAGTTGTAGTCATCCACTATGGCGTCACACAAGCAGACTTCAGCTTCCAGCGCGAAACAGTTGATTTGGGGGGAGGAGGGGTGAGACTCACTGGCGTGGGCTGAGCAGTAGTTGATTGTTTGTTAGATGCAGGGGCGGCGGGATCCTACGATGGGTGTCAGTAGGGCCGGGGGCTTCCTAATTGCTTCGATCGTTCTTTCTTCGATGGTGGGGTTTCTTTGGCGGGGGAGAGTCGCCATGGTGACTGGCGAATGGAGCATGGTCTGCACGTGGGGACCACCGACAACTCACCTTGGCACGGAAGGAGTAGTGATCTAACAATCGAGGGATCGATATCAGATGGTTCAGAGAGATTCGACAGGAGTTGGTTGGAAGAAGGGTGTAAGGTGTAGATGTGTGTGTGTGGGAGGTGGGATGAGAGACAGCCAGGCGGGGGGATAGCGACGCGTTGACTGGGGGGAGGGCGGGAGGGGGAAGGATTCAGTTGTGAAAGGAGGAGGGTAGAAGTATTGGAGGGGAGTGCACTTCCTCGCACTGGGGGAAGAAGTGAGAGATATCGCCCAGAATCTCTGCAATATGTACCGCTTTTTCTTGCGAATGGATCTTCTCGGCGAAGGTGTAATTTCAGCCGGATCCTTTTATTTACACTGTGTTGCGGTGTTGGGTGAAGGCTGAAGAGTGTATTCTGTTAGCCGCAGCGGAGCCGCATCTTCACGGAGACAGCCGCTGCATTCAAACTTTCTCTCGGCCCGCTTGATCACCAAACTCCTCTCCAACCAATCAACCAACCCGCGTTAAGGAAGCAACATCCTCCGAAGTTGCCGGCACAGGTACCTTTGGATATCTACCAGTCGAATAGCGGATAAGCGACATTGCTCACTGGGAATAGCTTTCACAATGCCTCCACGAATTCCTCTGCCTTCGCGGGCTTCACCGACGGGATTCCTCGTCTCGCATGCCTCTCCCAGAATGACACGCGCTTACACCCCGCCCGCGGCTCGCGCTGTCGTACATGCACCCACGCAACCACCTTCGCACCGCGCCGCCGATGCCCGGAAAACGCAGCTTCACCGTACCTACCTGTCGCTGCTGCGATCCTCGCCTGTGATGCTGCTGTTCCAACACAACAATCTGCGGGCCACAGAATGGACGGCCCTGCGGCGGGAGGTGGTTACGGCACTGTCGAAGATTGCCCCCAAGGGAGAGGCAGACGAGATCGCAAGCAACATCAAGATCAACATCTTGCGTGGCGCTGTGTTCTCATCTGCGATGCGCGTTGCCGAGTTCTACGATCCCAAGATTGACGGGAAACAGCACGGTACGTCGAGGGAGGCGTATGAGTTCTCGAAGAGGCAGAAGAAGCATCCGCTCGACGTGCTACTCACTGGACCCGTCGGTGTGGTTACCTTCCCCGCGGTGTCGCCGGTACACCTTCAGACGGTGGTGAACATCATGTTTCCGGCCGGAAGGGCTGTCAAGGGAATGGACCCGGCTGCGGTGAGTGGCCTGCAGAAGTTGTTCCTGGTTGCTGCGAGGGTGGATGGCCACGTTGCGGTTGGAAGTTTGGGAGTGGGACGGGTGCTGGATTCCAGCATGGTGAGATGGGTCTCGAGCTTGCCGGGCTTGACGGAATTGAGGGCCCAGCTTGCGGGTATGCTGCAGACTACTGGTGGTGGCGACCTGGTCCGGAGCTTGGAGTCTATTCCTATTTCCATTGTCCGCACCGTCGATGCGCACCGGAAGATTCTCGGCGGCGAGCTCGGGGGAGAAGAGAGCAAGGTGGAGGGAGAAGAGAGCAAGCCAGAATAGATGGGTCAGAACAATGTAAAATACTTCATATTTCTGTTGGTCTGTCAAGACTCGGTGTTCTTGCTGTGTAATTTATTTGGGAATAGAACGTAAGTCAAAGGCAAACCTCGAGGCCAGGTGGCTTTTTGATGATGCTCTCATGACCGACGACTCAGTAAATCGCTGTGCTGCTGAGTGCCCGCCATAAGAATGAAAACACCAGTGTCGGTCAACGACGGAACGGGAGGTGGTACAAAACAGCTGCCTGACCGTACAAGGATCAACTCTAGGCCGACTACGAAATCCGCCCGCCATTCGTCATTCAACAACCTCGCATATAACCACCGCCCATATCGAATTCCATCTCCGCCTCCACAGTTTGCTTCATCAAGACTCGACGAACACACACCATGCTGTCCTTACGTACGGCGTCGCACGCTCTCAATCGCGGGGGTCTGGTCCCAGCAGCTGCCGGCATACGCCTCGCCGCGCTCTCCCAGAGTCTAGCTGCCCCACCACCACCACAGGTCCTGCAGCGGAGAAATGCCTCCAGATACGATCCCGGGAATGGTTCCATGTTTGCGCCCGGCGGAAGCGGAGGCCCACAGACATACTTCAGAAGAGAACGGCTACCTGCGAACACCATCATCCGGTAAGCTTGAACCGCTTCACCTCCGGCCGGATGTAACGGTGAACTTTTTGCTCACAAAGATCCATTGCAGTTTCGTCCCGCAGCAGCAGGCATGGCTCGTCGAGCGAATGGGAAAATTTCACCGAATCCTCGAGCCCGGTCTCGCGATCCTCGTTCCCATCATTGACAAGGTCCAGTACGTCAAGTCGTTGAAGGAAGTCGCCATCGAAATTCCATCGCAGAGCGCCATCACCGCCGACAACGTTACCTTGGACCTTGATGTTCGTTTCGCCTCTGTGGATGTGGGTTGGATAGAAACTGACGATAGGACAGGGTATTCTCTACATCCGGATCTTCGATGCCTACAAGGCCTCCTACGGTGTCGAGGACGCCGAGTACGCAATCTCTCAGTTGGCCCAGACCACCATGCGCTCCGAAATTGGTCAGCTCACACTGGACCACGTGTTGAAGGAGCGCGCGGCGTTGAACGTCAACATCACCAAGGCCATCAATGAGGCGGCTGAGGATTGGGGTGTCAAGTGTCTCCGTTATGAGATCCGGGATATCCACGCACCTGAGCCAGTTCTGCAGGTACGTTTGCAACTGTGGTAGATTTGGCCGTCTATTTGCTAACTGAGTTTCAGGCCATGCATCGTCAAGTCTCGGCCGAGCGTTCCAAGCGTGCCGAGATCCTCGACTCCGAAGGTCACCGCCAGAGCGCCATCAACATCGCCGAGGGAAAGAAGACGTCGGTGATCCTTGCCTCCGAGGCCAGCAAGACGGAGCAGATCAACGCGGCATTGGGAGAGGCCGAGGCTATCCGCCTCAAGGCTGAAGCTACGGCCAAGGGTATCGACGCGGTTGCTAAGACTCTGCGTGCGAATGGAGCAGCTGGACAGGGCGCCGTGTCGCTGACCGTGGCGGAGAAGTACGTGGACGCGTTCGGAAAACTCGCCAAGGAGACCAACAGTGTCATCGTTCCTGCGCAGCTGGGTGATCTCGGCGGCATGATTGCGGGCGCGATGGGCATCTATGGAAAGATTGCCGAGACGCAGGCAAAGAACCAGAAGGAGCTTGGAGAACGGTTGGAGTCTGAGGAAGCCGCTGCCGCTGGCTCGGGTTCGTCGGCGTTGGCTGATAACGATGAGGCGGCGGCGATCATCAGTCAGTTTGACAAGAGCTCCCGTAAGAGGAAGTAGGCAATCAACAGTGATCGGGAATTGTGAGTAATAAGGATTGGTGTTCATGGGGTTCTTCTTTGCATTTGCGCTGCATTTCGTAGGTTTTGCTCTTAGGTTCTCACACTCTACTCTCAGGGCATACTAGATGTGTTGTACTGTACGACGGACGGATATCGGATTGTACTCTACTCTTAGATTTTGCATGGTCGTGGGGATCGACGACGATGAGGTGAAAAGGATACCTCAGAGCCATGGGTGTACTAGTACATTACAAACTACCGTACATATGATGTCGAATTGATTGCATCACAGCATGTCAACCATGTGCCCGGATGGACGTCGTTCCAGATTGCATTCTGCACGCCGAGAGTTTCATCTTCGGTGGGACATCCCGAGGTGCGGTGCGGGGTCCGCTTCGGTCTCGGTCTCGGCCTTGGTTTCATGGGTAGGCCAAGTTATGTAGAGTACATATGGGCTGGTGCATCGCTACCTAGAGTAGCTCCTCCGACTGGGTGGACGGACATCACCGCAAGCGAGAAAGCGTGAAGCCAACGTTCGATATCTACTCTGCATACCAAGGCCCATCCATTCATTTGTCTTCCTTCCGGAATCCGGGCTCGGGCTGATCACAATGAAGGTGAGGATTTTCCGCACGCGCATGAGGGGTTTAGCCTGAAGGGTGGAGGGCATGCAAGGCACGGAACATTCAACAACCCCGCGATCGTGGCCTTCGGTATATCGATACACCGGGCGGAAGTGGGGGATATATAGTAAACCTCCGGGCATACGCACATACACAAGAGGCATCGAGCGAGCGAGAATCTTTCCCATAATCCGTATCCACTCATCAATCACTCACGAACCGCACGAAAACTTCAAAGCCCGCCATGTCATCCTCCCTCGTCATCCCCACCATCGCCACAGCGGCCACGCCGCTGCTTCACTCGCCGGACTTCTGGCTGCCGGAGTCGCCCTTGCACGATCCCACAACGGGGCTGACGCACTTCACGGACATCCCGTCGAAGCGGATCTACACGTTCTCGCACTTTGACAGCGCGAGCCTTTCCTCGATCAGCGTCTCCGACTACGTCGGCGCTTTATTCCTCTCCACGGACCCATCCTACTTCCTTGCGGCAGCCTCACGGGGGATCGCGCGCGTGCACAAGGATACCGGCGCGCTGACGTACCTGAACACGTACTACGCGGACGACGAAGAGAAGGCGGGGCGGATGCGGGCGAACGACGCTGGCGTCGACAGCCACGGCCGGATTTGGGTCGGTGTCATGACCAGCTTTGGGCTGGGGCCGCCGAAGGAGGAGGGCGCGGTTTTCGTTAGCGATACGGATGGGACGCTAAGGAAGGTTAAAGAACCCGTGGCCGTGCCGAATGGCATTGTTTTCGCCCCGGATAACAAGACCGCCTATATCACCGATACGAGGAATGGGGTGATTTATAAATATCCCTTCAATGCGGAAAAGGGAGAGCTGGGCGAGGAGGAAGTGTTTGTCAAGTTCGCGGCGGAGACGCATGGGCCTGGAAGTCCCGATGGTGTGGCTGTCAGTGCGGACGGCGACCTCTGGGTCGCGATGTTCAATGGCTCGTGTGTGCTGAGGCTCGATGGAAAGACTGCGCAGGTCAAGGGGAAGATCGTCGTCGAGGGCAGCAAGCAGGTCGCTTGCCCGAGGTTTGTTGGACGCTCGCTGGTCATCGCCACTGGCGCCCTGGTCCATATGGATCCTACCATCAGGGAGGAGTGTCCGTACGCTGGTGATGTGTTTGTCGTCGAGGATGTTGGTATTGAGGGGGCCGAGATTTATGTTCCGCGGTTGGCGGAGGGACTGTAGAGTGTAGTTGGTGCATGGGGATAGTTATATCTAGTCTTAGCTCGTAAGCTACATGTATGTATAGAAATCAAAAGAAATCAATCTGCAATACATTACTGCCTCCATACGAGTCAAGGGGGAAGGAAAAGAGCGTAGCGAATGCAATTATTGTACCGTAGTAATCAGCTCTCCGGTGTGCTGTGACTGACAACTCCGCCAAATTTTGTCATGCTAGGTACATGAAATATCACTCAATCTGAGCAGCCAGGCTGTTGGGCCGTTTTTAATAGGTACCGTAATGGGTCGCCACAGTCCGGACAGACCGTATGATATATATGACAAGATACTGATTATCCTCTCTATCTCTCGCTGCTTTGAACAGTTGCTTACATAGACACAGATACAGACAACAGCCAACAATGCTATCCTCGCCCTGGAGCCCGAAGCGGCCGAACCACGCAAGACAGAATAGACAGACCGACACAAAGGACCACCCACCACACCGGGCGGGAGCCGAAGCCTCCGACGGCCGAGATTGCTTCCGGCCGACAATCCCGAGTCGCTTGATCCGCTCGACGCCGTGCTTTTTCGGCGAAGATGTGCCCGAGTCCGTCCGACCCGCGTTACTTGCAGCTTGCAATCCCTGGGGCTAGTTATCTACTCTACTGTAGTCGGGGAGGGAGGAAGCGGAATGGCCAATAGGTAGCCCATGGATCTCATTGGAATACGGAAGCGATCTCTGCTGGTGGGAGTATGTGAATCGTACCCGGCCACGCCGCATCACTCGCCTCGACTCGACTCACCTCGCCTCAACTCGCCTCACCGCGGCTCTATAGGAGCTCTTCCGAAGCTCTTCCAAAGTTACGGTTCCGTTGCATGGCCCGTTGCATGGTCCAGGGCGGCCGCAATACGGGCTGGTTACTTTATGTACTTATTGATGGACTGTGTAGTGTACCTAGTGTACTCTTTGACATCACTGGGTTTGTATACTGCAGTGGATACTAGTTATTATAGTGGGTGGTGGAGTAAAGTGTCGCAAACAAAGTAGCATTGCGCACGCCACCGTCGCCACTCTACGCCGCACGCCGCACGCCGCATGCCAGGTCGGCGGATCGATCTCCCGCTCATTCGCGCTCACTCGCTGTCTCGCTGTCTCGCTGGCCTGCGCCAATCACGTAAAAAGGGTGCCCTTGCGGTTCAAGGATCGAAAGCAAAACAAAACAAAATAGAAGCGTCCGGTACCGGTATGTGTGTAGAGTGTGTAGAGTAAATACGTCCGAAGACGACTCTCTCGCCCAGACTCGCAAACATAGAGTACACACTCTACAATGTGAGGCCATAATCCATCTCGATCCCAGACTGTCTGTGAGCGTGCGTAACACATATACTGCTCTATCCACCTGGTACTCTATCCACTCTACTACTCTATCCACTCTACATACTCTATTCTGCTCTGGTCTCCAGCAATAGTCTCCAGTACCTACCACTCGCCTCGTCGCTGACTCGCTGGGACTTCAATATTTCCCGGATCGCTCCTTTCATATCCCCACGAGCGCGCGAGAAGAAGAAGAGGCCTACAAGTTATGCTAGGTACGTTACGGCGTTACAGCGTGCAGCCTTGTCCTGGTCCTGGTCCCTGAGCTAGTAAAGTACAGGACCCTGACCTAGCGTGGATATACAGACAACTTACAAGACGACAGCGGGGAGGGGGAGCAACTCGCCGTCGAGGGAGGGAGAAGTTAGCCATGGTGGCCATTGGCGACTCGCGAGGGAAATGGTGAAGTTTCGCTGTGGGTTACTGGCGGCGCATACACACCAGTTATTTTCCGTGAGCAAAGGGAAGGGAAGGGAAGCGAAGGGTAGGTGCCGATCCCACGGAAGCGCTGGGTACTCTACTTACACATGTAGAGTAGAGTACTTGTCAACGACGCATCCGGGTGCAGCTGTTGGATGTACTGGTACTCTGGATAGATACAGGCCCAGGCAGGCACAGCGCAGAGACAGAGACGAGACCTGGTTCCGGGCGCGACGGAGTCGCATAACTGAGTGAGTGCGAGGGAGCGAGCGAGACTGTGCGTAGGCATCTCTGCTCCGCTGTGCTATGCAATGCGATGCTGTGGTATGCATGCGCGCTCTCCTCCTCCGTCTCGTGTCGCTGCGGAATGCCAGTCTTCTTACTTACATCATAACCATGTACGGTGCTATGCAAGGAGGTCGATGGTGGTACATTCCCAGATCCATCTCACAGGCTCACGGACTGACGGACTCACAGACTCACAGTGCACACCGGCCACAGTGCACACGATACGAGTTGCGAGCTGCGACATTATGTGCTGAAAATAGAGCCCGTTAACCACGGCCTACCTGGGGCCCGGGGCAGTCACCACTGCCCAGTAGGTGACCAGTGGGGGCGCGAATATCTATACCGACCACCACCGTGGGCGCCGCATGTTGCAGTTGCAGTTGCAGGTTGCATGTCGCATGTGAGATGTGACAGTGCATAGGACGTTGAGTTGGGCGACAAAGGGAACCGAAGTTTGAATGAAGGGGAAGAGGAATTGAAGAGTGCTGTTGGTTGGAATCCTACGGGGGAGGGGGGTGAATGTGTGTGGGTGTGGGCGAAGGGGCGATTAAAAATGAAAAAGTCCATCGACTGGATGGTTGGATGGATGGCTTTGGCGATGCGAGATGGCGATGGGAGGGAAGGTGGAAGATGGTTGGCCGGCCGAGAGGGCGGCAAGCTGTGGCGAGACATTCCATGCATCGTGTGCGGCTTGGCGTCTCAGCGTCTCAGCGGGGGGAGACGGCGTGGCTTGTCCTTCGGCATTCTACCGACGAAGAAGAGAAGAGAAGAAGAAGAGGAAGAAGAGGAGGGTTCTTCTTCGCTTGTCCGCCCCCAAACGATGATCCGGTCCGGCGGTGCGAATCAAAGGCATTGGAATTTGGGGGTCGCGACGTGCAGGGCGGTTGTGCAGATGTGTGGTGTGGCGTTACGGCACAGCCGCAGCAGGTACGCATTGAATCGCCATTGAGGGTGGGCACTGCGCCGAGTGGGGTCTCTGTCAGACTTCAGTCTGTCTGTCTGTCTGTCTGTCCGACTCTCTGTCGTCGATCCTTGGGACGGGGTCGAGAGGACTTTTGCTTCCACCGAATGGAGTACCACCTTAGCCAATAGCCAATTATCCAATGGGAGCACACAACTACGCACCGAAGCGGCAACAGCCAATGGAACACGCGTGTTTCTCTCCGGACTGGGAAGGACGGTGGGCGAGGCGTACGTACGGAGAGATGCCGTATCATCATCATCCATGGAGGAGTGTGCTAACTAATCACTAGTCAGTACAGCAACGAGGAGTTGATCTCGCTGCGTGTCTCAGGATTGCACCAAGCTGTCTGGCGCCATGCAGGTACTGGTACGACATACATCCAACCAACTGAACTAGGGGGCGCCGATGATGGGTGGAGGATGTGCGTGTGCGGCGACAGCCATCGCAGAGAGGAATTGGCCGTCGCAGTGGTACATACCGCCTGCCCCACTGAGCGGTTCTGGCCTTCTCTTCTCGCTTTCCTACACTTCCTTCCTTTCTCGCCAGTCCGTTCGGTGGTGCTTCTCGGTCCTTTTTCTGTTGTGCTGTTCTTCGTGTCGTTTCTCGAGGGCAACTTTGTGCTAGGGACTTTTCTGACGACATCGTCGGTTCACCGACTAGAACGAACGAGCGAGCGAATCAGTTCAACTCTATATTCTCACCACCTACCTTTTGCACCGTCCCAGAGACACCTGCCTTTCTTTCTCGCTGCGCCGGCCTTTCTTCCATTCTTTTGTTCTTGTCACATCCGTGTTTTTCCTTGTCTGCGTGCCTCTTCCCCCCGTGTGGCGCTCTCACCACAACCACCCCCGAAACACCTCTCTTTCCAGTATTTCCCACCGCCGTGGCCTTGCAGAGATTCTTCTGTCCTGTTCTCTTCGTGCTCGGTGGTTGAGCCGCCGAATTTACCCTCGTTCCGGACCAGATAGGTGTGCAGACGAAAGGGAAACAGACACCGAGACAGGGAGGAAGGCAGCGCAGTTAATCTATCTCATCCGCCTGGCGACAGCCCCCCCTCACCACCACCACCACCCCCCGGATATCATTCCTGTACTCCACTTCCACTCCCACCACCCTCCCTTCCCACCAATATTCGCTCGGTCGTGCACCCGCTGGCTCCTGTTCTGTTCTGTGTTGCTGTTGCTTTCTTTCTCCTCTTCACTTTCATTACACATTCATCCCCCTCACACCATACCGATCGACTTCTCGCTCCTTTCCCGCAGTAATCATCCGGACGGAAAAAGAAGAAGAATAAGAAGAATATAGATTTACGTTCATTACGCTCGAGTGAGTTTCTGCTCCGTTGAGGGACCGCCGCTGAAACGCTGACGGATATGTGTGCTTGGAGAGCTCTTTGGGTCTCGGCTACCATTCTCTCGGATTCGAACGGACATGGGAAGCAGGTCGTAAGGTGTCGACAGCCTCCCCCTCCCCTCCCCCAACCCAACGTACACAATTCTCGACACGCTCGAAGACTTGTTGCTTCGACGGGAATCTGCTATCGCGGCCCTCGTCCGAAGATCAAGCTGAAGTACATTCGTCCGGTACCAAGCAGAGTCACATGCCATCACTTAGAGGCAGGCTCCTCGCGTACAACAATATCAACAACCACCACAACAACAACAGCTACTTTATTTGTCTCTCTACGCTTCCGTGCTTTGGACGTAGTCAGCAAAACTAACAACATCTTCAATACGGTACCGACTGCGACTACTCTGTCGACATCTTCCCCTTCTGGGTCATACAAATCGGAACCGCACCAGCTCGACACTTGCGTGGAGCGCACTCTCTCGTTTTAGTCCGTCGTCGTCGTCGACCCGGCCAACATGTCGATGCCTTTGCCAGAGACCCCGCTGGGCTCTCACTGCTCGGCGATACGAGAGAATATTCTTTACACGTTTTCCGAAACTGCGTTTCAGTCGTTGGAGCTAACGAATGGATCGGAATGGAAGACGTTGCCGTTGAACGTCGGAACGGCCGGTGCCGAGTGTGTCATTGCCAATCGGGGCACAACCGACGAGTCGCTGTACATTGTCGGTGGCTCGACGACCAACCCGGATAATGTCCCCGCGAAGGGGTTTATGGGCCTGCAGCGGTGGAGCTTTGCGACTGAGAAGTGGGAGACGATTCAGCTGCCAGATCCGGTGACGTTCAACCTTACGGGTCACGGTGCCACCTTCTTGGAGGACACACAACGGATCATCGTCTTCGCTGGAACAAAGTACCCGGCCGTGAACGTTGCGTCGGCAAACACGTTTCTGATTCAGGCTGCCGCTCCAAACGAGATCATCTCCTTGCCGGCTCAGAATCCCTTGCTTTCACCGATGGTTATGCCGTGGGGGACGGGTGGAGCATTAATCGTGGGAGGAGACGCCGACAACAAGGCGCTAACGACGTATGTCACGGCGACGGGATGGGGTGGGCTGGATAGTGGCCTGGACACGGGCTTGCCGACTAGAGGTTCGGCATGGGCTAGTCTGATGGATGGAGATGATGGATCACGGATGCTGATAACATTCGACCTGACGACTTCTCCGGCGACGGTGGGAACAAAAAAGGTCAAGGACAAGGCTACCAGCAAGACCAGGAGGAGGAGGGAAAGGGAAAAGGAAATTGGGAGGTGGAAGAGGAGTCCCGCAAGTGGGGCGGATCCGGCGGTATCGACCGAAAACCAGTTGACGGTGGACAATTGGCCCGACTACGATGGATCGTTGGCGCCGAACGGGACGAGGCAGGGGACTTCGATGGCTTATGATGGGGATATGGTCATCATCACCGGTGGAAACGACGACGAGCCTTTGCTCATGTTCAACACGAGGAAGAACTCTTGGGTCAGCGCCGAGAGTGTCTTCAACGAAAGCGACGAGGCCGTCCTTCGAACGCTCCAGGCCGACGAGCCGACGAGTACGTCGTCGACATCGAGCTCGACAGCGGTCTCAACGTCGACCTATGCTACTACTACTCCTAGCGGTAATGTACCTCCAGCCGACTCTCCGTCGCATGGCGCTCGGTTGAACACCGTTCAATTGCTCTTTACCGTGTTGGGCTCCATCCTCGGTGCCTGTTTGATTCTGGGATGCATATTCTTCCTCCTCAGGAGGCGGCGGGCCAAGAATGATGCCAAGAGATACCGCGGGGCAGAGCGCCGGATGTCGTTCCAGGATCGGGGGGCATCCTTTATGAAGGAAGCCGGTGGATCCGTCAGTTCCTTGGCGCCGCCGAACGCTCGGGGGTTCCACGAGCACAAGAACGACTCGTGGCTCAACGTGCAACGACAAGCCTCGACCCGGGAGTACGTTCCTTCCGGTACAAACTTCATGGATGGTCCTCAGGTTCACAGGATTGGTGGTCAAGGTGTGATTGTACATCCCAGCCAGCGGACGCCTTCGACGATGACGGTGACACGTACGCCTCCAGCTGCAAACGACCCTTTCGCCGATCCTTTCCAGGACAGTACGGTGGCCGGGACGGACTATGGGAAGGAGCGAGGATCCGGCTGGAGCAGATACTTTTCCGGCAACTCGGCCACCAATCTCGTTGCCACCCCTCCACGTGCCTATTCCGGGGCTCCATCATCCGTCTACACCGAATCCAATCACGCCAGCATGCACCAGAACCCCTTCCTCTATAACGCCGGGCCAGGCGTTGTGGCGGGTGGGATGGGAGTCGTGAGTGTCCAACGCGCCGGCTCGAACGGTCTGATTCTCGACGACCCACGAGCGCGACAACAGTACGACCGACGAACCTCCGAAGCCTCGATGTCATCAGTGGCATCTCACGATACCTACTCGTCCGGCATCCCGGAGAGCCTTGCCGAGCGGCCGTTATGGAGCCAGCTCGACAACGAGCTAGGTCCGGATCGGTACAACAACAATGCTTTCCGGAGCGACGTATCGAGCAGCGTGTATCCCGATAGCCGGCGAGAAACGGATCTCTCGGGTACCAACGTTGGTAGTCGGCACGAGGGTATCGACAACCTCAGCTGGCTCAACCTTCGACAAAACTAAATTGTCTTCCACACATACTCTCTCTCTCTCTCTCTCTCTCTCATCTTTCCCTTTGCTTCTTTCCGGGTGAAATAATCGGGCTGGTTTTTTTTCTTCGATAGTGGGTGGGCCGTAGATGTACTCCTCCATGTACATGTGCAATGTGAAAAATGGGCTGGCTGTTTACGGGACTATCTCCCCTGGTTAATCTCATCATCTCTTTCTCTTTTTTTCTCTTCTTTCTCCTTCTGTTTCTCTTTGCGTCCGGAGGATGTAATATCTTGTCTCTTTTTTTTTTTTGCGGATGATGTTTGGGAAGCGCGGCTGTGCTGGGAACCACTACACTACACTGCAAAGTGCTATTCATTCATTCATTTGATTTTTCTTGTTCTTTGTTCTTCACTGTCCTTTTCGCATACTGCTTTTTTTTCTCTTTTGCTTGCGTTGCCGGTCATTTTGCGAAGCGGGATTTAGTTGCGGTTTGTATTGCGCTGGTGGGAGTGGGAGGGAGGGTGGGAGGGGGAGGGGGAGGGGGCAGCATTGGCGGGGGAGGGAGCAGGCTGGAACTTGGTGCGTGATGAAGGGGGTGTTTTTTCTTTCTTTTTCTTTTTAGGGGTACTTAAGGTTGGAATGGATGGGAATGGATATGGATGGGAATGTGAGGACCCTCGGGGGTTGGATCTTGGAACTTGGACTTGGAATGGGCTTGGAATGGACGTTTATGCTGTGTGTGTGGTCTGCGTGTGTGTGGTCTGTGTGTGGTCTGCGTGCTCCATCTTGCGTGATGTGTGATGCCGAGGCTGTGGCGGTTTTATGGGTGGATTGCGGGATGGTTGGTTGGTTATGCGCATGCAGGGTGAGTGGGCTGTGGGGTTATTGCAGGGGGTGGGGTAGGTACTAGACGGCGGATGTGCGCGGGAGATGGTAGGAGATGGCGCGAGATGGCACGAGACGGCGGGTGTAGATGCAATTCATTCAGGGCGTGTACTGTGCACTGTGCAGTATCGTGATTCGTGAGGCGATCCAAAGTACATACCGCGTGGGCAGCGGGGTAAATTATTTGCACAATGTGGCGAAGTGGCGAAGTGGATTCGAATGGGCGCTGCGAGCAATGCGAGCGTTATGGGTTACGTGCGACATTGGCGACATGTGGCATCACTCGACTGGGTCTTGCCCGGATGGGGTATCACTCGACTTCTACCATCCGGGCTATGTTGCAATCTCACTCATTGCTGAGTCGCTTCCTCAGTCATGACGGCGGGCGGGAAGCACTGGCCGCCTACCACGGTATACATACCACCTCTCCTTTCTGTCTTCTCTCGAGACTTTTACTTGTAGACTCTCGATGTCGAAGTTTAGGTGCACTGGAGTCTGGAAGGAAGGATACAGGAGTGTTATCTATTCCTATAAAGGGCAGTGGTGTGGCGTTTTGCGGTGGCTGGTATGGCGTTTCACGGTGGCGATTTCTGTGGCTCAACCCTAAGTTTCCGACCGTCGGATTTTGGAGCGAAGCGACTGCCCAGCCCTAACATTTTGGAGCAGGGCCGTAGAGGAGCTTTAGCGACGATGCTGCGGAGAGACTGCGCTGCCGTTTCACTGCTAGATTTGTAGATCTCCATGGACTCTAATAGAATGGAATTTATCAGGATAGCAGTGCTAAGCGGTGAAGTGCTTCACGACCTCAACCCGCTACCTTCTCTCTTGACTACTTCAGAACACTACAAGGCGTGGAAGCAGATACTCAGCCTCTGTTTCAAGATCGTATTTCGAATGATGCCGCAGAAGTTACGATGCCGCTAAATCTACAGATTGAACCGACTGTACCTGCTCCAGCTCACTCTGGCGATGATACCGCGTATTGCAGAACCTGCCGCCAATCACTTTCCGTCATTGCGTTTGCTTTCCGGAGACCTGGAGTACGATACAATGAAGGCAACTGCATCGTGTCTCCCACAAATACGCCCTGACCGCAACGTACATACTTATGACTTTACATTAAGTGGCGCTGGCCTAATGACCACACACCGTGTGGTCGCCACACGGATGTTTACTAGTCTGCAACGTAGGTGGAAGGATGTGTTGGAAATATAGTGAAGTAAAGTAAGAAAATGTATTCAGAGTCTAGAGTCCAGGCGACGGTGAGGTGAGAGAATACGATGTAGAGCTAGCTTGGTGCGAAAAGAGAACACCTGATAGTTAGAGTTGAAAGAGTTGCGGTGAAAATTTAGAAAGTGGTATTCTGGCAGTCGACGACATTCGACTGCAGTCCGTGAAGGCAAATCTTAGACGGACTGACTTCACACCATCCTCAAATTTTATCGACTGGACTGGACTATCGGGAGCACTGACCGTAGCCCTGCGGCCGGTGTGTTCACTGTTCAGCAGTCCGCCCAAAGGTGTTTGGACGGGCGGGTTAGACGCTTCCAGGCTCGAGCCTACAATCGTCGATATCCCGGTGTACACTGTAAAGCTAATACTTTGATTGTAATGTGTGTCGAGGATGCGCAAAAGTTAGTTTAAGATAGGTTTCAACAGAACGCAATATGTAGTAAGATTATGGCTGCGTAATCGTCGAAGACTCGAAGGGATAGACTACCTATTGCCAAACACTAAATGGACGGATGTAGGTATATAGAGCAGGCCCGCCGGCGGGTGCTGTGTCGATTCTTGCCATGCAACACCGTGTCCTCCTACTAGGTATCGACAGCAGTCAGCACGGGCTGGCCGCCGGCGAGTCATCGCAGTTGGCACCGGACCCGGGCCCGGATCGAGCGAAACGACAGTCAGTGATGGCATCTTCGGCAGTACTTCTTCTCTCTCTCTCTCTCTCTCTCTCTCTCTCTCTCTCTTTCATTATCTATCGATTAGACGACCAACCTCCATATACGATGATATATCCCCCAAGGATGCCATCATCTCACCCTCTCTGGCTGCCCTGGCTGCACTGGCAGTTCATCCATCGGACCGACTGGCAGTTCATCCAGTTTTTCCCGGGAACAACCGCTGTTCTTAGTACCTAAACCAACTGCGAACCGACAGCCAACTGTTAGAGGGTCCGAGTGCTGCCAGCGGTGATACCTTTTCTCAGCTTACAGCATTGGCCCGTGGGAAATCGGAAGCGGGAACTAACCAGCTGGATTTGGAATCACGGCACGGCATGACGATTGTCAAACTTTGGTCGCCCGGAGATCTCGGCACGAGTTAAGGTTCGACGGTAGAAGAGTCTCGACGGCTAGGCGAAGTCTGATGAGCGGGCCCGGCGAACTCTGATGAGCGGCCAACTTTGTTCGGCGGCCAACCTTAGGTGGCCTCTCAGTCTTAAATAGAGGTCTTCGCCGTGGACGATAGGTTCTTCTTCTGTATCGAATAGAATACCATCATCTGTCCACCCGTATCAATATTGGTGACCATCATCTGTTCGAAGCGGATTGGGAATTTCTTCGTCTCAATCACGAACTCTTGGGTCCTTTCCATCAACCGACGAGAAATGGAGAGAGGCACATCAGTGGTCATTGTCCCGGACCAAGAATCGACGGTACAATACCTACTAAACGGCCCCCAAAAAGACCCCCGATCCGCTCCCAGCCAATGCGCCAAAGAGGCTGGCTGCCCGCTTCTATCAACTGAAGACGGGGCACGCCCTCATAGCTACGTACCCGAAGTGGATCAAGAAGCGAGATGAAGATCACTGATGGTGGTGCTGCATGCGAAATAAACTGAAGATCTCTCTCTCACGCTGGTGGGGCAACAGGCCTACCAAGCAATCGCGAGAGGAAAGTTCCGCTAGACTTAGGGGAGGAGAAGGAGGAGGAGGAGGAGGAGGAGGGAAGCGAAGCGAAGCATCGGCGGCAGAACAAGAGTGCCCAGCAGGATAATGTGTCTGCGGCCTGTGTAGGGAGGTGAGGAGCGACGATATGTGATTGTCTGTTCTTGGTGCGAAACATATACTGGTCTGATTTCCTATATAATTTGGTTGGTAAACAGCGGCGCCACATCGTGCTGGCCGGTAGCGGGGTCTCAAGACGGTTCGCCATAGTCTAGATAGATAGGCTGCATGAGAAATAAATTGAAGATCTCTCTCTCTCTCTCTCTGGCCAACGAGTCGGCCTCAAGGAGGATATTATTGCGGCTGGCGAGTGTCTTCGGCATTGGGAGCAGCAGCAAGGTCTCTTGGTCGTCAACTTGCAGCTAGGTACATAGATGAACCATCTCTAGCAAAGGACTCCGGCCGGTCAGAGGGTGTCTTCCCAGATCTGGGTGGCGCATGGAGAAAAGCGCGGAAGCAGGTGGCGGGTAGAAATGTACATACATAATATAAACGTTATTAGATTTCCCAGAAGTGAGCCCATCATCGCCGGCGCTGGGCTACTGAGCGCCCATTATATTGGCCAGCCGGGCGACTGTAAGCGCCCGTCTAGGCAGGGCTTGCTGCTGAGCACGTACACTAGTCCGCGGGAACGCTGGAACGCGGTAATTCGGTAACGCGGCCACCGGAACGTCGGAACGTTGGAACTAGAGTACCGGCTTTCTGCTGTCTGCTGGCTGGAATTTCGAGTGTGCCAGTGGTATTCCCCCTCCCTCCCCAGCCTAGCTTGAGTTGCCCGAGTCGTTTGAGTCGTCCGGACCGCTTGAGTCGATTCCGTGCGAGAAGGGAGACAGCCCGAGCAGCAGCGTATTGCATCCGGCCTCGGACTCCGCGAGATCGAGCGGGACTACTACTTCTTATACAGTTATACTACTATGTAGGGTACGAGCGGGCACTCCAGTCCGTGCGTGCCGCATAACCCGCTCGATAATCGATTGCAACCCGGTTTAGGCGAATATACTAATAGTAGTAGCAGCAGTAGTAGTGGAGCGTCAGCTCGCCCGGCGGCAAACAAGGGTAGGGGATTGGGGGCGCACAAACATCCGCGACACGTCGGGACTCGGAACAAAGGACGCGGACACGGACGCGGAGGCGCGGAGAGGACAAAGGGCTGGATCGTAGACATTAGACCTTAGATCTTGGATCTTGAGACAGCCGATCTTGAGAAGTTGGGAGTCTGAGACAGCCGCTTGGGGGAGCCGCCCCGATTTGAGGGTGCTCTATTTATTAGGGATATTGTCCCCTAATTGGACGGTGCTTGTAATTTTGGATTCCAAAGGGCAACTTGGGTAGGTCTTGGGTAAGGCGGTGGAAATGGAAATGGGCTCGCTATGTACAATTAGTTGTGCACCTGTGCGGCGTAGGAATATTCCTACATACTTGTAACTTCACTTCCGAGTCCCGAAGCTATTCTAAATACTTGATCGTGGTATGAGGTAGGCAGTAGAATCCGCCGCCAGTGTAGTAGGACCTGACTGTCTGACTGTTTGCGCTCACTCGACTCCCGGTCTCGTAACCTCTGCATCAGGCTATCAGGCTATCAGCCCTGTTACCCATTGCCAATTGTCTCTAGTAGGCATTCTAGTTATTAGCACCGAGATGTTTGAAGTAGAGTATAATACAGCGGGTCAGCGGCGGCGACGGCGACTGTTATAATAGCAACTAGACTAATCGAGACAGTGAGTCGCGTGGTTGCGTGGTTGCGTATAATAGTAGACGCACTACCGCCTCCCAACCGGGCATACCTACTATAGAGAGCACCAAATTTACACACGTCCCCCGGACATGTGGAGTATGCATGTAGGGGGATGGGTCGGTTCGGTTCGGCTCCGAAGTTGGCGGCTCGCGCTGCGCGCGTACGGTAACTACCGCCGCCCGAAGTCGTAGGGGTGGTGGTGGGGGATCATTCTATTGACGAAGATATCCATGGACCTAAGGCTCCGTTCATCTCGCCATTATCTCATTATGTGGATGTGCCAAGCACGTAGCGCGACATAATGCTAAAAGCATTATGTCGCATTATGTCGTTTCGGCACCCAGACTTCTGAAGCAACGCCACATCTACTGAGGTGAACCATTATGTAATAGGGTCCTGGAGCCTCAAATGCGATGGAAAAATGGAATGGATTACGCATTTCCACTGGGAATCTGGCGGATTTACTCAGTCATTCCTGCTCGGTGACTAGAGCCATTCCTCCCATTACTAGAGTCATTCTTTCAATGACTCTAACTGTATGAGTAGATTGACTCTGGCAATGCTTCCCGGATGACGCGTGTAACAAAAACCATTGCTTCCATAGTCTTCAGCTTCCAGAAGTTGCAAATTCTTCCGAAGAATCAAGTTTCCTGCCGAGGCAGGAGTTTTTGCTGTTCTAGCTGTTGAAGTATCTTTACATTCGTTGATTTTCGCGTCATGGTGGTAGTGATGGTAGTGGTTGAGGTTGTCGATGGAGACTCCCACCTTTTTTTTTTTGTGTGGCGCAGCCCTACTTGACATGATAGCGAGATAATGGGTTGAGATGAACACTTGCCACCTCAAATTATTAGTGAAATAATGGTTGTCAACTTTGTGTGGTAGCAGGATGAGATAATGGCGAGATGAACGGCGCCTAAGTAAGTAGATCACGACATCCCCACCGCCGCTCGCCACCGCCGCTCGACTAATTACTCTAGCTGCCGAAGCCGTGGGAAGGACTGGGGATATGTAGTTATGCAGGGTTGGCACTTATGCTTATGGGGCAGACGGGGCAAAGTGCGGTTACAGTAGAGTAAAGTGTATCCGCCGGCGGCTGGGTATGTATCACAGCCAACGGGCGCCGGGCGGACGTGCTTGTCCGGTTAACTACCCCAGATCACCACACTTCAGAGTTCAGCGCGGATGATGTTTAATTACCCGTGATGGGTTCGGCAAAGTGCGCTGAGCGAGTGTAGGAGGTAAGAGTCGTATACCTAGGATCTCGTACGCTACGCTTGGGGGCGGGCGGTTGGTACTCTGCGCGGATGTTTCAACGGTGAGATCTACATCACCGAAAGCTGTGGTGAATGTTTAGCCTAGGTAGACGACTGTATTGTCGCCGGTGGTTTAGTCTTTGTCTCCAGAGCATGCACGTACGTCAGCCGTAGCTGTCTCGTTACATCTATCGAAATAAACTTTCTTTGCGAGTTCCACTTCCGACCTTTCAGGCCTCGTCAAAGTGCATTTCCCTCCCCGCGCCTACCAATGGGGAACGACGATATAAGACCTCACACAGGCCCAGCCATATGAACAGTAAAAAAACATTCATAACTCAATTCAATATCTAACTATGTCTTTCCAAACACTGCCCACCGAGCTCCTCCTCGAGATCGCCTCCTACCTCTCCACCGAGTCTATCCACAATGTCATCCAGACCTGCAAGCCCATCCACAGCTGTCTCCGTGAGACACTATACCACGACACGACCGCTCACAGCCGACAGTTCATCGCGGCCGCAACACAGGGCCAAATCCGTGCCTCCGACCTCTCCCACATCCGCCAGCTAGCCCTGAGCGGAACCGACGACGCCTTCGTGACCACGATCCTTCCACAAATGTCCCGCCTACGCTCCCTGACCTTCGACGGGCGCTCCATGACCAAGGACAGCACGATCATCGCCTCGATCCAGCGAGTCCTCTCGACCTCCGGCGCATCCCAAACCCTGCGATCCTTCACCCTCACGGGCCGGCCAGAGTACTACCGGAACCGGTCACGCCTACTAATCCCATTCAACTTCGCCGACACCGGTCCGGCATTCCCTCTCAGCGGGCTTACGACCACACTACCGCAGCTCTCCCACCTGGACACCTACGGCGCGCACGACCTGTGCGCACACCCGTCGCTGCAGTCGACGCTGCGCACACTGGTCCTGAACATGCCCGCGCTCACCGCACCGCTCGTGAGCGCGCTCTTCGCGCTGCGACAGCTACACACACTACGGATCGTGGAGCCGAAGGCGATCAGCGCATGGACGCTTCCTGCCACGCAGATCCCGGCGTTCACGGGCCTGCGCGAGTTCGGCTTTGGCCGCGCCGGCGCCGGCGCGCTCGACCGCATGCTGTATGTCGAGCACGGCGCGCTGCGCACGCTGCCGGACGGGTTTGTGGAGGCCGTTGTGGCAAAGAACCCAGGGTTGCAGAGGGTCGCGCTGCTGAGTATCGATGATAAAATACTCGCCGCGATGCCGTCGGAGCTAAGGGAGCTCGAGGTCGCGTTCTCGTTCGATGCGGATGGCGAGGCGAGTTTTGCCACGGATGGGTTGGCGGGGTTTTTGGTGAAGAAGGGGAGGGCGTTGAGTAGGTTGGTCGTGTGTGCGGCTAGGGTGGAGCGCACTGCGCCGCTGATGGAGGTGCTGGAGGGGATGGGAGGCGGGGTGAGGCTGAGGGAGGAGATGTGGGTGGGTGAGACGGACGAGAAGGAGTGCGCGCCGGACTCCCCGCAGGAGACGGATTGGGTTATTGTTGCGGGGAGGGATACTATGTGTATATAGTATAGGAGTCGCATGTGTACTGGCCTGGTGCCGTTGTTAATAGGATGGCTTGAATCTTGATGAGTGGATACCGGTGTGAACTGGAGTACATCTCCGCAAGTGAAATCCCCGAAGGCCCGAAGGAGTACAGATAGAGGCTCACAACGGCGATTTTCCTTTTCCTTCTCATACTCGCATTCCGTGCTTTTTTTTTTGAACAGCCGTAAAAGAGCAGTAGCCGCAGTGCTAGACGAGTGATATATTATGCACTTACACTAGTAGTACCACAACTATATCACTACTAGTATAGCCGACGCATAGCCCCAGGTCCCAGTCTCTAGTTGTCACGGCGCTGATGCTGATGCTGATGTACTCCAGAACGATAAACCAGTTATCTCTCGAGTCTCTGCAGACTGGGAGCAGCTTTCTGCGATACTAGTTGGTACCTACCATACGTAGAGGGGGATCGATACCGGTACCTAGAAGCACTGCGCCGTGCAGACTGTTGGTACTCTACATATCCATTTCAGGCTTTCCGTCGTTGTCCGCAGGTGCCGAACCCCATATAAGTATTGCGGATATCTCACAGGAACCTCACAAGGACCTCATACCTAAGGCTTCCATCAGGCTTCTGCGAGGCTTCCACCGGATTTCCACAAGGCTTCCACGAGGCTTAACCATGGGCTTACCTATGCATACACGGCAGCCACCGATACAAGGGCTCAACTATTGACCTGAGGCCAATAGGATGTAGTTACTCTAGTTAGTACGGCAGGCAACGGGCACAGCGCATCCACCTACTATGTAGAATCCCTGTTACCCCAAGCCGCCGCGGCGGCAGAGGGGCTCAACTAATTATGCGCGATCGGCTGTGCTCTTGGCCTCCCGACTCCCCACCAGCCTCGGAGCCCGAGTTAGAGTGGACGCCCATCTCGCCGTCCCGCCGTAGCTCCACATAGTGCACAGTGCATCATTATCGCCGTAAAATCGCGTACCCTCATCCACTCCCAGTATCATACTCCGCTCCCAGTACCATCATGCCTTGAAACACAAGTATAATTCCCCCTAGTGATCCTCACAGAACACAGAGCACAGAATACAGCGATCGATTCATCAACACAAAATTTCAAAAAACCAAAAACGCTCCAACCAAAACCAAAACCAAAACCAAAAGTCAAAGTCAAAATCAAAATCAAAAAAGTCAAAGATACAACAAACGTCGACATCAGAAGAGAAACGGCTAGTTATAGGCCCCCCCCCCCCCCTCTCCCCCTCCCGCTACACAGCCTTGCCCCCAAACCATACTCCTCTAGTATACACAAGCGTAATAGTAATTCATCAACAGTAGATAGCAGGAAGCAAGCGGAAAACAGCAACATGCGTAACGAACAGAGAAGAGAAGATTCCCCAAGAAAAAAAGCACAAAACAACTCCGTCCAGAAAAGAAAAGAAACACACGCATTCCTCCATTCCAAGCGCCTTCCCAAAAAAAGCAAATAATACAAACGGGGGATACACAACACACGTTATAAATGCTACAAATCTCGAAGGCAACTCCAGAACAAAGCACAGAAGACGGAAGGAAATAGAACACTACCCGAAGAGAAATCCAAAAGTAAAGTTTCCCTCTAGTGTTGCAAGGCATTAAGTGGTGAAAGGGAAATGAAAAGAAAAAGGGAAAAGGCGCAGAAAATCAGTAGGAAGCGTAATCGTTTGAAATCCTCGTTCATGACATATCCATACCGCTGTATGACTCATCCTCTTCCTTCAACATCATTCCATCGTTCCAGTGTGGGGTTCCTCTCGAGGACCCACCGTTCTGCATGGGCTTGCCGGTCGATCCGGGGCTGACTCGGTCAGATCCTCCATCTCCGAGCGGCTGGCCGGCATAGTCGGTGTAGCCTGGAACCCTGAGGCCGGATCCAGGGGCACGAGAGTACCCAAAGTCGTGGTGGTCCCTCTTGGCCTTTGCGATGGCGGTTTCGAGCTCAGAAGCCATCCGTCTGTCCGCCTCGCTCTCCTCGAACGGATAGGTACCACCGAGACGGGCCACCAACTCCCGAACCTCCCTCTCCTGCTCCAGCTTCATCTGCATGGCCCACATCAGATCCCTAGTCCAGCCAACGGCGCCGTTCAGAATGTCGCCCTTGTTAGGCCCCTTGTCCTTCTCCTCGCCACTGATGCCGCTGGGAGGGATGGCTCGCCGGCCGACTCCACCGGGTCCGACCGCCAGTCCCGAAGTTGCGCGGGGAGGGCTGCCACTGGCGCCAACAGTGGTTGGTGATAACGAACCGCTGTTGAGGAGCTGCTTGCGGACCTTTTCGTCCTCCAGGCGGTGATGTGGCACAAGCTGTGAGAGATCCTGGATGCGCTCGTTGATGTTGTCCCTTCGCCGGCGCTCGACCAGGTTGTGACTCTCACGTCGGCGTCTCTTCTTGGCTTCCTGCGAGTTGCCTGTCATGTGGTCGACCTTGGCGGGCAGGGAAGCTCCCTTGCTCTTGAACACGTCCGAGATCTGAGGGTGCACATGCATGCCTGGTGACGACAACGGCGAATCCACGTAGGACGAGGAGCCGGGAGTACCGTCCCACGGGTTGGATAGCGTCTTGTGGTGCTGTCTCAGGTGGGCATTCTGGATCGGCTGCGCCGGAAGACTGATGGACTCGGCACCTGTGAGAGACAGGCCGTGGAGGGCAGGAGTGTTGGGCGTGCGCGGAGACATGACCGACGGACTCCTCTCGGACCTGTCCATTCCGATAGGGCCGTTCTTTCGCTTCTGGGGATTCATGAACCCATCGAAATTCGTACCTTGCGTCGAATCCGAACCGATGACCGGTGAGTTGTATGACGAAGGTGATTCGGCTGGGTCGTTGTACAGGCGCCGGAACTGGTCGTGCTGTGGGAATCCGCGCATGTACGGAGATCCCGCGGGAGGGTTGTCAGGTGTGTGCGAGTATTCGGCCCCGTTACCAACCTTACGATCGCCATTCATGTCGGAGTACGAGTACATGTCGTTGCCACGCCGAGGTGCGTCCAGACCGTCGAACAGATCATCGCGCAGTCCCGCGCGGAGGTCGTCGTCGCCGATGCTGAGCCCACCGCCGCCGCCGTTCATGAAGCCGAGGCCTTGGTTGCTGGAGTACGTGCCGAAGCTGAAGCCACCGTTCTGCACCGTCAGTTCGGATGGATCTATGCTGTCGGCGCCACCGAAATCTTGGTCCGTGAATCCTCCGTGCTGGGTCTGAAAGTGGGAATTGGCGGACATGCTGTATGCTTCCGGGTGCTGGCTGAACTGTTGGAAGTTGATCGCGTCATCTCTCGGTTCGTTCTTGATGAACGGAGTGGGCGATCCGGGACCTCCGTTGCTGGTGCCGTTGTATGCTTGCATACCGTTGGCCATCTGTGGTGGTATGTCTACTCTCAGATCGGAAGAGGTATTCTTCTTATTAAAGGTCGAGAAAGACACTGCGGCAAGAACAAGAATACGTCAGCGCTACTGGCTTTGGAAGTGATGATGATGATTATGATGATCACATCTGTTGGGGGCGGGGATGGAGGTAGTAAGGATATCCAGGAAAAGCAGCTCCAGCCGTCCGAAGAAATGATGGGATCAACCGAACAGACACCCGACAGGGTTGAGAGAAAGAGAAGGTGTGTGTGTTAGGTTGTGAGGGGAGACTTACTTGAGAAGGGCATTTATGTTGCCTTGATTTCAAGTCACCGGGGGGTTGTTGGTGAATGAAGGCCCGGGGCAGCTTCCTTTTGAACAAGTCGCTCCGAGTGACTTCTTCCTGGCTAGCAACACAATTTTCTTCGGTCGGTAGACGGTGGAAAGTTCTTTGAGCGCGCAAACCTCGGGAAGGAATTGGATGCCTCCAGATACGCGTCTCACGATGGTACTGCTGCTGCTCCGAATGATGGGTAGCCGTTATTGTTGTTGTGGGTAACGGTATGCGTTGGCAAGAAGGGTTCCTAGGAATTGATTTGGGCGGAGGCAAGAATTCAATGGCTGGCTGGGTCGAACGCAAGACACGCCTAGGTAGTTTCGGCTGCAGAAGGGCAACGAATTGAGTTACCGATTCGTTGGGAGCTTGCTGCGGGAAGGTGTCGCGAAGCAGCAGTGGTTTGTGTATGCCGACTCGGCGTGGGGTGCAGCTCGGGATGAGGTGTGTGTAAAGTAGATAATCGTGCGTGGAGACGAGGGTGCGTCAGGGTTTGCTTTAGTTAGGGTGGTGGCGGTGGTAGTGGAGGTAATGGACGTAGTGGTGATGGTGTTGTCGCTTAGGATCTGGCCGGCGGTTCAGAATTATATACCGGTAGGCAAAGTGCCGAAGACGTTTGCACGGAGAGCGAGAGGGAGATGCAAGCTTACGGACGGGGGGTGGGGGGGTGCGGGAGGGTATTTGATGTGTGTGTAGAGAAAGGGTGGTTGGTTGGTTGGACGGGGAGGGACGGTGGCGGAGAAGGAAGCGGGAGGGTTTCGAAGTACCAGGAACCGCAAAATTGGAGTCAAAAAGGTTCTTTGGGGAAAGTGGGTGTCACAGCGGCGAAGTGTCCTCGAGAGATGATTCGCGGGGTGATGGCAGGTTTATAACTGGACCGGGGAGTTATGCAGGACGTTGCTGTGGTCGATCCCCGTTCAGAGAGGGCTCGGAAAGAAAGCAGCGTGGAGGGGGGGGGGGGGGGGGGGGGGGGCTGTGTATGTAAGAGGTATGTACGAGTGGGTAGCGGTAGTGGATGTTCTCCACACAGACGCAGAAGAAGCTAAGCAATGTAGCCAGATGCGGAGAATCTGCAGGGCAAATTGGTATTTTGCGGGGAGGGGGAGGGGGAGGGAAGGGAGTGGGCAGTTGGTGTGGGACAGTGGTGCGTGCGGGCGGAGGATGTGTTCCTACATACAGGGTTGAGCTTTTGAAAGGGCAGGAGAAGGCGGGCGGCGATTCTGAACTCCGACGACTCGAGGGTGACGCGAGTTCAAAGAAAACGACGCGGCGAACGGGCGAGCGAGCGGCGTACGGACGCTTGCTAGTGTTGCCTTAAAGCAGAAGTTGTGTGGGGAGAAGCCAGGCCGGACCAGTAGTCGACGATGCTGCTGCTGCTGGTGAGTGAGTTGTGCTGAGCTTTTTGTGTTGCTTTGCTTCCGTGGGGAAAGGCAGTGGCGGTAAGAGCGCAGGATGCGACGAAGACGACAACGACGACGAGCGGACGAGTGAGCTGCGCGGTTGCGGCTTGGGGGTTGGGTTTGGTTGGGACGGGGGGAGGATATTGAATATGGGAGTGATATGTGTGGGGTTCTCGCGGATCTTGTCTTGTTCTTGTGCGGTCTAAGAAGAAAGATGACGGGTTCAAGGTTAGAATTCCTTCTTTTCCGACGATTTACTGTTCCGATTCTCCTGATATTTGCCACCCACGACGTTCTTTATACATATAGACTTTTTTGGCGGGCGGGGAGAGATGGGGGCGGGGGGACAGTGAAGCGGGGACAGTTACGTCGGTGGTCCTCCGATCGTGTACTTCGATCGGAGTGGGGGGAGGGGGGGTAGGGTAGGGGGGGATATTGAGTTTGTGGATTGTGGGGAAAGAGGGATAGGATAGGCAGGCAGGCAGAAGGACGGGGGGCAGTAGGTGAACAGGGTTTCTATTCTAGCCAAAGATCTGGGGCTGGAACCTTTCTAAGACCCTTAACGTCTGCCGGCGATGCGGTGCGTCGAGCCAAAAGAGCTGTCCAGAGCGAGAGAGCGGGAGGCGAAACGCCTCGCGCGCTCCGAGTGTGCGTGTAGAGTAGAAATGGTAGGGGAGGGGAGGGGAAGGAAGGGCAGCCAGCCAGCCAGCGAGAGAGCGAGCGAGGCACAGAATAATGTGAAGCTGTGCCGAACTTTCTTCTTCTTCTCGCTGTTTCTTGCTGGATGAGGCAAGTACTGCCCATGGAGGTGCAGTGCAAGGAAGGATGGATGGAGCAAGTAGAAGACGGAGAAGAGTAAGAGTAAGAGGAAGAGGAGGAGTTACTTGTGTGAGAGAATGAGATCCGACTGCTATTGGTAGTCTGCTTGGATTTTTATATATATGTCGGCGTGTGTATGTACGATGTACGATGTATGGCTATAGTTATGGCTGTCTGTATGTGTGGGACAGTGTGGGATATGGACGTAGTGGTTATTGGGCGCAGTTATGGTGAAGCGGTCGGCGATCAGGACGAGAGGGGGTGAAAGCAGGAACGGCGAAAGGTAAGAGGCCAGAGGAGGTTAAGAGGAAGTGAGAGGCGTTTAGTAAGGAAGAGACACTGGGGGAGGGAGGCGAGAGATGAGAGGTCGAGGTCGAGGTACGGGGGTGGGGGGGGGGGGGGGGGTGGGAGATCAGGGCTTGGACGAGGAGGAAAAGCCAGAGTAGAAGTAGAGAAATGGACCACGGGCAGACAGAGAGACGCACACGATACGGGTCGATCACGCACCGAACAAGAAGAACAGAGATGAGGATGGAAATTGGGGGGGGGGATGCGGACGAACACTCGCAGCGCAAATCAGTAATAGGTAAGCGAAAATGCGTAGAGCGGCGCAGGAATTCCAGAACGAAAGAAAAAAGAGGACGGTAATAATAGCAATACCGAGCAAAACAATAAACGGATTATTTCCATTCCCTCTCGGCTCGCAGACCTTCCCTTCTTCGGGCTGGTCGGACTCTCTCTCCCCTCTCGCGCCGGAACGTGTGCATCCATGCTTCCTTCAGGCGCTCACGCCCACCTTGACGTCTGTCTTTTTCCTGAAGAAGATGACTGTTTTCTGGCATCGAAAGCACTGCTGAGCCCAGCTTGCCAGGGTCGGTGTTGTATCTGGAGTAACGAGTCTCGAGATTAATGTAGCACACACACCCTCCCCTTCTGCGACTTGCAGCCCCTCGGCACCCCTCCATCCCCCGCCACCCCTCCATCCCCCGCCACCCCTCCACATCTGCACCTCCCCCCTCCATCATCCTCCACCGTCGCCGCTACATACACCTCGTCCCCAGGGAAGGAAAGAAAATACAGGAACGCAACAAGAAGAAGGACTTGGGCCAAGTACGCCGATACATGCTCGGGCGTATCCATCTTGTTGGGGCCATCCCTGCGAGCATGTCTTCAGCTACCAGCTATAGGCAGTACTGTGGAGTAGAGTACCTACTCGCACACCCAGGTGCATACCGAGCTTCACCGACATCGCTGCCAACCGCGCTGGTCCTCCTCCGTCGGGATCGTCGCACTCCGCTCGTTCTGCTTCCTCGTCGGCTCGCGCATGTTGGAGTGGTGAAGCGGGGTGATGCGATGGCGTAACTGTGCTGCGTGCTGCGGAGAGCGGGGTAGCTAGGGAGCTATGGGCATGCTACTCTAGCTATCTGATGAGCGACGTCGGAGAGAGACGAGGAGAACGGTTCACGATGCACCCGCCCGTCATGCCAGAACTGCTTCTCACCCTCACCATCTTGGATGGACCCCTATTAATCGAGAAAATCCACCCCCCCCTCCCTCCCAAAGACCCGTTGCTCTTCTAATCCGCGCAAAAAGTGAGAAATGATGGCGCTGTTTGCGAATAGAAAAATAAAATAGAACAAAATAAAATCGCCGCTGGGAACTTTGTGGTATTGCGCCAGATGGGGCTTAGACGCCAAGCCGTGCGCCGTCCCAGACATCATCATCGTCTTCTTCCCCAGACCCTGTATGACCGGCCCGGACACCACCACCGCCTACCCACCCGTTGACACCCATCATCCAAATACTCAGAAACAAACAGCTTCCGCGCAAAAACGTCCCCCCCCCTCCAGCTCGTCGCGGAATCTCATCCCCCCGTCTGTTCCGTGCACCGCGTGCAGCAATATTTCCGCCCTTTCGAGTCTCAGCAGAGCACTTCGCGCGTCCAGCTGCAGTCATTCATCCAGCTCCACACACACACACTCATACCCCCCTCCCCTCCCCGTCCGACTACACACTGCACCATAACTACTACACCATACTACACCACACACCCACCCACCCATAACCCCCCGTCCGCATACTCCGACCGTTTGAAGTTCGCCCCAACGTATTCGCACCGAAAACCGATTCCACACATACGCACGGTGTCGTCATGGCCGCCGACGCTTTCAGGTCACAGATGAACTCGCTCGGATGGTCGAGGAGGGAGGAGCCTGCGGTCACCACGTCTGCGTCATCGCCGTTCTTGTCGCGCATCCAGTCCATGAACCCGTTCGCCTCGGGGAGCAGCGGCTATGTGCGACTGCCCACGAGCTACTCGGATCCACCGCCACAACTGCCGGCGCGGACGCGACAGGAGGAGGATGAAGCCTTTTTTGCACGTAAGTTCTGTTCCATAGTTACGTGAGGCTCCGCGCGGAGCTTGGCTGCTGCTGGAGCTCAGCGAGAGTGAGAGCTAGCGCCGTCTCGGAAGGTGGGAGGTGTGGCGGAGCTGCTGCTGCTGGCGGTGGCGCCGGTTCGTTGAGGGATGTCGTTCGATATTGGGTTGGGGTTCGGAATGCGACTCTCTCTCTCTTGGCCGCGGATCGTCACCGAGCCGACATCACGGCAGCAAGCCTCCGTGGGGAGGGGGGGGGGGGCGGGAAAAGTGAAGAGAACTGCTTTTGCTGATTTGCCTGTTTCCCTTCTCGCAGTGAGTAGATGGGATCGTATCCTCGCGTTTTCGGCTTGCAACCTGGGAGCAGCCGCTTGCTTCGTCGTCTGCTTCTTCCTGTTTCCCGTACTCTCGTTGAAGCCGCGGAAATTCGCAGTGCTGTGAGTGCCCCTCCCCATCCCCACCCCTCCGTCCTCAAACTCCTGTCTGTCGATCTCGCAACGCCCACATGGCACCCTCGCCCTGTCCTGTCCTTTCGGCACAGAATAGCCAGAATATCCAGAACATGCACTACTACTGCTGCTGCCATCGAGTTGGTTAACTGACACTTCTGGTGCGTGCGTCGTCGCCGGTGATCAGCTGGACCGTCGGATCATTGCTCTTCCTGTCTTCGTGGGCGATCCTTCAGGGTCCGATCACGTACGCGAAACATCTCATGTCCACCCCGAGACTGCCTTTCACGGCTGCGTATTTCGGAACCATATTGTGCACGCTGTATTTCTCTGTCGGGGTAAACCTACCCTGCTCTTTTGTCTTTCCCTCTGCCCACACCACGCACGCTCGCTCGGAGTTCACATCCGTTACGGGGGGGAGACGGGTATCCTTCCACCGAAGTACCGGATCTGGGCCCCGTGGTGATGGTGGTAGTGGTGGTGATGGTGGCTGGACCGCCGAATGATTGAAGCATCTGAGCTCTGTACTGACCAGGGATGGGGGTGGTGTTTTCGGAATCATAGCTCCAGTCGACAATACTCACGCTCCTGGCCGCGATCTGCCAGATGGTCGCTCTGGTGTGGTATCTGGTCTCATACTTCCCGATGGGCTCTACAGGTCCGATACTCTCCCGCTCTTCCCGTTATCATCCCGTTATCCCCAGAAAACAAAACCCGCTGATACTGTTGGTGGAATGTTTAATACAGGCCTGCGATACGCCAGCAGCTTTGGAGCGAGACAGGCGACCGCGTGGATGCAAGGTTGATCTTGCTCATGCTCTGGCCGGTGGGGGTGGGGATAGGTTGGGGATGGGATGGCGACGGGATGGCGGCGGCATGGTGATGGGCATAGTGGATGTCAACGGAGGACTGAAGCGAAGGAGGGGTGGTGTATGTAGCGTAGCATACACATACCTAACACACATACACACGTAGATAGGCGGATCCGGAGCGCTCTATCTCGCATCGCATTGCAGCTGATGCACGGTGATCTTGGAAACGAGCTTACGATGCGTCTTCTACTACAGTACTATAGGCGTAGGAGAGGGGGGGGGGGGGGGGGGGGGGGAGGTTCTGAGTATTGGCTGGCGTAGGCACGTTTTGTTTCTGTCGGTGATGGGGGCTTGTGACGACTTTTGGTTGTTACCTATGACTACTTAATTACTTACTTGCATTCTTACTGGCATTCATACCACATTCGCTTTAGTACCCAGGATAGGATAGGATATGATGCAGTGGATGCAGTGGTGATGGGGATGGGAGACGTTGGTTGGGTTGGGTCCGGTGCACAACTTACAACTTACCAGTGCGCAGATTATGTAGAGTACCCAGAATCCCAGATGGATTGTTATTCCGGTGGAACGTTGCCGGTTTGGGGTATTATCCATCCCCAGTCCATAATCCCAACTCATTGTTTTGTGTTTTTGTGTTTTTGTTTTTGTTGTTTTGTTTATTCCCCCAGCGGCCGTTTGCTGGGTTTGGTGCGTTTTTGTTTTTTGAGCCGTTTTGCCGGGCTTTGGCGTGCTTTGGAGGGCTGTGGTAGTGGACTGTGGACTGTGGACTGTGGACGGTGGGCTGTGAAGATAAGACTTCCTAGGACTAGGACTAGGACTGGAGATACGTACTCGTACTCAACTCACATCATACTTGGTAGCAGTAGCGGTAGCAGTAGCAGTGGGTAGTGGTAGTGAGTAGTGGGTAGTGGGTAGTGGGCAGCAGTAGTGGGGCCAGTCGGAGTCATCACTGGTCGACTGGCGAACTAGACGGATGAACTGGGGGGACTGGCGGACTGGTCGACCGGACGGATGGGCTGGGGGACGGATGGACCGAGGGGACTTAGGAGGGGGGTATGAGGGGGTATGAAACCAGAGACGAACCAAACAACCCCATCTCCTCCTCTGTTCCTCAAGGCTCAAACCTCCAGATGGACGGAAACGGACGGAAACAGGGGAACAGGGGAACAGGAGAGGCTGAGTGGAGGTCTGAAACAGAGAGCAAAGGCAGAAGCAGAATTCAGAAGAAAAAGCAGAAAGTAAAAGCAGAAGCAAGTGAGGGTGCGAGATGGTGCACCAAGTGAAGTGAACTAAAGTGAAGTGAACTGCAGTAAGGTAAAGTGTAATAGGTAGTAAAGTGCGGTGAAGTGAAGTAAAGCGTGGTGAAGTGTGGTGTAGTGAAGTGTCGTTTACTGCAGTGTAGTGCACTGCAGTGAAGTGATGTGAAGTGGAGTATACGGTAATACTATGCTCGATATACATCCTCGCCTCGAATCTCGATCTGAGCGCAACGCTCATGCTACTGCTATAATTACTACTACCTATACTGCTACTGATGTTGCTGCATACGCGAGCCCCCCGTCCCGCCATAGCTATGCAAGTTACTTACCAACTATCTTAGGTATGAATATACTAGTAAATGGGTGTGTGGACGGGACCATCAACCAAGCATTCCATCGCTGCGTGATGATGTCGACGTGCGTCCGTCTCTAGACCTCGAGGACGCAGACTCCGGAGGTGATATGGGCGCCAGAGGAGGTTGATGGAGGGGGGAGGGCAGTTAGGGTAGCGAGGGCAGCGAGGGTTAAGCCCTTCCTACTTGCTGGGGGCTTACGGATTACATACGTAGAGGATACGCCGGACGGCGAGCCAGATGGTAGGGTTTGTGAACGAGCTGGAGGAGCTATGGAGTGGAGCTATGGAGTGGAGCCGTGGAGCGGTAGAGCTATGGAGCTGTGGAGCTGTGGAGCTGTGGAGCTGTGAGAGCTGTGAGAGCTGTGAGAGCTGTAGAGCTGTGTACCCAAGTTCCTACCGGATACCTACTACAAGGCCCCAGGCAAGACTAGATAAGACCATACCGGAGTCAACGAAAGCACGGCTGGCCGGCCGGCCGCTGCACCCAGGTTGTGTCCACTGCCAGACACCTGGGTAGGTACCGGTACCGTACTCGGCGGCCAGCCGGCGAGCTCACTCAAGACCTGGATTCTGGAGCGGCCGTGGTCTGTAGGTGGGTAGAGTCGATGGTACATGATACACACACCATACGATGGGTACTTATGCACACATGCACACATGCACAGTTGCACGCCCACTGGCTCGGGATCAAGCTCGAGCTCGAGATCGGACGACAGTTCGCGGCAGTTCGAGTCGACGGCCACTGACGGCCACTACTACTCGTAAATTTATACTTACCTGGACAATCGGTGTAGGTTGTATAAGCAAGGTGGGTGGGTCGGATAGGGTAGGCCCTTGGAGTACCGGTAGGATGAGGCAACCAACCAACTCTACTATTATCTACTATTAGTAGAATATACCGTACGGCGTAGTAGAGTACCGTACACCAACTCGCTCTCTCGCCTCCACCACCGCCTCCACCGCCGCCGCCGTGCAGTAGTTAAGCGGAGATTTGTTGACGGACCTCATCCAGACTCCAGACCGATACCTACCAATCACAATACCACGATACCACGACTTCGTCCAGACCAGCCCCGAGCCCGAGCCCGAACCCGAGTACCGGCGCTGCTGCACGATGACCTCACCACCTCACCACTCACCACTCACCACCTCACCACTCGCCACCTCACCTCACCACCCACCTCACCACCTTAACTTCCATACCACTTATGTAGCGATCGACCCTGGGGCCTGCAGCAGTGCAGCCCAGGCCGGGCCCAGGGTGCTAGTTAGTTAGTACTCTAGTTGGTTACCATATGTATGGAGAGTACGAGTACATGGGCAGGTATGTAGAAGGTAAGAGGGTGTGCAAGCGCGACTCGCGAGTCGTCTGGCGCGGTAGACACAGTCATTGCCGTTGTGTTCTGCTACTTCCTACTCTACTCTACCGTACCAGCTCTATATCAGCCGCATCGAGCCTCCCAATACGGCCACACGGTCATACGGCGGGCGGGTCGTTGAGTGGTGGGTGGGAGGTAGGTGGGGGCGGGTGGTGGGGGGTGAGCCCGCGATGCTCATTTACTCTTCCCTCTACTCTACACCACTCTACTCAACGCAAGGCACAAACGATCGGACGAGATTAGAATGGGGAAGGGAAGGGAAGTTCATCCGCCCCTACATCCTACATACGGGACCGGGGTCGAGGGTTGGTTGGGGGTGGAGGATTTTGAGGGGGGGGTTCGGATATTTCCGCCGGTCTGGAGAGCTCTCCATACTTGGTTATTGTTTTTGTTTTTCTGCATCCGCGCCTCCCCTCCCCTCCACACGCCGGGAAGGAAATTCGGAACGGATAATTAAAAAAAATATCGACTTACGGTGGAAATGGAAATGCCGAATAATGAATAATGGGGGGATTTACGATGGAAACGATAGAAAAGAGCAGGTAAGGCATGGTGTGGCAAGCTCTATGTGATGCTAGAGTAGGTATGCTAGAGTACTCTGGGCGTGCGTGCGTGCATGACGCATGCAATGCAGTCCAGTCCCAAGTCTGTACCGTATGGCTGTCTGTATGGCTGTATGTCTGTCTGTTTGAGGTGACTTGCATAACTAAATGTGTATGTATGTGTGTGTGTGTATGGAGATACCGTCAAGGCTGTCCTGTCCGTCGTCTTCCGGGTAGGGGGGGGGGGGGTGTGGTGGATGGGGGAGTATGTAGGAGTCGACTCGTCATGCACGCCGCGGCGGCGGCCGTATGTAGCTCTGTATGTAGGTAGGTCTGTAGGTCTGTAGATTGGTATCGGCAGGTACGAATGACCACTCCACTCCCACCACTCCTCCTCCCATTCGCTCTCGTTCCCGGGGGGGGGAGGCTGAGGTGAGGTGAGGTGAGGTGAGCTCTGACGCACGTAGCAGCCTTGGAGGGGAGGGAAGTGATAGAAGGTAATCACTATGATCCTCCCCCCTCCCTTCCCCGCGTCGCATGGGTGCGCCCAGGGGTGTCCAACCAGAGTCGCAACCATCGATTCCCTCCCTCCATCCCTCCTCCTCCCATCCCTCCTCCCATCCCCATATCCATTCGCATCCCAGGTGTGCGTGCGTCCGTACCGGAGATTTGCGTGCGTGCGGCGTAGTTACATGCGTGAGTGCGTGCGTGTGGGCGCTTTCCAAGGCTGGGGTTTAGATACATTCCTAGAGTGTATATGTGTTTTGAGGGAGTCGAGGAAGGCTGCGCTTTGGCTGCGAGTTTGCGCCCCCACGCTGCGCTGCGAACTGGGGGGACTGCGAACTGGGGGATGGAGGATCGCTCAGTAGTGGGTAGACGCGCGGTGCTAAGTGCCCGGAGATATCGATATCCTTGCCGCCGATTATCGAAGCGCAACATACTTACATTACATTACTAGTAGGTACTCCACATACATACATGCCCACCGGATACCGTTGGGCACCCAGCGGGCTTGGAATGCGCCCAGACTCCGCATATGTATAAATGTACAAATGTCGATTCGATGGGATACCCACCTCGTACTTACCTACATCATCCGCATCCGCCGCCGTCCGAACCGAACCCGGGGATGGGGAACCGTTGGAGCTGCGGAATCCACCATCATCATCACCATTATCATCAGGTGAGTATGAGGGTGGATCTGGAGCTGTTGCTGGGCCCGCCGAGACGGGGCTGTAGGTACGTAGTCGTATGTAGTCCATGGATAGAGCGACCACTCTACTACTCTACACACATACATGGGTGGCCTCATGCGACATCATCAGCTGTCGCGATATATGTCGATAAGTCGATAAGGTCACTCGAAAGCAGCACGGATCTGCACTAATATTTGCTAAAGAAGTGCGCTAGGAGGATTTTATTATCTAATGGCGAGGACAACCACTGGATCTGGAGGAGCCGGAGTAGTCGGAAGAGGCTGGGTGACGGGCTGTGATGCTGAATGTGATACCTCCGGTATCACAGGGGGATATACGTAAGCTCCGCGGACGGCGAAACCGGATACTATACGGTGGGGAAACTAGACAGTGTTTCTTGGAGGTATGGGGACGATACCATAGTGGATCAACACTGGCGTAGACTCTCCGCAGCTGGAGTACAGGAGCTTGAAGATAGATATCTCGGTGTCGCTCCTTCGACATCTTGCGTCGGGACCATCCTAAGCT